ACTGACTGATTGTCACTTGTGAATGAGGCTGGTTACCTATCTCCCCGACTGATTGTCACTTGTGAATTAAGCTGGTTAACTATCTCACTGACTGATTGTCACTTGTGAATGAGGCTGGTTAACTATCTCACTGACTGATTGTCACTTGTGAATGAGGCTGGTTACCTATCTCACTGACTGATTGTCACTTGTGAATGAGGCTGGTTACCTATCTCACTGACTGATTGTCACTTGTGAATGAGGCTGGTTACCTATCTCACTGACTGATTGTCACTTGTGAATGAGGCTGGTTAACTATCTCACTGACTGATTGTCACTTGTGAATGAGACTGGTTAACTATCTCACTGACTGATTGTCACTTGTGAATGTGGCTGGTTAACTATCTCACTGACTGATTGTCACTTGTGAATGAGGCTGGTTACCTATCTCCCCGACTGATTGTCACTTGTGAATTAAGCTGGTTAACTATCTCACTGACTGATTGTCACTTGTGAATGAGGCTGGTTAACTATCTCACTGACTGATTGTCACTTGTGAATGAGGCTGGTTACCTATCTCACTGACTGATTGTCACTTGTGAATGAGGCTGGTTACCTATCTCACTGACTGATTGTCACTTGTGAATGAGGCTGGTTACCTATCTCACTGACTGATTGTCACTTGTGAATGAGGCTGGTTACCTATCTCACTGACTGATTGTCTCTTGTGAATGAGGCTGGTTACCTATCCCACTGACTGATTGTCACTTGTGAATGAGGCTGGTTAACTATCTCACTGACTGATTGTCACTTGTGAATGACGCTGGTTAACTATCTCACTGACTGATTGTCACTTGTGAATGAGGCTGGTTACCTATCTTACTTACTGATTCTCACTTGTGAATAAGACTAGTTACTTATCTCACTGACTGATTGTCACTTGTGAATAAGGCTGGTTACCTATCTCACAGACTGATTGTCACTTGTGATCAAGACTGGTTACCTATCTCACTGACTGATTGTCACTTGTGAATAAGACTGGTTACCTATCTCACTCCCCGACTGTCACTTGTGAATAAGACCTGTTTCTCACTGACTGATTGTTACTTGCGCATCAACTACAATAAACGTGAAAGTCATGGAGTCGCGCGGAGCCATAAAACACAACGTCATCATCAGTCATCGGAATATCACAGCGTAACTGATAAATTCTGCCATTAATCTTGGACCCGGCCCAATTTAGGCGTCCTCTGCACACAGTTTGTGCGGAGAGGCAGGAACTGCAGGGGAACAAATAGAGATGGATGACACTAGCTGTCTTCGCCTTCTCAAAATGTACCACTGTAAGGCAAGGCTACTCGTGTGATTTCAAGCTGCGAAGATACAGTGCCCAAATTATGTGTAAAAGTAGGTCATATTGGATTTCTAATTTCATTTACCTGTCAGTTTCAGTTCGTGTGCTCGCAATGCAACATTTAATTTCGCTGTTGTTATTAAATTGATGCATCTGGTAACAGCATATGTATGTGTCAATTATAAACGACGAATTTTCTATACCTTCGCTAAAACTTGACAATGTAGTAAAGTGGTATGTATATTTGTCATTGATATTTTATTTCGTATTTGTCATCAGTCTCAGTACTCGATTCTATTACTTAATTTTCCAAACTAATAACTCATTTATACGAAGACATGTATTTGTAGCATACATGTTAGCATACAAGACAGTGACATTTATGGAACTGTGCATATTTGAACATTCCCGGACAATTCCCAAATCAAATTAATTCTGCTTGGCTATCGTGGAATTCAAGGTAACTTATCATGTATGCCTTATATCTGTAGACTTCAAGCTGCATTTTAATAACAACCTTGTCATTTCCAATTATGCCAAATGTGAGTATATTTGATTAATTTATTCGATAAGTACAATTTGAAAAAAAAATAAACACACACACACACATGTCACAGGCAGACCAACAAGAGTACTGCGACTTTAAATTGGATGGAACAGCGGGTGGTGCATGACATTACGGTTCATTTTCTGTCTGGGTCAAGACAATTAAATGGATACGGAGAAGCAGGCGAGCAATTAGCGGCACAACTAGATCATGGGTGACGAGCTTTTCTAAGAATCGGCGTGGAATAGAGATGAAAAAAGTATGTAAAGCTTTAATTGCAGCACATTACATACCGCGAGGCTGTAATTGGGAACAAATGACAAATAAGCCAGCATGGATGCTAAATTCAGTTACTCTTATAAGAGATTATATGAAATTATAATGCAATCGATAATTTAGGGGCTAAAATCATTTAAAATTATCTGACAAAAACATATGTATAACCCATTATAAGGCACCACTTAGACTGCGTAATGGAAGCAGGATTCTCATTTATATGAATCTTTGATCTTTAAAGTGAATTATCAGTAACCATGGGGAAACATCACCATGGTAACATGGAATGAACAGTAATTGAATCGCTAGTTATAGCTACAAGTCATTGAAATAATTCATATTCTACTTTCCTCGCATCCTTTTCTAAGAATTTAACTCATTCACTTACAGCAGCTGAGTATGCATTGGCTGACATGTTTTCTATTCTAGGCCTAGTTGTGTTTCTATGCCTATGACGCCATTGAATAAGCAGTTACTGAGTACACACAACCGACGCGTCGCGACGGTCTACTGCCTTATTTTAGGTTAATTTTTAAGTGTGTTTGCTTTGCCACTTATCTTTTTTCTTGTTTCAGAGGCACAGATGATAACCTGGTAAATACAAAACCCTTTTAAGGGTTGATCGTTTTCGTATTTACATGCACAGTTATAACTTTTGGTCTCGTAGCTGGGCAGAGTATCGCGTGTGGGATGCTCTTGACCGATGACGCGGTGCAACCGAGCCGCGTTTGCATTGTACGTGACAGGAAACCTAACGTGGGTTCTCATAATACGCAACGTCAGGTTAAAGGTGCGATGCAATAAAGACGGTGTACATTTTAATCTGCAAGTTTTATCAAAAAGAGGTAACCCATAGACATAGGGTTAGTATTGTAAAAACGATAATTTTGATCACTGTTAGTGTGGTTGCCTCTGAGAGGATGGCTTATGAGGTTTCTGTTAAAACTTACAAGCACCTCTGCAATCGTAGGTGAATGACCACCATTTTTTTTTCAAAACAGAAAGAAAACATCATGTTTTTCCAGGTTTGCTGATTCTGAGAAGTGAGACGAGTTCTCTAAAAAAAAAATATACACCGTCACTATATTGACTGCAATAAGGGAAGGGCATAAGTCTTCAGGGTTCGACCTCAACTTTTTTTGTGTGGTTGCCTCTTAGAAGATGGGTTATCAGGTTTCTGTTAAAACTTACAAGCACCTCTGCAATCGTAGGTGAATGACCACCATTTTTTTTTCAAAACAGAAAGAAAACATCATGTTTTTTCAGGTTTGCTGATTCTGAGAAGTGAGACGAGTTCTCTAAAAAAAAATATATACACCGTCACTATATTGACTAATAAGGGAAGGGCATAAGTCTTCAGGGTTCGACCTCAACTTTTTTTTCACTAGCCAGCCGGGCTAACTAGCCTGTGGGCATTTTCACTAGCCCGCATGTTTTTTTTCTTTTATAGAGTGTCTCATAAACAACAATGTGCATACATGTAAAACGTATATAGAACCTTAAAGTTGACCACTGGTGGCGTGCTTCAGGGCCCCTCGAAAAGGAAAATTAACGTGTAAAAGTCCGAGTATTTGAAATCAGTTTTGGTACAATAATTTTTAAGTTAAGAACATCACCCTCGAAATTTTATGGAAACTGAAAAATCGCATGACGTGAAAGAGAAATATCGTGCCAAAAATTGACCTCTCACTTCCGAAAACTTCCGAGTGGACTCGTGGAACTCGATCACTCGTTCCAGCATGAAAATGTATGGAATATTTTGTGGCGGTCCATTGGGTAAAAACTAAAATTTAAACAGGAGACTCAAATGTCTTTTCGGACGGACAATTTTTTGAATAAACTTGAAGATTCTATTTTCATTTACGAGCAAATCTTAAATGACCGTTATAAGAACTGTATTAAAACGTGATCCAAACGAGCCTGAATATATCTAGAATCCATCGGATGTACGTTGGTAAATCTTTATGTCGTTATCATTTTCGTTCTCAAGCAAGTACGCGATGTAAAAACAGACGTGATCCAACAAGCCGACTTTGGAACGAAAATAGGTCGTACGTAAAATTCGTTTTTACCCATTTCCAACTGATTTCTCATCTTTTCTGATGCAATTTTGTCAGTGTTTTTTAACAAAGAGATCTAATAATACAAATTGATACAGGTTTGCTTTCTGAATGTCATGATTTATTTCTTCCTGTCCTTTCATATTTGCCGTAGCCCAATAATTGTTAGACTCGCCAGCCAGGCTTCTTAAGGAAAAGTTTGACTAGCCCGCCGCTATTTGACTAGCATTTGGCTAGCGGGCTACCGCTAATTTCGAACCCTGCTTATGATAAGTACTGTTTATACAGCTCATACCAACAGAATATCAGAGCAACTTGGCTAAACAGTTTTGAGCTTCAGGTTTGAAAACGATGGTCCTCAGTCATGGGCGTCGCCAGGATTTTTTTCTGGAGGGGGACAAAGCACATTTTCCCCAAACTCCCCATAATTTCCCTGCATTTTCCCGATTTTTTTTTTTGCTTGTCGGGGGGGGGGGGCTGCCCCTCCCCTCTCCTCGCGACGCCCATGTGTTCAGTCATTTATGACAGCTGGAAAACTGATGGACCACCTTTTTAGATGCCTCCACTCAAGTGTATGATATTGACATACTAATCCATTATTTTTTGATTACCTTTTAACCCACACGGAAAGATTGACACACGGCACCGAGCTAACTAAAGTTAATAACGGATATTGGCTGTCATCTCTGAAGTACACCCTCAAAATGTTGCCCAATGCACTGTTAATCGCTCCTCTTCAGCTAGCAATGACAGCCATTTTCTTGTACTTTTTTATTCCAACAGACAGTAATTTCGTCCTTGGCAATGCACAAGTCTCCAACACCTACCCGATCGTGTATTGCTCGGATGGGTTCTGTGAACTCACTGGGTTCGCGCGAGCTGAAGTCATGCAGAAGAGCTGTGCCTGCAAGTTCCTGTTCGGGAAGGACACACCGCCGGAGAAGATCGAAGAGATTCAGGCAGTGCTTGACAGCAAAGAAGAGTACAAGACGGAAGTCATCTTCCAGAAAAAAGACTGTAAGTGAAATCATACCCATTCGTTATCACGACGTAAGTCAGTTGCTTCCTTTAGCCTGGCCAGTTCTACAGATGTATAGTCATCACATGCTCCTTTGGTGTCTCCATCTTGGTGCTCCCATTAGGACGTTTGAGTGGGAGATTTGTCATGCAGTCCCCTGATACCAATACACTCTAGCGATACCCGAGTGTAAACAGTTAGTTTTTCCCCGTGCGTTGCATCTTCGTGGAACTCGTTGCCTGAGGTTTCCTTTCTTCGTCCTAAGATCTGCTCTTAACTGAATCTTTCCCCTATCCTTTTCATTGTAGTATTTTACCTTGAGTGGCATTTCACTCAAAATGGGGCCTCCGTGATAGAATTGATACCGTGCCCGGATTTGATCTATATCAAAATCGGAAAGAAAACCACACTGACCACACGCCGAAATTGGAAACATTTGCTATAGTAACGAAGCAAAAAACTTTCCAATAAATAACGCTTAATATATCACCTAAAGATAAGTGTGTTTTGATTTACTGAAATGTTCACATGGAAATTATGAAGAAAACAAATTGCAATAAGTCTTCGGACAAAGGGCCTCCTTTGTCAACGTACGTTATATGTGTACGCGTAATTAAAGAATAAGACAATCTAGTGAAGTGCAATTAATTGGGAGAGTAAAGTTCACGTTTGGTGAACATTTGCACTTAAGAAGCTAAACTCCTGCTCGTTACATCCGCCAACGAGGTTATGTTTTCATCGGCGTTGGTTTGTGGACTACAAAACGTTTGAGTTCAAGGATTTGCTTTATTGAATAACTAACGATATAAGGCGGTCAACATTGCTATTTTTCGATGAATTCGGAATATGAGCAATCCTGTTGACATTTTAAATGTGTAATTAAATATGGAAGTCCAGTGGATAGGCAAGTATTTCTTTTGGGTGTACCGACAATGTGGCGGGGAATTGTTCAGCATTGGCGGATGTTTGCGCTCTCTGAGTTCTAGTTATGTAACTTAAATTCTCCCCTTCTTGACCTTGATTTCTTCTTGATTTTTCTCTATTCATCCACATTTAATCCAGATGAGCTACTGCAGGCGTTAAAATGCCCTTTAAAAATATATTTTTACGGAAATCGATTGACAACAGCTTGTTTTTCTCTTTCTTACAGCGTCGCCATTTTGGTGCCTTTTGGATATTGTTCCCATCAAGAATGAGAAGGCGGAAGTTGTTCTATTTTTAGCATCGCACAAAGACATCACGAAGTCCAAGACAATGAACTCCGTCAACGGCCATACGGGTAATCTCAAATATCATTCCACACTTCCAGAAATTAAACAACTCGACAGGATAAGTGCTAGCAGCGGCTGACACAGTGCTAAATAATGGACAGGGAGGAGAAGTCATTGGCCAAAGCTGGGCTAAGCTATTTGCGTTTTGTGTGCATTAAAAAGTTTAACAATGCCTAAACAAAGCACTGAAATAAAAATAAAAAAATTAAAAACGCCCAGAGCAATAACAAATTATCCAAAAACATCGAGCTGTTCAAAACGAATTTTAACACAAAATATGTTACGCTGATGAGTAACGCTCTCTCAATTTTCTCAGAGAGAAACTATTCAGGGTTCCTTTGAATTAAGCACGATTTACTGTGCAGAAGATCGTGCTTAATTTAGACGAGCAGATGGGCATTGGAAGTGAGATCTTTTAAAATCTGGTGTATTTTAAATAAAGAGCGCTCTGTCCGTAAATAAGTGTGGGGTTCACACGAGATGTCACAACGAGATCTAGATAACTCATGAGCGGAACTTCCCCTATGTCGGTATATAGACCATGTCACCCAAGACATCATATCGGCAGGTACGCGACAGGTAGCCCAAACACCTTGCAATTTGTAGATGTTATTTTGCCCAATGCTTTAAACCGATCAAATTTCAAGAGATATAATACATTGCAGAAGAAAAAATAAATCACGTGACCACAACATTTAAATTTTGTAAACAAATGATCATATAACAGCTGGATCATTTCACAAATCTCGGTTGCACCCGTGGTTTCGGCTTTTTCTCTGGCTCCGAATCAATATGACAAAAACCTGTGGTGTTTGAACCGAATGCACAGACTAAGTTTTGGCTCAAAAAGTGGAGCCATAGTTCGCCGGGGTTCTCCAAAGTCATGCATGAATCCTGAGCCTAAAAACGTAGCCGAAGACACAGACAAAAACAAAAAACAAGTCAGAGACGCTTCCTGTAAATGTTTCCTGTAATAAATAAAACAACAGCTTACGACATTAGCTGTCAAATACTCTCCGCTCGTTGGAGATCAGTTCGATAAGAACTTCAGCCAACAACTTAGTGTTGTTTTGATTTCGAAAAACAATTTTTGAAGAAAAAAAATGCTCAGGCGTCTGGGGAAAACAAGCAATGTGCGATCCCAACTCGAGCAGAAGAGATCGTTGCGATATTGTCAACATTGCACGAAGGAGAATGCTTTTAAGGACTGACCGTCAGTGTCCCGTGGACTGTGACTCGCACTCGCTGTGTACTTCTGATTGATTTGTCCTTATCCAGAGGACTGGATCTAAAAATAATAATCCTCTCTAAACTGACCACACATTGGTGTTACACAAGCAAGACCGTCCGCTGAGTGACAGGAAATTAAAGTGTGTTTACTTTTATCAGATGCAATCACTGTGATTGCAAAACAACGCCACCAGACATGACCTCTATTTACTGCACCCCGATTATCTTGGAGCACTGATCATTCTCTACCCTTGCATGCGAGATTGCCTTTACTTAATATGAATCGCAAATAATTAACTTTTTGGGGATTTTTTTTTCTCCGTTTGTTGTAAATTGTGACAAAGGAAGAATTGACTTTCGAGAATTTGTCGTTGGATAGATAATCTTGGCATAGATGAATCGGTTGTTTAGGGTTGTTTTACGCCGCTGTATTTTTTTCACTTGTATAGAAGTAGCTGCGCACAGCATGTTAAGCAGGCGAATTGCCTTTCACTGTACAGTGAACTTTTGGAAACACGATACTGCGGAGGTAATACGAAACAAAACGAATTTTCCAGTAGTACAATGCATCCTAAGAATTCTTTTAAAAAAAGGTTTGCAACAACGATATTCCATCCTCATCCCCGGAGCGATAATACCTATGACCTTTCAAATGCATGGCCGTGAACTGAAATAATAATGATGATGCAGCATGCAACGGCTATCTAAACAATCTTCAATATTGCTGACAATTTCATCTTGATTATAACATTGGCAGCATCCCTCGACGCCGCTTAAAGATGACGGCATTTCCAATTCATTAGAGATCGCAGGGGGGCTGGCTCGACGTTGACTGCACACAACTGATGACTATCGGCCATTCCACAATCGCAGAGCAGTGGAAAATGTTCATTTTATATACGGCAGTGCGGGTGATTTGGGCACGGCCTCCAGAGAGACACAGGAATCGAAATCGATTATAATTCAATTGCCGACTCGCTACACCCATGAATAAATCAAATCGCGCGTCGGAAATCAGCTCTGAGTTAATTGTAACGTAATTGTACAAAAATTGATTATATTTGACAAAGAGTTAACCTGCCTCACACTTGAAGATGAAAAGTGATACCTTTTTGCTAGAATACATTTGAAAAATCCTTGTGCTGACAAGTTCACAGTGGGACCGTGAAGCTCCATGGTGGGACTAAGTTGACTGGATTTAACTTCTTACTCTGACAGGAGTGTTAATCTTCAAAAGACTGAGAACATTACTCTCTTGTCAAATGTCGAATTATCTCTCCATTTAAGACATGCCGTGGACCTGCCAGTGAACAAAGGAAAAGCTCTCTGGAAACTCTATACAATGATTGGTCGCTGATTATCATAATCATCCAGTATAAAACGAAACAAAACACCTGTTGTAACCTTGCCTTGGAGTTATAGGAAAAACAAAGACGGACAGAATTAAAAGCAATTGTGATATTTTTGATAGATTTTCCACTTGTGGTTGAATGCGTTGGTATATAAACAATAATATTTTGCATGCATGCTTCAAGTAGAAGACACACATAGAAAGTGCACAATGGCAAAAGAATGTGTAAATTTTGGACCTTTCTCTTGGGACATCAAATAAATAAATTTCATCATGGACATAATTTTGTTATATAATAAAACTTTCTTTAAACCTCCGTCGTACATTTCTTAAAAATGGTGTCATACTTATGAACATTTTGCTGTTTCAAAACAATCCATACTTTGACCTATTGTCTCAGAGAAGGGGTTTAATACCAACGTATGTAACGATGTTAAACAGGGTGTATCAAAAAGAAGTCCCCAGTTTATGGATTAGCATTATAAAATTATAAACTTGAACGACGCCAGTATGGCTGTATCTGAAAGGATGGTTTGTCACTTATATCAAAATACATGTAGAAGGTAAAATCATCTGTTTTCAGGGTTGCGCTCTGAACAGCCAGATGAGCTGTACGAACAATGCGCCATTGGTTCATAATTTTAACATACTGATCTATTAGTTTTTTTAGTATTACCTTACGCTTTATGTATTTGAGTGTATCACTTAGATTGTTTAACCGTAGGGGATGGAGAGGATGACGAAGACGACAACGAAGATGAAGACGACACGAACAACTACCTCAGTGACGGTGACGATCTCCCAACTAATTACAACTATGCCAGAAGACGAAGCCGAGCTGTCTTATACCACCTCTCTGGACACCTCAAGGAGCCAGAGAAAAGGAGGAGAAGAAAACTGAAACTCAACAGTGTAGGTCTCAGTTTGATATCAACATCGCGAAATAAAAAAAAACATCAATAGGCTTCAATCTTGAGCGCATGAGGGCGCTGTACATTTTGTGGGTTAAGGGTGCAGACCTGCAAATTGACTCCCATAGACCACAGTGATAATTACGCGTACTTTCAAATTATTAAAAATATTCAAAACTCTCAAAGGTGTTTGACACACCCATCAAATGAAAGCTAAGTTCATAATCTTTCATTTTCTGTTCAATTTTTGTCGTTATTTGATCACTTTTGAGAGAGAATTGTGATTTGGTCTGCATAGGCAATTCTGGGCCATTTACAGATGTGCACCCTTAAGATCTGTACCTGTAATCAGGTACAAAATTACCTACGCGGGCCAAATCATGATTTGTATGCCCTCGATTTCTTTGCTGTTAGAGCATTTGTTGGCCATGATATCGAAGGTTTGTAAAAAAAGATCCTAGGAAGCCGTGCAGGCACAGTGCGAGCTCGTATTTCTGTGTGAAGTTCGGATGAAAGTGGGCCCTAAAATTGCTCTATTTTGCAATGGAGCACAGGCATCATTTTTCAAAATGGCGATGGGCCACATGACTACTTTTAGAGGTGATCATCTTTGGATGGAATTTTCTTCCAAAAATTATGGAATTACCACCCAAAAATTGAACAGCAAATGAAAGATGGTGAAATAAGCTTTAATTTGATGGGTGTTCGAAACACGTTGGAGAGTTGTGAGCATTTTTAAATAATTTTTGAAAGTACGCGTAATTATCACTGAGGTCTATGGAAGTCGATTTACAGGTCTGCACGCTTAAATGGTTGCAGGACAGTAAAAAGGTTATGCCCAAGATTGCATACGCTGGCCAAATCACTATTTGCATGCCTGAAATTCTATGCTATTAAAGCATTTTGTGGGCCATGAACTTTAATAAAAAACCGAAGGCTGAAAGCCGTAAACAGGACTGCGAGCTTGTATTTCTGTGAAATTTGGATAAAATTGGGCCCTAAAATAAGGCTCTTTTGGGGGATGGAAATTTCTGCTTATAATCATCGGGTTCCAACCCCCCCCCCCCCCCCCACCCTCAACATAAATAAACTTTTATTTGATTGATGTGTATCACAAATATACCTGAGAGTGATGTGAGTATTTTTTTCGGATTTTTGGAATTGGTGGTATTTATCACTGGTGTCTAAGGCAGCTTATTTACTGCAACCGTGACCATAGGGGAATGAAAGGTTATTCACGCGAGTTAATTACACCTTATTACAATGCAAATATTGCATTACAATATTGTTACAATTGTAATATTTTAAATTTAATTACAGTTACCAAATTGCTTGAATAAGCTAAAATAAATTCCAATGAGGTGATTCTAGGAATTTTTATGTCGCAACTTTGCGTAAATCCTGTGCTGAAAACAGACACCTCAAGCATAGTCCTGCGGGACTTGAACCTTTCACCTGCTGTTTCATTAGCGAAGACACATCAGAAGCACTCCAATCTTGAGGGTGTCCATATCGTCAGGCAGATGTGAGTTCGACAGCTCTAGCCAATGTTTGAGGCAGCTACTCCGCATTTAATGTTTGCATAAATTGACATCACCCCGATGGAGAGTTCCATCTCCTGTTAAGTTGTCGTAGAACTTCGCTTTTCACTTTGTAGTGTCTCGTTCTTTGAAGTACAATGCTACTTCGGAGCCAATATACCTACACTAGTTGGCAGGCTTTCTTGAACACAAGAGTCTCTCTGGGGAAAATTTCGTTTTGCCTTCCTGTTATATTTTAGACTTGCACCTTTACGAGTTTAATGTGTGGTTTGCCTTGACTCATACAAATTATCCCACAGAAAGTGATAATTTAGAAACTGGTGATAAAAAAAATTCGAGATTTTTACACAAAAAGTACAAATACGGTGTATATTCCTGCAAACGTCATTTATATCCCCAAGGGATTTGAGTTGAGGACCAATGCAGTGAAAACTATAAAGAAACGTTTGTGAAGAAATGGAGTCTTTTAGTTGGAGAAAGGTTCAGTCTAACTTTCTGTTTCTGTGAATGGAATCCTCATCGTTTTTCCTTTATTTGCATTCAAAGCAGAGCCTGCTAGCCCCCAAAAGGACAGTCCTTCCCGAGTACAAAGTAGCAGCCATGACGAAATCCAGGTTTATAATACTCCACTACAGCACCTTCAAGTCGATATGGGACTGGCTCGTACTGATAGCAACCCTTTATATAGCTATCGTGGTGCCGTACAACGTAGCTGTAAAACCTCAGAAGCACGTGGTCACCACGATCTTAGACATTATGGTGGAAATTCTCTTTCTTACTGGTAAGTGTAAAACACATTTCTAAACACCTATTTTTTACCTATGGAATTTACACACTTTCCTCTCTTTGTGTCTTTTGTTACCAAATGCCTAAACAAACTTACTGCAAAATATTTACTTGACTGTATTTCTGATCTCACACTTTCATACTGTGCAATAAAAAAATCTAAACATGGCTCAGTTTAAACACGTGAAACTGGGTACGAACAAAATCTAAATTAAAAGCGCAATTTTGCAATGTCAAAAAAGTGTCCAATTGTCCATAAATAAACTGACGGAGCACCTGTGTTGAAAATGTTATTAAAACTGATACCTGTAATATTGTTCCGTTTGACGTTCTTGGGCTTTGTTCCATCATCTAATGTTAAGAAGGTATTCGGTGAGAAACTGCACTGCGGTAGAAATAGGAAAAAAATATTTTCTCGCATTATGTTGACACTACAGTGGGAGGACAATAATCCAAAACATGTTCTTCTTACACTGTGTTCAATTTACGATCAAATTTCACAAGTTCAGGCCAAGGACAAAAACTACGACACAAAACAGCACGAAAAGGTGCAAAAAACCAGGAACTGAATTTAAGTCAAGGAAAATATGTTCATCAACCCCACAAAAATAAGCGCAAACAAAAAAGGAATACATAAAAAGATAAAGGTGATAAAGGCCAACAATCATGGAATTGTCTTGAATGTATAGCTGTGTAACACCTCTTTCCCATTCACAATTTCCGTAACTGATTCTTTACCTTGAACAGATATAGTTATTAATTTTACGACGTCATTTGTCAGCAAGACGGGTGTTGTGATGTATGAGCGGAAGGAAATTGCTCTGCACTATGCAAAAACGTGGTTCTTCATTGATATCCTCGCAGCCGTTCCCTTCGACTTCATTGTTCTAGTGTCCAATGTCGATACGGTAAGACATGTAATGTATTGGAAAAAGCAGTGTGATTAAAATTTAGAATGGTCGCCACTTAGAAATGAATGAATGTCGATTACTCACCTCAATTAGAGAAGAAAGTTCAGTTGACTGACAGGAACACAACGACATATGTTACCCACTCTGCAAAAATGACTCTGTTGTGGCAAAACTCACGTTCTGAGTTAACTATACATTAATGAAATGGGAATGAAATAAGCTTTCATTTGGTGTATATCATGGACCTCAGGCTAGGCCATTTGGTTGCATCGTTGTGCTTGTTTCATTCTGTCACTTTTTTGCAAAGCTAGAAACGTCTCAAAGGAGCAAAAAAGGTTGGAAAAATGATAAATATTGAAATTATGTTATTTCCTCTTGTGGTATTTTATTTGTTCAGGTTGCCACCATTCAGCTGCTGAAGCTGGCCAGGTTATTACGACTTCTCCGCCTCCTACAGAAGATCGAGCGTTACTCACAGTACAGTGCCATTACTCTAACATTCCTGATGCTTGCCTTCGCTTTACTGGCTCACTGGCTGGGATGTGTGTGGTATGGGATCGGAACCATGGAGATTGACTCGCACCAAAACTGGAACCTTGGTATGTAGAGGGAGCTTGCAGTGCCTCTTCCAAATATTCCTCCAAAGGTTTCATTTTGTTGTAAATAAGCCAGAGGTAATAACGGAATGCGTTATATGTTGGTATTATGTACTTTTATAGCTAGCTTGTGAATTAGATATGTATGGTGTTAATATCTTATTTAACATTGTAGATGCTAAAACTGCACATAGAAAAAGATGTAATATGTAATACTACCTTGGGATGCATGTGTATACGTGTAAAATATCATTACGGTCTTTATTCTTAACCGTGAGTTGTGTTTTTTTCGATAAAGGATTTGCAAGACAGGCAATTAGACCTATCTGGTCGTTATAAGATTTTATAGGCTTTGCATGGTGGAGTATCGGTATCGTTTCGGTTTGCGGTAACACCATGTGGTAATAACTGCTGCTTAGAAGATATTTAGTTCTGTAAAAGAACTTGTCCTGCTTATTACATGTATCAACTTTCGCTAAGTATTTTTGTTCTGATAAGAACGGTCCTACTTTAAGTTCTAAGGAAATTGTCTTTGGTCTCGACGTTTCGACTAGACTGCTCTAGTCATCGTCGTTTTAAATACTTTCATACCAAGCAAAACGTCGTCGCTGAGACACATCGCTACACAATTCGGTGACACAAGTGTCTTTTTGGCCGTCCGAGAGAAGCCAGCCCATATTCCGCTTTGTACCTGACTGACTGACTGACTGACTGTAAGATTTGAAACTTGCATGGTGGAAGGTTTGCGGTAACACCATGTGGAGATCTCTTGTGGGAAGATGTATGGTTCTGAAAAGCACCGGTTGGTTGTAAAACTCGACGTTCCGATCAGTATGCTCTGAACTTCGTCAGTTCTCCTGAAGACGATCAGAGCATACTGATTGGAAAGTTGAGTTTTACAACCAACCGGTTCTTTTCAGAACCATACATCTTCCCAGAAGAGATTTCCACATGGTGTTACCACAAACCTTCACTAGTTGACTGTCACTTGTGAATTAGGTTTAAGCCTCACCTTGGCCCAATGGTTTGAAATAGGATTCCCCTTTATGCCAAGGAATGGGCTAAATTCGACCCATTGTGTAGACCACATGCGTGAAAAGACTTTCCGGTAAATAGCCATTCTGAAGACTTCTGCATCTGTATCCGTACAGTCGGCAAAGCATCCAAGGGGGAACATCACACCAACCAAGAGAGAAGACAATGAACAGAAATGGGAGGAAAAGCCAAGAAGACATTCTGGGGAAAAGCCACGGAATCAAGTAGGGACTGAAAACCCCATCCACATATTGACCAAGGCGGGATTCGAACCCGGGTCACAGCGGTGGAAGGCGAGGAAAGTACCGCTAGGCCAACCTGACTCCCCATTCCCCAACTTACTTTGTCTTGTTTATCATATTAGGCTGGATTAACACCCTGGGAGAGGATCTGCACACACCCATCACAAACAACGGGTCAGAGGGTGGCCCAAGGAATGAGAGTAAATACATTACGTCGTTGTACTTCACACTAAGTAGCCTTACAAGTGTCGGCTTTGGAAATGTCTCTGCGAACACAGACATCGAGAAAATCTTCACAATTATTGTCATGCTCATAGGAGGTAAGCGAGAAGAAAGAACCCTCAAACCTCTGTGATCAGTTCACAGGGATTAGGAACAGGTTTAGCCCTTTCTGAAGATCTACCTTGAACATTGCAGTGATGTAGTCCTTTTTCCGATGGATTGGATGGATTTGATTAAAGTGAATGATTTGTAAAAAAACAAACATGTTTAGCGTCCCTGCCCGCTTGCTTTTTGGAGGCCGCCTCCTTTTTCTTTCTTTCTTTTTTAAACCGAAAAAATTATAAATTTTAAACAGTGACATCTGTTTAAGTGACATCAGTGTCATTTCCTGAGTCCAATGGCGGCCATTTATGGCGGCCATTTAAAAAAAAAAAACCTGGCGGCCATCTTGAAAAATAGCCCGGTCGGGCGGCCATTTTGAAGGGCAAAAAGGGCCTCCCGCTTCCTTTTTTTTAAAAAGGCAGGACGCTAAACATGTTTTTTTTTTGCCTTAAAGTAAATGACCAAATAATTTCAATATTTTGACTTTTGACATTCAACACAGTAATTGGATTTTATGGTATCATTTACTTGAGGAATAAAAGTTCTTTAAAAATTCTGAAGAAGGTCTCGGTGACATTTTGGCTCTAAAAACCAACCTCGTCACCTGGACTTACTTTAATTTCAGACTCGTTTCTAATAGTATCCCCTGGGCGCTTGCCCCCCCCCCCCCAAATCCCTGGAAAAGCAAGATAACAAAAAAAGGAGAACAAAAGGGGGAAAAGAAAGAAAAAGAGGCGCGAAGTCATATTGCGTTTATGGGGGCAAATGTCCCTGCCCAGCCTCGAAAAATGATATATCGAGAATATGCTGGAAAAGTACTGGGGTTTCGGGGGGAACATGTGCTTTGCCCCCCCCCCCCCTAGAAAAATCCTGGCGATGCCCATGACAATCTTCTTTCATGAAGGCTCTACCACACATAAAATACCATAAATTCCCTTTTATATCGTTTTTTTAATCTCTGTGACTGTCATTTGAGTCATTAAATACAAACGCTTTAAACACATTCCTTTTTTTTTTTTACCAACCAGCTCTGTGCCACGCGGCAGTATTTGGTAACGTGACAGCGATTGTGCAGAGAATGTACTCGAAGCGGGCACTCTACCATCTCAAGTTGAGAGATCTTAAAGACTTTGTACGTTCACATCACATTCCGGCAGATCTCAAGACGAGGATGAATGAGTACTTTAACACGTCGTGGTCGAACAACATGGGTATCGATACCATGGAGGTAGGTGGTTGGTTTTACACTGCTACGATAAACTCGTCACACATGTTGGGGCATTTTGACCCTCGTTAGTTTATGAACCAAATGTAACAGATCGGCCCATCGATGTGTGCACACTACGTCTATATTATAACAAATTGTATCAGTATACCAGTGGAGTGGTAACAGTGTTGATATGTACCTTATTGCATGTCGGAACCAGTTTTGTTGGAAACTTAATAAGAGAGCAGTGGCGTCATTGTACCGAATGTGTCGTGCTGCCAAAGAACCAGGTTGTTATGCGTCTAGAATACATGCAGTGCCTTGTGTACCGTCCTTGTGCCGTGTGTGTCGTCATTGTACAGCAGACGCTGTCCTTGGGTTCGGATACCGTCGTAGTGCCTTGTGTACCGTCCTTGTGCCGTGTTTGTTGTCATTGTACATCGTATGCTGTCCTTAGGTTCGGATATCGTCATAGTGCCGTGTGTGATATCCTTGTGCCATGTATGTTTTCATTGTACAGTGGATGCTGTCCTTAGGTTCGAAATATCGTCATAGTGACTTGTGTACCGTCCTTGTGCCGTGTGCCGTGTGTGTTGTCATTGTACATCGTAAGCTGTCCTTAGGTTCGGATATCGTCATAGTGCCTTGTGTACTGTCCTTGTGGCGTGTATGCTGTCATTGTAGAGTGTATGCTGTCGTCAGGTAGGTTCGGATACCGTCGTAGTGCCTTGTGTACCGTCCTTGTGCCGTGTATGTCATCGTTGTACACTGTATGCTGTCCTTAGGTTCGGATATCGTCATAGTGCCGTGTGTGATATCCTTGTGCCATGTATGTTTTCATTGTACAGTGGATGCTGTCCTTAGGTTCGAAATATCGTCATAGTGCCTTGTGTACTGTCTTTATGCTGAGTTTGTTGTTATGCCATCATCCAGCGTTTGATGTCCTTGGGCCCGAATACTGTCATAGTGCCTCAGGGAATGTCGTAGTACTTTATATGCTGTCACTGCGCAACGTATGCTGTATCTTTACGTATATTTTGTCACTATGCCTTGCGTACTTAAGGTGCCGCCTGGTGTCAGTTCTGTGTCAAATGTCAGTTACTGTGTCATTTTGCCAACTCAATATGCATTCGTTTCCCACATTTCTACAGAAGAAACGTACCCGAACTTTGCATTATCAACGTGTACTTGGTACCATGTAGGCCTGATTCACTTAATTCAGTATTATACAGTTTGGTGAAAATAGTTTTTGTAGTTATAGTTCGATGCTTTTGATAAACTTGATCATACGGTGGTTGATTTCAGATGTTACTTCGGTTTCCCGAGGAGTTGAGAGCCGATGTCACAATGCACCTTCACAAAGAGTTCTTACAATTACCAATATTTGGTGAGGCTAGCCAAGGATGCCTTAGGTAAAATAAGTCCCGGAATTACAGCTGAAATATTAATGAGTATAGGAATCAAAATAAAAATCGATTACGTCTCTTCAATAATTAATCTCTGCACATTGATTGCCTGAGAAATAGGTGGTTTTTTTGTCGATACAGTGTTTTTTCTTTTAGATGAAATGGAAATAAATCTGCCATGTTGTTATAAAGCTGTACTATCCTTGTTTTTTTTCCAAAACATTTTATTGAAACATTTGGTTTCGAGTGTTATTTTGTTTTTAGAAAATATAAAAGTTATTCACTTTTGAATGAGACATCGAATATTTAGTTGTGGAATAAAAATTTCTAAAACAAATGAATTATTTTCCGCCAGGCAGTGATTCAGTTCATGATCGTCGCCAGAATTTTTTTCCGGGGGGGGGGGCAAAGCAAATTTTTCCCTTAAATTCCTTAACTTTTTCATTATATTCCCAATTATCATTTTTCCGAGCGTGAGCAGAGGAGCATTTGCCCTTACCCCCTCCCCGCCCCCATCAAATTAATAACGATATGGCTTCGCACATCTTTTTCCCTTTTTTTATTTTCCTTTTTTTCGTTTTCGACGCCCATGATTCAGTTCTGCATGGTGGACTGGTTGCCGCCTCATTAGGATCGATAATGTAGGGATTGAGAACCAGTCTACTCTCAAGGCGAATTTGTTTTATACAAAACAGAGGTGGCAGAAGAAAGACAGAACCTTTTTAAAGTGATGTTCACAAGAATGAAATACTTTTTTTCTTTCTTGCCAGGTCGCTGTCTCTTAGGGTCAAGACAGGTTTCTGTGCGCCTGGCGAGTACATCTTACATCAGGGAGACTCCTTAAATTCTTTATATTTCCTTCTCAACGGTTCAATGGAAATCTTAAGACAGGGAATGGTGGTTGCAATCATAGGTGAGTATCTATGAAATACTTTCAATATTTGTCTATTTAAAATCTTAATAAAAACAACATTTAACAAGTTCGAAATGATCTTGGTAGCTGTGGGCCAATGAGTTTGTGTTCATGCATATGCCCTGTGATTGTGCCATGTAAATTCACAATGCAAACTAAAAGTGACCTCGATAATGTAACTCTATCCTCCCTCACTGGAGACCCATTAACGTGACACAGGGCCTCTGTTCATCTCAGGCAGGAGTTGGCTAAGGTGATGTATAGTGCACAGGTTTGCATTCCAACGTCTGTTACGAACGAACGAACGAACGACCGAACTAACTAACGTAGAGACAGGAGGACTTGTTCATCTCAGGCAGGAGTTGGCCAAGGTGATGCATAGTGCACAGGTGTGCATTCCAACGTCTGTTACGAACGAACGAACGACCGAACTAACTAACGTAGAGACAGGAGGACTTGTTCATCTCAGGCAAGAGTTGGCCAAGGTGATGCATAGTGCACAGGTGTGCATTCCAACGTCTGTTACGAACGAACGAACGACCGAACTAACTAACGTAGAGACAGGAGGACTTGTTCATCTCGGGCAGGAGTGGCCAAGGTGATGCATAGTGCACAGGAGTGCATTCCAACGTCTGTTACGAACGAACGAACGACGGAACTAACTAACGTAGAGACAGGAGGACTTGTTCATCTCGGGCAGGAGTTGGCCACGGTGATGCATAGTGCACAGGTGTGCATTCAAACGTCTGTTACGAACGAACGAACGACCGAACTTACTAACGTAGAGACAGGAGGACTTGTTCATCTCAGGCAGGAGTTGGCCAAGGTGATGTATAGTGCATATGATTCTACCGTCTGTTACGAACGGGCGTACGAACGAACTAACTAACTATCTATCTAACTGAGAGACAGGACGACTTGTTGGGCTGCTTTTCGCAGCTAAAAAGTACAATTTACCAGAAATTTATAATTACGATAATGAACCGTGGCTGTCTATGAATAAGCTGCCATTCTGATCCCAATTTATTACAAATATCAATTAAGGATATAACGAAAGAAAGTCATTCAAAAATCAGATAATATTAAAAAGTAGCGATGGAAGGCACGTTAAATAGGAGAGAAAAACAAAAGACAAAGAAACAACAAAACAGGCGTGCAGAAAGGCAGACATGCAGCTGGACGGACGAAGAGTTGGACAAACAAGTGAAACAACAAAGGAACATTCTGTTCTTGTTTTCAGTTAGTCTAGTGACATAACGAAATTGGTACATGTCCTTTTCCATCCTCTGTAGAGCTAAACTAAACACATTGGTTCAATATGTTTGTGTACGGACGAAGCAATCTCTGTATTATTTTGCTCAACGGGGATGCACTGCTGTACAATACCTTTGCGATCTGTAGCTGGAAATCACAAAGTGCAAAAAGTATCAGAAATGTGTGTAAAAACAAACCAGGCCTACATTTTTATAGGGGCAAATAGAAAATGCAAAGTTAAGCTTTATTTCCATTGCTATTGCAGGGAAGGGTGATTTGTTTGGATGTGATCTTTATGACACGGAAACATTAATTCAGAGTAGTGGAGACGTCCATGCACTAACCTACTGTGATTTGATGCTGGTATCAAGGTAGGTATTCTTAATGGTTCGAAATGATATTCTGTCAGTGTCTTCCCTTATGTTTTCCCATAAGTAAACTGCCAATGGAGCTAAAATGAAGTGTTTTGAGGTATTTAAATACATACGTTTTAATTTCATATTACTATCCGCCATATTATTATCCGCCGTCAGTAACACCTTTGCTTATGCGAATTGACTTTAGCTTCCATGGACGCATGTGTTATAGAGCATGCAAGTCTCGCCAGTTCGTGTGGACGTCTTGGTGCCAAACACCAAAAAGTCTAGTCGCAGACCCCGTTTGATCGGTTAAAGGGAAGTTGAAGTCAACATTTTGAATTGTATAAAGTCATCAATTCGCAATATTTTCAATATTATGTTGTTAATTGAAATGCTTTTCTTTCGATGATTCCATTTTACCGCCCTTGATTGGATGGGCGTGGTTTAGTCAGGACACAAAATAAATGCCAAAAAGTAGGACGTTATACACGTTGTAGTTCATATATGTGCTGTATTCTCGTAAAATCTCGCAAGTTTCTGAGGTCAACTTACATGCTAAATTGCCAACCATACGTAGCCAAGTAATGAGAGGCTTTTGAGACGTTTGGTGGCAGCAAACACATCGGTCCTTTTCTATTGTTTGCAACATTTTGAACATGCGCACATAGCTAAAACATGACGTACTTAAAAAGGACTTCTTGCTGCCACCAATCGTCTCAAAAGTTTCCCATTCAGACGCAATCATACTATCCTCACTAGCCCGATGCATTTAATAAGCAGTAATTTATGCAACTCTTCTAGATTGTGATCTTCTATCACTGTGCCGTATTAAACTATCAGATAACTAGGTCACGACTGTCTTGCGCTTTATCCCTATTTTCCAGACATGAACTACAAGAAGTACTGAACAACTATCCAGAGTACATGTCCAAGTTCAAGGACGAGATTTCCAGAGACCTCACATTTAATTTGAGGGAAGGCTCCGATCAAGATGTAAGCATTCTGCCGCTAGTCTCCCGCTCAAGCTGTTTATACGAGTAGTCATGCTTTAAATGTCAAAGGCAGTAGCAAGAGGTTTGCATGTGACTTGAACACTTTTGGCGGAAAAGCCAATTTGTTGCGATGCCCTTTTTACAGGGTTTCAGTTAGGATGTGTCTGACATCTCAAACAAATTTAGCAGCCTTGAGGTGGCTTAAAGAGTTTCAATGAAGCTCAGATTGCTGGTTTCACCGACGCAGACAACAAAATTGTCTCTTCAACTGAAACGATAAAAACTCCACTTGAAGAGACTGTTTGGGAGCAAGGGCGGATCCGGAGGGCCAAAGGGGGCCATGCCCCCCCCCCAAAAAAAAAAACACAAAACGAATCCATTTTTTTAAGTGACCTGGCTATAAAGGCAGGCAATGAGTACACCACCATCTTTTCCTCAAAAAAACATTTGTTAAAGTGGTCAGAAATTGCCTCAGATCGCAGCACAGAGCATCTAGAATTCTAAAAAAAATTCGGGGCCCTTAAGTGGGCCCCGAACCCCACGCCGTAAGATTTTTGGACACACTTTTTGGGGACCAAAACTTTTTGTTGCCCCCCCCCAAAAAAAAGAATTGTGTTCTGGATCCGCCCTTGCTTGGGAGGCACGGTGTAATTCAAGTATATACTCTGAAAATAGCAAGCTATATTTAACGTTGAATGCCAGCGACGTTTGAAGACGAACTTATAACCAAATTTAATAACCGGTTGAAGTTGTTGCTTAAGATGTTCTTGTCCATCTACAGCAGTTGAATCAAGCATAAGCTTGCTCGAGAGAGGGAACTTATATCTTAAAGATATATACTGTCCTGCTGTTTTCCAGTCTTATTTTGAAGAAGTAGATTTCTTTTAACTTGCTGGGTTTTTTAAGCAATACATAGGTTATACAGGGCGACCCCCAAAAAATGCAACCCTGAAACATTAAGATTTGCCTTTTTTCAAAAACGTGATCTGTGAATTGTTATGTTTTGGGGTAACAGATTCAAGCTGGGAGCTTGTTCAAATTCATGAAAATAGCTCATTGTGTTGCTGAGTAAATGCCAATTATGTGACTCTGGTCCATTCCAATGGCATTACCAATGGCATTGTGTCCTAATCCTTACAAACAACACGGCAAATAATATGACAAGAGAACAAATGAATTCGATAAAAATACCTTTTGTTTTCCAACTGAACACGTATCTTATCCTTTTACTAGTCCTATTTTAAACCTTTTCAGCATCATGAATGTAAAAATATTAAAGATATTGCCCAAAATGAAAGACAATTGCACAGTGGGCTTCCAGTACAATGTTTCACTGATTAAAGCACCATTGGGTGAAAAGGATGAAAAAAATCACTTCTTTTACATAATTAGCATTTTCTCAGGAACCCAATGTGCTATTTTCATGATTTCTTCAGTGTTTGAAAGAAACAGCTCTCAGCTTGAATCTGATACACAAAACATAACAATTCACAAATCACGTTTTTGAAAAAAAGGCATATGTTTCAGGGTTGCATTTGGGGGGGGGGGTTACACCCTGTATAATTTCGAATGAGACATCGAAGGAAACAAAAACAAAATCGATCCACTTTCAGCATTTGAATAATTACTTCACTAGTTTTGAATTTCTCACAGGGAAGAGTGGTTTCGGCCCAGATTTGATAATAGGACGGGAAATAGACGGCACATATCACTGACAAATGTAACGTGATATGTGCGACTCACTTCTGGCATTTTCTCGAAGTAGCGCTAAGCCCATAGCTATTACACACGGGTAGCGTCACTTCGTGAAAACTCGAACACAGCGTTGTCTTTTCTTTCTTTTTAGTTTTCACGAAGTGTACTTATGATTAATTAGTTTGATAATTCATTAATTGTTATTTGTTCAATAAACATCATACATTAACGTGTGATTCAAGATTCCAGCTTTCAGACAATGCAAAAAAAAAAAGAATTTTGAGGCTAAAACGATATCCAAACCACCGTTTCAAAACATCGTCCACTTAAATCGCTGGTATCTCGAAACACACATTCACATCTACGGGGGTTAATGTCACTTCGTAATGACGACGACAAATATGGCGGATCTATTTGTACGCAATGGGGAAACACAAAATAAAAAAAATTAGAGGTTTTAATATAGACGTGAAAATAATACACTTAAAAGTCAAAATTTGCTTGGAGAAAACCGAATTTGTTGAAGAGCATGGACTTTCATACTTGTTTAATATGTTCACTTACATCTAAGGCAGATGAATCGACAAGATGGTACTTTTAACTAAACTTCAACATTAATGTTATCGTTCATAAGCAGCCGGATCCTTTTCAAGCTGAGTACGACGACAGTCGCCCATCCCGCTTGACTTCCATCTCTGAGCTGAACGACGAAGAAGACGAGGAGGCTGCGCTGGCAGAGAAAGCCAAAGACGTGGAGAACCGAAGCGTTGGCACGGAAACCATCGAGATGATGCCTCTAGACAGGAGCAAACACATGTTGCTAGATGTCAGTAACTCGGTGAACAGTGGGGTGCCACCGGATTTAAGCCCCAGGTAAACATCTAAGTCTACAGCGCTGCTCTTTCAAGACAGAACTACACTGTTAAAAGTCCTGGGTCACATTTTGACCCATAATTCGGTCCCCATGGGGCCTGACACCTTTCCGGGTCGAAATGACACTTCTTTGACTCACTTTTCGGGCCATTTTGACCGGAAGAGTGTAATTTTGACCGGGAAAAAGTATCATTTTTTTACCCGGAAAAGTGTCAGACCCCAAAGGACCCGGATTCCCGGTCAAATCTGACCGGGGAATGTTTAGAGTGTATCTTAAACATAACGTTGACTCGGACAGGTCACTTTTGCAATGACTATGCAGTATCTAAAATGTAGCCCCAACCCTGTACATAATTCTGACCTAAATATATTCCTAAAAGCCTGTACTTTGTAATAAGAGATCCAGCTGTAGCCCCAAACTTATGCTTAAATGTAACCTTTAATGTGTCACCCTGTACCTTAATGTAGCCCCAACTCTGTACATAATGTAACCTAAATAATTTATATTCCTAAAACCCCGTACCTAAATGTATCCCAAGACCTGAATGTAGCCCCAACCCTGTACCTATGTAACCTAAATACTTTGTATTCCTAAAACCCCGTACATAAATGTAGCCCAAGACCTAAATGTAGCCCCAAACCTGAACTTAAATGTCGCCTAAATGCAATCCGAAAACCCTGTACCTAAATGTAGCTAATGTATTGCGAAAACCCTGTACCTAGATGTACCCGGCACCTATGTAGCCCCCACTGCCCTATACATAAATGTAGCAAAATGTAATCCCGAACCTTAATGTAGTCCCCAATCTTAATGTAGTCCCCAATCTTGTAGGCCTTCCTAAATGTAGCCTAATTGTATTACCAAAACCCTGTATGCAAAGGTAGCCCAAGACCTAAATGTAGCCCCCAACCATGAACCTTAATGCAGCAACATGTATTCTCGAAACCCTCTTCCTCAATATAGCCAGAGACAATTCTCTTTTGGGGGTGGCCAAAAACAGTTTGTCTCCCATAAGTGGGTCAACAAAATTACAGCGTGGGGTTCGGGGCCGATCGAGGGCCCATGCTCTGTTGTGCGATCTGAGGCAATTTCTGACCACTTTAACCGAATTTGTCGAGGAAAGGATGGTGATGTACGCTGCCTTTATTGCGACGTCACTTTAAAAAAAAAAGATTGGGTTCGTTTTTTTAGGGGAGGCATGGCCCCCGTTGCCCCCCCTCCCTGATTCGCCCTTGCAGAGAGGCAGCCCCGACACTTTACCTAACGCCCGAGCCCAAAATGCACCTAAAATGTAGTCCAAGCCAGTGTTGTAGGTCTCGAGACCGGTCTCGGTCTCGAGACCGGTCTCGAGACCACTTTTTGCTGGTCTCGGTCTCGGTCTCGGTCTCGGAAGCAGTGGTCTCGGTCTTGGTCTCGGTCTCGGTCCCCTTTGGTCTCGATATTTTGGCTGGTCTCGGGTCGAGACCGGCAATATGTAGCTTTTACAGCTCGATCGATTACTTTGTGTTCACTTCGTTCAGTACCGTTGTTAGTTAAAACATTTGCTAGCCCGTAGATCGATCAAGCTTGTTATATATCGTGGTCGGTTTGCCGGACTCGACTGCACGTTGGAAAGTCCCCAAAGTACATGTAAAGCTGCAGCAGTACCAGTCACTGAACGATTTGGAGCAAGTTCGGCATTTATCTGTTGAGTCGGACACATAAAGCAAAGTATGAACTTGTAACAATTTATGCAATAAGGGTCAACCATTTTCGGGGATTGTGTAGTTTAGCCCACCCCTGTGGGCGTAATCACTTGCATTTTGTATTCTAATAATAAATGAGGTGCTTCAAATTAGTTATATTTTCGCCCCCACACAATGTTCTCTTTAATTTGGGACAGTATTTTGAAGAAAAAGTAAATTTTTCTACCTGATTTTCCAGCATTGAACTCACACACTCTTACCAGTTACCACTCACTGTTGCCATGAGAGTGTATGATGAGACCCCATTTTCTGGCCGCTCATTTTGAAGTACCCCATTATTCCTCAAAAATTAAAATCCCGTTCAGAAAAAAAAATAAAAATCCATATCTGGCACATTCTGGCTACCACCTCGCAACTTGTGGGTCTACATGTACAAGTCCACATTCTATGACAGAAAATTAAAAATTAATTCAACATTTTCTAGCTCCCATTTTTTAAAATCAAGTACACAAGTCTTGTTAGAAGTTACATGTAAGTCCTATTTTTATTTTAGGAAAAAAGAGGCACAATGTAAAATTAAAATTGCATCTTTAAATATCCGTTAGAAGTCATAGCTGAAACCAAGGGGTGACTGTGGAGTTTAGGATCCGAGTTCCTATAACAGATGAAACATCTACCTTTAACTTTTTATTTTTGTCACGATTGGGTGCAGACAACATGTCAAAGCCCATATTTCTTAAGTGTAACTACTTTTTGCTCAAGTAAGGTGTCATGTATCAATTTGTCAACACTGCCACTGGTCAACATTTTGGTCTGTATTCTTTGTGAATAGAAGGGTTACATTTTTCAACTATAATAACGTGTCTTGTTTTTTTTATTTCGACTATTGTTATTTATTATCAGCGGTCTCGGTCTCGGTCTCGGTCTCGGACCACATTGGTCTCGGTCTCGGTCCGCCTTGAAGGGGCTGGTCTCGGTCTCGGTCTCGGTCTCGGTCTCGAATCTTCAGGTCTCGGTCTTGGTCTCGGTCTCGGACTATCCGGTCTCGACTACAACACTGGTCCAAGCTATTAATGTAGCCCCACCCTGTAGGCCGAGTGCTGAGCATCCCCAGTGCCATACCTAGCTTGATGCAGCCTGGACCTAATTTGGCCCCATAACCCTGTACCTATAGCCAAATTCCTAATGAAAGCTCAAACTCTGTACCTAAACGCATCAAAATGTAACCCCAATCTAACACCTTGGCACGTGCAAATTGACAAAACTACGCAGTTCACTCTAGGCGGCTTTAAATTCTTACGAAAACCGGCTAGGACCTCTTTGACTGTATTGTGTACAAAGCAACCTACTAACGATAAACCAATCTTTCTATACACCGTATACATTTCAAATCCGTAATCCTTTTTTTCTCTTCCATTTATTGTTTGCATCGATCTCTTCCAGGGTTGTAGATGGAGTCGAGGATAACGCCAACCAGTACAAGCGAGAGCATCGGTTTGATTTCCCCATAAACGCCCACCAACAAGCTTCCAGACATCATAGCCTCACCATGGCACCTAAACAAAGACTTTCCAATCATTATAACTTGGGCATGAGACAGAGTTTCACATCGCCCCAGTTAGCGCATGGTACGCATATCATGCCATTACGGACTACAGAGTTTTGTTAATGCCTTACGAAATTATATATAATTATATACACTATAAAGACATCCGGATCAGATTGACCCCGAAACCGGGTTGTATTTGACTCAACACTTTTCGAGTCATACACTTTTTTCTTTTCCGAAATGACACTTGTTGACATCGTGCAATGAAAAACAATTCTATATTTAGTTTTGTGCCATGGTATATCCTTAGTACTGCCACGTAACATTAATAACTGAAGATAATATGGTAATTTTAAATATAATTGCAAAAAAATGACACTTTTTCGGGTCCAAATAAGACCCGGGTCATGACCCGAAAAACTGCCACTTTGACCCGGAAAAGTGTCATTTTTGACCCGGAAAAGGGTTGAGCCAAATAGAATCCGGATTCCGGGTCAATCTGACCCGAATATTTTTAGTGTGTACCCCTTGCATAGTTGGGGGCAGTGTTTTTGTTACTTAAATTCGGTGACGGAAAATTATATCTATACTCATGCGTATCACGGAAGAACAAAGGCCTGCCCTCAATGTGACGTCGGATTTGGGGACCTAAAGGTTTATTATGGTTAAGTTCGATTGGTTAATTGTTCTTCTACATGAAATGAGATTGTATTCACGTACGACTGTATACCTAAATGTCGACCTTTAAAAGGACAAGAAATATCCATACACTATCCACCATAGCCAATTGTTCTTCTACATGTAGATTGTAAGCCGGTATGACTGTACCTAGTGTAGCCCGTGACCTAACTGTAGCTCCAACTCTTCCAACTCTAACCTAAATATAACCTAAAACGTATGCCCAACACCCTGTACCCAAATGTAGCCCGAGACCTAAATGTAGCCCCAACACTGTACCTCAATGTAGTTAAATGTATTCCCAAAACCTGTTAGACCTCAATGTACCCCAACCCTCTACCTAAAGCCCGATCCGAAAATAAACCTAACTGTAGTCCAAGCTATGAATGTAGCCCCCACCCTGTAGCCCTAGTGCTGAGGACACAGTCAACCGAAACAGTAATCAGTTCTTCTTCTCCATGTATAAATGAGACTGTAAGCATATACAACTTAACGGATATGTCGTTGGACGTAAAACGTACGTGAACGAAACTATTGAGAATGCAGACACGCTGAAAATAATATGTACAGTTGCAGGGTATTAAGAAATACCCAATGATTACTTTTTTTAAGAGGTTACATTTCAAATTCAATTCAGAGCACTTTCTGTCTGCGCTATGAATGCTTCCATGCCGTTATTTCAGAAAACTTTGGAACACAGATGGCAATGTTGCGTCTAATGTGTTTGTCCTCCTTCAGTTTCTCGTTCCAGATCAGTGTCTTCGGAGTCCATTTGTACGGAGGACCTCAAACACGAGATTGAATACACGAGAAACAGTGTAGAGAGACTCGATCGACAGGTGAGATTGAGAAATAACATGAAGTACACTCAAGACTTAGTCCCTGGTCAGATTGACCCAGAATGACACGGAAAATGTTCCACAGCAGTGTCAGTTTGACTCTGAAACCTTGGCAAATTAGTCATTTTGACACGGAAAAAGTGCCATTTTTTGACCCTGAAAAGTATTAAGCCAAACAGAATCCATATTCCGTGTCAAATCTGCAAAAGTGCTTATATTTTAGAGTGTATATACCTATGCTTCCCCATCCCCTATCCATTGCATGGCACCAATTAAACAGACACATACGCGCAGAAAGACAAATTAAATTTTCTAATTGTTAAATTTCTGGATGGCATTATACACGCAGGTATCCAATCTTAGCAAAGATGTATCCAACCTCAGCCAAGACCTGAAGGCAGTTGTGCGACTCCTTCAGGTCATCTCTCCGGGCAACACGTCGACTTGCAACCCCAGCGGAGTCAACAACGGGCCCCACTCCAGTCCTGTGCGCAGTCCCAACAGCTTCGGCCCCAAGTTGAAACCGGCTGCCAAGGAGACCCGCTTCGAAGACATCGTCCACGTGCAGAGAAGAGACGGTGTCCTGGAGACGAGTCTAGGCAGCGGGATTCTTGAGACAAACTTGAGCAGTGGCCTTACAGGTAGCACAAGCAGTATTCCAAAATTCCCATCGTCGACGTCTCTACAGTCGCTAACGGGAGCAACAGCCAAGCCAGAAGGACCTATGAGGGAGACAAACATTATCCTGTTCCAGGACCCCGAGCCGTCAGAGCAAGCCAAAGACGGCAAAAAGGACCTCTTTGACTTTGACTCTGAGAACGGTACTGATTTGTGACAGTGAAACTCCTATGGATACTTCCAAAGTGTTACCTTCATTTTCGAGTTCCAAACTCTGTAAGGCATTTCCTACACGATTTCGAAATCTTTTTAATTGTGCTGTTGTGCCGTTTGTCGGTCTGTATATCAATGATTGAGGTTGGGAAAGGATGTCTTAGGATAAGCCCAAATTCAGTCCAACCAAAACGTATTCAACGATTTCAAGACCTAAATATCTTTAATTGCCGAGTCACAAGTCGCTGGAGCTTCTGTGGAGTAACTGACCTTTTAACAAATCTTACACAAATGAAATCAAAAGGACCAGTTAACTCTCTCAACCACATGTCTGTATAAGATGTCAAACTGGATACATCAAAATGAAAAGAAACATTAATGTGCTTCCCACAGCATGTGAACAACTAATTATCCCTAGGGCTCATTTCGTGTGATGTGTTCACACCCTCCACAAAATCTTTAAAAAAATACTATTTACCTTTATGATATAAAATAAATATGATTTTAACCATAATTAGCTAACTTGCACGATCCACTCCACTGAAATATAACAAAAGCAGGTAAACAGTTGACTTTCTAGAGTGAGTGAAACTAGATCAAATTTGGAAAGAAAAAAATAAAAACATTCCAGTTATTGTGTGTGCAGCATTTTTATCTTTATGTATACCTCATTTAAGAAGGGGCTGTTGGTGCAAACATGTACACAATTTAGAGCTTGTTGTCATTCATTACTTAGCAGTAGTCACAAGCTTCAAACTCGTTAACTCTATCTCACTTGTCTATTAGTATTATGAATGTTTATGAGTGCAATGGTAAGAATAATTTCATGAATGTTTCATTCTCCGAGGCGAAGCCGAGTTGCATGGAACATTCCATCTGTCACCGAATGAAATTCTTTTCATTGCACGAATGTGAAACATTCATTATTTGTTTTATACAACACCAGATTAAATCCTCGTCATCTGATTGGTCAGAGCCACCAATCATGTGACAGTGCAGTGGAACTTCTATTTACCGTGGTATGGATCGTCTGTTTTTGCGGTGCGGCCGGGCCGTGGGTTGGTACGCATAATTCAATTACACGTGATTAACGACCAACCAATCAGATGACAGGGACTTATTCAGGCGTTGTTTAATACAGATGACACACACAACACTATTGTGCAAATTGCATTAATTATTTAATGACATTAATACTGTCGGAATTAACTCCGTTAATTTTCCAATTTTTTCACTACACACTTTCATTCATTTAACACCCACCTCATTTTTTTTCTGGATTTCTCTCCATCCAAATAAATTTCCAGTTTTCGTATTTTGGGTGTTAAAAGGATGATTTTTCTTCCATCAGTCGTGTGCAATCTGTTATTTACTTTAGATCCATGCGATCATTTTCTCTAGGTAAAATCAATTCCAAATTGCAGACTCATTTTCCTATCATACACATTGTTGTTTATACTTAACCTTGATATTAGCATAAAACTATGCGTCCTTCCTATTTTTTTCTGTTTGGTATACTATTTTCAAATCGATTTGAATCATATATAATGATTTACTATAAATAATGCATTGTAGGATTTATGTTATTATTATGTTATTGGACCTAAAGTTTATACAATGTACTTTCCAATTTTTTTTTTTTTTTGGCTCGGAGGCATATTTACTGATTTATCGTTGAATCTCCTTCCTGTTATTACACCGATTTAAAAAAAGAAAGAAGAAGAAGTAATTATAAGAAAAGTTCCAATTTTATTTCTTATGAAAGAAATGAATGTCTTTCCTTAAATGATATTACGTGGGCTGTTAATTGTTTGCAATTTTGCAATTATATTTAATATTACCGTATTATCTTCAGTTATTAATGTTACCGTGGCAGTACTAAGGATATACCATGGCACAAAACTAAATATAACTTGTTTTTCATTGCAAGATGTCAACAATTGTCAAATTGTGATTGAAATGCTTTGGGTTGTCGCAATATTTGTTTGTCAGTCTGTTTGTTTGCTTGTTTATCCATCAGAAAGCATAAATATTTGTTAAAATCATTTTTATTTATTTATTGCGCGCTATTGTTAATACGAATGTAGGAAATCTAATGTACAGATATTTCATACTTTCATTTATAACATTCATATTTTGTACATTTGTTCATATTTTGGGTTTTATATATATTTCAGTCATGTAAAGAACAAACGAATGCTTCATGTATACACTGTTATTTTTCTCTCGAATATGTAAATGATGTAAATTGTATATACGACTTGCCAATATTTATTCTTACTTCACACGATATTATGCTATTATTACTAGTAAACATACAGCAAAGAATAAATCAACAACAATGGGCATAACTGATGCCTTTTGAAGATGAACCAACAAGTCTCTTTTTTACATTTTGAGTTTTAATATTTTATTGTCTTTTGTTACCAAAAAACCCCAACTAATTTACAGAACCATGATATTTCTGTAATTGTACAACTTAGACGTACCAGTGTCAGTGTTCTTAGTGTGATACATGGTGTCTAAAAAACCGAATCCTCAAAACTCCCTCTTTTTCACAGCTTTTATAGTTCATTTGCTTTTCAACAACGAAAACATCTTTCCAATCGGGTAAATATTTATTGAGTTATGGACAATTTCAAATTTTTAGTTGCTGTGATATTCTTGAGTGAATTTTACCGACTCAACCAGAACCAGAAAATAAGTGCCGATTTTTTCAATCTGTCCACGGTCTCAATTGTCTTTTTTTATGTAATGGATTTGGGGTGAGGGTAGTTTTGCTTTCTTTAATGTTTTAATCTTTCTTTCTTTCTTTTTTTTTTTTTTTTTGGGGGGGGGGCAACAATGGTCACTTATTCTTTTGAAAGTAATGGTAGTCCTGAAAAGGACTGTTTGGTTAACTTCTTGGATGTTTACTGTGCTGCTCTGTCTCTGCCCTCTACTTGGTAGCCCTTTTTCACAAATGCACAAATTAATGCAGGTTTCGGACCGTGTTCTTTTTGCGGCAGTCAAAATATCAGTCCCCGTGGACAAAACGAAAAAGCGATACTTGTATTTCAATATTTCCCCGATTGGAAAGATTTTTTCGGTGTTGAAAAGCTAATAAATACGCTCTGAATGTGTATCGATATTTGCGATGTATTCTTTTTTTAAGCTGTGAAAAAGAGGGGGCTTTGAGGGTTCGGTGTTTTTGTTTTTTGTGTGGGTTTTTTTTAGGCACCATGTAGTACAAATGGAGAGGGGATCATAATAATGATCTATCGTTTGTGCGAATGTTATAGAAAAAATCGCATTCAAAAAAATTCCCGAGTCAAATTAAAGCAGGACAAAACCAAAAGGAAACTTCTGTGAATCATTTTCCGAGTCATTTTGACCCAGAAAGTATCAGAACAAACAGAACACGGGCCAATCAAATCAGGGACTTTTTAGAAAGCGCCATAAAATCCTTTTCCATGAATTCCGAATTATCGTATAAGTTGTATGACGCTTTACAAAGTACCCCCAGATGGGTTTTGATGAAATTTTCGAGTAGGAAAGATCAACAAATTAAAAGCCTCTAACCGTCACCGATATGTTAAGTTTTTTAAGAGCCTACTCAATGCTGGGCCAAATGTTAGGAGCTGCTCAGAAAATATGACTGAGCAAAATCTTTTTGTTTTTAACGTTGACAATCTGCTGAAAATCTGAAATCCAGTCATACTTAGCAGAATACATCACATGACATTTTTGTCGGGTAATTTACCCGACAATGATTATTCTTTGCTTAGCAAATGTGTTTGCTAACTTAGCTCCAAGAAATTGGCCCTTGTTTGATAGCTTGTGAAAGAAACCCTTAAACCCTGCCGGGCAGCTGGTGGGAGCCAAACGATCGTAATAATGCGATTAATGCCACAACAACGATATAATAATGACACACAAATCGCCCCCCCCCCCCCCCCCGGCCCCGGCCGCGCCCCCAGCAAACGCGCAGCCAGTGCATTAGGATAGAGGGCGCTATAATAATAGACATAAGGGTTGAAGGGTTGAAGGTCACGCACGAATTTTGGGGAGAACCAAAACATTGGCAACCATTGGCATAACTTGATTGTCTCGGATTTCATTGTAACTCTGTTACTTTGTTACTGCTAGGTCTTCTGCTAAGTAAAGGTGTATTGCGAGTACTCTTTTGTAAGCCTTCATCATGAGATTCCGGATGAATTTGAAGCGTAGTTGTGCTGCCTTTCTGGCTCTGTCGTCGGGGTCGGTTTTGTCCATTCTCGTTGGGAGCTTGGCGGGGTTTGGCTGCAATCCGATGATTGCTAGTGCTGCCGAAGTGCCACACGATTCACAGTCACACCGTCACGGTGGGGTGGAGAAACCACGAATAGGTAAGACAAGTACAACTCCGAAGTACAATCAACATCACGAACATGATCAATTTTGACCCTGTCACTGCCTGTCATTAGCCCCACTAGTGTGGCCGTCGGTTGCTGCGCTGAACCTTTGGCCACACACCGTGGTACCGCGCGCTACTGAGGACAAAGTTTTCATAAAAATTCAGGGCAGTTTCTTACATTCTCAGTTTCTTACTTTCTTATGGTTGTATTCTATGATGTCTCACCTGTCACTTCTGGGATGCTTAGGTCTAATGATGTTCCATTTTCCGAGATATTCTTCAATCTTTCTGGAGCCCATATGCACTCGTGAAACGTCTGGTGGTGGCAGCCATTTTGAATGTGACAAGAGATGACCTCAAGCTGTGACGTCGCGTGTATGCAAATTGCTTGTCGAGGGCGCGAGTTGCAAATGCGACGGCTGTTTTCTGTGCCGTAGATCCTGAATAGAGATCGGTGCACGTGGCCCCCTGACGATAAATGCATGGTACAGGAAACAGCCGTCGCATTTGCAACTCGCGCCCTCGCGCGCTCGACAAGCAATTTGCATACACGCGACGTCACAGCTTGAGGTCATCTCTTGTCACATTCAAAATGGCTGCCACCACCAGACGTTTCACGAGTGCATATGGGCTCCAGAAAGATTGAAGAATATCTCGGAAAATGGAACATCATTAGACCTAAGCATCCCAGAAGTGACAGGTGAGACATCATAGAATACAACCATAAGAAAGTAAGAAACTGAGAATGTAAGAAACTGCCCTGAATTTTTATGAAAACTTTGTCCTCAGTAGCGCGCGGTACCACGGTGTGTGGCCAAAGGTTCAGCGCAGCATACCGACGGCCACACTAGTGGGGCTAGCCGTCGGTATGCTGCGCTGAACCTAAGGCCACACACCGTGGTCCGCGCACTACTGAGGACGTTTTCATAAAATTTGCAGGGAATTTCTTACATATGGTTGTATTCTACGATGTCCCATCTATCACTTCTGGGATGCTTAGATGTAATGATGTTCAATCTTCCGAGATATTCTTGAATCTTTCTGGAGCCCATATGCACTCGTGAAACGTCCGGTGATGGCAGCCATTTTGAATGTGACAAGAGATGACCTCAAGCTGTGACGTCGCGTTTATGCAAATTGCTTGTCGAGCGAGGGCGCGGCGCGAGTTGCAAATGCGACGGCTGTTTCCTGTACCATGCATTTATCGTCTGGGGGCCACGAGCACTGATCTCTATTCAGGATCTACGGCACAGGAAACAGCCGTCGCATTTGCAACTCGCGCCGCGCCCTCGCTCGACAAGCAATTTGCATAAACGCGACGTCACAGCTTGAGGTCATCTCTTGTCACATTCAAAATGGCTGCCATCACCGGACGTTTCACGAGTGCATATGGGCTCCAGAAAGATTCAAGAATACCTCGGAAAATTGAACATCATTACACCTAAGCATCCCAGAAGTGATAGATGGGACATCGTAGAATAAAACCATATGTAAGAAATTCCCTGCAAATTTTAAGAAAACGTCCTCAGTAGTGCTCGGACCACGGTGTGTGGCCTTAGGTTCAGCGCAGCATACCGACGGCCACACTAGTGGGGCTATGCCTGTCATATGAATGATGCACTCGGGTATCGTCAGACCAGTCCTAAAGCTACGCTTTGGTCATAAGTTTTAAAATCCGACATCTTAAAAACTGTCTCCATTGATTGGGATGATCAGAATAACAATATCATTGGGATCTACATTTAATAGGTAAATATGTATAAAAGGTATTTATATAAATATGTAAATTTAAGCCCTTGTATAAATCTCGAAAATAGGATATTGAAAATAATCTTGAAATTACGAAAAGTGTATCGGCATTGAAAACAAGAAAGGAAAATGAAAAAAAATTGTTTGAAAAGCTCAGATAATTTCCTAAAGCCAACAAGTCTTAAGTTATTAAAAAAAAAAATGTTAATATTGAGTTACATGGCCCGGACAGCACATATTTTTCATGAAGCGTCCCCTGCGCAGAATTAGGCAGGATTATTTTCTACAACGCCAAAACTGCACGCTTTGGAATTCCCCGCTTGCTGCCACAAATAAAGAGATTTCGCTTTGTTAATCAGTACGGTGGTTGATCGTAAGCCAACAATATAAGTTTCGTTGAGGAAAAGAGTGGTTGCTTTGCTATTTTTAAGCTACTTGGTTGCAAAGCCTTATCTGCGCAGAAATCGGAGGATCGAGGATATCACTATTTGTGTGAAGTGGTAAAAAACTGGTGGTAGAGGACGGGGCTTGGGGAATAATTTTCAATGTCTAATTTAACTCTAAACTTAATTTCACAATGATGTGCTGCTATGTAAAATGGTAACAAATTTGTCCAATTAAAGATTCGGCAATCATGTATCTACGGGCCCGGTTCCTATACTAGTCATGCTAGTCCGAGTAATTTGGACCCAACTTATCACCTTTTTTAACATTCGGACATGGTCTGGCGATAGTAGGGTCCAAGCTAAACCGTTGCCATCGCTTGACACAATTCTGTTCTTGACCCCCCCCCCCCCCCAAAAAAAAATCTGTTCTTGACCCAAACATCAGATTTCACCCTCAAAACGGCCTCCAAATAACTAGACTCTAATTTTATCGAAACTAAACATGGGCCCTACACTACATGATTGCCAAAGATTCCCATATCTGGCCATCACTCATTTTTCCCTTCAGTGACCTATCAGCCATCACAAAGTGATAATATGTCCTAAAAAGTCAATATTATATAGCAGGGAAAATATTGAAGTAGGCCTATTTACTGAAAAAACACTTAGAAATTTTCAGACCAGTCTCATAGGGTTTGTGCACAGGGTGACAAGTGATGGCCAGATATGGGAATCTTTCCCGCCCTTTTAATGTGATTTGGACATGGTCTAATGAGACCAAATGTTAAAAAGGTGATAAGTAGGGTCCAAGTTACTCGAACTAGTAACAAATAAAGTGTGAAAAGAAATACTAATGTTAGTATTCATTACACTAGCAAAAGTTGCTCACTTAATGATGTCATGATGGTCAAATTTTTCCCGTAGAGTTGGACATTTGCTAGTTTAATCTCTCAGAATTCAAATCAAGCCACAACAGGTTAGGCCTAATAAGCCACTTCGGAGTTACAAGTGCGCGTGTACACAGTCAGATTCAACGATTTAGTGTCCAAAAAAAAAGGTAGATAAATGCACACAAGTCTATGGGGGAACTGAATCCACATTTTGCAATTTTTTAACTTATAAAGAAGATGGAAACGTTTGTTCGCACAAAAGTTGGAGCTTGCAAAACATCTTAAACCATGCTGTGGTTAAAAACAATCAATATTTTGGATGTATAACTTCAAAAAGCAAACTTTTCTTTGATTTCATTGGTACCCCGCTATGATTTTGCAATGGACAAGTGGATCAAAAATCGTTTCACAACTCCGTTAACATGTCAATCAAGTGATGAGTTACATACTATTTAAACGCCTTCCATTGTCATTGTTTACCACCATTTCTCATGACCTGATGATTCATGATTGAAAATATGCATAATTTGCAAAGGGTTTATACCCATAGGCTGTTGAGATATCACTGATTTTCCGTTTCTTTTCAATTTTTGAAGCTATAATTGGAGGTGGTGTAGGTGGCACATCAGCAGCCTATTTCCTCCGCAAGCTTCTCGGGTCGTCAGCGTCCATTGATCTGTACGAGCCGCATGTGATTGGTGGACGAGTGGCCACTGTGAACATCGCGGGGCGTGACTATGAGAGTGGTGGCAGCATTATCCATCCCAAAAATAAGTACATGGTCGACTTCCGTCAGGAATTTGGTAAGAAACTGAAATGACAGTGTCACTGATTGTTTCTTCAAATTTTCAAAGGTCTGGGTCACAGAATGTAGGCATAATGTCTTACATTTGCAGAACAAAAGTTGAAAAAGCCTGTTTATTTACGACGTGGTAGGGATTTTTGCCTTGCCTGTACGTATTTCCAGCATTTTGAGCAAATTTGTCAACATAAGACTGGGGCCGCATAAAATGAATATCACATAAGTGACGATTTGCTGTTTGATAATAGGTCCCACACTAATATCAGATTAGATACACACAAGGCGATTCCACACATTTTGAAATAAACATGTGACTGGAATTTTGACGAGCACTCCAGCGGGTCCATTACAAGTCATTACAAGTCTTTCACAAGTCCTCACAAGTCCATTACAAGTCTATCACAAGTCCTCACAAGTCCATTACAAGTCTATCACAAGTCCGCACCAAGTCCATTACAAGTCTATCGTAAGTCCTCACAAGTCCATTACAAGTCTATCACAAGTCCTCACAAGTCCATTACAAGTCTATCACAAGTCCTCACAAGTCCATTACAAGTCTATCACAAGTCCGCACCAAGTCCATTACAAGTCTATTGTAAGTCCTCACAAGTCCATTACAAGTCTATCACAAGTCCTCACAAGTCCATTACAAGTCTATCACAAGTCCTCACAAGTCCATTACAAGTTTATCACAAGTCCGCACCAAGTCCATTACAAGTCTATCGTAAGTCCTCACAAGTCCATTACAAGTCTATCACAAGTCCTCACAAGTCCATTACAAGTCTATCACAAGTCCATTACAAGTCTATCACAAGTCCTCAAAAGTCTTTCACAAGTCCTCACAAGTCCATTACAAGTCTCACAAGTCCTCACAAGTCTATTACAAGTCCTCACAAGTCTATCACAAGTCCTCACACGTCCATCTCAAGTCGTCACAAGACCATTATAAGTCTATCATAAGTCCTCACAAGTCCTTTACAAGTCGATCACAAGTCCTCACAAGTCCGTTACAAGTCCATCACAAGTCCTCACAAGACCATTACTAGTCTATCATAAGTCCTCACATGTCCTCACAAGTCGATCACAAGTCCTTGCAAGTCAATTACCAACCCATCAGAAGTCCTAACAAGTCCATCAGAAATCCTCACAAGTTCATCACAAGTCCTCACAAGTCCATCACAAGCCATTATAATAAGCCCATAACAAGTAATCACAAATCTATAACGAATCCTCACAAGTCCATTACAAGTCCTCACAAGTCCATTTCAAGTCCTCACAAGTCCATCAGGAGTCCTTGCAAGTCCATCACAAACAAGTTCATCTCAAGTCCTCACAAGTCCTCACAAGTCATTCAGTCACATGTCAAGTCACAAGCTATATTCCAGTGAACTGTGAGGAAAGCATTCGTTTGTTATTGTCCATCCCCTGGACTTTCGAATGGACCTTTAATTTACTTGTTGCCAGACTTGTGATAGACTCACCTACAGCACTGCCACAGACTGCCTCATACAGCATGAACTGTGATTCAATCACCTCTCTTGATCGTGCAGGCCTGAAGGAGAGAGCAAAGCATGACAGACCAGCGGGGTTCTACAATGGCGAAGAGTTTGTCTTTACAGAGAGCAACTGGGCCGTTATAACCATGCTGCGTTTGCTATGGCGCTATGGGTTGGATTGCTTTTACATTTACAGGCATGTCGATACCATGCTCACTGCATTTAGCAGGTACGTGATATTTTGAGGTAGAAGAAAGTGAGATGATATCATTGACTTTCTTTTAAACTTTTTCTGTTGTGGATGTCTGTGTGTAGGATAGTGTGATAGTATTTCAGTCAGGTTAACTTGAAAACAAGCTGACTACAGCTACATGTAAATCAGCTGAGGGTAAGTTTTCTGGTCAAATGTGGCTTCATTTATTTAAAGAGTGAAGTAGATATATATACAAACAAAAGTACTATCTTGTATGTACAAGACGTTTATCCAAGAAGGCAGTGTTTTGCTAATGCTGACGGTTTTATTGTGTACAGAGTCAAAATTTCAATTAGTCTGGTTAACAGTATCCTTTGACTATGTACTGTACGTACTCTTCAACATATTCATTTATTTATATATTCAAACAAGATTTGAACTTGTATCTTCTATTTTAACTCAAACCTACTTTTTGTCCTATTTTGGTTGTCTGCAACCGCTGCAAAGAAGACTTAAATTACGGTTTGCTTTTGCACACAAACATATCCACCTTGCAAGTAGACTGGTTCCTGGTCTCTACCTTATTGATTCTGATTGGGGTAGGAACCAGTCTAACCTGTTGAGCTGCAAACAAATAAAAATGTACAACTTATTCCAAAAATAATTGTTCCCTTTTTTTCTTCAAATAAATCACAACAAGGGAACCTGACTAGGTGCATTATAATAATATTTTAAGGTTGAAAAAAGTAATTGACTGAAGCAGGGTTTGAACCTGCGACCCCCGGATTGCCGTTCCGGTTCTCTGCCAACTGAGCTATCCAGCCCTATGTTGGCGGTTCCCCAGTTTGCCAATGTCTCTGTCCAACATATCTCTCATTCAAAGCGAATAACTTCTGAATAAGCCAGAAATAGAGTAATTAAAACAAACGTGTATATTTAAGGATGAAACTTTTGAAAATAGCATGGTAAGTAAAGTAAAGTCTGTCACGAGCCAATGTGGCCCATCAGGCCGGCGTTTATCTCCAGTTTCAGTAGCATGAAACGACCGAGAATATTTCAATTCCCCCTGGACGGGATGCTAGTCCATCACAGGTTACTCCCCAGCTAATGCCGGTACCCATTTATACTCCTGGGTGGAGAGAGGCAAGTGGAGATGAAGTGGCTTGCCCAAGGACAGAATATATAACCAGCAGCTGGATTCGAACCCTTGATCCTCTGATCATGAGTCACGAACGCTAACCACTTGGCCACACTCCCCCAAAATAGCACGGCCAGTATCTTTAATAATGTTACTCTTTTTTTATGCCACAGGATTTATCAGCTGCAAGATGAGGGCCAGGCATTTGACAGCCCTGCTGACATGCTGCGTGCCATGGGCGGGGATGAGTTCGTTGAGTGGACGCACGCACCCCTGCAGCAGGTGTTGAAGCAACAAGGCTTCTCAGATCGTTTCATCAATGAGGTTGCGTCTGTGGCAATGAGAAACAACTACGGACAGAGTATCAACATGACAGCGTTCGCAGGTACGAGTGAAACTGAAGCCGTGTTCGCATTGGACGTCATTTGGTAAAAAGATGAGGGTGATTTTTCCAAATTTAAGTCCAGTGCGAACACGGTTACTTTTCCTAAGTCCAGTGGTTATTTTTATTGGCAAAACTCTGCCAATTAAACCTTACCCTCCTTAACCCTCCAGAGTCCTTTGGGCAGTTTTGGAGGATTTTGGAGGATTGATGATGAATGCAACATACAATTGTGGAAGATTGAGGGCACATGGACATTCAGTAACCCTAACTCCCTGGGCCTTTTTGCTAGGATGTAGCCTCAATCCTTCAAAATCCTCCAATTGGCCTCATGGAAAAATAGCAACATAATAGCCTCAATCCTGCAAATTCCTCCATTATTTCTTGAATATGGTCCGTGGAGGGGTGACCACTGCCTCAATCCTGCAAAATCCTGCGACAGTGACTCTCAATATGTTGAGGCTTGGCCAGTGACATCCTGGAGCAGTACGGAGGATTTCAAGCACAATCCAGGCCTATATTTATGCATGGCTGAGCAAAAACAACACAAGGTCCGGCCCAAGACCTTGACAAAGTGCATCCTACAAAATCAGTAACGCACTTTTGTCATGTAACCTCAATCCTCCAAATTCCTCCACTTTGGCAAAGAGGATTTTGAAGGATGCAGGGCGGTTAGGGTTAACGTTTGTTTTTGGAGGATTGAGGATGAATGGTGTTTGAAGGAGAGGAGGATTTTGGGGGATTGAGGTTGAATGCATTTTGAGAGGGTATCCTTCATTTGAACATAAGTCCAACAGTTTTGAGGAATTTGGAGGATTGAGGATGGTTCCTGGCAAAAAGGGCCTAGGGGGTTAGGATTAAACCTGACCAGTCAATATTCCGCAGATGAAAAGTCCTGTGTAAGCAGTGCACAATAAGGCAGGGTCCGGGAACCAGTCTACTTGCAGGTTGGTTTGCTGTTCCTTAATGCAGCTGGTCACTTGCAAATGTGGTCAAGACGCCGCAGCGGTAGAGGGCGCTATCATGAACCAAATCCAGTCTTTGTTATTCTGACACTCGGACCCAAGACATTCTAATCATATCTCATGTTTGCTATATTTTAGCTAATGTTCATGCATGAGGTATGCTTAGACTTCCTCGAGTCTGGGAGCCGAAATTGCTAAGACTGGATTTGATTCATCTTGTTGATAGCGCCCCCTACAACAGTGGCTGCTGAACCGCACTTATACAAGAGACCGGCTACATGAACATTGAGGGGAACAAAGACCCAAATCCAGTCTTGGATCAAGACTATCGTTGTGCATGAAGTTGCACTACTACATCTTAATATCAGGGTTCGACCATAACTTTTTTTTTCACTAGCCAGCCCGACTACTGAAACAGACCCTCAACTAGCTTGCGGGCATTTTCACTAGTCCGCAAGTTTTTTTTTCCTTTATAGAGTGTCTCATAAACAACAATGTGCACACATGTAAAACATGTATAGAGCCTGAAAGTTGACCCCTGGTGGTCCACTTCAGGGCCCCTCGAAAAGGAAACTTTTTGAAATTAGTTTTGGTACATTAATTTCTCAGGAAAATTACCCTCAAATTTTTATGGAAACTTAAAAATCACACGACATGAAAGAGAAATATCTTGCCAAAATTTGACCTCTCACTTCCGAAAACTTCCGTATGGACTCGTGGAACTTGATCACTCTTTCAAGCATGACAATTTATGAAATAATTTTGTGGCGGTCATTGGGTAAAAACTGAAACTTAAACAGGAGACTCGAATGTCTTTTGGGACGGACAATATTTTGAATATTAAACTTGAAGGATTTATTTTCATTTACAAACAAATCTAAAACGACCGTTGATAAGAACTGTATTAAAACGTGATCCAAACGAGCCTGAATAATCTTGGATGTAGGTAGGTAATTCTTTGCGTCATCGTTTTTTGTTCTCGCGCAAGTACGCAATGTGAAAACAGACGTGATCCAACAAGGCAACCTTGGAATGAAAATAGGTTGTATTAAAGTAAAATTTGTTTTTACCCATTTGCAACTGATTTCTGATGTATTCTGAGGCAATTTTGTTGGTGTTTTTAATAAACAGATCTAATAATTTAACCCTATTAAACAGATGATAAAATTATACACAAATTGATACAGGTTTGCTTTCTGAATTTCATGATTTATTGCTTTCCGTCTTTTCACTTTTGCTGTATCCCAATATTTTTTTTGACTCACCAGCCGGGCTACTTAAGGAAAAGTTTGACTAGCCCGCCATCGTTTTGACTAGCATTTGGCTAGAGGGCTACCACTAATTTTGAACCCTGCTTAATATCCTGCAGCTAGACAACAGTTTTAATTTTCTCATTGACAGGTATGGTATCCTTAGCAGGGGTGCAGCCTGGACTATGGGCTGTCCAAGGAGGGAACAAGCTAATCCCAGAAGCCCTTCTGAATTCTTCTCAGGCTCTTTGGCATCACGCCAAGGTGAGCTCTGTCAAGAACACCACCAAGGGAGGCGAGACCACGTTCAAGGTGACAGCGGTGGGCCCTGATCCCAACCAAGTCTCAACAGCAGAGTATGATGTGGTGATTGTAGCAACACCGCTTACCCCCGGCGTGGGATCTAAGATCGAGTTCCAGGGTTTTACGCCGAGTATCGGGCTGTTTGGTGGTCGTTACCAACGCACCGTGGCAACTTTCATCCACGGCCAGACAGACCCGGAAGCGTTTGGGAAAAAGCGGGATGAGTTTCTCCCCGACGTGGAAACGACTCGCAACATCAGTCTCGAAATCCGCACACTCGCACAGAATTCCCCCGTGGATACAACGCAAGGGGAACAGAAGACTAAAGATGCGAGCGCCGCGGTGTACAAGATATTTTCTGGGGATCAGTTAAGCGAGAAACAGATCCAGACTCTGTTTGTGTCACATGACAGTGAGGAGGTTGTCGATTGGCTGGCATATCCACATTACACAGTGGATGACAGCTTGCCGCCGTTCGTCTTAAGTGAGGGATTGTATTACATTAACGGCATCGAGTGGGCCGCTAGTGCGATGGAAATGTCCGTGATTGGGGCTCGGAATGTCGCCTTGCTGGTTGGAAAACACTGGCAAAGAACCAAGTCACCGGCCAAAATTCCCAGTGAAAAGCCAATGAATGGCGAGTTGTAGGCCTTAACTACAATGTGGTTTTTAAGAAACAAGACAAAGCAATCCTAGTCAACTCTATTCAATAGATTCAGAATGGTTATTCACTGAAAGTCTTTTCGTGCATGTGACCTACGCAATGGGCTGGTTAGCCCATTCGTTGGCATTGCAGAGTAAGTCCTATGCACATATTTGGGCTAAGGTGAGACTTAAGCAAGTCTAAATCACAAGTGCCAGTAGAGTCAGTCTATCAGTCAGTCAGTCAGTCAGGTGCTAGGAGGAGTATATGTGATGCGATCAAGCTAAATGAGTTGTTTGTCGGGAACATTTATTTGGAGATTCAGGCCAAAATAGGGCCACTTCATCACATCTCTTGGTGTTCTGCCTTCCATAATTTTTTAACTAAAGATGGTATCAGCATGCGGTTTATACAGCAGTAATGCTGAGATTGTGCTCTTTTCAAATCCGTAAAAAAAAATGTGACAAACAACTCATTTAGCTTGATTGCATCACATATGCTGCCCCTCTAAAACTTGCAAAAGTACTAAATATTCCCTTGCACTCTCCCAATAAACCTCAGGAAAGCAAAATTACTCTGGGAGATGATAAAAGATGAAATGAAATTTAAAACTTATGTATGTAAATAAAACATTTGGAGGGAAAATGCCACATTTCAATAAAATTGATTTGAAGCTTTAAGATTTTATAAAATGGCCACTTTAAAAAAATTGCCTGTTTGTAGTAGACCAAGATATCAAGCTCATTCATTTATATCATGTTTAGTTATTGTTAATACAATTGCAAAATTATTTTTAAAATGAAATTCATGACATATTTGTTTAACAATATGAGCATTGTTTTAGCTTAAAATTTAATAGATCGTAAAAAGTATTGCAAATATTTTAGTAAACATAAAAAGGTGTAGATTTAGAATTGTTAAGAACGTGCGAGTGTATATTTAGAACAAAAGAAAAATTATTTGAAACAATATTATAGATGTTACTCCTTTTATTTTTCTCAGGAATGCACCATCAATAAATGTTACATCTTGAATTCTGTGATTTACATGATTCGGTTAATCTACAATGACGTGTCTGATTTAAGGCTGAAACATTTATTTTTAAGACGGCGGATGTATTGAATCTTGAATTTTTAAATTCCTTCCTAAATGTCAAATTTTCATCTGTGTGCACCGTGAAAAAGCCATTTTATGAAGGCGGATGCCATGTTATACGCAAGGATTGTGTTTAAAAAATTATAAGGTCGGTGGAAAGGATCACAAACTGCACCGAAAGGTGTAACTTTTCCCTCATCTTAAGGCAAGAAGTTGGTCAAAATGTCAGCTTAGCCCTAACCATCCCCAACCCTTCAAAATCCAACTGCAGGATTTGTTGGAATCTGTTGGAGTGAGTACTGCTCTAATAAAACTGATTATGCTTTACATGGGGTTAGGCATACCACCAATAATCAGAGTCCAACAGTTGGGTGTTGAGTTACCATATGGAGTTGGAATTTGCAGGAGTGAGGAAAGATACTAGTAAGTCACTCAAGGGGTTAGGGACAATTTAAAACGACTACATGCATGACATGTACAATCCCACTACAACAGTTATGTTGTAATGTTGTTAATCAACTCCAAACACTTTGTTTTGACCCATATGGCTCTTGCTATTTAATTCATTTATTAAAAACTCTTTAAATAAAAAACAATTTGCAAGCACTGATTGATTTTTTTGCTAAAGAAGATACATGTATCTATAAAGAACGATTCTTGACAGGACTTTACTATAAATTAATATCATTCATTATATATGTACAAATAATGCTTGGTTTTCAAATAGTTTCTTCAAATGTAAAGAAATTATTTTTTTTATAATAGAAATGTAGAATTATACGTAAAATAAAATCTGTTTTGTCATTTGTATTTCAAATCTGGTTAAAAAATTGTAAATGTAGTTTCAGTATCAGTAAGCTAATAACTTTCTCTTTCAGTGGAAGACATTTTTGTATAATATATATATTTTTTTGCATAGCACGGTTCACATTTTGGGGGAAGAAGTTAAAATTAACTCACTTAAATTTGTTGTATTGTTTATGACTAATATTTACAAAAGATTTTACAAAAAGGTAACATCATTAAATGATGATTGTTTACATGATTTTACTGGAATCAATATCATTTATTATATGTCAAAAATAGTACCTGTGTTTGTTTGAAATAATTCCATCATTTACAGAGTACATATTAATGGCATCTCTTTTGCCATTAAAATTTCATTTCCAAACCCCAAAAAATATGTAATTGCCAGCAGCAGTAACGAAATGTCTTCAGTGGAGGTAGTTACAGTTACAGATCACAGTTACAGCTCAAGATGAGATTGGTGGAAATAATGTTGCCAGAGGGGGTACCGACGGTTCTTGTGACGGCCGGGATGGAGGCTGATCTTTCTTTGATTCGTCACCCATTCCGAGTCTCTGTAAAACTCTGTAAAACAAATCAAAATATGCAAGACAAACAACAGCATTTGAAGTCCAAAATTCATGTGTGTGTTTGCTAGTTAAAGGGAATTACAACATTTGCAAACATCCAACAACAAAACTATCAAATTATTATGAAATACCTTACTGGACTATTAGTCAGTCTAAAGCATCCTGTAAAATCATGGCACCTGGTGTGCTGACATTGTCAAGAAAAGGAGTATTTTTGTCAGCTACCAGCGGTGGAAAAAAACTGGCTTTTTGTAAACACTGCCCCCAATTTACCACATTTAGTTAGTCTAAATTTTTTTTGCAATCAGTTACACATATGAATGGGTACAAGCCAGCTAGACTGGTTACATGACCTTACTATTCCCCGATGTCTTTAACTTGGTCCATTTCAATTCAAGTGGGGTCAAGGAGCCAGACCATAAGATATATGATTGGGTTTTTTTCTTGGATTTTCCAGCATCTACGAACACAAAACTTCAAACAAGTCAGTGTAACAATATTTGCTTTATTAAAAACCCCAAATCCATCCATTTCTTAAAATTACGGCAAAATCAAATTGTTTTAACATGGTTTGACCTTAATCCTAGGCATTCTTTCAAAAGCCACCCGTAGGTTTTGTAGGACTTTGAAGGATTGGGGAAAGTCGAGCCCAGGACTTGCTATCCCTTAAAATTTTTCGTACAGGCAAGTATAATTTCAAGAAAAATGTCCATCACAAGTCCTAACAAGTCCTGACAAGTCTATCCTAAGTCCTCCAATCCCAAGTCAAGGCCCAAGCTAATCAAATGAATTGTGGTATAGGCATCCTTTATTGCTGTTCATCCCCGCTACTTGTTACTCAGATTCATGTAAAGACTTGTGATTTTACTTTCACAAAGGTTCCTATTGAAAATATTATGGGGGTTAGGGTGGTGCACTAATTTCCATTAGGCAAGTGGACTCAAAACTTTTGAATAACAAGTAACACCTTTGTTCGCTTTGATTACTTACTCTTTGGCAGTTTTCCTTCTACTGTCAATATCCATTTCAAGGATTTTGGGAACAGTCACCAGATCAGTGCCACCATGCAAATTTGATGGCATCTTTAAAAAAAAAAAAAGGTGAAGAACGTTATGAAGTGACGTAGCCGGGGGTGGGGGGGGGGCCCTAAAACTGCACCTATTTTGACGCTACAGGGCGCTCTTTTTGCTTATCAATTTATTCACATTTCGGGAAGTCGTACAGTTAAGGGAAGTCTAAAGTAATAATCTCAAAACAATACTTTTAAAACACACTTCCTTGGCTAGTGGCAAATTTGGTCGGCGGCACCTGTGGAGGGCGGGGGGGGGGGGGGGGCAATGGGAATTTTTGTGGGGGCATGTGCCCCAGCAGCCCCCCTCCCCCCTTTGCTATGCCACTGATGTTATGGCGTTGAAAGACCAAAATCTTTTTTTAACCTGATGTCCAGAAAATGCTCGAAAGTCTTTTATAACTTCCCCCCCCCCCAAAAAAAAAAATCTGGTGGACAGTAAAGAAACGAGGGTGATTGAGGGAAATGCTTCCTTAATTACAAAAAAATACAGAAAAATAAAAAATTGTGGGTGGCTTTAGGGTAATTTGAGACTATATCCCCCTAGAAATGTTTCCAAAATGTTATTCAAGCCTTTCTGAAGACGTCTAGTGTTGTGCATCGGTACGGGTTGACCAGGCCAAACCGACCCGAAACACAAACGTAAAACCAAAACCGACCCGACCCGACTGAAATGATGGACAAACCGACCGACCCGACCCGACCCAAAGTCGGTTTTGGGTCGGGTCGGTTTTGGTTTCGGGTCGGTTTCGCACAACACTAGTCTAGTCTACCTTGCCAGACTTTTTTGAAGGCCAAAGTCACACGAGATAATTTTTACATGCAACTTTGAGTCAACCGAATGCACTACACTACCATTTTCCATCCGTTAACGGAAAATTCCTCAGAACATGACAGGGAATTAAAATATCTTGGTTTTCTTCATGGATATTGCATGCACCAAGTTGCCTTTCTACTTGATTATATTCACTAATGTAACCACTTCTTGTGGGGTTCAACCCACCTTCCAGAAGGGACCATGATCCCCGATCAGCGTCACGCTGGTTCCAATCAGCTTGTTGGATTTGAACTCCATGGGGACCTTCATGCGTACCCCCTGCGGGCCGAGGACAGGATGGGCCTTGCTCCTCCTCTGTCGTCTGAAGACGGCTACCTTCTCAGTGGGCCGGGCCAAGCTCAGGCCTGTCTCCTGCCCAACTGCATCAAAGCTGAACAAGAAACAACAGCACACAGTCGTACAAAAAAGCTGAGGGTGCCATTTGCCCCCTAAGGGAGTACAAAACCCATGGACTATATCACAACTGACTTTTGTTTTTGTTACACCATGACATTATTTTTGTAACTTTTTAAAGACGGTTATAGAAGCTCTGATAAATAGCTACAAGTCACAATCACAACAACATAAGTAATTTTTGTAAAAACAGGATTTGTTAGTTTTGACACTCCTACGCCTTAAGAAAACTGATGGTTGGAATAGTAGATGGCTTAACCAATCTACTCTTCCTATCTTGACTCACATTGCCAGCATCTGTTCATACAGGTTGGTTCGCTCTTGTTTGATGGCCTCACGCTTCTCACGCCAGGTGTTAATGTTCTAGAAAAAATAATAATCAAAACTGAATTCTCAAAATGAAGCTATTTCAGTGTATAAGGACGATTTTTGTGTTAAGTGTTTGAGGCTGGTCAATTTAAAACATAATAAAGGTGTCTTATTTTCGGACTAACAAACCCCCTTTTATGGGAAATTTGTGGGTTCGGACTATCGAACCTTCGGATCAAAAAACCTTCGGACTATCAAACATTTGGACTATCGAACCTTTGGACTATTGGGCGGACCCTGTGCCATCGGCGTCACATTTTTGGGGGTCGCATTTGTAAGCTCTGGCAGGGATCGTTTTGATCTAATTCATGCAAGACTTCTTGCAACACGGCCAGAGGTTATTGCCCTGTACAACATCTTCCTCGAACAAGGTCACCGTGGACGCCATTTTGTGTAGTGGTTGGACGGTATCCAGAAGGAGGACATGTCCCCAAAAGGTGGGCGGGGTGTGGTTTTTAAGCTCTGGCAGGAGCTTCTACATGTCACTTGGTGGTCGGTCGATTGGTCGGTTGGATAGTCTGTCTGTCTGTCTGTCCCAAAAATTGACCAAAAGTATAGTGTTCTATACTGGTGTCGCATTTCTCGCCAGAGCTTATTTGTGCACTCGCACTTGTTTTCCTTTAAGGACATCTGCAACCCGCTGAAACCCTCTGAAAAAAGTGTTTGTGTTTTGGTGCAAACAGATCCACTTTGGGAGTAGACTAGCTCCCAGTCCGTACATTATCAATACTGATTGTGGGGCAGGAACCAGCCTACCCTGCGAGAACGGAATTATTATCTAGCAGCCAATTAATCGAAATTGTAAAGTAATAATTCAATAACTAAACATGAGCCATTTTTTTCCGTTGTTGTCTCATGCAAAGTGAATAACTTTTGTATTGCTACAAAAACAGCAATTTAGAAAAGGAATCTATTTTTGGTATGAAACTCGAAAATAGCATGAGGAATGCAACTCTATCATTCTACAATTTTTTTATAAAAAAATTCAAAGGGCTATTTATTTTACAGATGTCATTTCCACGCTCTTCAACAAATTTGACTGTTTTTCCAAACAGATCCGCCCTGCAAGACTGGTTCCTGGATCCCAGATCGTTAATTCTGAAAGGGGGTGGGAACCAGTCTACCATTTGAGAACTAGAATATTGTCGGGCAGCAAACAAAAAATGGTTAAGAGATTATTCTGTAACTAAACATGGGCAGAATATTTGCATCAATGTCTCATGCAAAAGTGAATAATTTTGTATAACTAGACAAATGGCAGTAGGTCTCTCTCAAAGACGGCCATCTCTGTAGGAAAACTGCAACTGCGTATTATACGCAATCAAGCACACATTGCGCAGTGTTGAAAATGTTCCAAACATGCCCGCTTGTTGCTCGAGTGGTTCGCTTGTTGTTCGTTGCTCGATGTGTTCAAAATATGACACAGCCATTGCGCGTTATGCAAGTTGACGCTCAAAATGCCGATGCACGTGGCTGGTCTGTAGGAAATGACGTCATTTGAGAGAGACCTATTTAAAAACAAATCTAGTTTTCAGGTTGAAACTCAAAAATATCACAGACAATCATCTTTAATATAATCAATAAAGCATTGAAACATTTTTTTTAACTCGGCATAAAAATTGCCATTGTTAGACACACAGGTACATTTATCACAAACATACTTCGCTCATGCGTGTCTCCATGCGAGCAAAGAAACCCTGCAACTTTTTGTCTTGCTCCATGGTAACGGACCCCTCCAACTTGGATATCAACTCATCTACACACGGACAATGAATGAATGGAAAACAGTGTCACAGACTGATGAGATTTGTTAAAAGAAAATGAAGTTAGTTATTGGAGTGAGAGTGATGTGACACAAATGGTGTGTATTAGTGTAAATTTTGATTACTGACAAAGTGCAACGATGCAACACATGAAATTTTTAGTAAATTTAGAAGATGACAAGACAGAAATTAGTTAAGCCAGTGTGTGATCACTGATGATGTTTGTAATTTCCCTGACTAACCTTTCTGCTCCTGCATTCTCCTGAAGATGATATACCTCTCAAACATGTGCCTTAGTCTCATCTCAGGTACCTCAATTGTCTGGTTGATGATGTCACATGTGATCTAAAGAAAACAAAATCACAATTTCAGTTAGCTTGTCTGCTTGTGGACAATACTCAAATCTATCTTCACAATCTGTCCAATGTGAAGAAATCAATTTTTAACTAGGTTATTATTTAACATTCATAAAAAATTATATCCTAAGACAGTTTACCAATTCGTATAGATTGTGTCGACCTTTCTCAGGGTACGCCATCTTGAAAATCATAGCGAGGCAAATAACGCAAACATGGCAGCGTAAATAGTGTGTGCGGTGAATGAGTGACTCTCTCAAAGTTACAGCAGATTGAAAATCTTATAAATGGATGTATAGCTCAAATCCCTTCAAAAAATCAATCTGTTTTCTCGGTAGGTCATGTCTCATTGCATTTTGACGAAGGATCTTATAATATAAAACCTAAAATCATGTAATATAAAGCCTAAAACAGTGGCCAAACTGAAGTTTCCATGTGTGGTAGTTAACGCCGCAGCATCGCCATCAATGTCGGACTTTCTATTTTCACTTTTCCATCCGTGGCGGAAAAACAAAAATGCAACTGTCTCCCAAAAAGTGGGTTCGGGGCCCGCTTAAGGGCCCTGAAATTTTTTTGGATTCTCGATGCTCTGTGGTGCGATCTGAGGCAATTTCTGACCACTTTAGCCAATGTTTTTTGAGGAAAAGATGGTGGTGTACTCATTGCCTGCCTTTATTGCGACGTCACATAAAAAAAAAAATTGGTTTCGTTTTTTTTTGGGGGGGGGGCATGGCCCCCTTTGGCCCCCCCCCTGGATCCACCCTTGTACCATGTGACCCATCCCCAAGAAAAACCTGGGTGTATGCCCACCACAGATTACCTCAAATTACCAATGTGACAGTTTTCATTTGGCGCGTACATTCGTGAGGTAGTCGGTGCAATGAACTGCTATCCTTTTTGAACGTGAACATTTTTTTTCCGAAATACTGCACAATTAATCTGTATTCTGATCAATCAACACATGGCTGGTTACGACATCATGGAGCTTGGTTATGACGTTGCCCTGAGATTCATTTGAGCAAATTTGCGCATTTTTGTCTGTGTGTAAATGTTTCCTAATCCCATGTGATATGCCGCTATTCGTTTCCGCTTTCCGTTACCGTGCTTCTGTGTAAATCTGCCCTTACCGTGTGCAGCTCCAGCGATATCTTGTTCTCCTTGAGGGCTGATTCCAACAGGGACAGATTCCGTAGTTGGTCGCCGACCTTTAACCTTAGCTGGCTGATATCTGGCGGGGGCTTCTCTACACGCTAGAAGGCAAAGCAGTGGCAAAATAAAAAACAAAGAAAGAACAGTCATTCAGCATAATTGGCAGTATCGGAATCTCTCACCATCTTGAAGGTTCCGCATATTAAAAGTAGTTTTGAGTCTTTGTCAGCCGATACACTGGCTCAAAATGGCGCCCCTAGAGACACCTTAACAATACGTTTCTGTGGGCTCCATGTGCAATCACCCCTGAATGGTTAAACAATGGCATATTCAATGGCATATCCACACCCACCCCCCCCCCCCCCCCCCCCCCCCCCCCGGCGGATATTTCTCTAAGATATTTTTTCAGTAACTATTTCCATAACTGGTTTGAGAGCTCTGTCATGAACAACAAAAAAAGAAAATGCGCCGTGAAAATTGGCATATTTTTTTCCAGCATGCATATTAATATTAAGTTTTCAAGAGCGCCCCCATTTGGAAGATGGGTACCAGCCCAGCCCCCCCCCCCTTCCCCGACTTCAAAAGCTGGATACGCCACTGAATGGTAAGAAATGGAGAGTTGGGGGAGACCACTGGGAGAGACATTTGAATGTATTGGCGACGATGCCCGACGCTCATGCGAAAATGCTATGGCTTTGTGAACATTCAGAACAAAATTAAATGTGCATACTTAGCGCTATACGCGTACTTGTTCTACATAGCCCCCAATGACAGACACACAAAGGGAGAACAACAGATCCTTTCAGTCCTCGGGTGTTTGGTCTTTTGTTCAAAACAGTCCTCTGTAGTAGGTTTGTGTGCTTAGTCTATGGGAGAGTGTTATATTACTGGGACAAAGGAAAACACAAAGAATTGTCCTCGAGAGTATTGTAAAACAAGAGTGGGTGTGCGAACCCGTACGCGCATGCAGTGAGTCCTGTCCACTGGGCTCTCAAAGTGGTAAACAAGCACCCTCTCTTGTTCGCGCTAATATACTAGTTGTAAATTGACTTGTGCTTTATTTGTGACCGGGCTTGAGATGGACTAGTGATGGTCCTGACAACATTAACCTGGTCATACTCACCGTCATTCAAATACTCAGCACGTGAGCAAGATTTCTCAACACTCACCTTGTTACTGGCAATGTCCATTCTGAGTTGAGTGACCAGCGTTTCTTGCTGTCTGGCCTGCTCGGCCATGCTGCCCTTCATGGAACGCAGTTTCATGTCGCGTTTCTTTTTCTCTTCACGGAAGGCCTGTTCACTGAAATGTCATCAAAACTTATTTAACATAAACGTGAATCATAATCACAGAAGGAATGTCTGACATGCAAAACTGTGGTTTGTATTAAACCAAAAAACTGGATATGAAGTAAAAAAATGCTGTTATACAAATTCATAATTAACAATCCAGTCGATAGATATTCATGGCTTTTTGAAGCACTCTGAAAATCCTTGTTATTTTGTTGGCAAAAAGAGATCTAAAAGGGAATTAATTCTGGATTTATTAAAGCCACTTGTCTTAGCAAATGTCTTAGTAATTACTTTAAATGACTTGTCCAGACAAAATGACTCCCAAGGCCTTATTTTCTTCCATATTTGGACTAGAACTTAAAATTTGGAGCTAGTTTGAGCTTGTCCTACGCAAGTTACAAGACCAAAACACAAAACCTGCAGAAAATTTCAGTGATGCTGGTTCCAAGATTGGATATGGAGAGCACTATCAACACGGTGAATCAAATCTAGTCTTGGGAACTCTAGCAGCCCGACCCATGAAAATCTTTGCATACATCACTCGAGGGCATTTGCTTGAATACGTCTCGCCTGAGGCAATTATAAGGTCAGTATTTCTTGGGTCCGGTTGCCGAGACTGGATTTCATTCATCTTGTTGATAAAACCCTCTATTCTCTAAATATTATAGATGTGAAGGTGGAAAAAATGTTACAACCTGACGCCACTTTCGAAACAGAAAAAAAAAACAACATTATTTTGCTTACCTTGTACCTCAGAGAGTAGGAATATGTTTTGTACATGTACATGAATTTGTACATGTCACCACATGTTTCCTCCTTCGTTTATCATGTGTCAGTTGAGGGCGTCAACATGCAGTGACATGTATAAATTCACTAAGTTGGCCACACATTTGCCTACAAATCTCTCTTAAAGACTTTGTCAACATATTCCTTACAGTTCTCACATGAAAGTATAATCTCTGAGGTACAAGGTAAGCAAAAATATGTGTTTTTTTGTTTTGTTTCGAAAGTGGCATCAGGTTAATACATTTTTTCCGAGAAGGTTTGCATGGTAAAGATAGCAATAAGATATAAAAATGTATCCCGGTTGTTTGCAGAACCACACGAAAAACTTGTATCTCTAAATATCGTATCTCTAAATAGTATCCAACACACAAGTACATACAGGGATTTCATCTCTCGCTGCAGACTACTGCTGTGAAGTATGAGGGCCTTGTGCCGATCCAACAATGCCTTGTATTTCTCATCCTACAAAGAATGTGGATGGGTGGAGAAAACAAGGAAAAGAAAAAGTCATTGTTGTGGAGTTTTGCCCTTCATCCGTGCAGACAAAATTCACACATGTCAGAGGAAATTAACACACTTACTCGAGTGGGACTTGGTCCGATGACTTCCTAGTGCTAGTGCACAGTCTAACAAATCTCCTACAGTGAGCTCAGTCTGTTATTACACCTCATACATATTCGTGAACCAAATACACTTCTTTCATTGATTGATGTTCCAACGTGTCAGGGCAGTAAAAGTGGGTAACCATGAATATGCGTGACTTAAGCATTATTATCCAACTCGGTGGTGGGACCAGGAAAGTAGTATCCCATGATTACCTCCTGCACTCCCAACTATGCAAGAGTAAGGTTGTTGGTGGTACCATACTAAAATGCTTACGACAGAGGAATGCTTATGTGGATTTTCCACAGATATGCTTTCTACTTTTGAGAATAAAACTGAATATGTATGAGGTGTCATAATTTTTGGGGAAGAAGTGTGAGATTACTGGTTTCTGGTTGTGGCTGATTTTTATTTTGTCCCTGCCCGTGCCATTGGGAGGCAGTCAAATCAGCCAGCACCTCAGGATCAGTAATTTTGTACTACTTCCCCTTTTGTAGATAAACAGGCGGAAATGGGGGGGGGGGGGGGAGGGGCGGGGCATGGAGTAGTCTGTTGGCATACCAACCCCCCTCCCCCCCCCCATTCAATCGGTCGCCCCTGTCTAACTTATACTGATAAATCCTGATAGTGCAGCTGGAGCTACAATCAATGATGTTTTGTGTGCACTTCCACCGAGGAAGATGGCAAATGGAGTCCCACGTACCCACGTTGGCTTGTTAACATGTACACCGACTGTCATGACAAAATGATACTATGGGGATGAAACAAATTTCAGCGAACATGCACAGGTATGAGACATTGAAGAAAAACAATAGAAAATAATTGTAACAAGAAATAACTGAAAAAAAACCCACAAAATTACAATTCCACTGCATGCAATAAGTACGCTCAGTACTTACATTTATTCTTTTGGTCTCACTCAGCATAACCTCTGTGGCGTGGAGAAGCTCTTGAGTCTTTGGGGAAAAAAAATATGTGACCTATGTTAGAAACATTTGAGGTTACTTAAACCCTGCAATAAAATAATGCTGTGAAAATAAAAAATCTGTCAGATACAGAAATGTATTCAAGTACTCACGGGTCAATCATAAAACAGTAAAAATAAAATTTACACTCAATTCAAGTGGCAAACTATTCAAATGAACAGTTACAAATGAAATCAAATCAAATCAAAACTCTGTCAGATACACTACAAAAATGTAAGCAATGAATTTGTCAAGATAATTACTTATTTATAAACCCCTTTAATGAACCCCTATTGGCGATTCCTATTGCCGTACTGTATTTGCAAAGTGAAATGAACATAAATTTTCCAAATACTTTTCGCAAAGTTTTGCTTTTATTTTTGGGACTTGAGTCTTATTAGCCTTCCTCGAGTCGAGTCGAGTCATTCTGATGAGGGACTCGAGTCAAGTCAAGTCATTTGCTCGCAGTGACTCAAGTCGAGTCGAGTCATTTACCCTTAGGGACTCGAGTCGAGTCGAGTCACCAAAAATTGTGACTCGAGTCCGACTCAAGTCGAGTCATTGACTCGAGTCATTACAACTCTGCGTACTGCCTGCATGTGGCGTGGAGATTGGGCTCTCCAAACTGGTTTTAAAAATTGCCATTTAAACACTGAGCGGCCTTTAAATGTTGGGTTGATACCACCCACATGACAGGCTCTCAACCAATAGGAATATGTAATGTATCTGTCATTTATGAATGCAAATGAAAGGTTTTAAAAGCATGAAGAAATATCAGAACGAAAAATGTTGAACTGTATGCACATTCAAGACCCACCTTTTCCAGCTTCTCACTCAAGTATCCGTTTTCTTTGGTCAGCTTCTCAATCTCAGGGTCAACCTCGACCAGCGGGGTCAAAGTTCGCTGCCTGGGCATCAAGGCTTCTTTCAGTTCAAGACGCTGCAATGTAATACAAAAACAGAGTATCGTGCATTGAGCGCCGATATGGTTTTCCAGAGATCACAACTTCAAATTGCACCTAGTCAATTTCCCATCTTGGTTTATTTTACATAAGTTGTGGAGAGTTGTTGGGACAGGGTTCCAATAGTACTTCATAGTCCACGAGTTTTACCTGATGTATCCCTTAAAAATTTGCAAAATTCCATGCGAAATATTTTCACTTTAACGAGGTCACTGAGAAGTCGAGGTGGTTGCAGCAAAGCAACTAAGATTCACATAATACACAGGCAACTCGCTGACAAGCGATGGCCTCCCTTCTCCTCTTACATCCTTTTCTCACCATATGCAACAGAGTGGCAGCCTGTGCATACAATATTTTTTTTTTTCCATTTTCTGTCAAATGCATTGAGTTTTTCCCTGATTCTTGTTGTGTTTTTCCCCGAATGCCTGAGTTTTCCCTGACTGGACACAAATGGGAACTCATTTTCAAGGTTTTCCCTGATTTTCAGACTGGCTGAGAACCCTGAAATGTACTAAATGGCTGAGAATTTCTTTCAAATATCACGTCTCCAGTTAATAATTACAAAAGTAACAATAAATGAATACAGAAATGGGAAATTAAAAGATCTTTGGCTAGATATACCTTGTTCATCAAGGCCTGGGCGATTTTCAGTTCCACGGAAACAAGCACTGCAAAATGAAGAAAGGCAAACACAAATTTGTGTCAAAACTTGCAACACTATGTCATTGTTTGAAGCTATATAGAACAATCTGGAGGACAAAAAGAGGAGCCATTTTAAGGTGGCACGCATGCCGCGCGCATGCCGCGCGCATGCCGCATATGTTCTCAAAGACAAGGCGCACACGCATTTTGATAACAATATTGGTCAAAGCCACCGGATTAGTCTATACAATGTCAAATGAAATAAATGGATGAAGAAAAAGGGAGAAAATACAGAGAGGGTAAAAAGGGAAACTATTTGACAAGATACAAAGTGAAGGAGATTCACAATCTAACCAAGAAATCCTTTCAAACAATCAAACAAAAACTTTACACTGCTTTTGCCTTTTAAGAGAACCATACATCTTCAGTACACATCTCAAAATTTCATTTGCAAAATCGCCCTTGGTGACTCCTTCAAATTATGACTCTGCTCAAGATAACAATTTATGACTATGTTTCTATGGCTTGACAACAATAATTTGTGACTTACGTTCAACAGCATTTCCAGCCATTTGTCCCAATATGATTTTGACATCACTTGGTTTCTGTAAAATAAAGAAATAAAACATGTCATGACCTTCAGCAGTTAATAACTTTTTGGTCAGCACGAAAACTATATTCAGCCAGCGCTGTGAGTAATGGGCTGGACAATTTCAGGGCCCATATGTGACAAGTGGTTTGCGTGGTTGACGTCAGAATGGCCTGTCAATATACTGCAGTGATAACTACACCGAAAACGATACGAAAATCCAAATAATATTGGTCATGATAATCAACAATACTGAACGAAAACAACAAAGGCAATGTAATCGATATTAGCTGCATATTGTTGGTCTCGACTCGAGACTAGCAAAAATATCGAGACCACAGGGTAAAGAGACCGAGACAAAGACTGAAACCACAGGATAGCGAGACCAAAACCGGGTGAGGGGGGGGGGGTGTCTCTCCCACTGGGACTCTCGAAAGTGGTCAGAATCCCCATCTACTGTTTGTACACAGAGGCCATAAAGGTGTTTATAATCATGTTTTAGCACTCCCTGTGTGAAAATTTCATGGCCCGGAGAGACAAATTTTTAATAATCATGTAGTTTAGGACACTTCTTACGTTTTACAAGTTCCGTTAATAAATCAAAACCCTGCCCCCTTTCCACAAAATTAAGCTAGCTAATATTCAACATAGTGTCTTAGCGAACTATTGTAGATGACTCCAAACACATAAAGTGACTTTTCCTGCTTGTATCATAGCCAAATGCGTAGGTATTAAGTCCCAAAACATAAAAGTGTCTTTTCGTTTTCTTATTTAGATATGAAACGGGGGTCCTAAACTACATGATTACCACATGTTTTTCTGTCTGTGTGTCTTTTTTTTCACAGAAGATGATCACTTTTCTCAAATGCTCACCAGGGATACCTTCGCAGTATTTCACTGAAATATCACAAGGAGGGGGCGTAATTCAAAGACTTGGAGTTCATGAATCTATGATATGCTGTCATCTAAACAAAGGAAGGTTTAAACAATCAAAAGAATTCTTCCCTTTACCTCTTCAATTGGGAGATTATTTAACTGACGCACATCATGAGCTGTGTCAAGAAGACCTGTAAAACAAAACAAAAACAAAAAAAAACATATTACATCTGATTCCACTTTTCAGTGAAAACTGAATATCTAAAGGGCTTCATCTGATATAAAATACTTATATCCTCATCTCTCCAGTTTCCAAATTACGTGCTAAATCAGAGCAATAAAAATCTTGATTACAGTGGAACGCCGCTATAACGAACATCGTGGGATCCACAGAAAGTGTTTGTAATAACAATCGTTCGGTATAGCAATTTTGAACCGCTGGTACCCTCTTTTGACCAATAGTGAACTTCACTGAACTGGCATTTCTCACATCCCGCGGCCGCACGAGGAGTCGTCACGAAACTATAGCAACGAGTGGTTTTCCCTTAATAGCCATCTATCACTCTTTAACATTCGAACACGATGTAACTATGGGTCGTTTTAAGGTTCGGGAATTAAAAGTAGCCCAAATAGTGTTTTATACATGTACAACCGGTACATTTTTGGTAAATCTGTTGACTTTTTTCAACAACGATGTTCAGAACGTTTTGAACATTTTGGCCAAGGATGATGATCAGTATAGCCGAATGTTCGGTATAGCGGTGTTCCACTGTATTAGGAAAATGGTGTCATTTCACTAATCTTCCTTTATCTTTGACTCTGTTTTATTTTTAAATTTGGTTGTTTTTTATCTTGTTACTTCCTAGAGGATTATACCAACAGCTCTTCATGTAGTTTTGTAGCATTTGGTAATGTACAAAATCTCCTTTTCAAAATATGACTCTCTTTAAGAGGGAAACATGCAACAGGGAAGTCACCCCGATCTTAGGAAAAATAAAACAAAATTAAAACAACACGGAGCAAAAACTATTTATTTCCAAACTTAAATTTAATTAAATTCCAAAAAATGTTTAAATTTTACAAATTGAAACTTTGTATGTCATACTTAAAAAATATGCATTTGATTGCTAATTGTGAACTTAAAACCTTTGCAGACAAGACCCATTTTGACATGTTTGTAAAAATACCACGAAGTAGGGTATACTCAGTGTTGTAGAACTCATACTCGGAACTCGTACTCAGGGAAAATTCGAGTACTTTTTGAGAATACTCGTACTTGAATATCAAACTACAAATTTACAATACTCATAAACGGGGAGCAAAGTACTTGGACTCGACAATTCAATATTGTACTAAACACCCCAAAAAAGAAAGTCCACACTAATTTGAGGCATCATAATTTTGAATCTGATTGTCTTATGATAACAGTCATTTATATAGACCTTTGGGGAATGTTGTTAGCTACATTTTGATACCACCCTTGCTACCAGAGACTGTAAATTGTCCAACATAAACAACAGTTTATGAAAAATGATGCAGTTTGAAAAGTTGCAAACATAAAGAATACGGGAGTGGAAATTGCCGAGTGCCAATGTCACACTGCCCGAAATAAACGGCAGGGAATACCGATCGCACAGTGCTTGCATGCATGGGAGCATGCGAATTGAATTGTTCGGGCACGGTGCAGTCGATAGGGGCCAATAACAGGCATGTGTGGTTACCCTTAGCAATTTCTCCTCGCGTAATCCTTAAATTTGCAACTTTTCAAACTGCAATATTTTTCATAAACCTTTGTCAATCTTGGACAATTTACAGTCTTTGGTAGCAGACGTGGTATCAAAATGTATTAACAAAATTCTCCAAAGGTCTATATAAATGACGTCATCATAAGACGATCAGATTCAAAATTATGGCCCCTCCAATAAGTGTGGACTTTGTGTTTTTTTGCGGTGTTTACATCATCAAAGTAATCATACTCGATTATAACTTAGGACTCGGGGAAAAATCAAGTAGTTTATTTTTTTATTAAAAAAAAAAATTCTCCTCATTTGGAGAATTAGCTGATTAGCTTTCAAGAAGTCTTGCTCAAAAGTAGTCCATAACATCCATGTTGCTGAATTGGTGGTTTCTGTTTCCACTCATTACTTGAGATTAGGCCTGGGCGAATATTGGATTGTTCTACTCGATTACTTGCAAAGAAATTAGTCCCGAGTAGTCGAATACTCGTAGTAGTTAATCCAATTCCCATAAAAGCAGAAAAAATGATTTATACATAAGTATGACGGGAAGTAACTACAAAAAATAGCGTGTAAGTCACACCACATTCTTCAGCACTGAGATATACTGTGCGACATTTTGAGTCATTTACTTGACTTTTGGGTTTTTTGGACGAATGGAATCCTAGGGAGAGAGAGGTGGAGGGAGCGATTCCCTGTTTGCAGGGGAAGTATTAAGCCGTGAACCCAAAACCCTAACTTTGCTACTCGCAAGTTCCTGCTTCTACTCACACCAGGACGAGTACTAGCGTAGATGAAAACCACGAGTTGAACAACGAGTAGCATAAACTGCTCACGAGTACTCGAGTAATCAAGTTACTTGCCCAGCAGTACTTGAGATTTAATTTGTTTTCACTTGAGTACTCCGTAAAATACTCATACTCGGAGGTCCAAGAACTCGCATTTGTACTCGGAGGTCCAAGTTACACGGACTCGGCTTCACAATAACTTGTACTCAAAGGTCACAGTACTTGGACTCAGGAACCTGTACTCATTCTCAAGGCTCAAAGTACTCTGAGGCGAGTTGTACTCAATGGCTTGGTACTCGGGAGTACTTTGTACTCGGATAAAAGTACTCGACTACAACACTGAGTATAGTTGTAGTCGAGGGTTACCTTCTTTTTCAAAGATGGCAGCCAGTCCGTCTTTGAATCGGTTGATGGCTCGGAGTAAACGGTTGCTCTCCTTCAAGATGTTTGTCAGCTGGAGCCTCATCTCATTCTCCTGTTTCCTCAGGGTGGCCTCACATCTTAGAAGATAAGAAATAAGAATTTTACATCAATTCAATTTTAAAATTACGGGATGGTTCTGGTAGCTGAAATGTTACGCAGCGTGAAATGTTGTTCAACTTACGCCATTAATTGTGGCATAAGTGGAGTTGTGCCATTGCACAAAGTTTCAAGAAATTGGCTTGCAGGCCCACTTTAACCAGTTTGCGTCGGAGGCCATGTTAACATGCACTGGCTGTTTTTATACACAGGCACGGCTAAAACATCAAGGGTTAAAACATCAAGCGTGCCTCAACTCGCCTCTGGGTGACGTCTAAATATGCTAATCCCTCGTGTCTTTTGTACACATCACACACAAAGTCCGTGAAGTCTGTGGAGGTGGACCGTGTGTTGATCTTGAATTGGCTGCTGTGCATGGCTACAATTTACGCTCCGTTGCACAACCCGGAGTGTTGAAAAATATGAGGTTTCGGTAAGAAATATCGTACAAATACTGTTGAAATGACGCTTGCGAGTCAGTATTTGTGGCATTTGGCTGTATATCAGAAGTTGGCTGGAAAATTGTGCCTTTTGCGAAAATCGAAATTTTCGGCAAAAAAATCCTGGCGTGAAGTGCTTATAACTGGCCTGGCAATTTTTCCCGATGATTGTCAATTCTTACCTTTGTTTCTCCTTGGTGACGTAATCTTTCAGAGTGTGTAACTCCGTCTCGTGTTCACCCTTGAGCCGTGCCAGCATGTTACGCATCTCGGGGGAAGCACCAAGGGGCGGAGTTGCATCTTTGGCAGGGGGGAGGGCAGCTGCGGCGATGGCTTGGTGTTTCATCTGTGCGAGTATCTCTCCGATCTTTTTCTCCTGAGAAAACGTATGTCACCAAACCATAGAGCAATATCAAATTATTAGAACGCTAACTCCGTTTTCCCTCACAGGATATTAATGCATTTCCTGGGTCGGCCTGGGCGAGTAGTGGATTTTTCTACACGAGTACTCACAAAGAAATTACTCACAAGTAGTCGAGTACTCGCGAGTAGTTAACCGAATTCCCATAAAAGCAGAAAATGAGATATACGATAGTATGATGTGAAGACACTTACAAGCAAATAGCGTTGCAAGTCAGACCACATTCTTCAGCGCTGAGATATCTTTACTGTTCGACATTTTGGGTCATTTACTTGAATTTTCATTTTTTTTTTGGACGAATGGAATCCTAGGGAGAGAGAGGTGGATGGAGTGATTCCCTGTTTGCAGGGGACGTATTAAGCCGTGAACGCTATATTGCTACTCACGAGGACCTGCTTCTACGCCAGTCTGTGGTTCAAATCGAAAAACCCAATTTTCGATTTTTTGACAAACAATAACATCTGGGGTTTTACAGTTTGATTTCAATTAAATTTGCGTGTATTTTGGGACTTTACTGTATGATCATTCATATACCTGCAGTGCGATGGCTTCTTCCCTAAGCTTGATAACATCTTTGAGATGAGTGATTTCTTTCTCCATGTCGTCCATCTAGAAAAGAAAAGAGGGAGTGTGATAATTAACAGTCCTTCATTAGGGATATTAAAATCCTAGGACAATTTGACCATTCCTATTGCTCAAAAGCCCAACACATGGGTGGTTTTAAACCGCCGGTAAAACACTGATGAGAGCTACTGCGTTCTGCGCCACATTGGGCAGTGCGCACCACGTATTTGCCAGTCTCCATATAAGGAGATGTTTAGCACTACTCACATGAGGCAAATACCATAGACATGGCCAGAGGGGTGTTCCACAAAACATGAAGTAAAATGGTTGAACAAAATCGTTGGAAATTTGTCAATTCTTGACTTGTTTTGACTTTTTGACCGAAAAGGTATTTATAAATGGGGATAATAGTGTGCTGGCACAGTTTTAAACGTGCTGTTGAAAATCGCGATGTTTACAACCGATAACAGCCCAAGTCGAATATCAGTGACCAGACCCCAAGCTAGTTTTAAAGCACACATTTCATTATTATTTCCTTATTAATTGTTTTAGATGATATTATGGGCTCTGTGGACAAGTACCCCCTCAATGGCAAGAAAGGGAGAGTTGGGGGAGTCCACTGGGAGAGACATTGAAATGCATTGCCGACGACGCCTGACTCTCACGCCAAGCTTTGTGCACATTAAGAATAAATAATTTGTCTGTACTTTGCAAACCAGTACGTATGTGCACGTAATGTGTCCCTTTTGTTAGCGCACAGAGCTCATTATGTTAGCAACAGATATCAAGCAAAAGAACGGGGTATATTCAAGCTCTGTTGTACAAAGCAGCAGGGACAAAAAATTGTACACAAGTACATGAAAGGTGATGTTCCTGGGAACATGAGGTGATGTACTCCACAGAGTTCATCAAGTTGTCACATATGAACTTTTACAGTACGTCACATGACCAGTTCTCAGCCAATGCAAGTTAACCATCTTAAAGGCATATAGGATCATTTGCTTTTCTTGCATTTTGTTCGTTTCCAATAATTAAACCACTCAAAAAGCCAAAGAAGAATGTTTAGAAAAGTTTAATTCAGCTCAGTGGATATTACCCTTTTCAAGAAAACCAAATTGATCACGAAACCCAATTTCGTCTAAAGAAATCTTCATTTCCAATGATCAGCCAATTGACCTATCACAGTAGAATCGCGTTAGAATCGCATCAACGCAGCTTGTGAAATATTGTCAAATTACATGATATACAAATGGATGCGGAACGCGTAACATCTGAGACAAACAAAACTTAGTGTACAAAAATTCCATAGGGTTGTCTGAGGGGCGTGGCCAACTCGCAAGTGGTGATAGGTCAATTGACTGATCATTGGAAATCACCTACATTTCTCTACAGCAAGCCAGACAGAATAATTTCACAGGGTGTTCAGCACCAATATGTGGCCTAGTGGTCAGGGTTCGTGACTCATGATCAGAGGGTCAGGGGTTCGAATCCAGCTGCTGGCCATATGTGTCCTTGGGCAAGCACCCCCATTTGCCTCTCTCCACCCAGGAGTATAAATGGGTACCGGCATTACCTGGGGAGTAACCTGCAATGGACTAGCATCCCATCCAGGGGGAGTAGAAATATTCTCAGTCGTTTCATGCCACTGAAACCGGAGATAAACGCCAGCCTGATGGGCCACATTGGCTCGTGACAGACTTTACTTACTGACTACTATTTTAGTACCAGTATGATCTTTAATCCAAGTAAGCTTTTGAATTCAATTCGGTAGGTTACTTTTGGGATAAATGCAAATGATCCTATATGCCTTGACACCATGATTGTGAGTCTACCAGACCTCGTGCTTGTACTCGTTGATGCGTTGCTGGTACTGATCCCTGATGGAGGATTGCTGAGATTGCTTAGCCTCGCTTTGGAACTGAGTTATGTCCAGTTGGTGGGCATACTCCTCCGCTTGTTCTAAATATAGGAAAGTAAACAACGAACCAAAACTGTAATTTTGTGTACTATTTTCCCTTCCATTTTGGGTAATGAAATGGAGATATGAATAAGGAAGAGGAAGTGAATGAACTGAACCCGATTTCATGAAACTCATCGTAACTTATGATGCATCGTATTGCTGTGATGCCTGGTATCCGTATGATGCGCAGCTGCGACGCGTCCTACATGTGATTCATTGGACAGAATTCCATACCTGGACATCACTTGACAACCTGTGCACAAACCAGTATGAGACTGGTCTGAAAAACTCTAAGTGTTTTCTCAGTAATGCTTCAATATTTTCCCTGCTAAATTTGACTTTTTAGGACATGTTATCACTTTCTGATGGATGAAAGGTCACTGCAGGGAAAAATTAGTGATGTCCATGTATGGAATTCTTTCCGATTCATTTCACAAAACACGTCGTAAGTGTATTTAAAGCACAACACGACGACATGAACTTATTCTATGCACATTAAAAAGTTGTCTGATATCCAGCAAAGAGACGGTAGATCTTCTCTCGAAAAGTTTTTAAAATGTAAAACAAAATTGCGGATGAATGATGCAGGTTTAAATGACTGCTAGCTACTTCTGAATTTCAACTGCAATATCCCAGGCTAATTCATATTTTCGATGATGCATTATTCCATTTACAAGTTCAAACATTTTATGGCATAAGGCCCTTCTTGTTTTGCAATGACCAAGTGACACGTAACTTCCAACATGTTTTGGAACATTGTCAAGGAAGTGACGACGCGTTCAATGCATTGTAAGATTTGTGGAATGGACCATATGAAGCGTTGCAAGTTGCGACGTCTTAAGCATCAAAACTCAAGTTGCGACGCGTCGCAGTGCGTCATGAAATCCGGTGCAGGTCTCAGAAAAAGAATGAGCGGTTTGTGTTGTAGCGTTTTCAGATTATCAATTCTTAATTATCAATTCGTCTTAATTTTTAGTTAATTATCACACTTTAATTATCAATGTTCCTTTTGACTTTTTTAATGATTAATTCTCCTGAATGCATTACTCATCGTTTTCCTTGTATACACATACACCCACACAGTGCCTATGCAATGTGTAGTCCCTATAATTTTATACAGAGTAAATGACCTTCACTGCCCACACACAAGTCACTGGTCAGTTTCTTAGTACAACCAAGTTACTTTCAAGATCATTGTTTTAAGAAACTATATACTACTCATTCCTAGTCATTTTTCTGAGACTCAAGGAAACCACGATATGACTAAATTTCCCCATTCTTAAGTATTTCTTATTCCCAAGACTTCCTGTTTCCACCAGTATATAAGTCCTGCTCCACTAGCAGTTCTTCATTCTATTCTGTTTTCTGTTTCATTTCTGTTTCAATTCCATTTCTATTCTAGTCTATTTCAGTTCACCCAGTTCTCTTTGTCTCAGTTCACTGTAACCAGTTCAATCAATCAATGTGTATTAAAATATTGTTGTGGAATAAACAGTCACGGTAAACACAGTCCTCAACCAAATTGTGTATCGACCTATCCATTCCCCAACAGTGTTTTTATTATTGTTAACTATCTCTCTTTCTTCACTGTTCCATGTTTATTGGTTAATTACTTTAAAAAAAAAACAGTCGTTAATATTTGTTTCAAGTATAGACAAAAATAGAAGTAGGTTCTTTGAACAAACTGAATCTTACCCTGTACATCTGCAAGTTGTCCTTCCAGGTTTTCAATCACTTGTTTCAGTTTCTCTACTGTGTCCTAAAGATGGCAGCAAGAAAAATAACAATAAAAAAAAGATACAAATATAACATGGTTTGAGGGTTGATAGTCGATATTAGCTCCCATAGGTATTGGAAGTTGACAAACTAGTTCCTGAGGCCAAGCCGAGGGGATCGAGGCAAAGCCGCGGGGATTGAGGCCAAGCCGAGGGGAGGCAAAGCCGCGGGGATTGAGGCCAAGCCGAGGGGAGGCAAAGCCGCGGGGATTGAGGCCAAGCCGGGGGGAGGCAAAGCCGCGGGGATTGAGGCGAAGCCGAGGGGAGGCAAAGCCGCGGGGATTGAGGCGAAGCCGAGGGGAGGCAAAGCCGCGGGGATTGAGGCCAAGCCGAGGGGAGGCAAAGCCGCGGGGATTGAGGCGAAGCCGGGGGGAGGCAAAGCCGCGGGGATTGAGGCGAAGCCGAGGGGAGGCAAAGCCGCGGGGATTGAGGCCAAGCCGAGGGGAGGCAAAGCCGCGGGGATTGAGGCCAAGCCGAGGGGAGGCAAAGCCGCGGGGATTGAGGCCAAGCCGAAGGGAGGCAAAGCCGCGGGGAGGCAAATCCGAGGGGAGGCAAAGCCGCGGGGATTGAGGCCAAGCCGAGGGGAGGCAAAGCCGCGGGGATTGAGGCCAAGCCGAGGGGAGGCAAAGCCGCGGGGATTGAGGCCAAACCGAGGGGAGGCAAAGCCGCGGGGATTGAGGCCAAGCCGAGGGGAGGCAAAGCCGCGGGGATTGAGGCCAAGCCGAGGGGAGGCAAAGCCGCGGGGATTGAGGCCAAGCCGAAGGGAGGCAAAGCCGCGGGGAGGCAAATCCGAGGGGAGGCAAAGCCGCGGGGATTGAGGCCAAGCCGAAGGGGAGGCAAAGCCGCGGGGATTGAGGCCAAGCCGAGGGGAGGCAAAGCCGCGGGGATTGAGGCCAAGCCAAGGGGAGGCAAAGCCGCGGGGATTGAGGCCAAGCCGAGGGGAGGGAAAGCCGCGGGGAGGCAAAGCCAAGGGGAGGCAAAGCCGAGGGGAGGCAAAGCCGCGGGGAGGCAAAGCTGAGGGGAGGCAAAGCGAGGGGAGGCAAAGCCGTGGGGATTGAGGCGAAGCCGAGGGGAGGCAAAGCCGCGGGGATTGAGGCGAAGCCGAGGGGGGGCAAAGCCGCGGGGATTGAGGCGAAGTCGAGGGGAGGCAAAGCCGTGGGGATTGAGGCGAAGCCGAGGGGAGGCAAAGCCGCGGGGATTGAGGCGAAGCTGAGGGGAGGCAAAGCCGCGGGGATTGAGGCCAAGCCGAGGGGAGGCAAAGCCGCGGGGATTGAGGCCAAGCCGAGGGGAGGCAAAGCCGCGGGGATTGAGGCCAAGCCGAGGGGAGGCAAAGCCGCGGGGATTGAGGCCAAGCCGAGGGGAGGCAAAGCCGCGGGGATTGAGGCCAAGCCGAGGGGAGGCAAAGCCGCGGGGATTGAGGCCAAGCCGAGGGGAGGCAAAGCCGCGGGGATTGAGGCCAAGCCGAGGGGAGGCAAAGCCGCGGGGATTGAGGCCAAGCCGAGGGGAGGCAAAGCTGCGGGGATTGAGGCCAAGCCGAGGGGAGACAAAGCCGCGGGGATTGAGGCGAAGCCGAGGGTAGGCAAAGCCGCGGGGATTGAGGCGAAGCCGAGGGGAGGCAAAGCCGCGGGGATTGAGGCGAAGCCGAGGGGAGGCAAAGCCGCGGGGAGGCAAAGCCGAGGGGAGGCAAAGCTGAGGGGAGGCAAAGCCGAGGGGAGGCGATGCTGAGGGGAGGCAAAGCGAGGGGAGGCAAAGCCGCGGGGAGGCAAAGCCGAGGGGAGGCAAAGCTGAGGGGAGGCAAAGCTGAGGGGAGGCGAAGCCGAGGGGAGGCAAAGCTGAGGGGAGGCGAAGCCGAGGGGAGGCAAAGCCGCGGGGATTGAGGCGAAGCCGAGGGGAGGCAAAGCCGCGGGGAGGCAAAGCCGAGGGGAGGCAAAGCTGAGGGGAGGCAAAGCCGAGGGGAGGCGAGGCTGAGGGGAGGCAAAGCGAGGGGAGGCAAAGCCGAGGGGAGGCAAAGCGAGGGGAGGCAAAGCCGCGGGGAGGCAAAGCTGAGGGGAGGCAAAGCCGAGGGGAGGCGAAGCTGAGGGGAGGCAAAGCCGAGGGGAGGCGAAGCCGAGGGGAGGCGAAGCCGAGGGGAGGCGAAGCCGAGGGGAGGCGAAGCCGAGGGGAGGCGAAGCCGAGGGGAGGCAAAGCGAGGGGAGGCAAAGCCGAGGGGAGGCAAAGCTGAGGGGAGGCAAAGCCGAGGGGAGGCAAAGCCGAGGGGAGGCGAGGCTGAGGGGAGGCAAAGCGAGGGGAGGCAAAGCCGAGGGGAGGCGAGGCTGAGGGGAGGCAAAGCGAGGGGAGGCAAAGCCGAGGGGAGGCAAAGCGAGGGGAGGCAAAGCTGAGGGGAGGCAAAGCCGAGGGGAGGCGAAGCTGAGGGGAGGCAAAGCCGAGGGGAGGCAAAGCGAGGGGAGGCAAAGCCGCGGGGAGGCAAAGCTGAGGGGAGGCAAAGCCGAGGGGAGGCAAAGCGAGGGGAGGCAAAGCTGAGGGGAGGCAAAGCCGAGGGGAGGCGAAGCTGAGGGGAGGCAAAGCCGAGGGGAGGCAAAGCGAGGGGAGGCAAAGCCGAGGGGAGGCGAAGCTGAGGGGAGGCAAATATGCCCATGCGATAGTCTACTAGGCAAAGTTGAGGCGAGGCTGAGGGGAGGCAAAGCGAGGGGAGGCAAAGCCGAGGGGAGGCAAAGCGAGGGGAGGCAAAGCTGAGGGGAGGCAAAGCCGAGGGGAGGCGAAGCTGAGGGGAGGCAAAGCCGAGGGGAGGCAAAGCGAGGGGAGGCAAAGCCGAGGGGAGGCGAAGCTGAGGGGAGGCAAATATGCCCATGCGATAGTCTACTAGGCAAAGTAGGCATGCATATTTACCATACGTGAAACTTGCTTGCTAAACAGCAAATCTAGCGGCTGGCACATGATGGTGAATGGACCAGTGAGATTTTGGCTCTCGATGTATGAGGTACAGTAAAAAACAAACAAGTCACATTCTTCATAAACCTCTCCTAGGGAGCTATACTTTAAGAAACTAGTAAAATTCTATTTCATGAAATTGTTTCATTTTATTCGATAGTTTTACCTCAGTGTCATACAGCTTTGCCAGTGTGTGCTCCACTTCTTTGACTAATTCATCCTCCTTGGCTGCAGCTTCTGTCTGCACGGTCTTCATCTCATCTTGTAATCGTGCTGTCGATTAAAAAATGATGTTGTTCTTGAACAAATCGTACTCTTCAACATTAATGCCACTGGAATATGTACATTATTTTTATTTCCCAAACCTGTAGGCCTATGGGCTCCGTGCGCAAGTACCCCCTCAACGGTCAGAAAGGGAGAGTTGAAGGAGACCATTGAGAGGACATTCAAAAGCATTGCCGACAACACCTGATGCTCACAAGACACTATGACTTGAGCCATACACTTTCAGATTAAAACTAGTCGTGCAAACCAGTACGCGCACGCAGTGTGTCTCAAAATTGGACCAAAAGCAGCATCTCTTGTTTAAGCATAGAGCCCATATTTATACATTGAAATACTGTAATCATCTGTCGTCAAACCCATCAGGGATCATGGTGCTAGTGTTCTTGAGCAACATAATTTACTGCAACTGACTCTCTCCACCCAGGAGTGTAATATGGGGAGTCAGGTTGGCGTAGCGGTACTTTCCTCGCCTTCCACCGCCGTGAACAAGGTTCGATTCCTGCCTGAACCAATTGGGTTTTCAGTCCCTGCCTGATTCCGTGTGTTTCCCTAGAATATCGTTCTTGGGTTTTCCTTCCACCTCTAACACTGTTATTTCTTCTCATTGTCTTCTCTCCAAAGGTTCTTCAGGCTTGCGAGCTACAGTGCCTAGGGCGCTTTTGTGGAATCCTCGTGTTTGATTGCCCGAAATAATTAATAATAATAATAATAATAAAAATAATAATGATCAGATGACGATGAGAACAAGTTACAATGATCTCACACTGCTGCATTTAAAACTGATCTCATGGTCACATGGAAACTTGAAAGAACTGTGAAACACTGTTAGACCTTTTTTTGTGAAGTGCTACATAAGCATCGTCATTATTCATTTGAATCATCATCCAAGTCTTTTACCGATTTCCTTTTCTGCCGCTTTGAGAGCAGCCTCCCTTTGTGCCTCTTCCTTTGGGTTAGGCTTCTTGACCGCCTTGGCCTGTTCCACTTTGTGCTTCATATCCTTCAGCTGGTTTTGTAGCTCTTTCTACATGACGAGAGAGAAAGACAAAATAAACAACTTTTACTTGGATGCCTGGCTGACTTCCACGTTGAAATAATCAAAGACAACATAAGTCAAACCACTGTTTAAGTGAAGGTTGCTTGGTTTTGTTCTGCTTTCTATGAAGAATCCAAACATCATCACTTACAATTTTGTGATTTTGTTTTTCAGTGAAGTTCTCCAGCGCTTCAAGCCGCGTCGTCTTCTGAGACAATTCCTTCTCCATTTTCTCATTTGCGTTGGTCAGATGGTTCGTATTGACCTGTCACAAAAACAAAATTGGCCGTGCAAAATGATAAAACAGATGGTGTTCTTAAACAATATAAATGCATCTGAAAAAAAATGTTAAACTTAGAACCTTTATAAATTGTATCAATAAACTGTGCTTCCAGATGTATCAATCTCTCTTGAGCTTATTAAAGAAAAAAATAGTTACAAAGCGTCTCGCTTAAAGACATATAGGATCATTTGCTTTTCATGCATTTTGTTTGTTTCGAATTATTACACCACTCAAAATCCAATGATGAATGTTAAAATCTAACCTGCTGAAGTTTCAGCTCAGTGGATATTACACTTTTCGAGAAAACAGTGAAAAATCATGCACAACCTTTTGATCACGAAACATGATTCTGCCAGTAGAATGCTATATTTCCAAAAATGAGTCAATTGACTGATTGTTGGAAATCACCTACATTTCTTGATTTCTTCAACATGACAGCTAGCCAGACGGAATAATTTCAAGTGGTGGTTTAGTACCAGTACGATCTTCAATCCAAATAAGCTTTGTGATAATAGGTCTCTCTCAAATGACATCATTTCCTACAGACCAGCTATGTGCATCAGCATTTTGAGCATCAACTTGCATAACGCGCATCAGCTGCATCGTATTTCGAACACATTTCGAGCAACAAGCGTGCATGTTTGGAACATTTTCAACACTGCGCAATGCACGCTTGATTGCGTAAAATACGCAGTTGCAGTTCTCCTACAGAGATGGTCTTCTTTGAGAGAGACCTATAATTTGGAAGGTCACTTTGGAGATAAATGCAAATGATCCTATGTCTCTCAGGACAAGCAGACTACATTCCCATTGGCTGGATCTGAATCATTTGACCATTACAGCATCTGGCAATCCATTTTTTTGACCAGTGAAGAAACAATTATTGTATTCTTGCTATGGACCAGAGTTCCCGAAATCTACTGAAGGTTCGACCAGGGTCCCACTAAGAGAGTTTGTCCAGATACCACCCCAACAATGACACTTTTTCCCGTTTGATAATTGACGATTCGTCCCTGACACCTTGACCCTTTTATATCATCTTTTTTATTACCCCCATCTCCAGTATTTGTTCACAAAGCTGCATATTCTCTTCGTTCCGTCGCTCCACCGCAACCGACATGAAGTTGAACTGTTTCAAGGCATTCTTGATCACTGTAACATATAGAAAATAACATAATCATAAAATGTAAACAGTTTGAAGTCATTACAGCCAACCGCTTTAACGTCAGTTTTTCAATTTCATCATCATTAAGGATCAATTTCTTAACATAATACAATCAAACCACCATAATACAATTATATTAAAGCTATAGTCCATCATTTGCAGCTATCCGAAAAGTAACTGGCGTAATTATTGTTGAAAAACATACTTGGTTGAAAGATAGTAAGGGGACTAAACTCCCTGTGAAATTATTCTTTCTGGCAAGCTGTCATTTTGAAGTAATCAACGAAAGAAGGCCTTTCCAACGGTGCTTCTTAAGACGCACAGTTGGAAATTTAAATTAGTAGTTCGTTTTGTTATTCGGCGAAGCGCGCGCAAGCATTGGCATGACGCACACACACGCATGGTTGCTACAATTCGTCGAATCAGTGCGCGACATCGCGTAGCTGCAATCGGCTCAGTGAGAACGTGTCTCGGACGCTGAATTCAGGCCCAATGCAAAACATGATTCAGCAACTTTTGATTTGAAATTGAGATCCTAGAATGCTGTTTTTCTCGGAATATACAGCTGAAGCTGAGCTGAAACTTCATCAGGTTAGTTGTTCAGTACCCTTCTTTAGAGTACGTTTGAGCACTTTTGTTGCTTCAAACGAACAAAATGCACAAATTCCAAATGATGGACTATATCTTTAATATTAAGGTTTTTGGGGGCCTTCCATTTATACTCAGGGATGTCCCGAGTGATTGTCAAAAACAAATATCACAAACTACTCATCTGGGACTCGAACCCACAGCCTCTTACTTACTAGTTCAGACGTCTTTCAGACAATCACTCAGGAAACACCGAGTATACAATGTTCAAAATACGTCGGTGAAGGGCAAACAATTATACATCACCCCGACGGAAAGCTAATGCTTGAAAAAAATATTGTGGTGGATCCAGGGGCAGTAACTGAACTTTTCTCAAATAAGGAAATTGTTCACATGTGAGAGCCCTTCCCCCCCCCCGGCACAGCCTCAGCCCCTCCCCCCCCCCTTCCCCCGGCTGCAAGCTCTCAGGATCCGCCCTTGTCTAAAGGAAGACTGTTTGACAATGTCTATAATAAAGGTCTACTGTTTTTCATGTTTCACCACAGGCAAAGTAGCAGGCGCGGTTCTAGAACCAATATTTTGGGGGGGCTAGCAGGGTGGATCCAGAATTTTTTTCAGGGAGGCATGCTGAAATGTAGACCAGTTATTTTCTCCAGACACTTAGGCCTCCAAAAATCAATAGGTGGGTGGGTGGGGGTGGGGGGGGGGGGGGCTCATGCCATATTTTCAATGGGGAGCGCACTATCTACAAATGCACCCTTGTCACGACTATTTCTTTAGGGGGAGACCATTCGCATGTACATCACAATCCTTCTTTTTGCTAATGCAAAATCTTTTTACGGAATTTATTGTGGGGGGGCTAGACAAAATATTGGGGGGGCTAAAGCCCCCCCAGCCCCCCCGTAGAACCGCGCCTGCAAAGTAGGATTTGCACATCAGTAGAACTGTGAATCTCTTGAATTGGGCAAAACTGATTTTACAAGTGTAGACGTACTGTTTCGGTCGTTGTTGGTTCGAGCCATTCTCATGGTATCTTCCAGAGCTTTCTTGACTTCTTGAGCTGCTGACTTCCAGTTGGCAGCATCGGCCAGAAGCGCTTTCTCTGCAGATGAGAAATTAAATCAAATACAGCTCACTAGGGGCACATCTCAATTCATATCCTGGACGAATTCCAGACAAGTTAAGGACACTGTATCGGGTATAAGTTGCAGGATTTTGAACAACTTCCCCGCAATCTTCCCGCATTGAAGTTATCAGAATAAGTGAGTCAAACAGTTGCTAATGAAAATTCCCCCCGGAACATGTCCGGGACAAATGCAGATTGTTCCGGACAATGTGAATGATTCTACCCGCAACTTGTCCAACTCATCCTACATACAAATTGAGCTGGGCCCTAAAAAGGTATATGTAACTGGGAAATCACAAAAAAAAACAAGGAAATTCCAAGCCCACTTAAGACACTGCAATGTTTGTCAATTATAAATGGCATACAGGGGAAGTGAAAACATGGAAAATCGGCTGATCTGAGGAATTGACTTGGGATTCGACTTGTGGTGGACTTGTGAATTGACTTGCAACACGCTAGTCTGAATTGGTCCAAGTGCGGTTAAGCTTCTGCGGTGTAGAGGTTGCTACATTGTATATCAACAAGATGAATCAAATCTTGTGATTTCTCTTGAGAACTTTGGCATTCAGATCCAAATCCAGACTGGGGCCGTGACCAACGACTGACTTGTGATTTGACATGTGGTTTGATTTGTGATCGGCTTTGATTTGAGTTGCTATTGACTTAGGCCAAAAAAAAAAGTCTCCGGTTTCTCGTATGGAGCTTGTCCAAAAAGTGGTGCGGCGACGCGGCTTTTTTTTTTTTTTTACCCGACTTTTTTGCTTCAAATGTCGGCTGATGACTGCAAATGGTGCCCGACTAAACTTAGTGCAAATATATGGGAGTCCAGAGAGGCCACATAAATCTTATTCTCGATCATAACTCCATCTAAAAACACGTTGAAATTGCGCAGCAGCAGAATTCCAGTCAAACCAGTGAGTTTGGCGGTTTTGAGACATCATCTTTCATTGAAAAAAAACTTTTTCATTTTGCCGACGCGCATGGCTACGGCGACGCGCACGCATACCAGAAACCGGAGATTTTTTTTTTTTGGCCTTATGATTTGATTTGATCCGACTTGTGATTTGACTCCCAGACAGTCAAAGTTTCGGCTCATAGTATGGCGGAACCCAAGCCCATGTGGAGGAAAAGCAACACATGGCCCTGGTATATTACACAAATATTGACTGCTTCAATTGGTGTAGTAAAACTAGCCTCCCGAGGTGATCCATGGAGTGTTCTGTTTCCTCAAGGTGTAGCTGAGGTGGAACGCTCCATGGATCACCGAGGGAGGCTAGTTTTACTACACCAAGAGTTAAAGCAGTCACTTTTTGTTTTATAATGCCTAACCCACAGATTCTGTTTGATTTTAAGAGATAGCTGATGAATTTAACCAAAATCCAATTAAAATGTATTTCTATTTCAATATGAGATTAGTTGAAAAGTTACTGGCAGTTTTCAAAACTACCCCTTCATGAAATGTTTGAACCCAGCTCTGTATAGCTAGCGCATGGGAACAATAATGCACAACACGCATAGCCTTATGCAGTTGCACACATGCAATACCAGTTGCTAACGTTGGTTGCGTAAAGTACTTTTTTCAGCCACTGTAAAGCATATTTGGCCATGCATAGCAAAGAAGTGAATATAGAAAATGCCATGTGACTCGCTCTCGGCCAATCAAAATACAGAATTTGTGGGTGAGGTGTTTATATAATGAAATATGGAATTTTACTGTTTTTTTACCATTGAGAACCTCTTGCGTTTCTTTGGCTTTGGCACGTATCGCAACCTGGCGTTGTGTTGCTAGACTACTGAAGGCTGGCTTCAACTCACTGCCTGCACCACTGGGTCTAAGCAACAAAACACAAAACTAAAATTTAAAAAAGTCCAAATCGTCTGCACATATTAAATTAAAAAAATTCAACTTCTTTTAATATGAAGTCAAATATTGGATGAGAATACAAGTTTATCAGTAATATTGACAAGCAAAGGGGAACATTCAGCCAGAGTTTGCCAAGATGTCACGTTGTATCTATAGGCATAATGTCTTCCACTTATGGAGAACGGGTTGAAACCCATGTTTGTTTAAATCTGAAGCAGCAGCGGTTTTTGGCCTCGTTTTTATATGATTTTCAGGCACTGAATTTTGAGCCAAAATGTAAGTTTGACAGCAAATTGAAGTTCTAGAAGCCTACCAGGTGGTTTGAACTAACCTCTTATTATACAGTGAATCCTACCACAAACAAATAACTGAAAAACTGGGGGGAAAACTGAAAAGGAAGTTTTAAAATGATTCTGAGAAAAAAATGTTATTTAGCTCACTCCAGATTTTCACGCTGAGCTAAGTCATTCATTGCCTCAAAGATCTCCTGTCCAAGATTCTTCAGTTTCTCAACATTTTTCCGGACAAACTTTTTGTTGTCGTTCAGAGCGGCACTGCAAGTAGAACAAGATATTAAAAGATGCAGTTGCTGTACAAGGTGAGTAAAAAAAAAAGGAAACCCAAATGGTAGGATCATTTTTTAAATGAAGTTCTGCATGTGGCACTTTCAGAATCTAGGATATGAAAGCCCTATTCATAAGCTTTCTTTTAGTACAGGAATCATTCAAACCACTCATGTACTTTTCAAGTTACAGAATTTTGAACACCGTTTTAAACTTCTGTCCACGGATCACAAAAAATGTAAATGTTCCTTCAGCAAAACGAAAACAATTCACATCAATAATATGTAATTTGAACAAAAATAAGAGATGCCAAAATCTAATTTGCAGAACAACCACCAACTAAAAAATGACAAAATTTGTAAGTTTAGGTTATATTTTGCAAAACTAAAGGAAAAAGTTCTCCTTTCTCAACTGTCCAGTTGACTCTCATTTTAACAAGAACTAGAATAATAAAATATAATTTGGAATTAAAAACAAATGTGAAATGAAGATAGAATCTCACTTTGCAGTTCGTTCCATTTCAACTTCTTCCTTGTCTCTTTCCTTGAAAAACTCTTCACTCAGTAAATTCTGCTCCTGTTGGATTAATTCAAACATATATTGGTTATTCTATAAATTTAGGGCCGAAAGTGTGACATTTCCCTGTTATCTCGGTACTTTGTAATTTGCCATTCAAGTATCAATATAGGGAATATACAACATTTGCAAACATCGAAAAATAAAACTACCAAGTTTTGGCGAAATACCTTAATAGGATGTTGGTAAATGACAGTCTAAAGCATCCTGTAAAATTATGGCACCTGGTATACTGTCATTTTCAAGAAAAGTGGTATTTTTGTATCAATTTCCAACGCTGATCGGCCGATCAGCGTTGGAAACAACTGGCTTTTTTTCAAATACTGGCCCCAATTGACCATTGCACTTGTTTGCAATCGATTACAAACCTATGAACGGGTACGAGCCAGCTAGACTGGTTCCCTGACCTTACAATTCCCCAATGTATGTAAACTGCTCTGTTTCTTCTTATATGGAGTCAGGGAACCAGACTACAGGAAAATGATCGTTTTTCTTGGTTTTTATAGCATTTTCGAACCCAAAACCTCAAAAAAAGTCAGTGTAACTATATTTGCTATATATTTCCAATCCCCCAATTCCATCCATTTCTGAAAATTACAGCAAAAGCAAATGATGTATATTCCCTTTAAGATTGACTTCATACAATTTTCTATTAGTTGGGGAGGTGGTAGCCTGCTATTCATAATCACTCTTGGAGGATGACTGCATTAAGGAGTGCATCAGAATTATACAATCATAGATTTCAGATGCAACAGGGACAGGACAAAAATTGACCCCAAATTTAATGAATGACCCATATCTAAAGGCATTTCTGAAAATTTTCAGTTGTCCATGACTCATTCAACTTCTCTCTAACTAAGCTGTCAAAACAAAAAATGTATCTACATCTAGGCTTTGGGTCCTTTGGGATGAGAAGATGGGTGAATTGTCCTCGGGAAAAAAAACCCAATTTTGTTTTATCTTTTGGGTTTTTTTTCGTAACTGCTAAAAGCTGGTGCCATCTTTTTTCTCTCCTTACAAAAAAAAATGACCAAAATGTCGCGGGGGGGGGGGGGGGATTTGTCCCCCACCCCCAGTATTTCAAACGATCTCGGCAATGTCCACAACTGGAATACACTATTATGTTTTTAAAAATGATTTTCAGAAATTTTCAATATTAGATAACACTATCACAATTTCCTATGTTATAGTCACCTTCAAGGTTGTACGAAAACAATTCCAAATTTGATAAATGAATGCTCACCAGTGTTGTCTGCACATCAAACAGCCAGTCTCCAACCTCATCAACGAGCTTTTGATTAAAAAAATCCAGTTCATTAATGATATCAAATAACATCTAATGATCAAGTCATTTCTAATAACTTCAAAGTCCAATTATATTTCCAATGCAAGTCATTCCACTTGTCATTCCTGTAAAATTATATGTGTTTGCTATGTGCAACTCCAATTAAGGAGACATTAGAGAAAGTAGAATGCTGAAATGTATGGATTCTTTTAAAAACAAATTTCAAATCTGAATTGTGTCATTGCCAGAGTCATTCCTCTATATCAACCATACCAACTATTTGAACCCATACGACTAAAATGACAAAACTTTTCATGAACTTGTGATGAGCAAATTAAGTTGAAATGATGCGAAAATGATTGATAATGTCTATGAAAAAAATTGTACACATGTTTAAAGTTGGATTTTGCCTTTCACTAAATTTGGTTCTTCATAAATGGGGAATTTTGTACAGAAGGTAAGGAAGTTGTAGGTCATAGTCATAACTTACAGTTTCTCGTCGGATGGAGACCTGGATGAATTCATGAACAGTATCCAAGATGTTCTGCTTGTGTAGCATCTGTAACAAATAGTTGGACAATTCAGTCTCTCTGGTATTCAGCGAAACTACACTTGCATTCACCTAAAATTCTCTCTTTGCTCATTCTCAAAAACTCTTAAAGGTATAGTCCATCATTTGTAATTTGTGCATTTTGTTCGTTTGAAGCAACAAAAGTGTTCAAAATCTAATGAAGGATACTGAACAACTAACCTGATGAAGTTTCAGCTCAGCTTTAGCAGTACATTTCGAGAAAAACAACATTCTAGGATCATGATTTCATATCAAAAGTTGCTGAATCATGTTTTGAATTAGGCCTGAATTCAGCATCCGAGACATGTTCTTACTGAGCCGATTGCAGCTACGCGATGTCGCGCACTGATCCGATGAATTATAGCAACCGCCCACGCGTGTGCGTCCTGCCAACGCTTGCGCGCACTTTGCAGAATAAAAAAGCGAACTACTAATTTGAATTTTCTACGGTGCTTCTTAAGAAGCACCGTTGGAAAGGCCTTCTTTTGTTGATTTCTTCAAAATGACAGCTTGCCAGAAAGAATAATTTCACAGGGAGTTTAGTCCCCTTACTATCTTTCACCCAAGTATGTTTTTCAACAATAATTATGCCAGTTACTTTTTGGATAGCTGCAAATGATGGACGCTGGCTTTAAATGTCATTGTACATTTAGACCTTTATTTATAAATACCTAAGACAGATTACCCATTCCTATTGGTCGAGAACCCGTCACGTGGGTAGTTTTAAATGGTTGATAAAACCACTGACTGGTTTTTTCCAGCACAGCTGCATTCTGTGTCACATTGCGCAGTACGCGCCACCCATGCGCAATTTTCCATATAAGGAGATTTTTTGGTACCACTCGCACGAGGCACATACATCAACATAGATAGAGGGGTGTTTCACAGAACATGAAATGAAACTGTTGAACAAAATCATTTGAAATTTATAATTTTTTGAATTTTTCTTCGTCTTCATCTGAAACTTATCCTTACCTCTTCTCTTCTGGCCTTAGTTTGAAATCCCGGAGGTCGACGCCTTCGCATCTCTTCCTCAATTACCTGCCAGCAGAGAAAAAAATAATCAAGTCATCAAAAACAAACAAACAGAACAAAAAATGCAGAAAATTTGTTCAACATATAAATAATACAGACCATTATAAATTGTGGATAAGTGTTTAACTTACCTCAGATTGGGTTGCATGGATGTTGGTGTTGACACCAAAATGAGCAAGCGCCTGGAAGAGTTGACAAAAGAAATCAAATTTGATTCCATTTGAGATCTATTTTGTATGCAAATTATATTCGAGGCAGCAGTGAATAGACCTTACGTGTCGCGGGCGTCTCAAAGGCTATTTTTTGTTATTTTAAAGATCATGCAATGTCGTTTTTTAAATGCAATACTTGAAAATGCACCTTTGTGTCCCACTTTACCTTATTTTCAATTTTCTTTTGCCATTTGCACATGTTGCAAGGGTATTTTGGTGCCTTTTTGGTTTTTATGCTAATACAAATTTCCATATTCATGAGCAAAAGTGTGATGTCATTTCAGGCAGAAACCCCAATTTTATGAAAGGGTCTATATACAGAATTGCGCCACTTTTCAATGGTGGTTTTTGTGGTGTCAAAAAGAGATTTCACCATGAAAAGGGACGCAATTCTCTAAATAGACCCTTTCATAAAATTGGTCAATGCTCAGTCAACCGTGAATGTAATGACAGAGTGTCATTTTAAAGAGGAGATTCAACCCTAACAGAGCATTTATCTCCTTTGATTCACATGTACCCTGCTTCTGTTCCAATCAGCAATAATATCTCGGTTTCGTTTTTTTTATCCACCCTGTAGTGTGGACTTCCTGCCTCCATGATTGAGACAATCCCAACTGTAGTTGGGACCATCCCAACTGGGACCATCCCAACTGTAGTTGGGACCATCCCAACTGTAGTTGGTACCATCCCAAGGCCGTGTCCGAAACGGGCTTCCAGAGCTAAGGCTACGTCTATTGTCAGCGCGTCCCTGCGTATTTTCAATGGGCACAGACCTAGACCTAGCTCTAGGCAGTTGATTCGGATGCAGCCCAACTGTAGTTGGGACCATCCCAACTGTAGTTGGTACCATCCCAACTGTAGTTGGTACCATCCCAACTGTAGTTGGGACCATCCCAACTGGGACCATCCCAACTGTAGTTGGGACCATCCCAACTGGGACCATCCCAACTGTAGTTGGGACCATCCCAACTGGGACCATCCCAACTGTAGTTGGGACCATCCCAACTGTAGTTGGGACCATCCCAACTGTAGTTGGGACCATCCCAACTGGGACCATCCCAACTGTAGTTGGGACCATCCCAATTGTGGTTGGGGTGATGCTATAGGGGCGAAACAGTTTCATTACCGGAAATAAAAAATTATGACTTTCAGCGATTACTTCCAGTTCCTGTCTGGACTTACAGCTTTGACTCTGTCATGAATAGTGCAGAGTTGCTTGATTGTCCCCTCCTGTGCCCTCATCTGCTTGGCCAAGATCAGATCTTCAAAAACACCGATAACCTGTTCAGGAACTTCAAGGATAATCTCCTCAAGTTCCTGGATTTGCATCTCATCTCGGGAAGAAGACATCTTGATTGATTCAAACAAATTTTACTTCACACCTGTAAAATAGAAAGTAAGTAAAATATGGTAGGCCTAACTCATTAATGTCAAGTCCCGAGTGACATGATTTTTGAAGAAAATGAAGAAAATAAGTTAATACTGAAAAAAAAAAAAGGATTACATTTTTAAGGTATTTTTAACAAACTTCAGATGTTTCTATCTAGGTTAGAGAAGATTTAGGCTTTGCATGGTTGAGTAGCAGTATCGTTTCCGTTTGCTGCAACACCATATGTGGTAATAACTACTGTTGCTCAGTAGTATTAAGTTCTGATTAGAACTTGTCCTGCTTATTATCAACTTTCGAAATGGGCATCCCATTCAAACACTGCCCAATGCTCACAGCAAACTGACACAGCTGAGCGAGCAGGACACAGTATATGGGCATCCCACTCCAACACAATGCCGAACAGATAACCAATCAGCATCCAACACAAGCACTCCAATCCTAACACAGCCTACTAAGGAGCATCTCCAACTCTCCTCAGCCTCCTGACGATGACTAAAGCAGGCTAGTAGAAATGTTGAGACCAAAGACAAGTTCTTTAGACTGGACTGTTCTTATCAGAACTAAAAACTACTTAGCGAAAGTTGATATTAAATAAGCAGGACAAGTTCTTAAATATCTACTGAGCAATGTTCAGTAGTTATTTCCACATGGTGTTACCGCAAACCGAAACGATAGGTTTGAGAAACTACACAACAAAATAAACAGAAAGACAATCACCGCTGATCAAACATTTGTCAAATATAGCACAATGAATTAAATTAGAACACTGCTTCTACATTATTCATGATAGGCCTATGCCAATAAGAAGAATCTGATTAAACCATGGAGGAATAAAAACATATTTCCTCCATGATTTAATTAAACACACTCCAAAAAAGGAAAACCAAAGTTTAAAAATTACATTGACATCCCTACTCTTAGTAAGATTTAAGACAGAACACTACCCAAATCCCTTACCCCTTTCCAACTTTGAGTCATCTTTTGTGGTTAACGTGGGGTCGCTGTGCCAAAATGTAAACAGACACACGTGCGTCGGGCTCTATGGCAAAGTGGCCCGCGAACCATTGTTCCTGTGTGCCACGTGAGTAAACACATTGTGACACCTGACAATAATGACAATAGATAATGGCTAGTCACCACTGCGCACTTTTTGCACCTTGGTCACAACACAACAATGGCACACAACTATGCCAAGAATGTAAACAAACCCCACGTGCGTTTTCAACACGCATGACTTGTTCAAGAAACATGAGGGGTCATGACCACTACATGTATGTATTCTCTGAGGTAATTTCTTTGGCAATTGCGGCCCTAATCAGCCGACTCGTCAATGAAAAGCTTGAGAAATAGTGGTTCGATATAAAAACAAACTAGGATCAACATCATTATATGGGAGGTAACATTTAACAACGGTAATTATGTTTGAGGAAAGTTTTCAAAAGTACAACACAATTTAAATGTCAATAACAATTATTAAGTGAAATTTGAATTAACAAATAATCAAAAAAGGAATATCTTCGACGGTTAAAGAGTTCAAGGAATGTAGTTTTTTTTACAATCACCCCTACAAATATAAGTGGTTTTTCCGCTCGTCAACACGCGTACGTGAATTCGTAAAGAGTTGCTGGTACCCGCACTGAATAATTGCGCTCTTTCATACCAAGGTTTACCACCTAATTAAATACCCACAAAATTCGTGAAGGAAAAATCATTGTGGGCACGCTTTCGTGGCCAGATGCTGTAAATTCCGGTAAGTAATACTACATTTCCTTGTCAGTTTGACCCATTCATACATTTTTGCAACAGCACCGGGTAAACGTTATTCCGATTTAGTTCATTAAACTTGAATACGGGTATAATTTTCACGAATTCACGCTATTTTGGGGGGTTGGCTGGTTGGTCATGTTGGTGTTGAGAGTCGAATAATTTTGGGTGGACATGTTCCGTGATCTCTACAGTGCATTCCTGTTACTAAATTCATGTGTGTGCCTATGCATATTATGTGTGTTCCCAGTGTTACTTCTAGAATTAAGTATTGCCTGTGTCATCGACCAAACTCGTGTTGTTGGATGGAACGCCGCTGAAAATAAGCTAGTGTGGTATTCCAACACAACAGAGGTTGTCTTGTCATGCTTGTTCGGGTGAAATTGGGACGGCTTTCGAGCAGAAACAAACACAATGGCATTCATATTCTGGAAAAAAATGTTGCAACCTGACACCACTTTTTTCTTCGTAGTTATCATCAGACCCCCTAACATGACGGGTCCTGTTTTGACCGCCTGCATTCAATTTGCGTTGGACAACGCGCGCGCACTGCAAGCGTTACCTGCGCCAATCATGATGACTCAACGATATATCATCGCAAAGAAGATCAGTCATTGCAAAAATGATGATAAAACATGAATCTGGGACTGAGAAACATTTCCAATTTTGTTGGGAAATACTAAGAAAGTTTTCTTGACTCTCCATAGACTTTGTACACAACCGCTGAAGTGGCGTCAGGTTGCATCATATTTTCCCATATTCCTGTAATCTGCTTGAGACTGTTGAGTTCATGGGTCATAATACTCGTGCTTTCCACTGAGCGTGCATCAACTTTGCCAAAGTACATTGCCGGCTGTTGCCTGTCAAAGTGTCATTCAGTAATCATCTGTCTGAAATACGCCCACATGCGCGCTTTTCACTAAAATTGAATGACAGGCAACAAGCTGGGTGTTTGTGAAAATACCGGTTTAAAGTTTTGTTGATTTGCCCTGATTGGGGCACTAGTACGACCAACCAAAGACAAGATTCGAAAAAAGGAGTTCTAGCGCCCCAGTTACTGGGTCTAGTAACAAAACCATCTTTCCCAAACATAAAAATGGAACGCTAAAGGTCCTAAATGCCTCCCGAACCCTCTACCTTGAATTTTCACCAAATACACGCAGTACACACCCGCATCGCATGCACTACAATCTAGTACTTGAGAACCACTGATGTGATCTCCATATAAGGAAATGTGTTGAGCACACGGCGTGCTGCACACTATTGAAACTTTTGCTCAAAACATGGAGTAAAAATGGTCGAACTAAATTGTTGGAAAATTGTCAACTTTTTCAACTTTTTTTTATGGTGTTACACTGAAATAGTATTGTGATGGAGCAAAACTGCTTGGGTATGGTGGTTGATAAAAGCCCATAACAGGCTTTAAACCACATGTTTATAACTGTTTCATGACACTTTTATCCCTCAGTCAATAAGTTGTTTACATAAATACTGATTAAATGCACAATGGGTACACGTCTGTCAACAGTGATAGTGTAGTTTTATCTGAAAACTAAATGTAAGTGATGAATTACAAACATTCATTGTACATGTACATGTACTAGCGATTATGTAGTGTACGTTTTTGTACATGTATGCATGTACAGCTTACATGTTTTTTTTGTTTACGGACTTCCTATTTCAAACACCATTTATCATCAGACATATCAGTAGTGTAATCAGACTGTCAAGGATCCATATAGTCAGAAGATGACAGTTGCATGTTGCACGTGTACAATAGAACAAAAATATGTACAATGTATACATGTTACAATACATGCTAGTAGCTATCCTAGAAGTGAGCTATCCTAGAATCATAAATGCTTTAAAAAAACAAGTACCCTGGTATTATCCTAGTGCAGAGCAGGACTTTTGTACCCCTGTATCTAATTTGAAAATTCTTTATCACAAAAATTTCTATTATAGCTTCATACCGGTACTATAATGAATTTTTAAGTTTCTTGTAGGGATTTCTTTTCTCTTTTTCTGTAAAATAATAATGTTTTGAACATTGTTTTGGAGAAGGATAGAAGTAATTGTCCCATGCATGCAAGTTTCCTGAACTGAAACGAGGCTACGCATTGTCAGTCTTTTTTGCCTGTTAAGAAGTGAATGATTACAAAATACTGAAAAAAATACTTTGAATTATGAAATTATTACTTTGAATAACACAAGTTAAATGATTTTTTTATGTCATAAACAGTGAAATCAACACCTTGAATGAAAATATTACTCTGAATAATAAATTGGATTCAGATTAATATACCTGGGGAAAGTAAACTTTGCATACATGTACGAGACTTGAAAGATTTCACAATGTGCCATACTGAGTCTGTACTCTGAGCCCGGCTTATGATTCATTTCCAGGCTTCTGAGGGCCCAAATCCTAAATATAACCCTCGGTCCGTGTCAGGCTGTCTAGTAATCTATCCAGGATATGAAATCACTGCCTGGGTAACTAGTTCATCTTTAGACAGGAATAGAAACGGTGATGGTGTGTGGATACATGGGTGTATATGTACATGTACGTGTACGTGCGCACTGGTGAGATCATTAAAGAGTTACTCTGTGGACTGGACCCTAACCCACCTCACTCCTCCAAAATCCTCCTGGCGGTTTTGGAGGATTCTAGAGGATTGAGGATGCATGGTGATTGAATCAAATGAGGATTCTGGAGGATTGAGGATGAATGGTGATTGAAGCACATGAGGATTTTGGAGGATTGAGGATGAATGGTGATTGAAGCACATGAGGATTTTGGAGGATTGAGGATGAATGGTGATTGAAGCACAAGAGGATTTTGGAGGATTGAGGATGAATGCATTTTGAGGCAGGACTGTCTGATGATTTTGAAGGATTTGGCATTGGTTATCCTTCATTTAAACACGAGTGCAAAGTTTTGGGATGAGGAGGATTAAGGATGAATGCATTTTGAGGCAGGACTGTCTGACAATTTGAAAAATTTAGGCGGAGTTGCAAAATTTTGGAGGATTTTGGAGGATTGAGGATGGTTGTAAGCAACAAGGGCCTAGGGGGTTAGGGTTAACCGTTATTATGAGGGCGAGGGCACACTTCAATTCTTTTTGGTAGGTACATGAGTTTTTGGGTACATGTATGCACTCTGTGCATAAACAGTAGATAGCTTTGTGAACATTTTCAAAAGCCCAAGTGGGAGGGAACATGCAGTCCGCATTTGGTACAAGGTGACCCTACACCCACTTATTTTATTCTGCACACACCATACATTTGACAATTGTTGACTGCTGTCATGGCTGTGATGTTTTAAACACCGGAGGGGTGCATAGCACCCAAGGCGAAGCCGAGGGTGCTATGCGCCCCTCGGGGGTTCAAAACGTAATGTCCCACATCACAGCTGTCGACAATTGTTTTGTAATACCTCTGTCTTGGATTCTTTGGATTTTGATGTAAAAATCACGAAAACAAATAGCACTTACGTGTAAACACAACAATCATAACAATCGAATAGCAACTTGCATGCATGTCGCGTGCTTGAAACAGCTGATCGTCTGCTAGTTCGCTGCCCACACTCATGTGTGAAATCATGGTGAAAATAGCGTTGGTACCGACGATACAAGCGTTTCACACCGTACGTATCGTACACGTGTACAACTACAAAGTCATAGCACACTCCCTGTGGGATATCACGTACCGTGGGATATCACGTACCTGATATCCCTCAAGTGTGCCATGACTTTTTATAAATTTAACACGTGATAGTTCTAGTCTAATGAAAATACAGTATTCAAGACAGAGGTATAACAAGTACAGTTGTAGCATCTTCACGTGAGCATCAGGCATCATCAGCAATGCGTTCAAATGTCCCTCCAAGTGGTCTCCCCCAACTCTCACACTAACCGTTCAGAGAGTACTTGTGCACTGAGTGAGTCCATAGACCATCAAAACATGTAAACCTAGACCTGATGCACAGGTCTACATGTATGCTTTTACGTCGTGTGTTTCTGGGCCCGAACTCTGTGTCCTGTAGCCGCCATCTTTATGCAGATCGCGTCATGTGACTACTTCCTTTGTGCATTTGTTGAGCTCACGATTATGTTCTTTGTGCATTTAAATTTGGGGTAAAAAAAATGCAGGCTTATGTCCAGTCTAGGTTTATTAAAGCCGGCCTCAGGTCGACCCACAATTTGCTTGCACCACGACAGAACCGTTGGCATCAAGCACAAAAATTATGCTCAGGTCACAAAACTGAGAAATCGTGTGATTGTTGCGGAACACGTCGCAGAAGTTGAAATATTTCTACTCTTGCGCCTGTTGATGTTTTTTGAGCACCGGTTGATGCCGATCATCTTAATATCGTCACAGTTTACACTCAGGTCGCAAAAAATGGGCGACTGAGTTGTTCCCGACGGTCGTAGCTCAGGCACAGCTTGATCCTGAAAAGTCAGTCGCCGACTGATTGGTGTCGTCGCAAGGTCGACCTGCGGCTGGCTTTAGATGTCTATTATGTCATGGACTTAAACACAGACCATAATTACTGAGACAGTGCTCCTTCAACCAAAAGGATTTTTCCAATTAGCCTAAATTCCAAGTTGCATGTACCCTCAAATTTGAGAAAACATGTGGTATGCATGTCACGCGAGTGTGGAACTGAGTCGGTAATGCTTAAAATTGTGGCTGTCGGGGGGGGGGGGGGGGGGGGGGGCAAAGTCAGATCTTGGCCATCGAGTGACGAAAAATTATGAAACTCTGTACATTGTCAGAATTTTATGTTTTTGGTATCAAAAGATGCGCAAGGTTTGAGGCTAAAAAGTCAGAAAAGCTTGGGTCGGGAATTTTGGGGTTTTTTGCAAGGGTATCGCAGAAAAAGTTGAGGGGGGGGGCAGATCCCCCCTCCCCCCCCCCCCCCCCCCCCCCGGACCTTTTAGGGTTAATATAGTTTCTTCTTTGCAAGAATTGAAGTAAAGTTGTAATCATCCTGTAAAGGAACAAACATATTTGTGCATCTTTATATTCTTCACTGAAAATTGACACTCTCCCCCTCCCTCACATGTTAGAATTCATGAAAGAGTAGAGTAGACAGATGGCAAATAAACTTTGCACAGAAGAGCCTGACATTTCAGAAGTGAACAAAACAGTAACCTTTGCTGGTTGGCTGGGGAACAATTGAAATCTATACCTTCAACGGTGTTTGTGGAAAAAAATTCCAGTTAATAGAACTCTTCACATTGTCTCATTGCACTTTGCAAAGGCAGACTATTTGAGAAAAGGGCAGTTGATATGGTTGACAAATTCTGTGTATATATTTATAGTTTTTCCATTTATTATAAAAAACAAATATATTTAAGTGTACAATATCAGTGTCCGTTTGAAAAACAAAAATAATTCCCTAATGTCTGATTCACAGTATAATCAGAATGAATGAGTATGAAAAACACTGCTCCAGATTTAGAACAACGAAAAAGATACTTAACAAACATGTGGAGATTGAATAGCATTCATAGGTTTGCACTTCGTGAATATTTATAGGTGCGTTCAAATTTATGACACAGCTGGTGCAATAAAATGCACCTGTTATTTGACGTATTGTATAATTTTGTGAAGTTATTATTGAGTTGCAGGTGAAGTAGGCCCTATGTAAAAAAAAGAAGCCTACTGATAAAGATGAAAGTGCATAGTTGAAAGGTAATTTAGACCTGTCAATCACTTTCAATGCATCAGTCGACTAATATTGATGAATCAAGGGGTACTTAACTCTACACAAGCTTGTAAATTGTAATGGCCTCATGAACACTATCATTAAGTCAGCTGCATAAGTGAACTCCCCTAAGGCAGTGAAATGCAATGTGAGCCACTTGAGTATTCAAGGCATGTAAGGTCGCCACCTCAAGTAGTTTGCAATGCTGGGGGAGTAGTGCTTTCAGAGAAATAATGTATTCTCTGATTGCGCTACTCATCAGTGGAACCTGTAAATTCTGGGTTAACTACATGTACATAGCTGGGTATTAATTGTAACCTAGCACATAATGCATTTGTTGTCAGTTGTACTAGGGTAAGATAAAATATGCATCTTCTTAGGCGAAGTAAAACAAAATTGTTTCTCGTCCCCACCCGCTTCCTTTTTGGAGGCCGCCTGGATTTTTTTAATTATTTTTTATTTTTGAAAAATGCAGTAAAAAAAAACACCGAAAAAGTCCACAGATTCATCGGAAAATAAATACCAATACCAATACAACTCTAAATGACACTGTAAATATGTCCAGTTCTCTTGTCCAACTTGTCTTTCATTTTAAAAGTGTCTTTGAGCAGTGGAAACACCAATGGTTGCAGGAAATTTTAAAATGGCGGCCATCTTGAAAAAATAAAAAATAAAAAACCCCTCTTCCTAGTTTTTTTCAAAAACCCGGACAAGAAACATGGTTTTTTTTATTCGGCCTTATCAAAAGCAGATGTTCTTTAAATCAGAAATTATGAGAAAATGCACTGTATCATTCACACTTAGACAAGCTGGACTGAACACTTTATCTGCACTGATCAAAATTATGTTGAATGTGCATGACATCTGCAATCTTGGGCATAACAACCCATTACTTTGCCCTGTAAAACTATCAATGTACTGAATTGTTGGTACCATCAGTGTATGGTTGTAATGTAAACAAAAGACTTGCTGGCATTTTTAAGCCCATCATGACAGTTGCATCATTACTGGTTTAGGCTGATAATTAAACTTACATGTATGGTAATACATGTATGCAGTATCAAAATGGAAAGAATTTGCGATGGGACTGAACAACTTTAGACTGGTTAAGTGTTGTCTGTTTACTTACTGCAGATGTACATGTACGTGTATAGTACGTACGTTCGGCATACATGTACATGTACATTGTGTCTTTTGAGTATGATTATTCTACGTATGTATTTGTTCATGTACATACATACATAAAGATTCCAGCAATCCATTGGATGATGTACATAAATATCAAATTGATCATGCCTGTAAAAGCATTGAGATTGGCAGACATAAATTTGCCGTTGATTACAAAACCGAATTCCCATTATGATAGCCTCCAGATATGATAACGCTCTCGCTCACATATCCATTGCACCCTCTACACAAATGACTGAATGGCATTAGCATACCGGTCCCCCGAGGCCCTGTTGTCGTGACAACAGCTGACATGCACAGTTGCCATGGTAATCGGCAATCCATCCATTGAGCGGCGATTGCTCCACAGTAGCCGCCACCTCCCTACCCATCAAGTCAACCTGTGAATTATGGATTCACCGCCGGATTAATTTCCATAATTATTTCTTTCAAATGGAACGAGCGTTCCAGACGCGGGGACGAGTAATTTAACCGTCCAGCGTGTGAGATTGCTTAGCCACCTTCCAGTAATCTCGCATAGTCTAGACAGTTATTGAAAATAGACATAATTGAGTAGTTTTTTTCAGCAAAAATCTGTGCATGGATCATTACTAAACACAAATTATAGGCTATTAAAAGTTAAGTTGTGAATATTTTTTAAAAATTTAGAAATTGAACTAGTTTTGTAGGACACGTTTGGGTTGCTTTGGTGTCCTTGTTTCTCCCTGGATCACAGTTGCTGTTTGGACTTGTTCATCCCTTGAAAATCATGTTTGTTTACAGACCTTTGTACAACTCTAGTCAGGTGATGTATTTTGTGCAATGTTTCATCCCGAAAGTATGAAAATAATGAGACATCCCTTTTCGGTTGAATTTTTTGTAAAGTGCACTTTTTTGGACATTTAAACATAAGGGCACACCCTGTTCAGTTTAGGGTTGCTAACTTACTGTTCAAAATGGGAACCCTTATATTTGTTCACTGAAAATGTTTGTTGGTTTGTGCATCAAGTTTACTCGTTGACTTACTGTCGTAAACTAAAAGAAATCACCCAAATCACCCAAAACATGAAATTTGCCACAGCAAAAAAATCCAAAATTTCTTTTGTGCTGAATTAGCTTTAAAAATGAAATCTCCACCTGGAATGACATCACAGTTTTGCTCATGAATATGGAAATTAATATTCAGCATGAAAATAAAAAAGGCACCGAAATACCCTTTGCAAGGGAGATTTAGAATACAGTGAAATGGGACACAAAGGTGCACTTTCAGTGATTGCATTAGAACAACTCTATTTCATTGACTCTTTAAAGTCGTATGTACATGTATGGTACAAGTACTGCTGTGAAAGAAGTCCTCTTAAATTATGGTACCTTGTTGAACATTTTCTGAACTGTCTTGAGTTAATTGGAAGCATCACCACTATGGACCCACACAGGATATTTCTAATATTTGACAGGAAGTTGTGTGTCTGTTATTACCCTGTACATAGTACATGTACATGTACGCACATATTTTGGCAAAACTCCAAGCATTGACATTGTAAACTTCTATAAAACCATTCATGTTTAAAGGATGTGTACGTCAACAAGCTACAGTTCATTAAAAAATATGGATACATACATTTTAATTATATACATGTACCAATCTTCATCACAAATAAAGTGATGTTTTGAGGAAGTACAAGTACATGTACGTCAGTATTACCCTAAAAGTCAATTTAACAAAAAAGCATCCATCTTAGTAAAAGTAGAAATATGTAGAGCGTGAACTTCAAATGCTGTGCTAAATTTGATTAGATTTCCCTTTTTTTGCAAAGCATGAACCAGACTGACATGTTTGTCGTCTATCCCAAAAGCAAGAGTTGGCAGGGAAAAAAGGGAGTATTTTTAAAGGGGATACTTATTTTGTGTAAAATTGATACCCCATGAAAATTACTCAGCAGATACATGGAGGTCATCAGATTTTGCTGTCTGGTAACATAAAACGCAACTTGTTATCCACTACGGCATATATCGAACGCTACTGTCAATGTGAAATGTATATAATTTGTCGGGGGTGGGGGGGGGCAGATTTTGCCGCCCCCCCCCCCTTAGATCTCGGCCATCGAGTGTTGAACAATTTTGGAACTCGGTACATGCATAGAGCAACTTATCATGAACATACCCAAGAAATGTCATGACTATAGGTCAAAGGGTTTTAAAATTATGGCTAATTCATTATTCATATGTACGAATGGTAATTCTGCTCTGTGCACACGACGTATATGGGAAAATTCAGTTTTCACCAGAAAATTTTTTCAAGGCTATCCCGAAAAAAGTTGAGTGGGGGCGGATTACGCCCCCCCCCCCAGCCCTTTTAGGGTTAAGGGATCGGTCTCTTAAATATAGCCCCTGCAGTATAACCTCTGACCCTGTGACCTCTTCTTGACCCCCAGCTTGAAGCCTTCTCTATACATGCCACTAAGTCTACTCTTGCCACTTGTCTTGTGCTGCCTGTCGTAAAACCATGGCCACCGCTTCACCTGAGTCTCCCTGTCCAACTTCTTCCAGCAACAAGCGGAAGCGTTCCCCTAGTCCCGTGGGGGAGTCCTGCCCATCCTCCCCAGACGAGACTAGCGGGAGCCCGGCAGGAAGCTGCAGCAACTCCACTGGTCTGGCCGCGGATGCTGCACTAAAGGCTTCAAACGGTAACTAAACTGGGTAGTCTGTGGGGAAGGGAATCATAGCTAAAGGGGCCATGAAATGAATTTTTCTGAGGAACACATTTTGTACAACTGTCTACTCCTCTAAATGTATGAAAACTATTTGACATCCCTTTTTTGGTAATTTCATTGAAAAGTGCATATCTTTATAATGCATTTCAATAATTTCCAGGCTTTTGCAGACAACTGAGGGCGTTGTTGCTGTGATGTCATTTCAGGAAGACACTGTTCACTTTAGGGGTTTCCTGTTCAACTTTGCTCATGGAAAATATTTGTGAGAAAAGTTTACTCATTGGCTTAATGCCATGCTCTGACACAACAACAAATCACCAAAGAAAATGAAAAAACTTTACGACAGCAAAATATCCAAAATTCTGCCAACTTCTGGTGCTGAAATAGCTGTAACATTGGGGTTTCTGCCTGAAATGACATCACACTTTTTCTCATGAATATGGAAACTTGCATTAGCATAAAAACTAAAAATACACCAAAATACCCTTGAAAATGGCAAAGCGATACTATAAAATAAATAGTCACTTTCAGAATCTGCCACTTTCGACTTGGCGTCCTCCAATGTCGTTACAGTGCTGGGGACGGTGGCGGTAGGCGCATGCTGTAGCCGAAAGCTTCTGAAGGGATGCAGGATCACCCATGATGTCATTGCCCATCCCAATCATTTGCCGCAACACACGATCGAGGTGTGCAATGACATCAGGGGTGATCCTGCATTACTTCAGAAGCTTTCGGCCGCAGCATGCTCCTTCCGCCTCCATCTCCAGTGCTGTATCAACATTCTGAAAAAGTGAATATGTTCTTCGTATGGCATTTAAATCTCACCCCTTGCACAAAGCTAATGAGACTCGCTCCATAAAATTTGTTATGCCTTGTTTACATGATCTGAAATTTTGGTATAATTCCATTTGTAAACAACAGAGTTATGAAGAATCAAAAGTAAGGACATGTTTTTTTTTATACAGTACTGATGTATGAAATTGGCTTTTGCTCAGAAAATTTAGATTATGCAAACAATTTAGACTTTTAGTCTTAATTCAATGAAAACTCTTCTCTCCATGCTAGATTTTGCCAGGAGAAGTATTCTAGGACCCTCCAGGAAGAAGAAAAAGTGCGTTTCATTTGATGGGGTCACTGTCTTCTACTTCCGTCGTTCTCAGGGTTTCACCTCGGTACCCAGCCAAGGGGGCTCAACTCTAGGTGAGTAATAATGAAAGCTCTCTGTACATTCTGGATATAGTTTTCTCTATGGCCTCCATGTGCAAACAGTAGATAGCGTTATGTGACCACTTTCGACAGCTCCAGGGAGGGGAGATACACTGTGTGCTCATACTGGTACCCATGCAGATGGTGCGAAGAATGCTCGAATAATGTTATTCCGAATGTGCACAAAACCACATTCGTTGGTGTGTTCGAATGTCCATCCAAGTGGTCTCCCCAACTGCGTAATCATCGAGGTACCTTGGAATCCGGTGACCAGAATTAGAAGCTTTTACTGCGTCTGTGTCATGTGAGGTGCACGTGCATTTTGGTATTCCTCTTGGTTGAAGGAGCCAGGGTTGCGTGCATACTACCTGAGCCCGACTGGCGCGAGCCTTGCGCCACCGTAGAAATGGCTGCCGCCGGATTTGTCTGTACAGATCCATAAAAGATTGTATTCATATGGTGGTATTTGTCATAGCGTAGCAGCATTCTACTGTATACGCTCCGTACACAAGTTTTCCCGTCAATTGTAAGAAAGAGAAGTTGGGGGAGACCACTGGGAGAGACATTCAAACGCATTGCTGAAGACCCCTGACGCTCATACGAAGACACTATGGTTTTGTGCACATTCAGAATAAAATAAGTCATGCGTGATGTGCATTGTTATATTTGGAGTACAGTTTGGGATTGTTCTCTAATTTGTTTTTTGAAAAGTTGGTATTTACTTGACAATTTTTCTTCTTCTTTTTTGTTGTTGTCAGGAATGCTGCCCAAACATGAGTTGAAGAAGTCCTTCAGCCTGTGTGACTATTCCAAAGAGCAAGAGCGACTTCACCGCGTCATCCTGAAGAGGCAGCTGATTGAGAAGCGACAGCAGCAGTTTCTGGAGAACGGAGCCGCCGAGCTGGCCGAGGAGATCTCCGAGGAAGAGATCGAGGATGAACTCAGCAGCATCAACGTCTCGGATTATTACTTCTTGCAGCCCATCCCGACCAAGCAGCGGCGGGCCCTGCTGCGCATCGCCGGAGTCAAAAAGGTGGACAACGTGGAGAAAGTGGACCTGAAGAAGATCCGGGTCTCGCGGGAGAGCTGCGGCTGTGACTGCAGGAACGTCTGCAACCCGGCGACGTGTGCCTGCGCCCAGGCCGGCATCAAGTGTCAGGTGGACCGGTTGTCCTTCCCGTGCGGCTGCACCAAGGAAGGCTGCGGCAATTCTGAGGGAAGGGTGGAGTTCAATCCCGTCCGCGTTCGGACACATTTCCTTCACACCATCATGAGATTGGATGCCGACAGAGACTCCAACGGCGGAGAGGGACCGAGCAGCAGCGATGGTGGTGAGGAGGCGCCTAACGGAATGCTCAGAACATCCGAGGAGTACACCATGTTGGCATCCTGCACCAAACCGTGCTGTGACAACTCAACAACGGTGGGGGATAACTCGGCCACAGGGTACACCAACTCCTTAAACCAATACAACAATGGCCAAATGGCTTGCGCTACCATAGTGGAAGGCCACCACTTGTTCCCCAACCAATATGGTGGTCGCGGTGTCGAGGGTAATATTCCCGTAGAGGTCAAGCAGCATCTGAATGTGCAGGACCTTATTCCACGCATGCTGCACTACAACGATTCCGATGAGACCCTATTGAACCATCACCACCATGTTGGTCTCGGCTGCACTAATGATCCCGTCCCCTCCCTGGCCACCTACCCCCACTCAGACGACAGTATATTGACCTCCAGCTCCGATGCCAGCTCCAACGACAGCTATCATTATAACCAGTGCAACGAGTTTGCTTTCAAGGAATCTCCAACCTACGCTGAAATAAGCAAAGCCTCTGACATGTGCGTCAGCAGCGCAGCCGACACTAGCTTCACAGAGGTCCCTACCAACAAGCTGAGTACATTAGACGAAAGCTCCGATTTACACTTGGGATTGCCCTTGTGCAGTAGCAGCACGTTCACCGATCTCAATGCCCACATTACTACCTTTTCAGGTAATTTTGGTAATAACGTCGTCCGCCAACCCGCACCCTCCATCACAAGCAGTCCTGGCAGCTATGACAATGGTATGATCATGGACTCCAGCGTGAGCCAAACGGAGCCGTGCCATTTTGACAAGGGTGCCGTTTCCTCGACATCACTGGACTCCACGCCCTGCACCACCACAAGCAGTTACACCATCCTGAGTGCGCTGAATGCCATTGACCCCCTGGATGAGACAGAGTTGGCCACAAGCAAGATCAGCACGGTGGCTGTGTCCATGGGGGACACGTTCAACCATGCCACCGTCAATCACTCGGAGTTCCACGAGTTGCAGAATTGCAGCAGCGCCGAGGCGGTTGTGTCAGGTATGGTCCGAGTAAATTGTCCGGATGTGAAGCTCACACCGAATGATACTAATGGAGAGGAACAACCAATCCACTGCTTTGATTCCGTCAACAAAATGGAGGATCAAAACAAAGATGAAATGGTCCACTCTGCTCAATTGATTTGAAGCCCAAACAACTCAAGTGTTCACTCCCGTTGTTTTCCTTTGAAGTCTAAAGTTCGGGTTTTAAACTAAGGTTAGCCGTGTAGGCAAAGAAATGCAATATGATTTTGTTTTCTATTGAGCAAACCTTACCACCAGCATTGTTCAAAGTGGTCACAATGCATTTATTACATGTAGGTGGTGCTTATACTCCTTAACAGAAATGTTTTAATTGTGTCCAGTGTGCCCAATGACCATTTCGTGTCATAGGAACCAGATTTATACTACATGGCCAACCAAATTGCCAAATATTGCCATACAAGCCACTTACGTGTTATGAGCAGTTGCCTATATTGTAACACAACTCTTTACTTGTTTTTATGTGTTTCTTTTTGTTTATCTTAATTGTCGACAAAATTATAACTTAAGTTGAAATAAGATACCGGTAACTATAGTCTAAAAACACGCAAGACTAACTTAATACAGAATGTTCTAAGACACAATGACGAGATTTCTAAACCAAGTCTGATTAATTCTGATTACGATGTAAATTTACAGGCATGATATTTGAAGGCTGCCATTTTCTTATTTAAATTAATATAAAGTATACGTGTATACACTGAAAAGTGTAATCTCAAATTTGTTTATACCTATTTTTTTTCCCATAACAATGCATATTTAAAACAGTTTAACAATTCCAAACAATATATGCACAATCCAACGTGCACAGTGAATGGGGAAATCAGCTGTCTGCCTCATTGAAAAATTCGGATATAAACATTTTGGGCATGTGGACCTTGGATGCATTGATAATACTTGGAATGGACCCAATGCGTAGCGGCCATCGTAGAGGGCATCTTTTGTTATTTGTATTCAGTAACAATGAACGCACACAATATATTGCCCTTCAAGATGGCTGCTACACATAATGTCTATAGGTTTGGGTTTGTACTGAATACACACTACTTAAAAGTGTCTGTTCAGTTCAGTTCAGGGTCATGATGGGTGGCATGGGTGGCTTGTGCGTAAAGCGCTCGCCTCTCACCAAGGTGACCACGGTTCGAATCCTGGCTGCGGATCGCATGTGAGTAGAGTTGTGCGTTGGCTTTCTCCTGTGCCACGTGGGTTTTTCTCCGGGCCCTCCAATTTTCCTCTCTCCGGAAAAATCAAACACTTTCGATCTCAGGCTGTGCTCCGTGGTCATATATGGCAGCCATAGGTGCCTTTACGTGCCAGCGGCCTGACCACGTTGTAGCCGCGTCCTTCGCAATTCAGCATACCAGCTGCGAGTAAGGATGATTAGCCTCCCAAATTATTATCATTACAATGTAGGGACAAGTTGGGTAAGTTAAAAAGGGATCGTTTTCCTTCATGATTAATTTTGTGGATTTGTGTACATGTACGTACGTAAGATGTAAATTGTACGGTTGTTAAGTCTCTGTATAGATTTAGACCAAAAAAAGGTACACTTGAATAGCAAAGAAGTATTTTACGTACATATCTCATGGATCATGCTATGTGAAATGTAAAGAAAAAAAATCTAGTAGCAACTTTGTGTCATTTCTAAACTTGTTGAGTATTTTTCATAGCCAGATTGTATGGGCCCATGTGTGTGTGTGCTGACCTGTAAAAGTATTACACTTGTACATAATGTGTGTATGTATAGACTTAATTAATGCAGAACAATAGAGCCTTGTAACATGCCAAATAGCAAAGAAAACATAACACAATATTCTGAACTATTTATTCTGTATAAACGATTGAAAGAGCAGCTTTGAAGCTTTTTAAGTTAAAATCGATTTCAACTCTTGCCATCCAACCCATATTATGTGGTCATTAGAAGAACAAAAAAAAAGTATACGCCAAAATGTGCTGCATATTTGATTCAGTTTTCACATTCAAAACAGTATTTAAAAAAAAACACCTTTATAGTTTATTTATTGTTTAGAGGACACAAAACATTCTAAACACAGAAAGTATTTATGAGATTTTGTCGTTTTATTTTACAGGGTCCGTTCAGAAATATTGTCACTTTCAGAAACACTTCTAAAACTCTTTTATCAAGTCCTTTCAAGTGACCTTTTGCGTGCTCAAGTATTTATTTATAAAATTTCACGAGGATCTCTCTGTAAAAAAAAAAATGTTTTAGGTGCTGAGTTTATACGGGGAAAATGTGCAATGTTGAGTACTTAATCCAACCAGAAGGTCCAAGCTTGGTGTTGAGAATACACGTCAGATCATGAAGGTTCAGCCGCTGAATGCAATTCAATGGTTAAACTATGCCGTTCCTGTAAATACGTCCTGTATTTAAATAATGTGTTAGTCAACTAGAGTTTCTGAATTGTGTATCTGTCGCCCGCTTACTGTAGATGTGAATGTAGCTTAGTGCGCCAATTTGGAAAGTTTCATCCAGCGTTGTTATTTGTAATTTTCCGTGTGCATTTTTTCTCCCAGACTATGCTTGGCATTTTTACATACGTGTGTGTGTGCACAAGGGAAGAATGGGCTGTTTTTCAGTGCGTCCATGCTAACACCAGTATAGGATGACTCCACAGAAAGTCAATTACTTAGACTTGAAAAGACATGTGCATATGTAGAGCATTCAAGGGCGAATCAAGGAGCACATTTTTCATAATGGCGGTGCGCGTGTTAATATCAAACAAACGATCTTCCACAGCCATGTCTGTTCATTCAGTCATTATATTGCCGCACGCTGATTGGTTACACAATGAAATCACATTCTCCGGATGCGCACAGGACGTCGTAACTTCACACAGGTCGACTGCGATTGATTCCTGCCTGTCGGGAACACGTTCCGTCGCGGGGCAGAAGTTTTTAGCGCTGACTGATGCCGATTACTGCTGATCGTGTGATCATGAATCGCAGTTACACTTTGGTCGCAAAAAAAATGGCGACTGATATGTTCCCGACAGTCATACATTGTAGCTGGGGCACAGCTTGATCCTGAAAAAAAGTTAGTCTCTGACTGATCTGTGTTTGTCGCAAGGTCGACTTGAGGGTGGCCTTACATGTACATGCATGCATGGCGAACATTTATCCACACATCAGACATTTATCGTGGCTGTGATTGGAACAAACATCATGGGGCGCGGCTTAATTGATCCGTCTTCTGGTACAAGTACATGTACAAGCATGACAAGTGGCCCGAATAGCTGAGAACCAGTGAATTCAACTGGTTTCCCACCTCGATACACTGAATTACTTGGTTTCAAGAGAAAACCGTAGTACTTCAGTTCACATTTAGCTCATCACAAACCTGTACATGATGGCGCTTTCCTAGTCGCATTTTTTTACATGTGTGTTTGAGTGACTCTAATGTGGTTGTCCAGTATATTTGATACAGTGTTGAGTTTGATCAAAGTTTTGTCCGTGGACGTAACGTTTTTATCTCAGAGAGGTAAAATGACTTGGATTAGTATGTGGGAAGTCTGAAAACATTTCTTCATTATTTCTTTTAATTAGCAAGGTAGAATTCACGTACATTGTACATTGTAATATGCATATAAACATGTGTGCACAGAGTGTTTGTTTGTATGTCTGTGAGATTGGTTGTTGGTCTTTCATAATGGACCATTTACTTCCATAGCTGTTTCATGTCATTTTGCAGCAAAAGCCATTCAAACATTTCCATAGCCATAGTTTTATGATTACACAAAGGCGAGTTTGTCTCACAGTCCCTATGTGGACTTTTGAACAAAAGATGTCCACATAGTGCAGGTTGTGTTGACGTTATGTGGACAAAGCCGTGTCCACATAACGTTTCGCCCTCTCTGGAAAACAGGTTTAGAGGCATTTTCGGGTTAGGGTTATCAGTCGCAGAATGAAGAGAAACATTCAAGGAAATCAAAAAACAAATTTGGGGTTGAAAGAGTTTTCACAGTTTAAGTAAAGTTAGTTTTTGTACCGAGTTTTCTTAACGACACGAAAACAAAGGAATGTCCACATAGCGTATGTAAAACAAACGGGTGATTTTTTGAGTGTGTATTTGAGCATGTCTTGGGTGTACAGGCAAAGATGTAGCCAGTATCATTTTAGCGTTAAGCCATCTACCTAACTTGAAACCTACTCGGTGAGAAATATAACAGCATTTCTTGGCTACAGCTTTGAGTAACACACCACGCAAATACTGTCAGCCACAGCCATCTTATTTATACACAACCTTAGCTTCATGCACAACTTCATTTATTGCCAACTTTCTCGTGTGTTCACTCACGGTGCGTTCACACACTTGGTGCGTTCTCTCATACAAAATTAGTAAAACATGTTAACATTACATGCACAGATTTGTTCACATTATATTGGAAATTGGTCTAAGGCACTGCATGCTGTTAGCACAATGCTTTAACCATACTGGTATTAAATGGTTCACATTCGCTATGATACGACCCTCAACCATTTTTGCCAAGTTTAAGTCATGTCTGAGAGGCCTTGTGCCTGGCAAAAGCAACCCCCCCCCCCCCCAACAAAAAAGGGGGGGGTGGTTTACTCAAATGTTCACTTCTTTTTTTTCAATTCAGGCGGGCTCTTCATCTTGAAGCCAGTAGAAGTTTGTTCATTGAGAAATAAGTACATTACCGATTATTGGAAAAGTATTTCAGCATTAGGGAATATTTTCATGAAATACATTTTTTTGCCATGTGGTTTTTAACCAGTATTGTCTCAAAACAGCAAAATTTCAGTTTTAAAGATCGTCTTGTTTGACTGCTTTGTGTGCTTGCCTTTTATGTCATATTTTAGTTCTTGCCGATGAAAATTCCAAAGTCGTGATATTTATCATGTGAATGTTTACTCAAGTTACAACTTCTACAGCATGGTTCATTTCAAAGTTGGAACAGCATCTTTTCAATCGATTTTGTTTCAAAGTAATTGAAACTGGTACGTGAATGCATAAATCCTAAAATCAAAATATAAATATCTGCATATTTATATACCAACCACAACATTAAACAGAGTGAAATACAGAGAATGCACATTTATTTTCAACCCATATTTATTTCAGAAATATATATATATAACAGGTATTTAAAATGCGTACATAGACCATATTCAAACGTACGACTCTTTAAATTCATACTTATGAAGTAATTAAAAGGGGAATTCACATGATGCATACAAGCCAGCATTTTTCTGTATTTTCAGGCAACAATTCAAGACTTTTCCAATCGATGTTAAAAATGAATCAATTTCAAAACTGATCTACACAAACTAGAAACGAAGGTAATTTGGGACGTGTAGTAAAACAGAAATCTGAATTTCAAATGTCGGATAAGTTTTACTGAATGCCCTGAGTTGTCAAACAAAGTATTAAATATTATAATAGTATCTTTTTTTAAAGGCTTGTCTATATCGATGCAAAAAACAAAATAAATCCCTCATGTGATCAAGGGTTCAATAGACCTTGTTTGTTTGGGGGGGGGGGGTCAGAGGGCACTGGTTTGATATCAATGGGATAGGCATGATCAAACCTTGCATGCATTGCAACTCAATTTAATTAACAGAACATTCTCTGAGACAATGCAAAAGGTCTATGGCAGATATTGGTCACAGAACGACAAATAATAGCTTTGTTTCTGTCGGGTACATAGTAGAGAGAATTGTTCGTTTTAGTGCCATTCTCTTCAGTGATAACTGAAAAAATTCGAAAATACCAAAAGTGCATGTTAGAAATTAAATGTTTTCATGTTCATGTTCGTAGTGATAAATATTCTAGCCTGAACAAGCACACTTTCATTTGTTTCTTGCCTGTTGAAAATGCTACTGCTTCATACTACTGTGCTGCGATGAGAAAATGAAAATGTGAGTCGATGAAAAAAAAAAAGAGTCATAAAAAGCATTTGAGGTGCTGGAAAACATTTGCCATTCAAAAGATTCTGTAAATTCGGTTTCAAAACTTGATTTTCCCGAAATAATTTTAAGAAACCTTACCTTTCTGTTGCAACAAATCTGCCCAAATCAATACAAATGCTTCAATTTATCTTAATATCACTTGTACTTGTTTTCTCTGTTTGTTTTAAATTATGACGTCACATCTTGTCTGCATTTGGGAATGCTGCTTTTCATAAATTTGATGAAATGTTTCTCATAGATGTTCTGTATTGATGTAGATATAAAAAAAAACTGGTGCAATTTTGATAATGTGCATGATGCTATAAGTCAGACGTTTACAATTTGCATGTTGTTAATTTTTCCCACGATAAAAAAGAATCACCTTGTAATGTAGGATTTTTTGGCTATGTAGATTGATTGTGTAGAAAATTTAAAAACAAAAAAAATTATCAACACTGCGTTAAAGGTACACACGTATACAATAAAGTATGCTTAATGCTTGAGCTTTGTACGAAGCAGAGGAGATTAATAAAAACGGAATTAACAGATTTTTTTGTGGGCTTCCGTTTGTTTTGTTCTAGTTTATGCGATGAAGTTTTCTTAGGAACAAATTTTGTGCAACTTTCTACTCATCTTAAATGTGTGAAAACTATTTGACATCCTTTTTGGTAAATTTTATTGAAAAAAAGCACTTCTTTACACATTTCAAATTGTCCATCAGGCTGGCGTTTATTTCCAGTTTCACTGGCATGAAATGACTGAGAATATTTCTGTTCCCCCTGGATGGGATGCTAGTCCATCGCAGGTTACTCCCCAGCTAATGCCGGTACCCATTTACACTCCTGGGTGGAGAGAGGCAAGTGGGGTGAAGTGGCTTGCCCAAGGACACAACATATGGCCAGCAGCTGGATTCGAACCCCGGACCCTCTGATCATGAGTCACAAACCCTAACCACTAGGCCCCTCCCCAGCAAGTATAAAATTTTACCTTAAACTCAAAAAAGACTTCCAAATATGAAACATAAATACACAACTTGCAGGAAAGGTCTACGTCATACTGGTCTTGGAGTATTGGATGATTTTAACAAACACCTGGTATGACCTCAGTACAGAGAATTTGCATATAGGAGTGAGCTACTTCCCTAACAAATTGGAAATTGACCAATGAGAGAGGTGCATTTCCTTATAAATATGCATGAGGTGTAATATACCTGAGTATTTTACAAGGTTCTTCAGATGACTATTAATCGTACATATTCAAACGGGTCATCTGCACATAAATATTTCACACCAAAGGAAATTATTTACTTCTCAACATTTTCATCTTTAAAAAAATACTTGTTTGCTTACTTTTAGTGACTACTACTAGTGAACCCCTAACCAGTATAAAAACGAGTTTGACAGAAAATTTGACAGGATGGATATTTTTGGCAGATTTCTGGCAGAATTCTGCAAAAATGGTTATTTACAGAAAAAAGAGCAAATTTGAAAAAATAAATGGTACATTTGTTTAAAAAATCTTCAATCATTTCAAACAAACCCTTGCATAATGGGACAGGTTGGCTGGTCTAGGCGCTGAGGTTCACTGGAAACCGGACTTCACGCCGCAACCGCGTTTTGCCTGAAATTTTACGCAATAATTTCATAATATCTTTATGTGACTATAAATTGTTAATAATGTAATATGAACCTTAATTAAGCCAGTACTAAAAATCTGCATGTGATTTCAAGGGTTTTTAGTGTATTTCGAGGAAATCGGGGGAATTTGGCAGATTTTTGATAAACCTGACAGATTTTTGAAGCGCATTTAGCAGAATTTTGCCATGACCTTACTGTTGTTCAGGGCTTTTCATAAATCCAAGCTATTCCTTACAGTGAATATGTAAAGGGCCATAGAAATTTAAAATATCGCTTTTATGGTCTCCCCCAACTCTTCCTTTGTAATCATTGAAGGGGTATTTGTACACAGAGTCCAAAACCAGTTGCGTTGCGGGCCTAACGTGTCAATTTGAAAGGGCAAACCCCAACCTTTATACCTGGAATGGCGTTAAGCTTTCTTGGATGCTTCCTTCTTGGGGGGAGTCGGGTTGGGTATGTCCTGCAGTCTGCCGCAAGATGGGTGGCCTATAACCAGCAGAGCGGTAGAGTGGGCTATAAAGGAATGGTCATCATCTGAAAGAATAGGGGGAAAAAAGACGAGTTAAATGGAGAAAGGAAAAATACTCCCTAGGCCATTTTGCTACTACGATGTAGCTTCAATCCTGCAAAATCTTCCAATTGGCCTCGTGGAAAATTGCATATAGCCTCAATCCTGCAAATTCCTCCATTATTTCTTGAATATGGTCCGTGGAGAGGTGACCACAGCCTGAATCCTGCAAGATCCTGCGGCAGTGACTGTCAATATGTTGAGGCTTGGCCAGTGACATCCTGAAGCAGTACGGAGGATTTCAAGCATAATCCAGGCCTATCTTTACGCATGGCTGAGCAAAAACAATACAAGGTCCGGCCCAAGACCTTGACAAAGTGCACGCTACGAAAGCAGTAACGCACTTTTGCCATGCAACCTCAATCCTCCAAATTCCTCCACTTTGGCAAAGAGGATTTTGAAGGATTCAGGGCGGTTAGGGTTAATGGTGGTGGTGTGGACTCTCGTCTTAATATTGTCGCAGTTACACCCAGATTGCAGAAAATCAGCGACTGATTTGTTCCCATCAGTCCTAGCTCAGGCACGGATTGATCCTGAAAAGTCAATCTGACTGATCTGTGTCATCACAAGGTCGACCTGAGGGCAGCCTAAGCATAAACTTACGGTACAAAATTTATTGAGCACATTCATTTTGATCAGACAAAAAAATGGTTATCCGTCGGAAAAATGTCCAATGCCTGACTGTATAATTCACCCTCTTTGTTTAATTTCAACATGTTAGTGAACCCTAACAACACTAGCAAGCAAATGAAGGTTTCAAGGTTTCAGAAACCTCCTTAATTTATTTCAAGACTCACCGCTGGTCATCGATGATAATTCCAACCACTGATCAAGCCATGCTTGTAACTCACTCTTATCTGAATGCACAACATTCAGGCCCCTCTCATAGCAAAGCTGCGAAAGTTAAAACAAAAAATACACGTTTACTTACAAGAGTAGGAGGTATCGAAAAAGGATATCCACAAAATTGGACGGTGTGTTGAAATTACATGTATAAACTTTACAATTGACAGTGTGGTTGCATCTTCAAGGTAGAGTAGAGGGTGTCATTTGTGCAGTTTTTATTTGTTTGAAGCAACAAAAGTGCGCAACACCTAAAGATGGATGCCAAACAGCTAACCTGATGAAGTTTTAGCTCTGTGAATGCTGTATACTCCAAGAAAACAATATTCTAGGATCTCAATTTAGTCATCTTTTGAATTATGCCCGAAATCAGCATCCACAACATGTTCTCATTCAGCTGACTGCAGCTACGCGATGTCACGCTCTGAACCGACGAATAATAGCAACAAGTTCCCAGGTAGTTGTAATGGTCAAAGACCTAGACAATATCTCAAGATACGAGATTCGGTCCCGGACCCACTTTTACCTTCTCAAGCTCCAAGTGGTCTAATGTCGGGATGCCGTCTTTCTTGATGGAGAGGTCCATGGCCTGTATTAATGCCATGTTCTTGTTTAGCTTCCTACGTAGTAGAATAGCCGGCATAAACATGGTGCGCAGCGAGCACAGGTTGCATAGACATTTCTGGAAAGAAAACACAAGTGGCTTGAATTTCTTGAAACAGCATAGCAAGTAGCAACCACTGATCTCTATATAAAGACTGGATAGCGGATATCCATATACCAGTCACACAGTAGACTTTGCATATTGACCAATTCGCCCCGGTCTCACGAAGATGGCCGCGTATAATATGAACGTTCTACGTGTATATACAGCGCGCGCTGTATCAAGAGTTGACGCGCATTTTGGTCAGGTACGCGTATTATGATGTTCTAAAAAGGACACATTTCCGAAGTGAAAAATTTCCAAAACGCCGAAAAAGTGAACTGCGGTGTTAAAAAAAGGAAACCACGACGTTAGAAAAATTGTAAATCGTGATTAGTGGTGGTGGTCAAAATATAAATCCAGTGAACCGCGATGTTACAAAAGTAATCATGCTGTCTATAAAGACGGCAACTTGTCCTTTGTAGATCACCAGCCGGTCTCACCGGTCTCACCAATATGGCGTCAAATTCATTCATTGTGTGGCTCTTTATCCGCTATCCAGTCTTTATATAGATATCAGTGGTAGCAACCCATGCTCCATAGAGTAATATTTTTCCCAAAGATGGTTCAAGGTGAATATGTACCATGGCAAATGCCAGACAGATTCTCAAACTGTCTTCCCTTGGAAATCTCCAAATCCCAAAGTAGACTAAGAGAAATGTTTAAAGCTTATTAAATTCATAAATACCAGAGACAGTTTACCCATTCCTATTGGTCGAGAGCCTGTCACGTGGGTGGTTTTTAAATGGATGATAAAACATCCGGCTGGTTTTAAACAATTTTTTTTTCCGGTGTCACATGAAATTTGGATCCCTATGAAATCTGGTCCCTTTCTTATACCCTTTTATTGGTTAAAACCCTCACACATGACCAGTCACTCTCCTAATTACCTCCACTTAGACATGCGCAACACTACCAATGAGTGGGCATATCATAGAGTCCTAAATTCACACTACATCGGCACTGCTGTATTCTGCGCCACATCGCGCAGTACGTTCCACGTGCACACCAATCTCCATATAACAAAACATACATAATTAGAGGGGTGTTTCACAAAACATGAATTAAAATTGTTAGAAAATTTGTTGGAAATTTATAATTTTTAACTTGTTTTGATTTCCTGACTGAAAAGTATTTATGAATGGGAATAAATATGAGCTTGGCTGGTATTAAACAAGTACGTTTAACATGTGTATTTTTAAACAAGGCAACAAACAGCCGTCACATCAGTTGCAAACACACAGGATTTGGCAACATTTTCTCCACAAGACATCATGTGGATTTACTTATGGTAAAATGAAAATCAAAACCACTACACTTTAGCGATCCACGAGTGGATGCACATCTGAAAGAATCAACCAAAAAAAGTGGCATATTTACCAGATGCTGCCTAGACAATTGACTGAATCTGTAGGCGTGGAAGGCATTCCTTGACAGTAGGACCTGCTGCGCAGTAACTTGCTGTTCTGCTTGGAGCTAAAGAAAAAAGAACAAAGGCGTATCACCTATGTATCCCAATTTATAAGGAGAAATTAAGTAGATAATCAAAGTACCAGTTTCGCACCGGTTACCCCAGTCCCCGACGGTTAGTAGAGGAAACACAATTTTTGCCATTTCAAAGAATTTGCTGATTTTGAAAAACGTCTACAAGTGTGACAGTTAGTTCCTATAAGCAGATTTCTCAGAACAGCTTGATCATTTTTTTCTTTAAATTTCTAGCATAAAAGATATCTCCACTAAATTTCCAGGATAAAAGTGAGAGATGGTTTGTAATGTTTTCAGCCAGTTGTTTTGGGGGGAAAACTGGTGCAAAAATGCTATAATTTTAACCCAGTATTTTGATGTCTTGTGTTTCACATGAAACAAGTCCTCCTGAATAACACCTGAATGCTCACAAAACAATTAAAACATTTAGAATTGAATGAACCTTATCACAATTCAGTAAATGTAAGTGAATCCAGATGTTTCGTAACTTCATGGCAAGACTAAACAGTGCCAGGCTTTCAAGCAGACCCAGGTGAAAAAACGTAGAACAGTAGTATCAAAATGTAAAAATATAAAAAAATAAAAAACAGGACAAAAGTGGGATTTTTGAGGACAAAATCAGGATAAAAGTAGTACTTTTGCGGGCTTTCAGCAGTAATTTTCATTAACACTCTCTCATGTCCACAGAATCATAAGCCTCATTTGGCATCATTTTGCTCCATCCTCAGTACTGCAAGTACAGTTGCAGTACTCCTGCGCTTAAACCATTCATTGTGTGATTTACATATGTCAGTGTGTAACACTGTTTTGAGATTTCAATAGGATTTCATTTTTCAGATGGTGAACCAAAAAAGTAGGAAAAAGTAGGATTTTCAACAAAAAAGTAGGAAAAGCAGGAGCTAGGTAAATAAAATAGGAAAAAGTAGGAAAAGTAGGAATACTTGAAAGCCTGGAGTGTTGTAAGACTCAATTCTAGAACTCAGACTTGAGTCCGTCTTGAGTCGTGATTTTGGTGACTCAGACTCCACTCGAGTCACAATGGGAAAAGATTCAGACTCGGACTCGACCCTAATCACTCGGACTTGATCCTAATGACTCGTGAAATTGTGAGTCACATATATCTGTCACAAAAAAAATCCATTTTAAAAACGTAATTCAATGTTTATTTTCTAAAAGTAACGTTATAGCAATGCTCAAAGTCATTAAGCACACAAACTGTACTGCACCACTCTCCAATAACAATGTTTGTTATTGAATGGGCCTCTTGCTATGTCCTACGACAGCGCATCACTTACATATTACTTACTTGTTAGTGTGTCCATTTCGTACAAATGTGACTCAGACTCAGACTCAGACTTGTGACTCGGACTCGACCAATGACTGAAGACTCAACCTAAGTGACTCGTGACTCGGACTCCACTACAACACTGAGACTCAAATAAGTCAAATTAAGTCAATCATTACCATTTTTAAGATTTCCCGTATGGAATCCTTGTCGGCACTGCTAGGATTTTCACCAGCTTTTTCAGACAGCAGCCCTAGGATGGTGGGGTACAATGCTGCCCTCTGTTGGTAGGATTTGAGGTAGTACCGCAGAAGCTTGTCGCGTGACAGAAATTGATTGGACAGGAAGATTGTTGGATAAATGAACCTAGGGATTGAAACAAAATTTGGTCAAAAAGAAATTTCAAAACTGTGAACAAATTGTACCTGATTTTAAAAAAATACAATAATACTGATTACAATATAAGATTTGAAGGTTTGCATGGTGAAGTCAGCAATGTAAGTTTGAAGTTGCAGGAGATGCATGAACATGGGCAGAGCATACTGTCTAAAACATTGTGTATCCAACTGTTCTTTTAAGGCCGCCCTCAGGTCGAGCTTGCGACGATACAAAACAGTTGGCGACTGACTTTTCAGGATCAAGCTGCGCCTCAGCTACGACCGTCGGGAACATATCAGTCACCAAACTTTTGCAACTTGAGTGTAACTGCGGTGATATTAAAGATGATCGGCATCAGTCGTCGCTAAAACAAATCAACAGTCGCAATAGTAGTTTTGATGCGTATTGCTTAAGATGCATTTAGTGAAATCGGTCTTAGGACGCATCTAGCTAGGATCTATCTTAGAGAGGAGACTTGTCTTAAGTCCTAAGATGAGTCGTAAGATTCGAGTTTCGTGAAAATCGGCCCCTGTATGTACATGTATACCATGGATTTTCGTTGGTCCCAGAGGGCAGCCTAGCGTCCTCTTTGTAGCTGACTGACTGACTGACTGACTGACTCCCCGACTCCCCAGTGTGAGCCGGGCAGTGCTATCATATAGGATAACCCAGTAATGTCAATGAATGAGCTAAGTCCAGTTCATTGTGTAGACGTGATGTATTAAAAGACTTCCGGTGAATAGCCATTATGACTTGATGGAATCAATTATTTTTTGCACGCAGCAGCCAGCTTTACTAGGTTTGCCTTGTTTTATTCTTCAATTATTTGCATGGATAACATGATTTTTAGCTGCAGATAGCAGCTCCACAAGAACTCTGTCTCTCCGTCAGTCCGTAGGTTAGTTAGTTAGTAACAAACGTCGGAATGCGCACCTGTGCACTATAACTCACCTTAGCCAGCTCCTGCTTGAGGCCCTGTGTCAGTTTTATGGCCCTCAAGGGAGGGCAGACAGACTTGTATTATCGAGGTCAAGTTTGCATCGTGACGTTCAACAAATGGGAAATCCTTTATTTCAATGCCAAAGACATGTACATATGCAAGAGCGCCATCTATCTCATACAGACTAGACAGAAGGTACACATGTAGGAACACAAACTCACTGGCCCGCAGCTTCCTAGATCATTTCGAACTTGTTCTTTATTCTGATGTGAAAATCATCAAATCTGGATTTGCACAAGAGCAGTTGAAATGGCAAACTGGCATATTTTCATTAGTATCGCCCCAAGTACAGTTGGGGGTGTCCCATTTAATATAGTTGGGACTTGTTGGGACTGTCCAAACTTTACTGATGACTATCCCAACTATAGCTGGGGCCACTGCCATAGTTGGGGCATAACTAGGCCTAGGTATAACATAAACATGTTGCTTGGGTAACACGTTTCCCAAAATTGAACGAGGAAATCTCAAACGAGAACTTACATCAGCGGTAATACAAAGTAGTACACAAACGGCAGGCTCAACAGGATCACGGTTGGAATCATCTTAGCAATATCATTGGATATCTAGGAGAAAAAAAACAGAAAACAGGGAGTGAATGGCTAGCTAATTATAGAATAAAACTTGCATCGGGGAGATGAAAATTCAACAGTGGGTTTTCCCATTCACTGACATATTTTATGAACACTTGTATACTCAGTGTTGTCTGAAGGTTTGCGACAAACAAATCACAAGTTTTCTCGGTTGGGATTCGAACCCATAACCTCCTGCTTACTAGTGCAGACGTCTTACCACTTAACCACCAAACTAGCCAGGGTCGGTTGGCCGGTTCGAATCGGACATAGAAGCGGGTACTAAAACTCATTACTTATAGAATGGAATTTGTGTCGGGGTGATGTAAATTCAATATTGGTTTTTGCCCTTCACCGCCATATTTCATAAACATTGTACACTCACTGGTAGCTGTTAAAAAAAATAAATACAGGGTGAGTCGAAAAAAGCTGAACCCAAACCCAAAATATGGTATTTCATATTTTAAAAAAAAAAGTAGCACCAAAAATAATAATGACTAGAAAGCCAATTTCAAAAGCTGCGTTTATATTAAAAAAATTACTGAAATTGCTTAATCCGTTCAAAAAATATCACCATTTAAACACAATGACCCTAAAACCTCTTTCATCCAAAAATGTGATTTCAAGAATCGTCGTCACAATTGTCTTCAAACATCACCAGCGATAACACCTCAGTTAAGAAGTTAAAAATATTCAACAAAGTCCTTCTGAAGGCCCATCTTTTTAAAAAAAAGAAGTGGATTTTATCAATTATATAGTTTGCCTGACCAGGGTTGCTAATAAAGATTACTTGTTGAAACAATTATTCTGTGTCATTTTCTTTGTTGTTCCAAACAGTCAGAATACACAACAAACGAAACAGGGTTTGGGCGAAACAGGTTTTAGGGTCATTGTGTTTATTGTGATATTCTTTGAACGAATTGAGCAATTTCAGTAAATGTTTTCATGTAAACGTAGCTTATGAAATTGGCTTTCTAGTTATTATTATTTTTGGTGCTACATATTTTTTAAATATGAAATATTTTGAGGGTGTGGGTTCTGCTTTTCTGACTCACCCTGTAGTATATTGAACACCAAAGTTTATAGATGGCATGTAAACAAATGAATTTAAAATACTTTTGCTAACAAAGAGGTGTACCTGTTTCTTGAGATATAGGTCTTTCCAGTGCAGATCTGTGAGTTGCAGTTTTTCGTTTCTGATCCTTTTGTTGATGCGATAGACTGATTTAGCATCTCCAATGAACTGTAGAAAGCCTGTGCAACATGCATACAAATAGGATAAACAATAGTGGGCATTCAGTATTACAAGTTGTAACTATTCCAAATTCAACCAGATTCTACAGGGTGAGTCAAAAACACGAAACCCAAATGTCGGGACCATTGTTTTAGTGAAGTTCTGCATGTAGCACTTTCAAAATTGAGGCTATGAAAGCCCAATTCATAAACTTTGTTGTAGTACAAGAATCTTTCAGATCACTCCTGTACTTTTTAAGTTACAGAATTTACACACAACCACCGTTTTAAAGTTCTGTCCACAGATTACCCAGGAGGTGTGCGTTCTTTCAGCAAAACGAAAACAATTCACACATATATGTGATTTGTTTTCGTTTTGCTGAAAGAACACTTACCTTTATGTGATCCGTGGAAAGAACTTTCAAACGGTAGTTGTGTTTAAAAGCCCTCAACTTGAAAAGTACATAAGTGATTTGAATGATTTTTGTACTAAAAGAAAGCTTATGAATTGGGCTTACATATCCTAGATTTTGAAAGTGCTACATTTAGAACTTCACTAAAACAATGGTCCCGACATATGGGTTTCGTTTTTTATTACTCACCCTGTTTATATTTTACACTGGACCTTTACAGGGTAAAAGCAATTTTGGGGATTCTGAAAAATATAAATGATTTGTTAGAGATGCATTCCCCACACACTATTCAAGTTTAATCCCAAAAAATGGATTCCTTTCCTAAATTGCTATTTTTTTCTAGCAGTACAAAAATTACTTATTTTTAAATGAGATGTCAATCGAACAAATCTGCCCACATTTAGTTATTGAATAATTACTTTACAAATATCAAATTACTTTGCAGTCTGACAATAATTCTGACAAAATTAAAATAGGAAGGTTGTCGTTGGTTGGAATAAAATATACAAAGTAAAAATTTATTAAAGGTACAGTCCATCATTTGCAGCTACCCAAAAAGTAACTGACGTAATTATTGTTGAAAAGCATACTTGGTTGAAACATAGTAAGGGGACTAAACTCCCTGCGAATTATTCTCTCCGGCAAGCTGTCATTTTGGAGATTTCAATAAAAGAAGGCCTTTCCAACGATGCGTCTAAAGACGCATTCTTGGAAATTTCCGTTAGTAGTTTGTTTTTAATTCGGCGAAGAGCGCGCAAGCGTTGACACGATGCACACGCGCGCGCGGTTGCTATAATTCTTCGATTAAGTGCGCGACATCGCGTAGCTGCAATTGGCTCAGTGAAAACGTGTCTCGGACGCTGAATTCAGGCCCAATTCAAAACATGACTCACTACTTTTGATTTGAAATCGAGATCCTAGAATGTTGTCTTCTCGGAACATATGGCATTCACTGAGCTGAAACTTCATCAGGTTAGTTGTTCAGCACCTTCTTTAGAATTTGAGCACTTTTGTTGCTCCAAAGAACATAATGCACAAATTACAAATGATGGATGCTACCTCTAAGAGAAAAAAAACTAACTTGCGGCAGAGCACAGGCGACAACTTTAAGAACCACATTATCATGACACTTGCGTATGACAGGGTTAGAATATCACCTATTTTGAAATGTCCATATTCTTGCAGCATCCAGGGAGATATGCTGCCCAAGACTTTACAGAAAATCTCGTCACTTTTCACCGCCATGCGTTTCAACAGGCCTGGTTTAGTGGGTGTTGACGTCGGCGCATTGCTGGCTGGCTGACTGAAGGAGCAACATGGGAGATATCTGGGCAAATATGAACACATACAATCAGAAACTTACAAAAATGACCTATACCTAGTTTCCATGAAATTTTCAGAAAAAAACATGGACACCCTGTTTTTTTCTCAAGCATGTCAAAACTGTTTTTGAGACAGACTGTTTTACAACTTTATTTCTATAGTGAAGAAAGCAGAAGCACAATTAAATGTGCCTGGTTTCTTAGACAGGAAATCAGGTTGAGCATTTCAAGATGTCACTTATCCCCATAATTTACAGAGGAAAATGATCCAAACTTACCTTTGGCATGTCTGGAAATTACATGAAAACTGAAAATTTTCAATATTAACCCTAACTCCCTAGGCATTTTTGGTAGGATGTAGCCTCAATCCTGCAAAATCCTGCAAAATCCTGCAATTGGCCTCATGGGAAAATAGCATAGCCTGAATCCTGCAAATTCCTCCATTACTTCTTGAATATGGTCCTTGGAGGGGTGACCACTGCCTGAATCCTGCAATACCCTGCGGCAATGACTGTCAATATGTTGAGGCTTGGCCAGCGACATCCTGGAGCAGTACAGAGGATTTCAAGCATAATCCAGGCCTAGATTTATGCATGGCTGAGCAAAAACAACATAAAAAGACCGGCCCAAGACCTTGACAAAGTGCATCCTACTACATTTTGTAAATCAGTAATGCACTTTTGCCATGTAACCTCAATCCTCAAAATTCCTCCACTTTTGGCAAAGAGGATTTTGATGGATTTAGGGCGGTTAGGGTTAATAAACAGGAAAGTTTATAATATGTATTTTGTGTAATTTTTAAGCCAAAATTAAAGTTATGAAACAGTCAATATTTCAGAGAAAACCCCCACAATTTCCAAAAGTTTGTTTAAATGTAGTGGCTACTTATCACAGTAAGTATTACGGTAACCATAACACAATTCTCTAAAGCTATCATTATGGCATTGCAAAATAACTATTGGAAATGTCACATTTATAACTGCACTTCCTACCAGAGCGTTATGGTAGCTCAATTGGGTAGTAAACATTGGACAACCATGCTTGAAGGCCAAGATAGAATTCAATGATTCAGAGTTTGATGATTCTTCTTTTCTCGGGAACGGAAATGGGTAAGGGAAAGAATGTTGCAACCTTAACCCGATACTGTTGTGTTCTTCATTATATCATCTCAATGAAGCCAGCCAGAAAGAATTCCGGGCCACCACTCATATTCCCTCATGGGAGTCATATGAGCTGAAGAGTACCAAAAGTTGTAAATCTGATGAAGAAACACCATTTAAAGAGTGCAACATTTCTTAGTTAATACTTTTTCTGTCATGGCCCATAGACTTTGTCGTTGCAACAGTGTCATACGTCAGGTTGCAACATTCTTGCCCGGTAAATAAGACATAGATATTGGTTTGTTTCCTTTCAACCAGACCTTTGATATAGTGACTATTTTTTATAATATAATTAATTTATAAGCATGGAGCTATAAACTTTTTATAGCTCCATGGTATAAGCATAAAAGTAAACAATCCAAAACACTACATTTTCGGGTATTTCAGGCCGTAGGCCCAGGGGCCCGTAACTACACGATCGTCGATTTGTATTTGTAGCAATGTATGTGTAGGCATGCGATAGTTATTTGGAAGCTAAATACTACAACTTGACCTAGTACTTTGCCTACCTATGCAGATCGTGTGGACGTGAATAACACCTCGTTTTCGAAAAACAAGTTTCGTACACCCTACATACACCAGCACTAGCTTTTATAACCCTGTGAGAAGAGACATGATGAGAGAAGACACTTGTGAGTTTCATGGAGAGCGCCATCTTGATTTTCAGCAAATTCCGAACGTGTAGACGCGGTTAATAATTCGTGGATACTGTTTTCGCGAATAAAGTATCAGCAACTGCATGTTTTTATCAATTCATGCCGGCCACAACAAATGCTGTGCGGCGCCAGCTGAGCGATCGTGCTCTCAAATTAGTTGGCAAATATCTGCTGGAGTGCACTCCGATCCGACGTGAAGCATAAAATCATGCCTATGCATGCTGCTATACGCTATGGTGGACTGGTTGTTGATTACTGAGGGTAAATACTGTCAAGTGTAAGTGCACTACTCGTTTTCTCTTCTTAAGAGGTCATACGTTTTAAATCTAATTAAACTTTCCATATCTGGCCATCACTTGTCACACTCTACATGAATGAGTGTCAGTGTAGAGCAAGGAACTGGTCTGAAAATTTCGAAGTGTTTTCTCAGTAAATACTTCAATATTTTCCCTGCTAAATTTGACTTTTGAGGGCATATTATCACTTTCTGATGGCTGATAGGTCACTGAGGGGAAAATTAGTGATGGCCAGATATGGGAATTTTTCCAAAAAGGTCTAAATAAAATAAAAGTGAATCATGTGAATGTGTGGCTGAGAAACATTTCCAATTTTGTTGGGAAAAAAACCCCATAGACTTCTGTCATTCAACATGTTCAAATTGCATTAATACCTTCGCCAAGGCAAGAAGGTTTTGTTTTCATCGGATTTTGGTTAGTTTGTTGGTTGGTTGGTTGGTTTGTCTGTTAACAAGATAACTAAAACAGTAAAAGAGTAATGGACAGATTTGCATGAAAAAAAAATTAGGGGTGGTCCTTAGTACAAATCGAGTAGATTTTGGAAGTGATCCGGATCTGGGTCTGGATCCAGGATTTTTTTTTTAGGATTCTTCGCCATTTTATGCCAGTATGTCTTTTGGGTGAACTGACAATATGGCGGGGAATTGTTTAGCCTTGGCGGAGGTTTGCGCTATCTGAGTGCTTTTCAGTTAAGTTTCAACATATTGAAGTATTTCACATTATTTGTGAAACCACATTTATTTAGGTAATAACCCCCAAATGCAACTAAATAAAGTTTAAAATTAAAGCTCCTATGCAAATATATTGGTGCAAAGTTGTCCTTCAAGTGAAAATCAATCAAGTGACTGTTTTTAACAGTTAAGAGCTCCCAGCCTACATAAAGCAGGATTGACTGGCTGTGACTGTTCATGTAACTTGATACAGCTATGCTTTGACTGCAGGTGATTGATAAGCCAGCTTTGCCTACCACTTGCCTGCTTTTGTCTGTTGACTGAATTTGACTAGTCACAGTGCTTGCTTGAAATTTACGATCTGACTGTTGGTGACTAGCCTGTGAAAAAGGCATGGCAGGGGAGAGGATTGATTTTGTCGCAGTTCGTGGTCCCATTGGTTTTTTAATTTTAGTAAAAGTATGACAGACCCCCAATAATAATTGTTGTCTTATGTGCAACTAAATCCTAGGCCAAAAAAAAAGTTCTGCTTCCGATTACATGGCATTCGAAAATAGGGTAGGTTGGTAGGGAAATTTGTTTTTGGCCAATTTTGTTTGTGTACGATTATATGGAGGTGTCTGCATGTAGTTAACGGTAAAAGGTAGAAATTGATGGTTTTGGGTGTTTTTTTTCTCATTTTCTCTAATAAGGAAAATTTAGGGTAGGGCTGTCAGAATAGAGTACTGTAGGCAGGGAAACCGGAAGCAGAACTTTTTTTTCTTCTTTTTTGGCCTTAGCAGGCTACGTTGTCTTATTCTCTCACAAGAACTGCCCAATTAATTTTGTCTCTCCCCCTTTGTTTTTCTCTTTATGAGTCTCTCTCCCCCCTATATCTTGATTTTTTTTCTGAAGAAAAAGGGAGGGGGCGTGGGCGTGGGGCATGTGCCCCTAGCCCCCTCCCCCCCCCCCCCCTCCCCTACTTGGATCTGCCCCTGGAAATGTTCTAGTGCAAGGCCAAGTCTCATTTTACTGCATGTACACGGGCATATTTACTGGGATAATTATTTTATTATGCACTTCAACATGTTCAATACACAGCGTTGATAATTAATAATTATGTAGTCTGCATAAAATGCATATACTCAGATTTCCTGCCGAATGGCCATGGTCCACAGAATTTTATCTAATCACTGTGCTTCGGTTACAATACAAGCCTGTAACTGAATTGAAAAATTCAGAAATACATAGCCTATAGCTCGTGCAATTAAAAATAAAAGAAAGAAATTTGACTCGATCAGATCTTCTATATTTTCATGTGGCCAGGCATTGATACTTTTCCAGGATCGGCTGACTAATTGATTGGGACATTTTCGTTCAGTGATCAACTACTGCCATAACTGCACGACAGATGTGCAAGAAACTTAGTGTACTTTTATATCACGGTTGGTTGGGTTTTTTTTAATCAGGGATCATTGACTAGAATTATACCATGGATTCATTCATTAACTCGATTAGGCATCAGGCAAAGCTATTTATTGAGAAAATGAATTAATGTACAGTGTAGTGTTCAAGCCCCAAACAAAATAATAATTCCTGTGTTTCTGGTAACCCGAACGACCCATAATTTAGGGAACTACACAAATGTCCAGCTATTATAGGGTCCACGGGTTGGGTTTTGTTTCTTTCTTTCTTTTTTTCACATTGCAAAAAATTATTTATAATCAAACTTCCCTACCTTAAAACCTTTCATTTTCTGGCAATGTTAGATAAATGATTTATTTGTTTCTTAAAGGGAAAATACAACATTTGCAAACATCAAAAAACGAAATGATCAAATTACCACAAAATACCTTACTGAATTGTTAGGGACTGACAGTCTAAAGCATCCTTTAAAATCGTGGCTCCTGGTGGGCTGACATTTTCGGCCAACCAGCGTTGGAGAAAACATTTTTTTTCAAAAAGTGCTCCTAATGTTTCATATTTAGTTCGTCTGCATTTTCTTTGCAATTGATTACACACCTGTGAAGACTACAAGCCTGCTAGACTGATTCTCTGACCTTACAATTCCCCAAAGTGTATTAATTGCTTCGTTTCATCTTAAGTGGGGTCAGGGAACCAGACTACAAGAACATGATAGGTTTTCTTGGTTTTTCCAGCATCTACAAGCCCAAAACATGAAACAAGTCAGTTTAACAATATTTTATATAACATACTAATCCTCCAAATCCATTTATTTCTGAAAATTGTAGCAAAAGCAAATGTTGTACATTCCCTTTAAGAGAAGACGTGGCAATCACAGATTGAATCGCATCAAATTGAGACAAAAAATAAATCTAGTACACAGTTTTTTTTATACATCTAAATAAAGTAAAGTAAACACGTACAAATATTAACCATTACCCAAATGTCAACCCCCTAAAAAGTTGTTTGTCCCAGCTTCAGGCCCAACACTGTCCCAGCCCAGAAACTACCAGTTACTTGCAAATCCCCAACTTTAGGGTACTTTTCATCACAAATTTATTTTGTAATTAACTTTCAGGGTTCAACCTTAACTAATTTTTTACCAGCCAGCCAGGCTACAGGAACAGACTCTTAACAAGAGCGCGGGCATTTTCACTAGCCTGCGTGTTTTTCTTTTATAGAGTGTCGCAACAACAATGTGCATACATGTAAAATGTGTATCCTGAGGCAGTCTTGTCAGTGTTTTTAATAAACATATCCAATAATTTTACCCTAAACAGTTACTACAATTAGACATAAATTGATACAGGTTTACTTTCTGAGTTTAATGATGTATTTCTTCCTGTCCTTTCATCTTTGCCGTAGCCCAATCATTTTTGACTCGCCAGCCGGGCTACTTAAGGAAAAGTTTGACTAGCCCACCCCTGTTTTGACTGGCATTTTGACTAAAGTCGAACCCTGACTTTATATCATTGCTTTCATTTCTATTCGCAATTTCCCTAAACGATGATTTTAGGCCCCCAAAAAAGTCTCCGGTTTCTGGTATGCGCGCGTGTCGCCATAGCCATGCACGTTGGCAAAAAGAAAAAAAAAAATTTCAATATAAGATGATGTCTCAAAACAGCCAAACTCACTGGTTTGACTGGAATCCTGCTACTGCACAATTTTAACGTGTTTTTTAGATGGGGTTACGATCAAGTTTACGCTTTATGTGGCCTCTCTGGACTCCCATATATTTTGCAATAAATTTAGTCTGGCACCATTTGCAGTCATCAGCCGACATTTGAAGAAAAAAAAGAAAAAAAAAAAAAAGCTGCGTCGCCGCACCACTTTTGGGCAAGCTCCATACCAGAAACCGGAGACTTTTTTTGGCCTTATTGCTTTCAATTGAATATGGCAGACTCAGAAATAAAGCTTAGTGTGCAAAACCATCAGACCGTCAGTTGGGATGAAAAACCCAAATTCCCCAGACTGGCGCTGCAAATCAGTGGCCACGGTCCAGTGGTCACAGTACGTGGTCCAATAGGCACTTCCCGAATCCTTGTTTTAGAAGATGTTTCTGATTGGCCAGATATTTTTACGTGGGTGAAACCCTATTGTATCTTTATACAGCCTTGGTGCAAAATACACTATGTTGATGAAAGTTGAATGGACAAGGTTGGCTGCTTATCAATGCACAAAATGCTGGTACGGTACCATTGCAATTTTAATCATTTCACTCTAGTCATCTACCTGTAGTAAATGTACTACGAAAAGGAATGCACTCTTCACCAGCTGTTTCAACTTTACCAGCTGTTCAACTGATTAAAATGTAATTATTTGAGTACTCCACATCTCCTTATGTACACATTCGCAGAGTTTGTTATTCACTTTTTGAGTTTGAGAGCGAAATTGAGTCAAACACTGTAATGTATTGTTGCATCATGCATTAAGGTTGGTTCATTGAGTGTGAGCAAAATTGGAGCAGATTTCATGACATGAGCAATTGAACTTTTGTTGTGACGCGAAGTTCGCTGTTTCCAAAATGAATTCATTTCGCACTGAAATTATTGTGAAATATGAACCGGTCTTTAACGGCTGATTGTTTTTCAATTTTGTTTATGACTATCTAGCTTCATGGAAATGAGGCATCTACCGTTTTTTTTTTTGTTTTTTTTTCAGCAATTTGAAAACCAGATGAATGACGGGTAAGAAACCAGTGTGGATTCTAAGATGGAGATGAAGCCAGTGTTAGAATTGGATGAGTACCAGCCAATCAACAACAACCAGAACATCACATCCGCTGGAGCCACAGATGATGCAGCCAGCAGCAAGTATGCTGAACGAGACGATGACAAAGGTAGTGCTATCTCTTCTTTTTTTCATGTAAATATTCAGTTCACATGTTTATTACACCTCATGCGTATTTATGAGCCGAACACGCTTCTTTCATTGGTCGAAATTCCAACACGTCTGGGAAGTACATGAAAGTAGCTACTCCGCATAAAAGAAGCTATCTCTGATTTCCTAAGATGACTGGGAATATTTCTATCCCCCCTGGATGGGATGCTAGTCCATCGCAGGTTACTCCCAAGCTAATGTCGGTACCCATTTATACTCCTGGGTGGAGAGAGGCAAGTGGAGGTGAAGTAGCTTGACCAAGGACATAACGGTAAAATGTATGGCCAGCAGCTGGATTTTAAACCCTGACTGTACAATCATGAGTTGTGAACCCTAATCACTAGGCCACACTCCCTCGTCGCCCGTGTTCATGGACCTGGACCAAACTTTATTCCAAAAATGAAATTCAAAATATTTAAAAACAACGTTTTAAAAAAACAAGTAAAATAGACATCTTTTCAGCCTGTTCTATACATTTGTAGATTAGCTGCCTTTCTCCCTCTATGTAAATTTAGCAGCAGTCAATAACCCATATCTGATAACCGTTGTTTGGTTTTGGCTTTCCAGCATATGTTTTTGTTGAGTTAGACTATCAAATGTCCCACTAATGGAAAAGAAAAGCACTTAATTTTTGCTTTGCACTGCTGTAAAACCAATATTCACAAATAACAAAAATTGGTCCTAGCTTCACTTGGAGTGAAGCTGTTTTCAATGTACAGTATTATGTTTATGTTACGCTGATTCGTTATTTAGTTTGAATTACCCATAGGAGGTCCAAGTCCAGGGAGTGATTTCAGTTGATATGCGAAATCTGGGGCAATTCTAACTTTTTTGGCTGTACAGTCACAGTTTTTGTTTTTATAAAAACATGTTTTTGCTATACAAAATTATGCAAAGTTTGTAAAAAAATGTTGCTCATTAAATTTCAGGGGGGGATGTGTTTTTGCTTAAAAAATAATAAACAATGCATAGCAGCTAGCTATGCATTGTTTATTATTTTTTGGTATCAAAATGTTTTTGGTATCAAAAGATGCGCAAGGCTCGAGGCTAAAAAGTCCTATAGCTATACATATTTTGTAACAATATTGCTCACTGATATCATCTGGTCAATTGAGTCTTTTAATTTTTTTTTTTCCTCTTTGTTATTGAGTAGGGTGGATGTTTTTCCTGTTATTATTTACTGAATTCAAAGGTTGAATCTTTTTGTTGAAAGTGTAAAAGGCCGAGTGGATTGGTTTGCAATACCAGATGGTCAAAAGCACTCAGCCTTATTCACTTCCATTAACCCTAACTGCCCTGAATCCTCCAAAATCCTTTTTGCAAATTGGAGGAATTTGCAGGATTGAGGTTACATGGCAAAAGTGCGTTACTGATTTCGGAGTATGCACTGTGTCAAGGCCTTGGGCCAGACCTTGTGTTGTTTATGGTCAGCCGAGCATAAATTTAGTCCTTGATTATACTTGAAATCCTCCACACTGCTCCAAGATGTCACTGCCTCTGCCTCAACCTATTGACAGTCATAGCCGGAGGATTTTGCAAGATTCAGGCAGTGGTCACCCCTCCATGGACCATATTCAAGAAATAACGGAGGAATTTGCAGGATTGAGGCTATATGCTATTTGTCCATGCGGCCAATTGGAGGATTTTGCAGGATTGAGGCTACATCCTAGCAAAAAGGCCTAGGGAGTTAGGGTTAACAAACGGATAACCTTGTACCGTGTTTATTTCTCACCATAAGTCTTCTGAATACTGAGTAGAATGGATCAAAAGCTATTGAAAATTGTTACTGGGGTGAAACCTTAAAAGCAGTCATTAAATAAACCCTAAAACAAGTATTAAAACATGCATCTCTGTGAAATTCTGGGAATGTTGCGTGGTTGCTAGAAATGTTGTGACTATTTTGCTTCCTGTAAAGAGTAAGCACAGCTTCTTAATTAATAAGTACATGAAGCAAGAAATGGTCTCAACAGTTTTTGATTTCCTCTTCTTATTTGTGGGCCCCCTATTTACTCGCCTTGTTAAATTTACTGTTTTAAAGGGTAATGGAGATCATTCGCAACGAAAAGTGTTTTCACTGATTTAAGGAATGTACAATCATTCTTAAAGCTACAGTCCATCATTTGCAGCTATCCAAAAAGTAACTGACGTAATTAGTGTTGAAAAACATACTTGGTGTAGTAAGGGGACTAAACTCCGTGTGAAATTTATCTTTCTGGCAAGCTGTCATTTTGAAGAAATCAACGAAAGAAGGCCTTTCCAATGTTGCGTCTAAGACGCACTGTTGGAAATTTCTGTTAGTAGTTCCTTTTTTTATTCGGCGAAGCGCACGCAAGCGTTGACACGACGCAACGTGCACAAGGTTGCTATAATTCGTCGGATCAGTGAGAACGTGTCTGGGAAGCTGAATTCAGGCCCAATTCAAAACATGATTCAGCAACTTTTGATTTGAAATCGAGATCCTAGAATGCTGTTTTTCTCAGAATATACAGCTGAAGCTGAGCTGAAACTGGTTAGGTCCTAACCAATGCAAGAAAATAATGGTTATTTCTCTTTTCTCAAAAATGACAGAATACCAGGCACAATGATTTCACAGGATGCATTTCCTTAGGGCCGCCCAGTTTCGAATAATTTAGTATTCAAGTATTCCAAACTGGGTTTGACCGAATATTTGAATATTCAAAACACACCGATCAAGTTTTCACGTGCCATCTGCGACTAAGAGCCGCGCCAGTCAAAAGTTGCACGCAAAGCACGCCGCTTGAAATTTGCGCGCAGCGATTGCTGTTATGGGCCACTGTAGTGTTTTGCAGTTCGTATTTTACAACTGTCAAGGGTTTTAACTTGCAAAAGGGGTGAGAACAATGAACTGCCGTCGACAATAAAGTTACTGTCAACAGAAAGTGGCATAATACAGTGCTGCAACTTTGCAATTTCAATAACATCACAGGCATGTACGTGACACGTACATGTAGTTGTTTTCTTCTATCGAACATTCAAACCAATAAAAAGCTATTTGAATGTTCGTTTGAAGATGGAATATTCAAATATTTGGTATATTCGGGACAGCCCTAATCCTATTATTTACTTACAATTAGGTAGGCTATTTCATGAGATTTTGACAGTTTCGTTATTGAATGTTTGCAAGTGGTGTTGATAACCTTTAAGGATTGGCTCATTCCCGTACTTTTTTTTTGATAAGTGTGTTAAAAGCAGAAAAAAATGCAATTTCCTTAATTAACCTTAACTCCCTAGCATAATTTACTAGGAACCATACCCATTCTGGCAAATTCCAACACCCATATGGGAAATTGTACACACACTATCTATTTTGGACTTAGTTTCTGGAGGTATGCCAAACCCAATGTATAAGACCATCAGTTTAGGGGTACTGTACCTATCCCAACAGATTGAAACAAAACCTGCTGTTGGACTTTGATGGGTTGAGTTCGATTAGGGTTAAACTTTGAAATCTTCTATTTTTGTATTTTACTGACATGTCGGTAAGGAAGAAGGCAACATCTAAAAGCATATTCCCATTTTTGTGAAGTACATGTATGTATTGTGTATGGTGTATTGTAGTGACTTACAGTGTACAGTAAATAAAGTAGAAATTGTTGTGAGTCTGAAAACCTGTGTCGAGTCTCCATTGTTAGCACTTCACTACAACAATCCACAGTACCTGCAGTTTCACACCTCAGTAAGTTAAACCTTGATCATATTCCTGTTTTCAATTTATTTTCCTATTCTTCAGCTCCATTGGATGAGTCTCTCCATTTGACAGCCATCCAGGCGCAGCGATGGCGCAGGGCAGCCATTGGGATAGCTTGGGCTTCCGTCATCAGTCTACTCATACTTGGCATCGTCAGCTTTGGTGAGTTGGAATTGAGTCAAATCACAAGCGAACCACAAGTCGTACCACAATTCAATTAACAAGCCAAGTCAGAACTAACATACGATGAACAGCAAGAGAGGGATTATTATTAATTGTTTCTGGAAATGAAACAACGATTCCTCAAAAGCACCTTAGGCACTGTAGTTCACAAGCCTGAAGAAATCTGTGGAGAGAAGGCAATGAGAAGAAGTTACAGTTTTAGAGGTGGGAGCAAAACCCCAGAATCATATTCTAGGGAAAACCCACGGAATCAGGCAGGGACTGAAAACCCAATCCACATGTTGCCCAGGTGGGATTTGAACCCGGGTCACAGCGGTGGAAGGCAAGGAAAGTACCGCTACGCCAACCTGACTCCCCTTTGTCACAACTCAGTTGCACAGCTTGCGACTTGACTCGAGACTACGGTACATGGAGTACCGAAGTGTGACGTCATTTAGAACCAGAAAGTGTAGTGCAAACGAATGGAGTACACGTGCGTGTTGGTTCACGGGCTGAATCACGCGCTAATGTCTTTCACACACATTTTGTGCGCGTGACGTATTCACTTCGGTACTCCATTGTGATTGACTTGTAAGGCCTTGTTGTTTTTTTAAGTACATGTACAAAAAAATGCATTCATATTGTCCATTCTGTCTTTCCAAAAACGCTTCTCAACAACCTGTTTATGTCAAAACTCTATGACATTTCTGCTGTCCTTAAAACAACAAAACTGCAGGGAAAATATAGATTACAAAAAAAACATACATTTTAGGCCAATGATGACATGTTTTACTAAGATACAGATAGAATTAACAAACTTGCTGTTAAATTGAACTTTATTTCCATAATGCACAGTATATTTTATCTCTTGTGTGAATTTTTTTCTAGTTCTTTCTGCAAAAACTGAAAGTTCAGCTGCTTTTGGCTTTGGGGTGAGTTTCTCATTCAATATGCATGTACTTTATTTGCATTGTATTTCCAATGTTTTCTTCAAAACTCTACCCAGTTCATGCATTCTAATTATTGAAATAGCTTTTGGAAGTATAGGTCTTACTCTAATTATCGAAAATGTTTTTATTTGAATTGATCTAGTTTGGTTGTGTACTTGATGTGTTCACGTCAGTGGTTGTAATATGGAGGTTCTTCGGTACAGTGAAAACACTCTACTCAGAACAGAGGGAACGAATGTAAGTTTGCAGTATCAAAACTGATTTTATTTTTTTTAGATACATGTATTCATGACCAGTAGAATTATTGTGTATTACTGATTAACGGTCGCCTAAGTGTACCACTTTTACATCTAAAATATATGCATAAATGTACAAGTTCAGCAGCCATAAAAATTGAATTATATAGTCAGTCAGTGTTGTTTTCAAGTACATTTGAATGAGTGTGAGTACGAGTACTTTGCCATGAGTACGAGTACATGTATGAGACAGTTAGTCTTCAATGAGTATGAGTACAAGTATGAGTGTTTTCCATGAGTATGTGCACTTTCAATGTTAGGGTTGTCCCGAATATTCGAATATTCGATCATCAACCGAAAATTTAAATAGTTTTTTCCGGTTCGAATATTCAAAGAAAAAAACCTATGCATGTACACGACTGTGACGTGATTTTAATCGTAAAGTAGATGCACTGTTTGTCGATGGTGACAGTAACTTTTTAGTCGACGGCAGTTCGTTGTTCTCTTCCTTGTAGCAGGCTAAAACCAGTGACTGTTAGAAAATATTTACTTCAAAACATTCCAGCAGCTCATAACATCGACGGATCATGGCTACACACAAAGTTTCAAATATTTGAGTATTCAGTCAAACGCAGTTTCGAATAATCAATTACTAAATTATTCGGAAAACAAAATAGCAGAAATCAATAAAACAGGGGATGTAAACATCCTGGAAAATTGAGCACAGGCTTTAAAACATGTTGAGTGTAACCGTGGGACACATGTACCGTACATGTAACAAACACCAGGGAAAGTTCATGAACTACATGTTAGCATAGTACAGTCAAATTTAAAATGCGCATATTATAACGTGTACATATTGTACATGTATGTATGTAAGTGTATTCTGTTATTGTTAACAAAAAGTTGTTAATTTTTTTTTTCTAAATGAGCTGGCGAATCTTGACAGGTTAGTCAGCCTTGTATTTTTAGAGGAAAAGAGAGAAACACTGAAGCAGACTTGAGTCTTTTAGCCATTTGAACTTTGTTCTCGGAAGTTTTTTAGCAAAAATTGAAATTCAGTGAAGAGGATAAGAATCCACATTGAGAGCTTTTCATATATTTTTTTTCGTTTTGAGCTACACGGTGTATCACTTACATGTACGGTAGCTCTATAATTTAAGCTTACAAATTAATTGGTTTCAGTTTAACTGAAATCTCAAAAAAATGCTGGTATGTCAAAAACCTTGGAAATAATTGTTCATTAAATGGCTGTTTTCAGCATGTGAATTTGCATAATAGTATACACAATGTCTGCATGGTGTGGGTGTGGTAGAATGAACGCTAGCTTTTTGGTGTAAGGATCCAGCTGTATTTGGCAAATTTGATTTTGATTGATTCAGAATGACTAAATCTGTTCATGCATTTGGTCTACACAATGGATAGGATTTAGTCCATTGAACATGTGCAATGGCATTATATGGGGGTATCCTATACAATAGCACTGCCCGGCTAACAAGTGAAAGTCAGGTAATGTGTCAGTGAGTTAGTCAGTGAGATAGTTACGAAAGGTACTCTAGACTGGCCCCAATAGGTCTCGTTCAAATGACGTCATTTTCTACAGACCATCCACGTGCATCGGCATTTTTAAGCGTCAACTTGCACAACGCGCATCGGCTGCGTTGTATTTCGAACACATTTCGAGCAACAAGCACGCGTGTTTGGAACATTTTCAACACTGCGTAATGCGTGCTTGATTGCGTAAAATACGCAGTTGCAGTTCTCCTACAGAGATGGCCGTCATTGAGTGAGCCCTATTAATTGACGCAAATCTTAGCACTACTTCCCAACTTTGCTTTCACAAAGACATGGATTTCTACTCATGTACAAAATACATGATACATGAACAGTGTAGTTAACCACTGATCCTTTGTTTCCCTTTGATAAAGAACCAGCCAGGTTCAAAATATCTGGACTCTAACTTTTTGGCCTCATGTCTATTTTGTATGGAATATTTGCAATTTGTAGGGTGCTACATGTACATAGGCCATCAGCCTCGGTCCAAAATTTTGGCAACTGGTATCAAATGAGGGGATAATCATCAGCGATTTTGGGCAAGGTATAGGCCTACACCTCCAGAGTTGGAAAATATGTGATAACATTGCTGCGGTGGCAGCTTTTTGGGTGTATGCCCTGATTTGATACTGACCCAAACCCCCAGGCTGATGGTCTTACAGTTGACACAATTCCAAGGTGTAGACACTGGTTTTGATCTAATGTGTATTTGCCACATTCCATCTTTTTGCAGCATCTGTGGTGGACGGTAAATCAGTGTAAGTTTGTATTGCAACTGAAAGCTGTATAAGCTTTGAAACTTGCTGAATGCGCAGTATGATATCTTGCAGTGCTGTGTTTTCCATTCGTTGTGTTTTTATTTTGTATACATACATGAGGTAGTTTGAACTGTATCTATTTCACATGTATCATGCAACTGTACATCGGTTGTGCATATGATTGTACATGTATATTATTGGGTACTGTGTATGCTTTGTGTACTTAGTGTTTTCTCCTCCAACAATGTTAATAGAAATGCATTGTACCTCAGACCTGTTGAATTCCAAGAATTGTTGACATGATTGAATGGGTAAGGGGAGCTGAAATATTGAAGTCATCACATTATACAGAGACCAAAATCCTGAAGGAGTGAACTGAGATTGGCAATATTGTATGAGAATATTTCAGCCCAAAAAATTCTGAATTAAAGGTACAGTCCATCATTTGCAATTTGTGCACTTTGTTCGTTTGAAGCAACAAACGTGCTCAAAATCTAAAGAAGGGTGCTGGACAACTGACCTGATGAAGTTTCAGCTCAGCTTCAGCTGTATATTTCGAGAAAAACAATATTCTAGGATCTCAATTTCAGATCAAAAGTTGCTGATGTTTTGAATTGGGCCTGAATTCAGCGTCCGAGACACGTTCTGCACTGAGCCGATTGCAGCTACACGATGTCGTTGACACGACGCACATGCCTGCGCGCGCTTCGCCGAATAAGAAAAACGAACTACTAACGAAAATTTCCAACGTGTAGGCGAGACAATAGTGTGAAATGGGCCTTATTCACGAGTCAGCCATATTGAATTGAAAGTGAGGTAAAATCTTAATTTTTGGAACTTGCGAAGAGAAATGAAAGCAAATTAATTCCTAATTAATTCCAGTCTGCTTCAATGAATATTTTCAAATTTGTAATTAAAAATTCCCTAATGTTTAAAACCAGATTAAAAGACAGTAAAATAAGGCTGCATTGTGCCTGCATAAATAGTTTGGCGCCATCCATTGAACAGTTAACACTTAATGACAAACAATCAGGGAACTCGACAAAAATGGCCAACTCGTGAATAAGGCTCATTTTAAGGCCTGCATCTTAAATCCACCTAAATGGAATTTTTTTGGGTTCTGTTTCGTTAAAGAACGTGTTATGTTGTGTGATTTTGAAGCTGGTTTATGTACTTGGAATGGAGTAAACTTGTCCATAAATAGTTTTACATTGCTTGTATTGTTTTTCCCTTCAATCCTTCCTTATTTCTGTTGCTGTCTTCCTTTTCCCCTCCATGGCAGGGCACTGTTGTTGCTTGCCGGTTTTTTTCTTGTAGCCAGCTTTTCAATCACAGTACGAGACCTTGTCGAACTTTTGGACCAAACTCGCACAAAAGATGTAAGCCTTTTGCATCTTGGTTTTTGCAGGCTGGTACAAAATGCAGGGGCCAGCATATGCAATTTTTACATTGGCGACGTTTCCATTTTCAGTTGGTGGTTTGATGCAGTTAACAAGTTATTATTTTTCTTCTTTTTTTTGTAAATTGTCTTTGTTTTTTCTTGTTTCCTTCACTGTTTTCCTTATTCTGTTGATTTTTAAAACATTTTTCCATTACATTTTTTTTTTGAGGTGTCGGTTTTACGCTTTGTCGTTTTCATCTTTTGTCATGCCCCGGAGGAAATATATCAATGTGTTGAATCATGGAGATTTTGTCTTTAAACTAAAGGGAATGTACAACATTTGCTTTTGCTTCAATTTTCAGAAATATGTGGATTTGGAGGATTAGAATGTTATAGAAAATATTTTTAAACTGACTTGTTTTACGTTTTGGGCTTGTAGATGCTGGAGAAACCAAGAAAACAATCATGTTTCTCGTAGTGTGGTTCCCTGACCCCACTTAAGATGAAACGGAGCAATTAACACACTTTGGGGAATTGTAAGGTCAGAGAATTAGTCTAGCAGACTTGTACCCCTTCACAGGTGTGTATTAAATCAATTGCAAAGAAAAGTCAGAATAACTAAATATGAAAAATTAAGAACAGTTTTTGAAAAAAGCCAGTTTTCTCCAACGCTGGTCAGCCGACCAGCGTTGGAAAAATACAGTTTTTCTTGAAAATGTCAGCACACCAGGAGCCACGATTTTACAGGATGCTTCAGACTGTCAGTCCCTAACAATCCAGTAAGGTATTTTGTGATAATTTGATGATTTTGTTTTTTGATGTTTGCAAATGTTGTATTTTCCCTTTAAAAACCTGAGATTTTATTTGGGAGAAAGGAATATTATTGACTCACTCTCAGGCAACTGTAGTGGCAGACTGGAGGCTGAGGTCCACTGATTCAGTTGTACACAGGTGTATTGGCCATTAATCAATGCGATGCATGAATATTATGCCAACCCCAGAGCGTAAGGTTGTGCTTTTGTTGTTTTAATTTGGCTGAACATCTGTTCTCATTTGTGGAGGTTTCTGCATGTTTTTGTGGCGGTATTAACATGTTTTCGTGGAGAATTCTCCATGTTTTTGTGGCGGTATATTTACATGCTTGTTTGAAGTTCATTGACTTCAGTTGATAAAGCTCATTTTGGGGGTTCAGCTTTGCTATCATTTTCACCAATTCAGTGCTGAAGGCTCCTTATACAAAATTAAAACTCTGGAACTTTCATACGTGAAACTCCTTGAAAAAAAGCTTGGAAAAGTATTGATTTAATCAACAACCATTTGATTTTGCTGAGATGGTTTCCCCTGCAAGGCTTCAATTGAACTTTTATCGATCTAACCAATTTTGAATGCACTTTTTTCCTCAACAAGGGCCTTTTTGCTCATGTAAGGACCCTATAGCACTGAACACTAAATTGTTATTAGTTGTATTCTGCTGCAAGGCAAAAGGTGGAGAAATTTGGACATATGGTCTGAGCTTGTTGAAACATTAGTGGAGGGAGATTCAGAGATTTCAAAATCAGGTTATCTTAATTTTTTTCAAATCGAATAACGGTTATCCGATTTCACCGGATTCTTCCATTCAGCTCACAGTCATGCCTACAAAAAGTGACAAGTGAGGTGCTGCATTCATGCGATGCCCACCATGGTACTGTTTGCGGGATTCAGTGACACTACGCCTTTACTAAAACACGCCAAATGTGGGAACTCGCTGATCAGACGAATGGGCAGGCTATTTATGAACCGAGCAGACCATAAGCGAGTGAATGCAGATTCAATCAGAGACCATGAAGCTAATTGGTGGATGTTCCAATCCAGATATTTATTTAAGCTTGCGTCACAAAAAAATGGAGCATTGGCTTAATTTTATAAATGGTCGTTGCGAATATCTGGTTTTCAAAATCCAAACCGAATAACCAAATTTTTAATAATTTTGATTTCAATCCCATCACTAAAACACATCCTCAGAAAAAAATCCAGATGTGGGATTTCAGTCACTGTTTACATCCATTGGGGAAAATACACACAAAAATTCTCAAAATCTCAATTGTGCTTATCGTCAATTTACGATGGTGTACAAAGCAAATGCAGATCGGGGAGGGGGGGGGGAGCAGGGACTATCTCTCCCCCCCCCCCTCTTTTTTTTGGGGGGGGGGGGGGGTGGGCGGCGAGGGTTTTTGTTTTTAGCAATTAAACCGGGAACAGATTGTTAGATATGAAGAAAAAGAGGTATAAAAAGAGGAATAAAAAAGGCAAAAAAATAGTCTTCCCCCCAGAAAATGTGGGCACAAGCAAAGATTTTTTCTGCCAAATTCTCTATAAATTATACTGACACAAAAAAAAACTCCATCCAAAATCTGTGTATCATCAAGTGTATTTTGATCTATCATGAAAATAATTTTGCTTTTTTGCTTTAATCCTCTGCCTATTGTACGAACCATGTTTGAATCTTTGTTTCATTTTGTCAATTTTACAATCAAGGTTTCGTCTTTGTTTTCGCTAGCAGCCATCAGTGGAACTTTGTGTATCATACTTGCACTGGGCAAGTTTATTATTGCCAAGAAATTGGAGAGTAAAACAGTCAAAAGTGATGGTGAGTTGGATGAAATGTTTGTTTTGAATCTATCAGGAAAGAAAAATTAGTTTACACCAAGATTTTTAATCATTTTTACAAAGTGTATGTGACTGGTCGTTTTTAAATTAATTACAGGGAATATACAACATTTGCAAACATCAAAAAATAAAATTACCAAGTTTTTACGAAATACCTTACTAGGATGTTGGTAAATGACAGTCTAAAGCATCCTGTAACATTATGGCACCTGGTCTGAAGTCATTTTCAAGAAAATGGTATTTTTGTATACATTTCCAATGATGGTCGGCCGACCACCGTTGGAAATACCTAACTATTTTTCAACTACTGCTCCAAATTTACCTTTTTTCGGTCCACATTTTGTTTGCTATTGGTTACATGTTCATGAACGAGTGCAGGCCAGCTAGACTGGTTCCCTTACCTTACAATTTTCCGGCATCTATAAATTGATCCATTTTATCTTTAGTGGAGTCAGGGAACCAGACTACTTGAACATTTTTGTTTTTCTTGGTTTTTCCAGCATTTTCGAACACAAATCTTTAAACATGTCAGTGTAACAATTTTTGATCTATTATACTAACCCCTCAAATAGTTCATTTCTGAAAATTACAGCAAAAGCCAATGATGTACATTCCCTTTAAAGGAGCAGCAAATAACATTTCATTTGGTAAATGTTTCTCTTAGACGTCGATGGGATAAATCATTATTTTTTACCTTGAAAATTGTCCTGTAATTGCCACACAAAGGAATTTATGGGTGCCAGTCTTACATTTGTTGTACCTCATCAGTATTTTGACAGATTAGCTCAGAATCCGACAACATTTGCAAACATCAAAGAAACACAAAACTACCAAATTATTATGAAATACCTTACTAGCTCGACTGTAAGTGCATAGTCTCTAGCATCCTGTGAAATCATGGTACCTGGTGTGCTGTCATTTTCAAGAAAAGTGAAATTTTTGTATCAACTTCCAACAATGGTCGGTTGACCAATTTGCCAAATTTACAAAAATGTAGTTAGTTCACGTTTTGTTTGCAACCAGTTACACATTCGTGTAACGGGTGCAAGCAAGCTAGTCTGGTTCCCTGACTTAACAATTTCCCGACGTCTATAAATTGCTTCGTTTCATCTGAAGTACATGTAGGGGCAGCGAACCAGAATACAAGAACAGCATTTATTTTTGGTGGGGGGGGGGGGGGTTCCCGCATCTGTGAATGCAAAACTTTAAACAGGTCAGTGAAAAACAATATTGCTATAAAATACTATCCCCCAAATCTGAAAATTACAGCAAAAGAAATTTTGTATACATTGTATTACCTTTAAATGAGGGAAATTCATACAAGCAAGGCAAAAATCCCTGCCATGTTTGATGTTAAAAAAACCAACATTTTTTACAACATTTTCTCCAAAGACTTCCTGTTACCCAGACCCTCGAAATTATGCCTAGCAAACAATATGAAACACTCGACTCTAGCAATCTCAAGAGAATTTAGCTTCACCAAAAGTGTTCCTGTGATTAGCATTTATTTTCAACTTGTCTTTCCAGGTTTCAGTTCCCTGGCTGGCTCCATTACAGCCTACAGTATTCTAGTGAGCGCTGCAGTCATTGAGGCACATCCTAACGTCTGGTACCTAGACAACATTGTTGGCTTTTGTGTGGCCGTTCTGCTCATGCTGTATGGAATCATGTAAGCACATATGGACTTCCAACCAGTATTCAATATTCATAAATCTGTTATTCATGAACACAATTTTGCATAATTGTTTTTACAGCCCTCATTTCCACAAAAAGCCATGTTGTAGCAAAGAAATAGCATACTTGAAATAGGATCGGTTGCATGTTCAGTGCCTGTTTCTGTTTTTGTTGCAAATCAATACAAGGAGGTCCTGTGAATGTCATACGATGTCATCATTCAGCTCAGTTTTCATTGGTCGCCTGAAGTAAGGCAATTTAAAAAGTTGTCTTGGTGTTTTGGGTTTTTTACCCCTCAGCCGAGAGGCTCGAGGGGTATTGTCATCGCCTAGGGCGTCCGTCCGTCCGTCCGTATGTCCGTTCTGACCAGACCACCCTTGTGGGGTGATGTTCCTTTCAGGACACATCACCCCACTTTTTACACAATGGAAAAACATCACCCCAGAAGGGAATCTTTAGAAAAAGGGATAATGGGAACACAATGCTATCACCCCACAAGTCCGTCTGGCTGGGATGTCCGGGCAGCTTAGTTTCCGGATGATAACTTGAGTTAGAAATGTTGTTTGGGATTGTTACTTCGGTAGGGGGTTGCCCTTGGGAGTAGGCAAGTTGGGAGTGGTTTTGAGGTCAAAAAGTCAAAGGTCAAGGTCACCGTGGTGAGTTAAAGGTAAATGGTTTCCGGATGATAACTTGAGTTAGAAATGAGATTTTGGTGTCTAACTTTGGTAGGGGATTGCCCTTGGGAGTAGGCAAGTTGGGAATGGTTTGGGTCAAAGGTCAAGGTCACTGTGGTGAGTTAATGGTTTCTGCATGATAATTTCAGTTAGACATGATATTTGAGTTTGGAATGTCAGTTTGCCCTTTTCGACAAACTTCGGCTGAGGGGTTTCAACAGCAACGCTGTTATTTTTTTTTATTTCAAGAATTCTATGATAAGATGTGTTCATGTGATGGGTTCTGTGCATAAGTACCCCCTCAACAGTAAGAAAGGGAGAGTTGGGGGAGACCACTTGGACATATGCAAACGCATTGCCCAACGACACATTACGCTGACACGAAGACGCTATGGCTTTGTGTACATTCAGAATAAAGCAGGTCGTGCATACTTTGCGGCAAACGTGCGCGAACCAGTACGCGCACGTCGTGTGTCCCGTCTACAGGGTTCTCAAATATGGTAAATAAGTGCCCTCTATTGTTCGCGCACGGAGCCCATACAACAAATCTTTTTCTTCTTTTTTCTCCTGACAAATTTTCAACTTAATTTTTTTTTTTCTCTCTATTTTTTGCATCTGTAATGCTCCCGAGGATTTTAATTCTGATCCCTTCATTATCCATTCTTTTAGGGGCAGGAACCAGCCTACTGTGCTGACCCCAAATCATTCAAAATTTGAAGTAGTTATTGTTGTCTCGCCTGAACGAAGTTCAGGAAAGAGAACATGCAATCACTATGTTTGGGTCAAGGAACCAGACTACAGGAAACATGATTGTTTTTCATGGTTTTTCCAGCATCTACAAACACAAAACTTCAAACAAGTCAGTGTAACAATGTTTGCTAAAAAAAAAAAAAAATCCATCCATTACAGCAAAACAATATATTCCCTTTAAGGATTTGTTTGCAAATACACATATTTTCTGACAGTTCCTGTCAGAAAATATTATATTTTATACATTTTTCTAGAGAATACATAAAAAGGACAATGTCATAAAATGAAAGAAGACAAATTCTTGCCGCTCTGTTGACCTTTTGATTTTTGGAAGAAAAAAAATGGGTATTTTTTAATTAGGCCGTATAAATTTATATGATCCTAAAAGCTTGATTAATAACCAAATAAATACGGCAAATATTTGCGAGCACTGATGTATTTTGTTAATGCAAAAATTGGGGAATTATGTACTTACCATGGGAATTGCAAGAGTAAAAAACATTAAGTTTACATTGAAAAGGTTTTTTTTTAATACTCTTCAGCTGGAAACCGTGACAGCCAAAAGTACTAATGTCCATAATGGCTTTTTTCACTATAAATTTGAAATTTGTAAGAAGAAAACAATATTGAACTCATGGAAGGGCACAGACAGTACATGTAAATCTGCAAGGTATTAAAAATAAAAATACCTGTTTATGTTTATTGTTCATTTTTATAATCAGTCCACTTCCAAAAATAACAGAAAATTTAAATCAGTGAACTTCAGGTTTCCCTGCCACTCTTGAAATCATGGAAAAGCTTGAAAACGAGTTTCCATTTTTCCACGTCATTGAATATGATTCATAATAGTGTTACACACTGTCATACGTAAATCACACAATGGAGGGCGTTGGCACAGGAGTACTGCAACTGTACTTCCAAGAGCTTAGTTTAGGATGGAGCACAAGTGTTGTGAGTAGAGAACATGTCAAAAAAGGCTTATGATGCTCAACAAAAACTACTCCTTAAAGCCCGCAAAATTCCTACTTTTATCCTGCTTTTGTCCTCCAAAGTCATATACATTTTTTTTTTTTTTTTTTTTTTTTTGGATCCTACTGTTACACTTGGGTCTGCTTGAAAGCTAGTCTGAGTATCACCCGTTATCCACAGAGCCCAGTCTCCTGTCTAATGTCTGATATATCTAAGCACGCGTGTCATTTCATCCCGAAATCAGGACTAAGATTGTGATTGGTCAATTTCGATGCCGCGTTTTTGTAATACAACAACCTGTACAAAAATGCTATTCATCGGGGGGAGCTGGCATTACGCGCGTATAGAAGGAGCCTGCTGATTGGTCAGTTTCTCGAGGTCATATGCAGTCTAGTTGCATAATTAATCGCTGAATCTGTTTACGTATCATAGACCATGGTCGGCTTCACCAGGGCCAGGGTCTATTACATAGACACGTTACTGGAAAGCCTGCAACAGGTGAAGTGGGATGTTTGGATGAAAATTCACATGAGAATTGGGCTGGGTAAAAAAATGCGCAGTCTTGTAAGAATCCTACTAGAACAAGCTCTGGAAGGTTCTGGATGGGCACATGTACCGGTATAATGGAAAATTAAAGGCTTTGCAAATTAACATAAAAATACAAATCTACCAAATTATTAGAAACACCTTACTGGACTGTTAGCAAATGACAGGCTAAAGCATCAGAATCATGGCACCTGGTGTGCTGACATTTACAAGAAAAGTGGTATTTTTTTTATCAATTTCCAACGCTGGTCGGCTGACCAGCGTTGGAAAAGCCTGACTTTTTTCAACTACTGGCCCCAATTTATCAAAGTTTTCAGTCCACATTTTGTTTGCAATTGGTAACACGTCCGTGAACGGGTGAAAGCCAGCTATAGACTGGTTCCCTGACCTTACAATTCTCTGACGTCTTTGAATTGCTGCGTTTCATCTGAAGTGGGGTCAGGGAACCGGACTACAGGGAAATTATTGTTTTTCTTGGTTTTCCAGCATCTACGAACACAAAACTTCAAAAAAGTCAGTGAAACAAAATTTGCTATAAAATACTAACCCTCAAACCCATCCATTTCTGAAAATTACGGCAACAGCAAATGTTGTGTATTCCTCTTTAAAAAAAAAAATGTCTGGAAATTAAATTTAAAAACGGTTGACGTGCCAACTTACCAGCACATATTAGAATAGAAAGACGAGAGGGATCTGTTTTAACAAATACATTCATTAAGCCTGATGGGGACTGGAGCCGAGGGATTACGATGCCATTGGAATCAAATTTTATGATAATTGTGAAATGCGTCGGGCACAAGCTGTGTTCTGAAGGCTACGGCGAATAATGAGCATTCATACTGTGATCTGAAGTACTCTTCAGATGCATTGGTGCGCGTAGATACTGGTAGTGTATATTCAAAGAGACAAATAAGGTACTGTTAGCAGTTGTAATGTAGAAGAGTGCTTTAACTGCGTTGGACAATTATACTGAAATAAGGTGGCATAGCATGCGAATATTGTCTGGTTCGAGTGGTGTGGTAAAACTGGCCTCCTGAGGTGATCCGCGGAACGCTCTGTTTTCTCGAGATGTAGCTGAGGGAAGAGGAACGTTCCATGCATTACCTAGGGAGGCTAGTTTTATAAAATCACGAGTTACAGCAGTCAAGATTTGTTTTATAATGCCTCGCCAACAGAATGCTTGATTTTGAGTGATTAATTTAACCAAAATCCAATACTTGTATTTCCATGTGAAATTAGTTGAAAAATTACTTGCATTTTCCAACTTGTCCCTTCATGACCTTTGGAACCGAACTCTGCAGCGCGTGAGAACAATGCGCACAACGTGCAGAGCCATGTACATCTACACACAGACCTCCAGTTGCCACGTTGGTTGCTATGCATGCAGTATGTTTTCAGGAGTTAAAAAGCATTCATAAATACCTAAGACAGTTTGCCCATTCCTGTAGACCTTTATGTATCATGCTGCCACCATTTCAGTCATGTTCCCTGTATCCAATAACAGTACTGAATGATCATGTTTTTTATGCAAAAAGGAAGCAGACCATTTTTCCTTCGAACCTCCCTTCGGTTATGTTGATTTGAATGAGAAAAAAATCAAGATGGCCGCAAAATGATAATGGTCTATTGGTCGAGAGCCCGTCACATGGGTGGTTTTAAACGGTTGATAAAACACCGACTGGCTGGTCTTAAACACTTTTCCAGTGCCACATGAAATTTGGACTCCTATGAAATCTGGTCCCGTTTACCCTATTATTGGTTGAACATTCACAATCCTCACTTAGGCATGCACAGTACTACCAATGAGTCCGTATTTTCATGGTCCTAAATTCACAATACACCGGCACTGCTGCATTCTGTGCCACGTACATCACTTAGTACGCGCCACGCGCATGCAAATCTCCATATAAGGATATGTTTACGGCTACTCGCAAGTGGCACATACCACAACATAGCTAGAGGGGTGTTTAAACAAACCCAAAGTAAAATTGTTTATTTAAGAAATCGTTTGAAATTTATAGTTGTCGCCACTGAACTTTGTTCAGAAAAGAGCCTATGCAATCAATATGTCTGTACGTACATGTACGTACGTATGTGGTATTTTGGTTAAATTTTTCTTGGCCTAATATCCTAAGTTAGAGTCCAATTGGAACCAACCTTTAATCATAGATGCAACATGGGAACCTTCATTTGATAATGATGTCGAAAGTTAATACCAAGGTCAAAGGTCATCTGGGGTCAAGTTGTAAAATAGGCTGAACACGTAAAATTTGAAAAAAAGTCTCATTTGAAAAGTTGATGTCCAACATTTGTCCAATTGCAACCAAACTTGGGTCATAGATGCAACATGCCAACCATCATATGATAATGAAGTCAAAGGTCACATACCAAGGTCAAAGGTCATGTGAGGTCAAGTTGTAAAAATAGGCTGAACATGTTCAATTGGTCTCATTTGAAAAGTTGAAGTCCAGTTGGAACCAAACTTGGGTCATAGCTGCAACATATGGCAACCTTCATACTGATTAGTCACGATTTAAAGATAATCGTGAAAGCAGACAAGACGCATGGTTCGAGAACCATCTTGTTTTTGACTTGTTTTGACTTTTTGACCGAACAGGTATTTATGAGTGGGAATAAATATGTGCTTGGTCAGTATTAAACAAGTACGTTTAACACTGGCTTGGTGCCTGGTCGTATATAATGTCCTTCGGCCGGGCTATTATCAGCAATCAGTCCCCAAGCTGTTCTGAAACGTAAGGTCCATATCACATACTTATTCCCTTTAGACCTAAAGCAGTGAATCAAGATTAGCCGCCCCCCCCCCCCTCGGATTCGCCCATGAGTAATAACTATTTTTTCTGAATTTATTCAACAGGTTATTGGTACAGGTATTGTCCCCCAAATGCAATGGCATTGCCACCAGGTGCTGCTGCTGTTGTACAGCAAACAGTGCCAGCGCCATCCAGGAGAAATAAACTGTAATAGTGCTAACAGAGAAGCTTATAAAACAAATCAAAACAATATTGTTAAAATTGATAAGCTCTGCGTTCGAATTTCGGTATTTCCATGAGTTTCTTCAAAGTACATGTACTTGTATGTAACAGGAAAAGAAGTTTAAGGTTGACAAGTTAATAAACAGTTGGAGAGTTACTTTTTACACTGTTCTATTTTTACTTACTCAAAACCACTATGGTATAAGCAAATGATTGTTGGCTGTTGTGATATAGTCCATGGGTCTTGCACGCCTTCGGGGGCAAATGAAATGGCACCAGCAGCTTCACCTTGGGTGCCATTTGCACCCCTGAGATGTCATTTTCACCCCTCGGGTGCCATTTGCACCCCCTCGGGTTCCATTTGCCATTTGCACCCCTCGGGTGCCATTTGCACCCCTCAGGTGCCATTTGCACCCCTCGGGCGCCATTTGCACCCCTCGGGCGCCATTTGCACCCCTCGGGTGCCATCTGACCCCTCGGGCGCCATTTGCACCCCTCGGGCATAAAATTCCATGAACTCAATCACAGTGGTCAATTGTATAACATTAAGAATCCAGGCGGCACTGTTGTACTTGAGATACATGTATTGTGAACATAATATACAAATGTAGCATGGTTTGAGTGTGGGTAGTTGATAGTAGCTCCCTGAGGTGTTGAAAGTTGACACCTAATATTATACAAATATTGACTGCTTTGAGTGGTGTAGTAAAACTAGCCTCCCGAGGTGATCCATGAAGCATTCAATTTTTCCCAAGGCGAAGCCAAGGGAAAATAGAATGCTCCCTCCATCACTGAGGGAGGCTAGTTTGACTACACCACGAGATAGAGCAGTCGATATTTGTTTTATAACACCTTTCCCACAGATTCTGCTTGATTTTATGTGAGAACTGAATAATTTAATCCAAATACAATTAAAATTTACTTCAAATTGAATACTAGAACAGGTAAAAGTTTACTTGCACTTTTCCAAACTACCCCTTTAAGCAGTGTTTGAACCCAGCTCTGTAGTGCTACCGCGCACTTGGGACTTTATGCGCGCAACGCGCACCCGTAAATGCTTTTGCACACAAAACCATAAATGCATTTGCACACAAAACCGGTTGAGATAGTATTTACTTTGATTGATAGTTTGATACGGGTATAGTACTTTAGTTGCTACGGGTATGGTACTTTTTGCCATGCAGAGCAATAGCAAATATAGCGAATGCCATGTGACTCGCTTTCAGCCAATCATGGAGCTACAGACACAGTTTTATAGCTCCATGGGCCAATCAAAATACAGAATCTGTGGGTGAGTTCTTATAAATTGAAATATGTGCCCAAAATAAAGCATGTTTGTTTTACTATATACCTCGTACATATTCACCAACATTTGGAGTTACATATTAGTTATCTCGGCAAAACGTTGGGTGTGTGTGCCACCATCTTTTTATGTAGCTAGGGCGATGTTCAGGCTACCCCTGCATACTATCCACTGCTATGTAAAGCGCACCTGTAGTAGACTAGCTCACTGGTAACCAGTGCGAAAGTCTACTATGCATGCGTATACAGTGCATGAATCCTGGCCTGCGTGCTTGGTAAACAGCAAAAGTGGCAGCTGACACGTGATGGCAAACAGACCAGTGCGAATTCCCGCGCTCAATCATGAATATGTATGAGGTATATGGTAATCAAACTTTACCCATTGTGAAACTACAGACAATTTTCATGAAGCATGGATCAATGCAATCTCTTATTTAAAGAAAAAAAAGGCAGACAAGTGACTGTTTGCAGTGAAGGCTAATTAAAGTTACATTGTCCACTTTTAGTGTTATAGAGAGGTTTTCATATTATAAATATGGATTTATCGACATCTGTCTCACTGATATTAACATATTAATTTGATCGATGTAAGATGGCGGATTGGCAACAGCAACCAAAACGTATTTTGGAAAATCAATTTCATATCAAGATTTTCAATGTATCGCATGCAGCCCGGAAGAGAGATATTACAATGGAAAATATACAAGCATTCTTGCATTTAAAATTGATATTCGCATCTCCAGACAGATTTCCTGCATTTTCACATTCACGGCAATCAATTTTTAATTTGTAAGTATACTTAATTGCCTCAATGCCAGTAATTAAAACTGTCATATCCCTACTATGCTGAAAATGTCATTCATTTGATTTCTCTGAGTTCCTGCTAATGAGTAGGATAAGACAGTATTTTAAATAATAATAATAATAATAAAACACTTACTTTTATTAAGTGGTCCACAACTATTATTTAATTTTCACTATTTATATGATGTAATGATTTATTTTTTTTACATTTTTTTGTTTGTTTGTTTTGGCACATCTAATGAGATGCTAGTTTAACTTTGGGTTTTGTCCTTCACTGAAGTATTTTTCATGTACTCAGTGTTGTCCAGTGACAACAAGCTGGATCGGAAATATCTCGGAAGCTGTGGGCCAACAAATTCGTGTTCATGCATGAGTCAAGTGATTGTGCCATGTAATTTCTGGAAGGAGTAGTGCTAATTGAGTAAAACAAAATCAGGTTTTTTACCCCAGTGACTCCATGATGACCTTTGACCCCAGTTTTGCCATGTGGCATGCTGGGGCTGGGCTATTGATACTTTTGAGAAAGTTTGGTTAAAATCGGTCAAAATAATTAGGAGCAATAGACAATGTCAACGTTTGTTACTAACGGAATAACATAGAGACACGATGATTTGTTTAGCTGCTATCCCGAAGCTAATAAAAAAATCACAAGCTTACTTGAGGTGGACTCGAACCTATGACCTTCTGATTACTAGAGCAGATGTCGGTGAAGGGCAAAACCCAATGGTTTTTTTTTTCATTTTGTGCTATGTTCACCGATTTATATCATTAACATTAACACTGACGTCCATGTTGAAACTTACTAATTTATTACTTATCAAGCTCATATTTTGGTGTGATGTCTCTTTGGAAAAGTAATAACTTAGTAACTTGTAATTTTAACAACCATCTAAGTAGCAACTGAATATAAAAAACAGTATTTATTTTTCAGGGTGTCTCACGGATAAAGCAACGAACACAACTTATTACAATATTTTACTTCTAAATCAATTTTTTTGTTTAATTTGTCCTAAACTAATTGTCAAAATGTAGTTTTGTAAACTATTCAAAAAAGAATTACAATGTTATGTTACCAATGTGATGTCCATATTATATTTACTATTTAAAACTATAGTTTTGTGAATATTCAAAGCCATGTTATATGAATTACATTTGTAATACCTTAAAATTATTTTATTTGACTGGTTGGTGTCATATGGATCAAATCATTTAAAACAGTTCAATTCGATTTCAAGATGCAACCATTCAAGACAGAAGACGTCCAGTCTGAGTTGCCCCGGTATAAAATTTGGGGTGTATGGTCAATACTTCTGTTACTTAAGAGCTAATGGAGTTTCAAACTTAAGTTTGGTGTGCCGAAATCTCGCCGAGAAACTTATACCCTTATCTGTTCGTAAAAGTGGGACAGAAAAGTAGTTCCCTCAGAATTACAATCTTTTTAAACCAGGTGTAAAAATATTCATCATTGCAACTAATATTGGGACCTAATGTGTAATTGATGACAATTTAGCAATTGAAAAAGATGTGCAGTTAAAAAGCATTGGAACTTTACGAACTGGTTGTATTATCAAATATAGTTTGCATATTGAGAAATCTAATTAATTATATATTTAGGTATTAATAATGGTGTATATACTTTATGCAAGGAAATAAAAATACTGGAGATTTTAATTTGTATTTGTACATGACTTTTTTCTTATCACAAATATCACATTAAATGAACAAGTAAGTTGAGACAGGGCAAAGAAAAAGGAATGCCAGCAGTTCTATAGCCGTTTTGAGAAGGACTTTTTACCCCTCACCCGAGAGGCTCGAGGGGTCATTAAGGGCGGATCGGGGGGGGGCATGCCCCCCCCCCAAAAAAGCCAATTTGTTTTTTTCAGTGACTTCGCAATAAAGGCAGGCAATGAGTACACCACCATCTTTTCCTAAAAAACATTGGTTAAAGTGATCAGAAATTGCCTCAGATTGCACCTAGAGCATCTAGAATCCAAAAAAAATTTAACCCCACGCTGTAAATTGTTGGGACACACTTTTTGGGGACCAAATTTTTTTGGCCCCCCCCCCCAAAAAAAATTGTGCTTTGGATCCGCCCTTGATTGTCATGAGTTAAAGGTAAATGATTTTGTATTTTAACTTCGGTAGGGGGTTGCCCTTGGGTACAGGCAAGATGGGATCGGTTTGGGGGTCCAAAAGGTCACAGGTCAAGGTCACCGTGATGAGATAAAGGTTAATGGTTTCCAAATCGGTCGTGATATGCAACACGACATGGTAAAAAAATCGACGGGAACCGTTGAAGAATACTTTTACTACAATTATAAAAATTCAATCCGAGTTCAAGTCGGCTTCAATTGAACAGGAATTAAACATTCGTTAGCAGGGTTCGACCTTAGCGGTGGTCCGCTGGCCAAATGCCAGTTGAATGATTGCCAGCGGACCAGCTGAAACACCTTGCCAAGTGGTCCGGCTGTTAAACATTCGTTACTTAGGCAGACAATAACTCAAGAAAAATGCTGGTTTGAATTGAAATTTTGTCCAGTGATTATTCAGCATATGTGACATACGGTAATTTCTGTGGGGGCTGTGTCCAAATAAATTAAATATGATGAAAAACAAAAACGACAGTGTAAAGCAATACCTGGACAGTTTACAAACTGAAACTCTTCCAAAAAGAGGGCGCGCTGCACGAATAGTGGTCACCACCTCAAGGACTCTTTCAACGCGGATAATAACTTGCCCAACTGATCAGAATTTAATTGAACGAAAATGAAACACTTGTTTAGAAAAAAGCATATTTTTTAATTGAAATTTCGGCTTATAAATGTTCGGGATATGTGACACAAGCCTTTTGAAATTTAAGGAGGGAACTGTCGAGAAATACATTTAATATGAAAATAGTGTATCCATTTTATTTGAACAAACTTCAACCCTGTTTGTGGAAACCATAACTCAAGAAGAAAAAGACATGTACATCATTGAATTTCACAAAAAATCATTACCTCTCTGTCGCAAATTAAAACAAAATCTTACAGCAACACAATAGGAATTCAGTGAGTTATCGGATGGACACAACTAGTGGTTTTTTTTATCCATAAAAGTTGACCACTTGCCTTGAATTTTTCGCGCTTCTCACACTATATTGTTTTGGTTATATTATTTTCATTCTTAAGCGATTTCTCTTAACATTCAGAAATCTCGTGTTTCCTATAATGACCAATCACTAGACGAAATTTCAATTCAATACAATATATGTTTCTTGAGTTATCGCCCCCACAACGAGTGTGTTGTTTTCTTCCATGAAAGTTAACTTTAACTAGGAATTTATTTTTCGCACTTAACACACTACATTGTGTTGGTTACATTATTCTTATTCTTCGAGGATTTTTCTAAATATTCAAACCTCTTGTGTTTCCTATAACGTCCAATCATTAGACGAAATTTCAATTCCATGCAACAACTATTTCTGGAGTTATCGTCTCCGCAACGAGTGTAATTTTTTGTAATATGAAAGTTGACTTTAATTGGGATTGTATTTTTCGCGATTAACGCACTACATTGTTTTGGTTATATCATTTTTATTCTTAGACGTCTTCACTTAATATTAATAAATACCTTGGAGAGTTGATGGTTTCTGATTGGTCGAGACTCGATCACGTGGCCGGTCATTAACGGTGATAATGGACCGGCTTCAAAGATCAAGCGAATAAATGGCCCCTGAACCAGCATTGATCCAGCCCCGTTCAGCCCCATGCAAGCCAATGATTGGTCAAAATATAGTAACAGTCCTGCGGTAGCTTTTAACAATTGAGCACTGCACATGCGCTCAACCCCCATCGCGTGAGACTGACGCGCGCGTACGCAACACAGTTGCTAGGGATGCGTGCGTGCGCGCGCGTAAGGAAGTTTTGAAACGACATCGTACAGCAGTGCAGTATATACTGAGGATGTTTACGACGAAAGCGTAGATCTACGATTTATTTTCTTTGAACACTTCACCCACCGACATTTTACCTTTCCTAAACCAAGCATCTTTGTAATTCCGGACACAAGGAATGTGTAAACGAGATTTCAGCTTCCTCCATCAGGTAAAGATATGAAAACATTGTTTTAATTTGTTTCGCTACGGCAGCAGTTTCTGTTGAGCTTCCGTCGTTATAGCTGTTAAGCTAAAATATCCCTTACAGAAATCTCCCATGTAATTCCCATGGGAAATTTTCCCATGGGACCCCATGGGAATTGCATGGTGAATTGGACACCATGTAGCATGGGCTTTTTCCCATGGGAAATTTTATATGGGTTTTTTTCCCGATGTATAGTTTCCTATCATTCCTCAAAAGATTAATTTCTCCATGGTATTTTTCAATAACAACTTTCTTAATACATTTTAACCCTGTGTGTTAAGTGCTATTCACCGAATAGGTAAAGCACATCACGGAACACCGATGGGGGTAGTTCCACGTATTAGGAGTGGCTTGTGCACTCTATGAACAATATGCACATTATTGCTCCAATACCACTTGTCAAGTTGTACCATATTATCACAGTGTTCCCAATTTATTTTCTCATAAATGTTTCCAACCATAATAACAAATGAATCAATATTATCCAAAGTTTGAATGACACATTTTCCACTTAAAAAAATACTGTATGCATCATTTAACTTCACTTATCAACAGAAAAATTCAAAAATGTGCAATTACAACTCTCGTTATTGTAAGCGATTCTCACAAAAATATCCCATGGTTGTCCCATGGTGTCCCATGGTGTTCATCCCATTGTGTTCAATTGGTGAACATCCACAGGAGTTTCCCATGGTCAGCATAACAAATATGATTCTTGATAACCTCTATGACCACAAGGGAAATATTTTTAATTGAATTCAAATTTACAGCTAGGCGAATAAGTAATTAAATCAAAGAAAGGTTTGCCTATAACTTGGGAGTGTAATTGGGTCTATGATGGTTTTCCATGGCACATGCATATTCTCCAGTATAACTCGGCAGTGTCCCCGTGCTGCCTTTTAAATCTCCATGGTTTTCCCATTGTGTCCATAATTTATATCACCCACATTATGGTATTCCCATGGCGTCCGAATCCTCATGGTGTACCCATGTGTCTAAAATCCCCATGATGTTCCCATGGTGTCCAGTAAATCCCCATGGTGTTCCCATGGTGACATACAATCCCAATGGTGTTCCCATGGTGTCCATAAAATCCCCATGGCCTGTGTTCCCATGGTGTCCATTAAATCGCCATGGGGTTCCCATGGTGTCCATAAATTCCCATGGTGTTCCCATGGTGTTCATTAATTCTACATGGTGTTCCCATGGTGTCCATAAAATCCCCATGGTGTTCCCATGGTGTCCGTAAAATCCCAATGGTGTTCCCATGGAGCTCATAAAATCCCCATGGTGTTCCCATGGTGTTCCCATGGAGTTCGTAAAATCCCCATGGTGTTCCCATGTTGTCCATGCAATCTCCATGGTGTTCCCATGGGTTTCCCATGATGAACATAAAATCTCCCATGGTGATCATTTTAACTTACATGGTGTTCTTGATAACCCCATGGGTTTCCCATGGGGTCCCATGGGAATCCCATGGGACCCCATGGGAATCCCATGGGATGCTCATGGGACATTTCTGTAAGGGATGGCCCATGAACATGAACACAAAAAAGTCTGGAAATATCGCCGGAAAAAAGTCACAAAATTGGAGCATTTTAACTGTTTATTTCGTTAAAAAGGTATTTATTAATGGGAATAACAGTGTGAGGATCCGGTCTTCACTGCATGATAATGACCGGATGTGGGGGTGACCGCTGTTAATGGACCTCGACTTCGTCTCGGTCCATTAACAGCGGTCACCCCCACACCCGGTCATTATCACGCAGTGAAGACCGGCTACTCACACTGTTATTCCCTTATTCAAACCTCTTGTGTTTCCTATAACGACCAATAACTAAACGAAATTTCAATGCCCAATACAACAACTATTTCTGGAGTTAGCGTCTCCACAACGACTGTGATGTTTTTGTTCTCTGAAAGTTGACTTTAATTGGGATTTAATTTTTTGCGACTGACGCACAACATTGTTTAGGTAAATATCATTTTTATTCTTACCCGATTTCTCTTAATACTCAAACCTCTTGTGTTTAATGTTATGAAGAAACATTAAGCGAAATTTCAATTCAATACAACAATTATTTCTGGAGTTATCGTCTCCACAACGAGTGTGATGTTTTTGTTCTCTGAAAGTTGACTTTAATTGGGATTGAATTTATCGCGACTGACGCACTACATTGTTTTGGTTATATCATTTTTATTCTTAAACGACTTCTCTTAATATTCAAACCTCATGTGTTCCCTATTACGACCAATCACTAGACGAAATTTCAATGCAATACAACAACTATTTCTGGAGTTATTGCCTCCACAACGAGTGTGATGTTTTTGTTCTATGAAAGTTGACTTTAATTGGGATTGTATTTTTCGCGATTAACCCACTACATTCTTTTGGTTATATTATTTTTATTCTTACACGATTTCTCCTAATATTCAAACCTCTTGTGTTCCCCATTACGACCAATCTCTAGACGAAATTTCAATGCAATACAACAATTATTTCTGGAGTTATCGTCTCCACAACGAGTGTGATGTTTTTGTTCTCTGAAAGTTGACTTAATTGGGATTTAATTTTCGCGATTGACGCACTACATTGTTTTGGTTAGGCCTATATCATTTTTATTCTTAGACGATTTTTTTTCATAATATTCCAACCTCTTGTGTTTCCTATTACGACCAATCATTAGACGAAATTTCAATTCAATACACCAACTATTTCTGGAGTTATCGTCTCCACAATAAGTGTTTTGTTTTTGTTCAATTGTTAGTATGGCAGGTTTTTGTCCGTGTTGGCAAGGCCAGCGGCGACCGCTATTTGTGTAGCGCGCCCTCTTTTGAAAGAAATGCTTGTTTGTGAAAGTGTGCGGATGTCGGTGAGGTACTGTATACCGCCCTTCCAAAATAGTGGAACAAACTTGCACAGCATTGAATTGCACCAATTTGTCTGTTGACAAATTAATATACAGAACATATACATAACACAGAACATATAAAATACACAACACAACAGGAATGCAACGAGTTATCGGATGGATGTGTTTTTTATCCATAAAAGTTTACTCGCCTTGAATTTTTCGCGCTTTAAACACTATATTGTTTTGGTTGGTTATATTAATTGCACTTTACACACTATATTGTTTCGGTTGGTTATATTAATTGCGTTTTACACACTATAATGTTTTGGTTGGTTATATTAATTTCGTTCTTAGACAATTCCCCTCGAAATTCAACAGACCTATGAAATAATCACGACCAATGATTCGATTGTTATAACTTATAGGGAATTTGTGTTTTATGTATTAAAATGGGAAAACTGGGGAAACCTATATCAGTAATTGCTTAAAGCGCAAAAACATTTGCATGTCATAATTGGAAGTAGGTCCGTGCGTGCCCCTCACCGCGCGTTTGTTATTCTTGCTTCTGGAGCCCAAACTATAGGGCCGGTTGAAAATGAACCAAAATATAAAAAGGGATGCCCCTTTATAGACGAGATCGTGAGTCTTGACCGACTGGTCCAAGCACCGAAACTTGGCCGAAAGATTATTCGAGCCATTGAGATTTAAACGGGGCGACACTTAAATGGTTTTTTTTTAATGAAAGGTTATTAATTTGCATAAATCCTAAGTGGCTGCCACATAATATATATATTAACATATTTTGGTACATTTGCAGAACTTAGGAATATTTGAAATTTTTTTCCCATCATGTAAATATGCCCTTGTTAAAAAAAAGGCCCAATAATCGTACAGTCGTGCTCCACCATTCATAATTTTATACCCAAAAAAAGCAGACTGGCAATTATGTGCAAATACAGAAGTTTGTTTATTTCCATGACACAGATGTTAAGGATAATTCATTAGTACTTAATCAAACTATATAGGTCATTTGCTTACAAAGGTATGTTTAACAAAATACAATTTGAGTAACAAAAATATGTTCGAAGACTCTCGTAGCTTGAGCTCGGGTGCCTATTGGTTAATATACAATTGAGGATTTTGTGTGGACTCCAATGATTTTCCTTTTTTACAAATTAGGGCTCAGGTTAGCTATTTAGCCAAAAAAATGCACATTCAAAATAAGTGGAATTAGGAAAAAAAGTCAAGCATACTATTCAAATGCGGGGTTGTTGGAGTCCAGTTATACAAAAAGTTTGAATTTCTTAACAGACAATTTTTTTTTGATTTGGCCATGACAATTTTGTTTTACTTTGTTCACAATTACTTTGTGCACTAGAACTACACACAACAAAATGAGACATCTACCCGATGTTAACTGTGACCACATGACTAATCTGCTTAGACACTTGATCTGTTTACATTTAATTGTGAGCTAGAATTAACAACTTTTTTTGTTAATACCACCAAGCTATACCGTATACACAAATTTAGTATTTTGCCAATATGTAAATATCCATGATTTCTACTGATATCTGTGATCTGAAGTTTACGTTCCGGTAATCCTCCAAAAAAAAAATTCTCTTTTTGGCAAAGGTCCAGCAAAGTCCATGTGAAAAAGATCTGATGAAATGAACCATAAAAGTTGCCTCAACGTTCTATTATGAATGCAGATTTTTTTTAAAACAGAAATGCCTTATGTACAGCTTAGGTATACAGTACTGCGGATATAGCCTATAGGTTATAATTTTCCATTCAAGTACTACATATTTTTAATACATTTAATAATACTTAACCTTACAAGTACTTCATTCACTGTGGTGAAAGATCTTGGGAAACTAAGGAGTACTTTCTTTCTGTGCCTACACTAGTTGAAGGATTGGTGTCATGACACACTGCATACACAGAATGCAATAATGAAATGTTAGATGAAAATATGGCTATACTAGAAACCATTAGTACTATCACAATTATACATGACAATTTCTGATATTTTCTGATACGACTAATACTTGAGTATTTAACTGTAATTTTACAGCCAGAAGTCTGAACGATTGTGAAGTATGCTGTATGATCATGTCCATAGCATTGCTAGGGTAGTACAATATCTCTGCAAATAGACTTTCACTTCAGTGAAAATCAATGGTCTCTGTGCACAAGTACCCCCTCTATGGTAAGAAAGGGAGAGTTGAGGGAGACGACTGGGACAGACATTCGACGCATTGCCGATGACGCCCGACGCTCACGCGACAACGTTACGGCATTTTGTAAATTCAGAACGAACTCGTGCGCACTTCGCGCTATACGCGTGCGAAACAGTGTGTTCAAATGGTGTGTCCATCCAAGGGGCTCTAAAAAGTGGTCAAAGAGAGCCCTCTCTTGTTCAAGTGACACTTTTTTGTGGTTCTGACATTTTCCCTCCTTCTGAGTAGTCTTGGCCTAAGAAGGCGCTATCAGCAAGATGATTCAAATCCAGCCTTGGGAATATCGGCACTTGGACCCAGGAAATTCCAAGCATAGCTCACGCTGGAGTCAGCTCAGTCACGCACCAAGACTACTCTGTGAGCCAATGCAACATGATTTGACTGCTACTTTTGGTAGCAATGCTACAGAATTGGTTCATACACACAATTTTAGCATACTTCACGAGACTCCCCAGTAATGCTAACACACTTTCCAAAAATATTGTCTTTAAAATTCAAGAAATCAGTTTACAGTAGTGCATAACAAAAACAAACAGAAAGCCTGTCATCCCTCCACCAACCTTTCTTAAAGAAAGTAAATAGCCTCATGATTGACTTCAATTGAGTACATTTCAATAAATGTGATTATTTTGTTAGGTACATAGCGGTACTTAATATCTTATTTACGTCAAATTTCTCAGCCATGCAAATATGGAGTTGAATGGTACATGTACATGGTAATGGAATTGAGCGTTCCATTTTAAACCCTCTGTCCCTAAACCCCATTCCATTCCACCCCCCAAAAAAGAAACTGTTCTCTCATGAAAAACAATACATATGAAAACCAAGGAAATTACCAAAGCCAAAAAAGCAAGCAATATTTAAACAGTAACTTTCACTGCATTAGAACAAAAAAAGGATATTTTCTTTTGAAAACCCAAATTAATGAACGGGAATCAATCATTATTTCAAGAAAGCTCAGCAAATCTAAACAGACGGCACTTTTTCTCAGAACCCAACAGTAGGTCTTCATTTGACAGTGCAAAGACAACTGTAGCGATTAATAAATGTTTTAATAAAGCGGTTTTTAGGACAAAAATAAACAGCTAGCTAACAACACATGATTAGGCGCGTTATCTACGGATCCTCTACACAAGGATAAACGACTTCCCCAAATTCCTGGTTACATGCGTGATACGGCCCTTGTCAATAAACAGAAACACTCTTTTATTTTCCATAAAAACAGTTTGCAAGAGTGACAAAATAAATGTAAAGTCAATTCATCTCATTTAAATCATACCATTGTTGTTAACCTTTCCTACTGATCTTCAGTAGTATGTTTTTACCAAACTTGAATTCTGTGAGTTTCTGTCCATTTTTTCCATACACTCATTTACCCATCTACTAAAATGGTAAAAAAAAAAATATGCATTGAAAAACTGCTTTAAATTGTTGACCCATTCACAGCCATGGTTGTTATATATGGAAGGATATGAAACTGACAATCTCTGACAATGATTACAAGAGTCCATTAAATGGTGGATGCGAATCCACTACATAGTTCATGAGAGTCCACTAAATCTTGAATGAGTCTCCACTAAATCTTCAATGAGAGTCCACTAAATCTTGAGTGAAAGTCCGCTAAATCTTCAGTGACAGTCCACTAAATCTTCAATGAGAGTCCACTAAATCTTCAATGAGAGTCCACTTAATCTTCAATAAGAGTCCACTTAATCTTCAATAAGAGTCGCACTAAATTTTCAACGAAAGTCCACAAAATCTTTAGTGAAGTCCACTAAATCTTCAATGAGTCTCCACTAAATCTTCAATGAGAGTCCCACTAAATCTTCAATGAGAGTCCACTAAATCTTCAGTGAAGTCCACTAAATCTTCAATGAGAGTCCACTAAATCTTCAGTGAAGTCCACTAAATCTTCAATGAGAGTCCACTAAATCTTCAGTGAAGTCCACTAAATCTTCAATGAGAGTCCACTAAATCTTCAGGGACATTGAACTAGATGTTCAACGAGACTCCACTAAATCTTCAATGAGACTCCACTAAATCTTGAATGAGAGTCCACTAAATCTTCAACCATGGCTGTGACTGTATCAACTAAAACCTGTGGATACCTTCTGCTGGTGCGCTGCTGATCAATTTGCAGGCTAGCGGAGATGTCCTTACACCATCTCTTACACAACCTCGTACTCGCTCTTGATGGACCGCATGAGACAACATGCGCACACGACGCCAAAGATCTGTCAAACAATACACAAAACACGTGATTATTCAAGACGGTGTTGAATTAATATGCAACACAGTGAAAGATGTACACTAGATGCTGTTTTCAAGGCTCATCCTGAAAATAATTTGTTGCTTTTTAAAATTTTTATTTCTCTAGCGATACAAATGGCTTCGCTTTGGAATGAGACAATAAATGATAAAAAAATCTGTTTGAGTAGTCATGGACTTATTATTCCCTCAAAGTCTCCGATTTCTGGTCTGCATGCACAGTGGCGTAGCCACGGGGGGCGCGGGGGCGACAGCCCCCCCATGAAACCTTGTCGCCCTCCAGTCGCCCCCCCCCCCCCCCCCCCACTGAGATTTCAATTATCATTGATCTACATGACGCCCCCCCCATGAAATGTTCCAGCCCCCCCAGCGCCCCCCCACTGAAAAATTCCTGGCTACGCCACTGTGCATGCACGTCACCATAAGCCATGCGCGTCGGCAAAATTAAACAATTTTGTTTGTTTCAAACTCACTGATTTGATTGGAATCTTTTAAACGCTTTTTGATTAGCGCATTATGTAAGGGAGCAGACTAATGACCAGCCTGGCAGCTCATGCATGATGTCGCTGTCGCTGTATGGTTGGACGTTACCGTTTTCTCTGAATTTTTGTCTAGACTAGTTTCCAAAGAATGTTCGTGTTGGTTGAGATTGAAGCATTATCCAACATTTGAAGGAAAAAATTGTTGGGAAAACCATAAACCCGCGTCGCCGCAGCACTTTTGGGGCAAGCTCCATACCAGAAACCAAAGACATTTAACTCTTTCAGTGCCAAACTCGTACATGTACGAGGTATATTTGTTAGTACAAAAGCACCAACCTCGTACATGTACGAGGTAATGTTCGTACTTAAAATTGCCAAACCTCGTACATGTACAAGGTAGAGTAAATATGTTATCAAAAGGGGGCGCTCTCGCTCTTTCTAATGGTACCATTTTCATGCATGTACGACCTGTATTTATTTTTTCATTCGAGTTCTTGCGAGAGGGCGCAGCACTAAATCTCGTATTTTCTGCAAAAAGTGCGGAATTCCCCCGTGTTCAGGCCAGTGTTTCAGGGTGTATCACTATGTTTGTGACTACTTTTGACTTTCCAATATATCAAGGATATACCAGAGAGCACCAACAACAAATTTAGTGAGTAAAACTTATTTACTTTTTTTTTTTACAGAATTTCGAACAATTAACAAAAACGCTCGAAGTTGGGCACCTTAGGGTTAAACTTTTCAAATTTCGCGGGCACTGAAAGAGTTAATTGTTTTGCCTAATCTGCTGCCAGACATTAGTTCAGTTACTCGTAGAGTGGACTGGTTTCTCCCTCCATACCTTCATCGATAATGTAGGGACCGAGAACTAGTCTACATCCAGGGCGGAACGGTTTTTGCACAAGAGCTTCCCACCATGGAACCATTTTTTTAGAAGGTTGTGGATGCGAAAAACTTCTTTTTTTTTAAAGTTCAATGTAGTTTTAGTTAAGGCTGTCCTGAATATACCAAATATTTGGAAATTCAATCGGCTTTTTGCCGATTTGAATATTCGAAGAAGAAAAGAAGCTACACAGGCACACACGACCGTTAAATTTTTTTAATCGTAATGTTGAGCGCTTTATTGTCAGATATCACTAAATCATTTTTTTGTCAATGGCAGTTCATTGTCCCTATTCTCTTAGCAAGTTGAAACCCTTGACCGTTAGTGCAAGAGAATCCAGAGGCCAATACTATCGCTTTCCTTGCACAAATTTTAACCGGTGAGTTTTGAGTGCAACTTATAAGACCACTAGGCGCAGTAGCTGTTGCAGCTAGGGCGTGTAGAATTTGATCGGCGAGTTTCAAATATTTGAATACTTTGTCAAATGCAGTCTCGAATAATCAAATACTAAATTATTCGGAACTCAACAGGCCTACTTTTTGGGCATTTTTTATGTTTCTCTTTTTTTTTCTTACCTGAACCACAGCAATAGCGATGGCGATGCCGGCAATGACGACAATGTTTTTCTCCAGAAAATCATACAGTGCGTCCAAGCAACCCTGTAAAGGAAAGTGAACATTAAGATAGATACACACCCGATTAACAGTCATACAAGAACTGAGGCAAAAGACGTAGCAATCAGTCGGTTAATACAGATACTTGTCAGTGTTCCTAACCAAAATGGAAGATTTCTATTGTTTTAGCAAAAGTGACCTCAACCTTTGACCTGTCGGCCCCAAAAGTGATAGGCTTGATAAGACTACCAAGAACAACCCACAAACCAAATTTCAAGTTCCTAAGTAAAGTATTTCTCAAGTTATCACATTGCCAAGATTTCTATTGTATTAGCAATATACTGACCTTGACCTTTGACCTGTCGGCCCCAAAAGCAACACGCTTCTTAAGACTACCAAGAACCCACAAACCAAATTTTAAGTTCTGAAGTAAAGTATTTCTCAAGTTATCATGCTGACAAGAGTTATAACCTAACCAAAACATAACACACACATACACACGTGTTTGTTTTACATACGCTATGGGGACATTCCTTTGTTTTTGTGTAGTTAAGAAAACTCGGTACAAAAAATAACTATACTTAAACTGTGAAAACTCTTTCAACCCAGATTTTTTCCTATGATTCCCTTTAGTGTTTCTCTTCATTTTGCCACAAATAAACCTAACCCAAAAATGCCTCTAAACCTGTTTTCCAAAGAGGGCAAAACATTATGTGGACATTGCTTAGTCCACATAACGTCAACACAACCTACATTATGTGGACATCTTTTGTTCACAAGTCCACATAGTGACTGTAAGACAAACTCACCCATACACGTTTGTTTATGGTGTAAATCGAGGATTTTCTTTTGTTCCTCTTCCCTTTTCCTTTGTTTTTAACTTTTTAAAAACTCTCATTGGTTTTGTACACAATTTTTAATCGAGGTCGTATTCCATTTGGTTCCTGTCCTCGATTTGGTTCCTGTTCTCGATTCTCCGTGATGTTGCACGTGTGTCCTCGTTTTACACCATAAACAAATGCACGTTTGTTTATGGTGTCAATTGAGGATTTTCTATTGTTCCTCTTCCCTTTTCCTTTGTTAATACTTTTTTGCAACAGCTCCTCATTGGTTTTGTACACATTTTCTAACTGTGAGTCCTCGATTTGGTTTCTGTGCTCAATTCATCGATGATGTTGCACTTGAGTGCCCTCAATTTACACCATAAACAAACGCACATAGCTGTGTAAACACGGGCAATCGTGGACCCCCATTGTCCGTAATCCTCATTCCTTTGTTTGTAACTTTTTAGCAACAGCTCTTATTGGTTTTGTACACAATTTTCAATCGAGGACATTCTGTCAATCATGGACATTTTGTGCCCCCAACCTTTTGTCTTAGGTCCACGACTGCCAGTGTTTACATACTCACACCACACGCATACATACACAGGGCCGTGTTTTACTATACTCTCAAGGACAATGCTTTGTGTTTCCCTTCATCCCTGTAATATAACACTCTCCCAGAGATTAAGCACATAACTGTCCGAGGACCATTTCCAACAAAGGACCCAACGCCCAAGGACTGAAAGGATCTGTTGTTCTCCCTTTGTGTGTCGGTCCTCAGAGGTTAGGTAGAACACGTGCAGACAGACATACACACAGAAGAAATAAGCTATCGCCATATCCCCTCAAAATATTCAAAAATAACTTTGTGAACCATTTTTTATTTTATGTTTATAATGCCTATTGATATGGCATCATTTAGCAAGGAGTTATCCCATCTCCCTATTGCTCATGATGAGCCGTATTAGGGAAACCTCTTTTTGACTGCGCGCGCTGAGGTGGCACATGTTCATGTATTTTGTTACCGCAACCGTAGTGCAGGAAGTCGATGCCAATGCATGATTTTGTAAATGGGTCATTCCGTGTCAAATCAACACGCTTTTGGACCCGACCCTCACAGATTGAAACAATATTTGGTGTGATGATTGGCCTATATGAGAAACCCCCAGAACTGATTTTTTTTGTAAATTGACTCGTTAGTTTTTGAGATACGGGTCAACGAACTTTTGACTAATTAGCATGACCTCCGAACTTTAAATACTTGTATCTCAAAAACTATAGCGCCTACAAAGCCAAGTTGTACATCATATTAAAGTTCTTTGAATAGCCTCCATTTCATAAAATAAAACCAAAATCGTAGCGTGAAGTGCAGAGAAAATGCGTAACAAAATGACCTTTGACCTCAAATTACGAAAAACAATATGCTTCAAATTTTGTAATTTTTTTTCAAATGTTAGTTTATGATGTCAGCAACAATCTTAAAAAAAAATTGGGATGGGCGGTCTTAAAGTTTTTAAGTTATGATTTTTTGAAGAAAGCCTGTCCATGAAAAAGTATGCATAATATTAAATGTACATGTACATGTACATGTATATGTATACATTGTACTTGTACTGTGTACATGTGCACATTTTACCTGTGCATCATGTTTGCCCTTTACAACCGCATAGTCTCAACTCATATCCAAGTCAGTTGTGTTTACAAACACAAATGCCCCGCAACCGTGACTGTTCCCATGACATAACACCACTCTTTTAACATCAACTTACACGTACGTACCTTGGTCACATGGAACGTTCATTGACAGCATTAGTGTCTTCTGTAGGTTTTATATGAATTAATCCCTAATCCCTATGATCTCAGAATAAATACAAGATTTTTATTGTTTTAGCCACTGTGACCTTGACCCTTGACCTTTGGACCCCAATGCGATAGGACTATTTGGATTACCAAGAACGATCCACAAACCAAATTTGAAGTTCACATGTAAAGTATTTCTCAAGTTATCGCACTAACAAAATTCTTTTGTTTTAGTCACTGGGACCTTGACCCTTGACCTTTCGGCCCCAAATGCAAAAGGGTTCTTAGGATTACCAAGAACAATACACAAACCAAATTTGAAATTCATATGTTAAGTATTTCTCAAGTTATCATGCTGACAAGATTTGTCCGGACACACACACACACCCACACACGTTTGTTTTACATACGCTATGTGGACATTCCTTTGTTTTCGTGTAGTTAAGAAAACTCGGTACAAAAAATAACTTCACTTAAACTGTGAAAACTCTTTTAACCCAATTTTTTTTCAAGGTTTACCTATAGTGTTTCTCTTCATTCTGCTACCGATAAACCTAACCCAAAAATGCCTTTATACCTGTTTTTCAGAAAGGGCAAAACGTTATGTGGACACGGCTTAGTCCACATAATAAAAACACAACCTGCATTATGTGGACATCTTTTGTTCACAAGTCCACATAGGGAATGTAAGACAAACTCACCCCCACACACACCCACCCACCCACCCACGGAAGGACAAGGCGGAAACAGTATGCCCCTTCGGCTTCGCCGCGGGGCATAAAAATATGTTATACCGGTCTACGTTACTTTCATTTTTCGCTCAACCAAAGTCTGTGTTGCAGTGTTCATCTCCTCGGCGGAGATCTTGTATACGCGTCCTGTTTCAGTGAACGGTTCCACTGCTGTTAGTACATCCTTGCCATGAATTACAAGTGTGTCTGGTTGATAGGGGAACTTGAAAGATGGAGATGGCCCATGGGGATGAAGAAAACTCAGTTCCACTTCTTGGGATGCTGGAAGGATCTCCTGAACACATGCTAGCCACCAGTAACAGTCATACATCACTGTAACATACATGTACCCCTTGATATCTGCAAAATCAATACATGCAGTTTGTCCATGGACTTGGAGGCAAACTGGTTCCTCCTTTGAGTCTGAGGAGGAGGAAAAATCAAGCACCTTAATATTGTCTTTAGACATCGGACAAAAACATTGCAGCTTTTGTGTTCCTAGAATGGTACGTGCAATTTGGAATCTTTGCCTGAGAATATCCGCTTCATTCTTCATCTCTCGCCGAGGAGATGAACACAACACAGACTTTGGTTGAGCAAAAAATGAAAGTAGACCGGTATAACATATTTTTTATAAGTAATTTTGTTCTGCCCTTAATATATATGAGTTGAGACTATGCGGTTGTAAAGGGCAAACATGATGCACAGGTAAAATGTGCACATGTACATGTACACAGTACAAGTGTACATGTACATGTTTACTTGTACATACATGTACATTTAATATTATGCATACTTTTTCATGGACAGGCTTTCTTCAAAAAATCATAACTTAAAAACTTTGAAAGCGCCCATCCCAATTTTTTCTTAAGATTGTTGCTGACATCATAAACTAACATTTTTAAAAAAATTACAAAATTTGAAGCATATTGTTTTTCGTAATTCGAGGTCAAAGGTCATTTTGTTACGCATTTTCTCTGCACTTCATGCTACGATTTTGGTTTTAATTTATGAAATGGAGGCCATTCAAAGAACTTTAATATGATGTACAACTTGGCTTTGTAGGCGCTATAGTTTTTGAGATACAAGTATTTAAAGTTCGGAGGTCATGCTAATTAGTCAAAAGTTCGTTGACCCGTATCTCAAAAACTAACGAGTCAATTTACAAAAAAAATCAGTTCTGGGGGTTTCTCATATAGGCCAATCATCACACCAAATATTGTTTCAATCTGTGAGGGTCGGGTCCAAAAGCGTGTTGATTTGACACGGAATGACCCAAATGCCGATTTTCACAAGGGATTTCGCTGTGCTTTTTGCAGTAAGACAACGACTTGAGCGAAATGGCGACTTATAAATGGCGAATTATAAAGCTGATTTACAGCACGATCCGGCAAACGTACATACAATGTATGTATGTACATGTAAATATGATTTTTAATGTACATTGTTCATGTACTTCCGAATCCAAACCGAACCAATGTTCGGGGAAAAAAAATCTGAAACGCAACCGAACCGAACCGAAACAAATCTGGAGGATCAGTTTCAGCACTATTGCTGAAGGTGCCTGATGCTTGCGAGAAGGTAAATACCAGAGATTTGTGCACATTCGGAATGAAATCAGCCAAGGGCAATTCCAGTGAATTATGTAATGTTGGTGACAGAGCTTTAGAGAGCTCAGTGAATAAACCTGAAAAGGTATTTTTTAAATCTTATAAATCTATCATGTAAAAATGGTCAAGGAGATTACAGACGACGCGTTTTGGATCATTTCTCAAACTCATTAATTAGATATTGTGGTTAAAGCCAGAGTCCATCATTTGCAGCTATCCAAAAAGTAATTGGCGTAATTATTGTTGAAAAACATACATGGTTGAAAGATAGTAAGGGAACTAAACTCCGTGAAATAATTCTTTCTGCCAAGCTGTCATTTTGAAGAAATCAACGAAAGAAGGCCTTTCAAACGGTGCGTCTTAAGAAGCATGGTAGGAAATTCAAATTAGTAGTTTGTTTTGTTATTCAGCAAAGTGCGCGCAAGCGTTGATAAGATGCTCACGCGCCCAAGGTTGCTATAATTCATCGGATCAGTGTGCGACATCGCGTAGCTGCAATGGGCTCAGTGAGAACGTGTCTCGGACGCTGAATTCAAGCCCAATTCAAAACACGATTCAGCTACTTTTAATTTGAAATCGAGATCCTAGAATGTTGTTGTTCTCGAAATATACAGCAGAAGCTGAGCTGAAACTTCATCAGGTTAGTTGTTCAGCACCCTTCTTTAGATTTTGAGTACTTTTGTTGCTTCAAATGAGCAAAATGCACAAATTACAAATGATGGACTATATCTTTAAGCCACGCCATGATACATTGTCCAATCACAGCGAACGTGTGCCTGACACGTATAGCACAGTGGCATTGGAAAGGCGAATGTGCGGTCGCCCATGTGCGCTGTGGGCGGGGCTAAATGGATAGGTCTGTTCTATAGGTCTAAACTTCAATTATCAAAAGATTACATCGCAGTGGTTTAGTTTATTTCTCACAAAGTAAGTTACAACCATTTATCTTTTCGGGATATAGGCACTGCGCCTGTATCGCATGCAGGCTTGGCAACAACAAAGACATGTTTTTAAGACTACTTCAACGAACAACGTTGAGCCGTGCGTGCACCTAATTGTATTAAACTCAAGAGTGCTAACGAGGTAAAAATCATCGCATTTCCACAGTTTTTCTTCTCTTTTTCCAGTTTGTTTTGACGGCCGGAAAAAAACCCAGAATTTTGTAAGATTTAAAAGGAAAAAAAAAAATTCTGGCTAAAACCGGAAAAGTGGCATCTCTGTTATTACCTTGGTGTAGATGTCCTTTTCGACGGGGGGGTCGACAGGACAGGTCCCAGTCTCGTTCTTACAGCATGACTTCGGCACTTCGTCTCTTTTGTATTCCTGGTACCAGTCCTTGTAGCTGTCGACTCCGCAACATTTGAACTGTTTCAAGAGTAACAAATTCAGAATTTTTTAAAAATATATATCAATCATCTTGTCTCTATGAAGAAACCCTTTAGGTTTTTGTTTTCACCCTAACCATCCCAAATCCTCCAAAATCCTTTTTGCAAATTGGAGGATTTTGCAGGATTGAGGTTACATGGCAAAAACGCGTTGCTGATTTCAGAGGACGCACTATGTCAAGGTCTTGGGCCGGACCTTGTGTTGTTTATGCTCGGCCTAGCATAAATTTAGTCCTTAATTATACTTGAAATCCTCCGCACTACTCCAGGATGTCACTGCCTCTGCCTCAGCCTTTTGACAGTCATAGCCGGAGGATTTTGCAGGATTCAGGCTGTGGTCAGCTCTCCATATTCAAGACATAATGGAGGAATTTGCAGGATTGAGGCTATATGCTGTTTTTCCAGGCCAATTAGAGGATTTTGTAGGATTGAGGCTACACCCTAGCAAAAATGCCTAGGGAGTTATGGTTACTAGAAAACAGGAATTCCTTCACTTTTGATGTAAGTTTAGAAAAAAATTAATAATAAATTATTGAAGTAATTTTTCATTATCTGGGAAGTGACTTAGTAAGTTGTAGCGTTGGTTACGGGTACCCGATCCCATAATCAGTCCTTCTGATTTGAAAATCACAGGTGTGTGGAAAAACGCACACCTGGATTTTTCTAGGCATTTGATTTTTCTAGGCGTGTGATTTTTCTAGGCGTGTGATTTTTCTAGGCGTGTGATTCTGTGGTCCAAGCTGGGACTGAACAATCTGGTATTGTTTTTCATAATATTCATCTTGGTTTACAATAAAGCCATATTCTCTTCACCGACGTACTTTATTTTTCACAAACTATGAAGTGTAATTATGCTGTAAATGTATGCCGAGGTGTGCGGTACTGAGGGATTCAGGCGTGCGATTATTCACACTTCTCAGGAAGCATTTAGGCGTGTGATGGCGTGGGGGTGTGATCGCACGCCTCAAAACAGAAGGACCACCATAATCTGGGACTGGTTCCTGACATCAACGGTCGGGTAATCGGTTCCGATGCACACCCCTATTCCAAATGTCTGCCTACAAAAGTATATGATGCAAAGGAATGAGCATGTGTTTTTAGCATGTCTGGTAATCCAATATAGCTCTAGTGTCTACTTACATCCTGCTGCAAATTGTCAAGGAGCGTCTTGGTGGCATTGTTTTTGAAGTACTCGTCCAATGTTTCGTTCATGCTGTCCTCAATGGTGCTCTTGATGTCATCTCGGAGTACGTATCCAGCTATGCCCCCACCAAGTTCAGCAAGCAGCAGGATCACGATGATAACAGCAAACTGTTCCATCAAACACACAAGCAAAATCAGTATCTTTTCTTTGTTGTTAAAGCCAGAGTCCATCATTTGCAGCTATCCAAAAAGTAACTGGCGTAATTATTGTTGAAAAACATACTTGGTTGAAAGATAGTAAGGGGACTAAACTCCCTGTGAAATTATTCTTTCTGGCAAGCTGTCATTTTGAAGAAATCAACGAAAGAAGGCCTTTCCAACAGTGCGTCTTAAGAAGCACCGTTGGAAATTTCCGTTAGTAGTTCGTTTTTTCATTCGGCGAAGCGTGGTTGCTATAATTTGTCGGATCGGTGCGCAACATCACGTAGCTGCAATCGGCTAGTGAGAACATGTCTCGGACGCTGAATTCAGGCCCAATTCAAAACATGATTCAGCAACTTTTGATTTGAAATTGAGATCCTAGAATGTTGTTTTTCTCGAAATATACAGCTGTAGCTTAACTGAAACTTCATCAGGTTAGTTGTTCAGTACCCTTCTGGGCAATTCCACACCAAAGTGGACGTGACACCAAAAATTCAAATACATGTGACTTAAACAAATTTGGCATCAAATGAAAGCTAAAAGTCTATATTTTCCAGATTTGAAGTCAGAATTTTATTTTTTATACATTTCGGTACCAAAAAATAGGATTATGTAATAATCCTGTTTTAATCCTAAAAATGTGATAAATAGTGATATGAAAGTATTCTACCAAAACACACACAAAAATATGTACTAATGCCATCAGTTTCTATCATGAGAAAGTATTGGTCTTGAAAAACCGACTAAAACTTGTTTTTAACATTTTGCGTAATTTGCTTCGCTTCAGTGACTTCTAATATTTCAGCCTTCGAAAATGTCCTTCCGTTACCGAAAAAATACATATTTTTAATTTATTTTTAAAACTTGCAGTATGAATGCATTGAAAGTTATTGTGCAAAGCAAGTTTAGGTAGGCCTTCAATATGAAATTATAACTGACACTGCTGTACTTCTCGTTTTTTAATTACAATTAATTAAATCACGTCCTTCCGTTACCAAATTGGTAACGGAAGGACGGTAACGGAAGGACAAATCGTATTTTTATCAAATGTTACGACATTTGCGCTCATGTTTGAAAAATGAAAATCACTGCAAATACATGCATGTATAATGAGCATTGAAAGGACATTCATGTGACCCACTTTCACAAAAGCGGGATAAGCAGAGCAAGGTGTTTATTACAAAGGGAGGCACAGGCATGTACAACATGTACAATGTACATGTACATATATGCTGATGTACCAGTACTTGTACATGTATGGAGTTGTTGCAGAAAATCAAATCATAAAGTTGCTGCCATCAGCATTCATGGACAATAGAGAAAGATACGAATTCTGTGAAGCCATTCCAGAAGCAAATTAAGTCAAAAATGAGATGGCAGAAAGTACCGGTATTTTGGGGCACTTTCATTCAATTTACATGTGTAAGACATGTGAGGTGCAATCTTTGACAAATTATGCCCAAGTTAACAATTTCAGTTTGGATGTTTATAGATTAAACTTTTAAGGATTGAGGTGATGGGTTTGAAGTCCATTTCTGTAGTTGTCTTGTGTTCGTGAATTATGTGTTTTGGGTAGTTTTCGTTTTTCTTTTGTTATCATTAATTAGCAGGCTTCTATCTTTATCTCAATAGTTTCTTGGGTATAATTATTTATGCCAGGTCTGCATATTGTTGATTTCACATTCAGTTACACATTTCAGCAATTTGTTTCACTTGTATAATTAGTGTAAATTCACATTTTGTTCATGCTATAATTTAGTAAACCTTTTGTCCTTCCGTTACCGTCCTTCCGTTACCAAATCATAATCTGCTTAAAACGTTGTAATTACATAGCTGCCAACATTTCAAAATCCCAATTAGTAATCAAGCCGCGCGGTCATTTTCAACTTCTCGTTTTATCGAAAGCTTAACCAACATCGAGTACAGGTACATGGTTTACATGTACACATACATGTGCATACCCTTCTTGTTGTGAATAATAATGTACTGTAGGCCAAAAGATAATTTTAAAAAAAAAAAAATTTTTTTTTTTTTTTAAATTAATTTTGTTTTAATGTCTGTATTTGTTTGTTGAAGTCAAATAAATAATAAATTCAATAACGTGCGCATATTTTTTTGGAGATGCATTGCTATCGATGTTGAGTTTCGAGTTCGTATCATGTTTTTACACACAATGATCTATGGCCACCGTATGTAATAGAAATATCCCGCCAACATACCTTGCAAACGCATGCTGATTTATCTTTTCTGTCCGTTGTGACAAACTCAAACTCTATTACCAATTATTCCAACCATACTCTTATTAAATTCCATGATTAAAATCTCGCACTGATGGGTCTCATCCCGGCAATAAGCGACTAAATGTGCTCACGATCGTCACTGAAAAGTACTCACATACAGTACACACAACCACACATCCACGAGATGCACACAAATGACACACCATAATCACCACTGAAAAATATTTTTAGTCTGGTCCTCAAGTACTCCACTGCGCACACTGCATTGATGTCTATCAGGTGCTTGACTGCATTCTTATTAGACTTGTCACCAGTCCATCCATTATCGCGACATTTCGCCAGAAGTTTTCGATCAAAAACGATACTTTACATTTTTTTTTTCGTTAGGTAGAAAATGGGAAATTCGTAATGTTTTAGTGGCAAATCGTATTTTCGTAATTTAACAAACAATTCGTAATAATTACGAAAAAATCGTACTAGTTGGCAGCTATGTAATTATATTACCGAAACACTTAAAGTCAAATGAAAGGCAGTATAGTATAGATAAAGGTTCAGGGATTCCATTTCTTACCTTTAAAATATAATTGCCCCATAAAATTCACAGAGTTTACGCAAAATGCGAGTAAGTTGGAAAACCCTTGTCCGTTTTACCGTCCTTCCGTTACCGACCTCATTAATATTCATAATTCATAAACGGGAGGCATTCATGCCCCCCAAAAGTGTGGAAAATGAAAGTAGCATTATAGCAATACAATTTTGACATTTGTTTGCTGTAACTATGAACAGTGTCTGTGATACACACATTTGAAATTTTGTTTAATGAGTGAAAACGTCCTTCCGTTACCGTGGAATTGCCCTTCTTTAGATTTTGAGCACTTTTGTTGCTTCAAACGAACAAAATGCACAACTTCCAAAACTTCATGACCAGACACGTATGCACATGTAAATGTGTGCGCGTATTACAGTGCTGCCTGGCAATCGCGCTCAACTTGAAACTGCATTCATAAATACCTGGGAACAGATTTTGAATTCCTATTCGCTCTTTATGCATGCTTCCGCCATGGGCATGCAGAGCCTCGATCTGGCAACTTTACACAATAAATATAGCCGGTTCAGTGATTCCTGTGTCGGGTTCAGTGATTCCCGTGTATACACTAAATCACTAAACCGGCTATTTTTATTGAGTAAAGTTGCCAGATCGAGGCTCAGCATGCTTATGGCAAAGCGTGCAAAGAGCGAATTGGTCGAAAGCCTAGTATCATGTAGGTGGTTTTAAACTGCCGTTCATTAACACTTAAGACACTTTAGTGAGTTTACCCATTCCTATTGGTCGAGAGCCCGTCACATGGGTTGTTCATGTCACTTACCATGGCGACCATGCAATAGTTTTCCCTGATAGATCCCCAGCAGCCAAGGAAACCAGTGCAGACGACGAAGACACCAACTACGAGCAGAAAAATGGGGATGGCCTCGCCCAATGATTTGGTGAATTTAACGTAATCATTGTACTGGGTGAAAACCAGGGCACCGCCGATGATGATCGCTATGCCACTCAGCTGTACACAATGACAAAAAATACAAAATCTCAATTTTTAGGGTAAAACTTTCTCTGCCAACTACATGCTTATTCCACCACAAGGACAACCGTTGCCCTCACAGGTACCCGTTTACTACTGGATGAGGAGACACAGTGAGTGGCACGGTTAATATCAACGGACACACGCCCCGCAAAGTGCCAAGCTGGACTCCAACCCACAATATGCAGAACTACGCAAAACATCTTGAGCTCAATGTATCAGACCATGTGTACAACTGTACATTTGTTGTTAACTTTCCTTGTTATTACCTTTCCTGGAAACTAGACAAAGAGAAAGACAGAAAAATATGGGAGGGAAAGTGGCCAGGTCGTGGGCCACATTTCCTCCTTTAGGAGAGGAAACTCAAGTACATTTTGTAGTTTTGTTTTTGTTTTTTGTTTTGGTCTTTGTAATGGGTATTCACAGCAGCAACTACCCAGTAAGAGAGAGGAGACAACAAGAGCAATGTGTGGTGTGTTTGGTACACGTACATGTAATTCGAACTTTAACCCTAACCGCCCTGAATCCTCCAAAATCCTTTTTGCAAATTGGAGGATTTTGCAGGATTGAGGTTACATGGCAAAAGTGCGTTGCGGATTTCGGAGTACGCACTGTGTCAAAGGTCTTGGGCCAGACCTTGTGTTGTTTATGCTCAGCAATGCATAAATTTAGTCCTTGATTATACTTGAAATCCTCCGCACTGCTCCAGGATGTCACTGCCTCTGCCTCAGCCTATTGACAGTCATAGCCGGAGGATTTTGCAGGATTCAGGCAGTGGTCACCCCTCCATGGACCATATTCAAGAAATAATGGAGGAATTTGCAGGATTGAGGCTATATGCTCTTTTTCCATGAGGCCAATTGGAGGATTTTGCAGGATTGAGGCTACATCCTAGCAAAAAGGCCTAGAGAGTTAGGGTAAAACATCAAACAGGTCTACACCAAACAAATTTACAATGTACTTCCAATACCAGTATCTTTACAAGACACTAACATGAGCATCGTCAAGTGGTGTCTTGTAAAAACAATCATACATTTGATAGTTCACAGGGCTTTTCTTGATCTTAAAGCACACAGAGAGCTATGGTTATACGCGCTCAGGTTAAATTTATACGCGCGCACTCTGGGCTCCTTTGACCATTAGGGCTACCAAAATGCGAAAATGACGAAAGCTTAAAGCATACGCGTACGCGCGGGCATGTCACCAACTGCAAAAATGCCTTCTAATGTTGCTTGGCGATTTACATTTCGAACATATAGGTATGTTGCAATAGTTTGTTTGTAAATGGACATCTTCATGAGCCAAACTTAACATATGGCAAACTTGATATTTCTCTCTCTCTCCCCCCCCCCCCCTCCTTCCATCTAGCTCGTCCCAACCTACATGTACCAGTAGCTTGTCCCCACCTACATGTACACGTACATGTAGCCCCCATAAGAAATCACATGCATCACAGCTTTAGGGCGTTACTTCTCAGGGCTTCTGCCTAAATGCCTGTCTTTAAAAAAAATATCTCATATTACATATTGTGCCATGAAGTAAGTGTTCCTGTGGTTTTACGTTAAGCCACTGGGCACAATACATGCGTGGGAGAACAATGTCAACTATTACGAATCTCTCATATTATCTGGCCATAAAAACCTAAATCATACTGTACATGCTGTGGTCCCCCATAGTTTGCCTGACATCATAATTTCCTTATTCACATAATCACTACACAAATCATGAATACACACATCACATGTTGCCTTCTAATCTAGTATGCACATGTACTTAACCTTTGATCAGTTTAAACAGTGTGCAGTACATTTTGGTATTCAACAGTTCATGAGTCAAATGATACATGTACATGTAAAATAAACATGTATTTGCAGGTACAGCTAAAATTCTCACCTAAAGCACTACAGTATGATAATGTATACACACTACTTGTACAATGTACAATGTGCAAATGTCCAATTTAACATACAGTACATGTATTTCATATGTCATGTATGTGCTGCATCTACCGGTATACATATGTATTGATGTAAAGGGCGGGTACTTAAAACTTTTAAGCCCAAAAGGAAAATTAGCTTAGGATTTCAAGAGAACAGCAAATTACAGGCCTAGAGAGTACATGGATAAATATTTGTAAAATATAATGTACATGTGTACATCAGTGTAGAGAGGATTCAACAGCTTGGTAGATTTCAAGAAAAAAAATTAAAACAAGAACTTTTTCCAGAACCTGATGTTTTTTAGATGCCACAAATAAAATTGTTGTTTTTACTTTTAGAACATGAGACATTCAACTGAAGCTAATAATAGTTTAACTCAATAAAACTTTACCATGGCATAAAAAAAATATGAAAAAGCATGAAAAAAGTATTTACCAGAAGACTGTTTTACATGTATGTCATGAACGTACACAATTTAGTACAAATATACAGTACAAGTTTTTACAGACTGCACAGTCAACAGTGTACATTTATTTATTTATTTATTTATTTTATTTCTTTCTGGTAATGAAACCAAGGATCCCTCAAAAGTGCCTTAAGCACTGTAGCCCGGAAGCCTGAAGAAACCTGTAGAGAGAAGACAATGAGAAGAAATTACAGTTTTAGAGGTGGGAGGAAAAGCCCAGAAGAGTATTCTGAGGAAAACCCACGGAATCAGGTAGGGACTGAAAACCCAATCCACATATTGGCTCGGGCGGGATTCGAACCCGGGTCACAGCGGTGGAAGGCGAGTAAAGTACTGCTACGCCAACCTGACTCCCCTGACATATACACACATATGCACAAAAGTTTGACTCGTACATAAAGTACACATGTGTGTACATACGTTAATATGTAAAATATTACTAGTTCTAGGATGCCTAACACAAGAGGCTTGAAAGCACTGTTACTATTTCAAAACTACTGTATACATGTACATGTATACATGACCTTGTACCTTTACAGGCAAATTTTCCAATATGTAATATGTATGCATCACGAGTGACAGCACACATTGACTGTTTGCGCAATATTTTCACCTTTGACCAAATGGCATTAAACCAATATTACATGGCACAGTGTTGCAGTGACAAACATCCTTCCTCAATACCCTCAGCATCATGTGATTCTGAAGTCACGGGCTCACACTTGATTTCGGTTTGGTTGTTATAAAAACACATGACTCAAAAATCAATGGGGCAGGTGGAATTATACAGCAATTGATACACTCACAGAAATTGAAAGAAAGCAGTTGCGTTTGGATTTCATTATGAGCTGTTTCAGCCTCATTGTTCCTACATGTACATGTACAAATTGTACATGTCAATTGTCCCTAAAAACACTGTATGATAAGGCCAAACAAAATAATAGTTCTGCTTCGAGTTGCCCTACCCTAATTTCTTCGGAGGACAAAAAACAAAAACCATCAATAACTACATACCTTTTACCCTGGACTACAGTACTATATGCAGACACCTCCATATATGATCGTACACAAAACAAATGCCCCTCCCCCCCAAAAAAAAATCCCTACCTACCGACACTATTTGCACATGCCATGTAATCTGAAGCAGAAGTTTGGGTTTTTTTGCCTAAAATGGTCCTAAAAATGTACACATTTAAAAAAAACCTGTAATAGATTAGGTCTATTAAATGCATGAAGCCCCCTGGTCCAGGCAATGGCAAAGGGTCCCAGGCCCTACTCTTTTCACGTGTCACGGTGTGATGCACCCAAAGGCTTACAAACAGTACTGGTATATTCTGCATCCTTTTTTTTGTCCCAGTTAACCTCTTAAATATAGTTTGACTACCAAATTAGGTTCTGCCCTTCGATGGCGTTTGAACACTGTATACTCAGTGTGTTACCTCCCGAGTGAAAGTTGGAAAAAATCACTCAGGTGATACGCGAACCCATGACCTACTGTTTTCTAGTGCAGACGTCTTACCACTCGACCACCGAGCTGCGGGATCGGTTGGCTGGTTTGAATCCGATGTACATAGCAGCGGGTACTGCATTAACTATTCATCAGATGAGAATTTTTTGCGTCGGGCTGATGTTAATCAAATCAAATTTGGCCCTTCACCTTTGCGTCTACACTAGAAAGCAAGAGGTCATGGGTTTGAGTCCCACCCGAGTGATTTTTGAGTATACAGTGTTTATACCAGTATGTTGAAGGGCCAAACCTAATTTTATTTACATCACCCCGACGCAAACAAACCAAAAAACCAAAAATCCCATCTTATGAATAGAATAAGTACAGTTTCCTTATCAAGCTTTAAAAAAATCATTAATATGCAAATTCTATTTAGAAAACAAATATGCAATTTAAAAATTAAATTTGGAAATGTATTTTATCATGGTGCGGGTGCCACATAAAAAAAAAGGAAAAAAGAAACGCACACACACAGAAAGACATACAAATTCTGGCCATTTAAATTTGATCTAATCTAGAGGTTTAAATATTAAGTCCCAACTACCGGTAAGTACTGTTTTTATACATCAATTCTACTGGTACCGTACAGTACATCCATCTTTGATAGTATTGTGACAATACTATCAAATTGAAATGTAGAACTGCACTCGTAGAAGTAGAAGCAATGCCATTAAACGTTGTGATGAGTATGTCATGCATAATCTATAAACAGAATAGTTTGAATTAAAACACAAACTCATACTTCGTCCAATGAGTACATTCAATGTTGTATCTTTCGTGTAGACCATGTCACATGTTGTGGTCACGTGACGCCAAATTAAAAAAAAATATGAATGGTTAAAAAGTGTCGACATATTCGGTTTAATATTTTTAGTTGTCCACTTTTGAGGCAGTGAGATAGTCGTCAAAGTAAAATCCAAATTTCTGCCAGCAGAATTTTTTTTTTTTTTAACCGGTGTTCCAATTTCTAAAAAGCTAAAATTCTACTAACAGAAAATGGGGAAATATCTTTTAGCACTCCATAACTGTGTACATTGAAAAATGTGGATTTGGGTCAGGAATATTTCAAGTAATAAAAAAGTGCGGTACAATAGTATGAGAGTCCCAAAATGTTGAGGCAGAGCCAGTGACATCCTGGAGCAGTGCGGAGGATTTCAAGTATAATCTAGGCCTAAATTTATGCACAGCTGAGCATAAACAACACAAGGTCTGGCCCAAGACCTTGACACAGTGCATCCTCCCAAATCAGGGGTAAGACTTGCTATTAAGCAAAAACCTTGGGTCTGACTAGGGTTGATTATCGGCTCCCTTCACAAGTACCCCCTCACCGGCAAAGAAAGTACAGTTGGGGGTGACCGACCGACGCCATCTTGCCTGACTGCAATTTTGCCGCGACACGCGGCCGTACCACTGTGTGTACATACATGTACATGCAGTACAAATATCTGGGTGTACATGTACAGTACGTGCGTCACACACAAGGAACGGTGCGCGTCAACCAGCTAAATGTCCCATCCATGAGATGTCGTTGATAAGTAAAAGGGCGCCCTCTTTCGTTGGCGCACTGAGCCCATATGATGCAAACAAAGTACTTTTACCCTACTTTGTTTGCAGCATATTATCAACCCAAGTCAGACCCAAGGTTTGTGCTATAAATAGCAAGTGGTCAGATCCCCCCCCCCCCCACCCCCTTCTGAAAATACCCACTCTTACCCTGTACATGTAGTTGTTCTGATGCAGGTCAATGCACAATGTTCTTACAATACAGTGTACACATGTACCTGTACATGTACATGTACATCATTCCAAAGAGCAAGGAACAGATCTGTATGTAGCTGCACCTCCAAAATGCAAACTCTAATGCCATGTGATTGATTCCATGTATAGAAGCATTGTGAACAAATGTGGCCAATTTACTTGACTACAGTGAAATCTCGATAAGTAGAACACGTCTCAGCGAATGGGCTGTAATTTTGAGTTATTAAAAGCAGAATTTTGAGTTATGGATTTTCTTTTCAACAGCAACTGACGGGAATATTAGTTCTTACTTAAGTTTGAACCTCCGTAAATAAAGGCCACACACTTGGAACATGTACCCGAAAATGTAGAACTTTGTCAAGTGCTGATTTTCACATTTAGACTTTGTAGTTTATTTACGCTTTAGAAGCACACTCACCCTCTTTATACTATAGCGATAGAAAATAAGTCCCGCCTATCTCAGACATCCATTTTTCATGTTATTTCCAGGTTCGTTTGCACACAATTGCATATCTAAATTCCAACATAAAAATTTGAAAAGATCACGCGCATGCTGGATCCTTTCTGCTGTCAGTCACATAGACTTGAGTCAAGGCGCACGTAGCAACCCGGACACGAACAAATACCACGCGAGTGAAGTGGCTGTGCGCACGGAGCCAACGAGCTGGGAAAGAATTCCATATACGGACATCACTTGACACTCTGTGTACAAACCCTATGAGACTGGTCTGAAAAATTCTCGTGTTTTCTCAGTATTTCGCTTCAATATTTCCCTGCTAAATTTGACTTTTTAGGAACATGTCATCGCTTTCTGATGGCTGATGGGTTATTACAGGGAAAAATTAGTGACGTCTGTAAACGGAATTCTTTCCTCTGCCACTCGCATGGTCTTTTTTCGTGTCCGGGTTGACACATGCACCTTGACTCAAGTCTACGTGACTGCAGCATTCAGCAGAAACGATCCATCAGCACGCGCGTGATCTTTTTGATGTATACGCAAACGAACCTGGAAATTACACGAAAAATAAGCATCTGAGAAAGGCCGGACTTCTTTTCCATCGCTTTAATTTGAGGGCGAGTGTGTTTCTAAAGAGTAAATAAAGTACAAATATAACTCTAAATGTGAAAATCAAAATTTGACAAAGTTCTACATTTTCGGGTTCATGTTCCAAGTGTGGCCTTTATTTACGGAGGTAGTCTTGTAAATTGGACACATTTATAGGGCTAGGAACAATCTACTTCTGAAATCAGAAGGCTTCTCTTCGTCAGCCTTCTGAGAGCCTTCAAATTCGGGGGTCAGCACTCTTATGGCTTTTGGACATGCCCTTTGATAGACGAAATACCTTTGTCTGAAATTCCACTTTCTGAAACGCAAATCCACCAAAAAGTTGAGCTGGTTGATCCATAACTCAGAAATGTTTTCCCACAATTGACATTTGGATCATGGGACAATTTTTTGGGTGGAAAATCTGAGATTTTACTCACCAGCCTCGCGTTGCCGATCCGACGAATACAACGGTACAGTTCATGTGTGTTTACATTTCACTTTCAACTTAATTTTTGTAGCCCCATAAATGTGGCCTATTTACTGGACTACCTCCGTAAACATAGGCCACACATCCACATGCACAAAAACGTGTTGCACTTTGCCAAATTTTGATTTTCACATTTAGGCTAGCTGGAGTCACCCAGCCCTGAGTTTTAACATTGGGTTGTCATTTAGGGCTGGAGCTAGTTTTTCACGTAACCGAGCAGCGTAGGCAGGTCCCAAAAAAAAACTGCAACTCACCCCAAACTTGCCTGGAATAACCATTACACAGGTCCTTGAAGTAAAAAAAACGATCCACGATGAAGATTCAGCCTACAATTGCAGTGAAAAAAGGAGGAATAACCGCTAACCTGACAACCTTGCAGGCATGGCCAGGACCGCAATTGGTTTGTGCACAAAAAAAATTGTGTACAATGAATGGCGGTCGGTTACCAGGCTGTCAACTAGTTGTTTTTGCCGGCTGCGCTGGCTGTTGACGTCACGCGGAAGCATAACACCTGATGGCTGTTTCATGCACTATCGGTTGCGGTTCCAGTACCGCAGCTGTGATGCGAGTGGTAAACCTCATATTAGTGCATGAAACAGTCATCGGGTGTTACGCTTCCGCGTGACGTCATGCGCCAACAGCCAGCGCAGCCGGCAAAAACAACTAACAAAAAGTGCTGCCTTTGTTCAGATGTCTATTTTTTTGTGAAATTTCCATATTCATTTGCACACGTTTGCGTATCAAAATTTCAACATGAAATTTCACAAAAATTAGACATAAAAACCTACAAACTAAGCCTAAATGTGAAAATCAAAATTTGGTAAAGTGCGACACGTTTTTGTACATATGGATGTGTGGCCTATGTATGTTTACGGAGGCAGTCCAGTAAATAGGCCACATTTATGGGGCTAACTTCCTCCATGTACCACATGCATACACCAATATGCTAGCTCAGCTCAGGTTGGACGGCGTCTTCATATGCGGATATGCATTGCTATTGCTAAACAATATCATGCGTAAAAACACCAAAGTGACACATCTGCTAACAACTGTTTTGAGGCCGGAATACTTACAAAGAAAATGAAGTTGAAAAAGAACATCAAGTATTTGATGCATTTCGCTCCTCCTTCAACCATCTTGGAAGTCTCGGCGAATCACTGAAGATTTGCTCCAAAATCAAGTTATTTTCGATGATCTGAAATGTCGTCCACGACCGTTCGAATCAACGTGCACTACGTGTGCATATGCAATTTCCACGTACCCGGACCCGTACGATATCTAACAACGCTACGCACCGTACGTACAGCAGGCTATATTTATCCGCAAATTACTTAGCTTTTATTTACACTGTCCTGTCAAAAATTATTAAGAAAAAAATCTGATAGGAGTTCTTCAATCTGCTTCTTTTATTCCGAATACAAAGCACAGAACAGATAGACTGATCCCCAAAAGTAGTGGTTTTATTTCACAGTTGGGATTACTTTTTTATAGGATTGCGAATTATGCGCAATGATCAACATGCACGTGATGTCAATTCGCAGCATGATGATGACTACACGAGTCTTTTTTTAGAGCAAGGAAAACATATCCAGGGATATACGGAGGGCGTGGTGAATTCAGAGGGAGGGCGCGGGACGTACATGTGAATACATAGCCTACAAGTTTACAGCCAAGATTTAGTTTAAATACAACCTTAATATTTGTGATTATACCGCAAAACCCAAACTATATGCCCCTTGTGCTGGCCGCGGATTGTTAGTTGGTCCTAGCTCTATGGTTAAACCATGGAGAGGCATAATTCCTCCATGGTTAAACGTGAAAAGTGTGATCCGATTCATAGTGAACGCAGTCGGTGATGCATGGTCACGGGCAACTGATATGGTTCGATTCATACGGAAAACTTTTCTAGAACTTTTTAAAATATTTCTTTTCGGAAGGAGTGGCAGGTCAATTGGTAGGGCCCGTTACGTGCCCCGTCGAGAAAGGTGACTGGACGGTCGGTTGGCGCACCCGGCCGGGCAGTCTGTTAAGTAATTTACCGGCGCCCAAGTGTCACAGCATAAGTTATAAGGATTCGTATTAATTTGAGGTCTAATACAATATGATGATCATTACAATATGTATTCGGGGCTCCGTCTTGGAAAATGTTGTGAGGTCTACTATCCAAAACTAATAAAACTAATTAGGATTAACTATAGCGGATAAGTATAATTTGCATGTGCAATTTGTGCAAGCGCAGGTACACTTTTAAAACATGGAGGTAGAACATGATTAAAAAAAAACACCTTTGTGCTTGTTTTCTTTCGATCGGAGCCATTTCACAGGATATTTGGGGCGAGCCCTATAACTTCACTTGCGCGTTTTTTTTATCGATTTAGTAATACCTTTTCGGGTTATTTTACCAATTGTTGAATGTTACAGTCCTACCTGCCTTAAAGGCCCATGTGTACTTTTTTTTAATGCAATCCTTGAAAATGCATCTTTGTGCCCAATTAATGTGTTTGTTTTTGTATGCTAATGCAATTTCCATATTCATGAGCAAAAGTATGATGTCATTTCAGGCAGAAATTAACCTCAATAACGCTACCAAAAAAATAATTCGCTGTCGTTAATTTTCGTGTCTTTGGTGGTTCGGTTTCGATCGGTACATGTGAGTATATATAAGCCAATGAGCAAAGTGTTCTCATAAATGCTTTCAATTTCAAATTAATTTGGGTTCACATTTTTGAAAAGATAACCCAGAAAGTGAACGGTCTTCCTGAGATGACACCACAGCAACAGCGCCCTCATGTGTCAGGAACAGCATGGACTTTACACATGTTTAAAAAGTGCATTTAAGTTGATAAACGTAACCAAAAAAGGGGTGTCAAATTGATTTCATATTAAAGAGAAGTGCAAAGTTGCACAAAATATGTTCCGAGGTATAGATTCATGTCATAATTTTGTGGGACTGCCATGCGTAAGGAACACGAATAATGATGAAGAAATACCCCCTTACCCCCCCCCCCCCCCTCCCCCCGCTGGCTACGCCTATGGGATTGACTCCATCAAATCTACCCTTAAATCATTCCATAGCAATATACCATTTGATGTCAGTTTATTCTTTGATATTGAGGTACGATTGTAGTTGATTTAGAAATTACCCTTGGATGCCTTGGATGCCCCACGGGTAACCTTGGTAACCGGGTAACCTGGAGTCAAGGTTACTCGGTCCGGTTACCGTTTGCGGTTTCCGAGCGGCTCTCTTTGGTGATTTTCATGCTAATATAAATCATATAAAGAATAAACAAACATGCAGGTTCTTATCGGAAAGATGACATCATCGGTACCAACCAACAACAAGCTCTGCAATCGAACAAAACTCACGTGCAAATTGGAATGGGTCAAAGTGACACGGATCAGAAACGAACTATTGCCGTGCGACTAAATGGTGCAGGGTTTTTTTCAACTCTAATACATTTTCGCCCTCCCCGACACTTATGATCTAATTTTGACATTTTTTCTCCTCACTAGTGCGCATTTTACTAGTCTTACCAACTCACCAACAAAACCCAAAAGTTTTCCCATTTCAAAAAAATATGCATCAGATAAACCTTTTGCATTTATAGTTCACCAACACATTCAATCAAATACTCGACTTTCACCAATGTTTCAGAACCATTAATATTTTCCCAATGTAAACCTACAAAAAAAAACTTTTCCCCCAAATATTATTTTACCGGTTTTTTTTTTACATCGTTTCCAGTGAAATGATAATTATAGGTATTCAAAAGTCCCCCCAAATGCAAGCACTAGGAAAGTACACCACTTTAATAATCGCCCATAAGCAGCACTAACCAAATACATATTAAACGTTTAATGTCAGTTTCACTTTAAAAATTTGATTTTCTTTTCTAGCAATACACAGTTTATACTTCCTTTTGAGTGAGAAAAAAAACCGGTTAACGTCAAGTTAGGTATACAAATTATGCGGCCCTGGTAATTGAGTTCTCTCAGTGTAGACTGATCCCCCCCGGAAGCCAAAAAAAGACAGAAGGAAAGAAAGAAAAAGAGGCGGGAAGTCATATTGCTGTTAATTTAATGGGGGGGGGGGGGGAAATGTCCCTGCTGCCGGGCCCACCCTCGAAAAATGATAAATCGAGAATATGCTAAAAAAAAGTACAGGGATTTCGGGGGAAAAAATTGCTTCCCCCCCCCCCCCTCTAGAAAAAGTCCTGGCGATGCCCATGAGCACGGACATTCATCTTTAATACAGGGCGAGTCAGAAAGATGGGTACCCTGTAAAAAGGAATTTTTCGTCAACCTATAAGACAAGTATAAAGCAATTTAAAGAGAGAACCACAAACTGCGAGGTTTTAGCAACCACCTATTTTTTTGTTTATCAATTCCGCTTTTGTGGTTCGGGAGATAGAGAGGTTTTCCCCCCAAAATTCCTGAAAATCAATTTTGTCCTCGGATCAGTGAATCAAGCTAAAACACACCCGCGCACTTTAAACTTTACATATGTCAAGCTTTGCTTCTCTATTTATCATATTGTTTATTCAACAATGTTTCTGATTATTGCAGAGTTGATATAGATTACAAACATTTGACATGAATACATTTTTCTGACACCACTTCCGTCTCATTTTGTTATTCCTTTCACATGACTGAGAATGATTAAGGATTATATTTATGTGCATATTCACACCGAGCCTGTGTAGTGAACCGACCTGTCTTTGTATTGGGTATTCCAAGGACAACTTTGTCTTTCCCCTATTTTTTTCCAAAACATTGTAACTTTCAGAAGTGTTGTCGTATCGTGTTTCCCATTGATGATGTACTATTTTCAACACCCTGTCTTCAAGAAATCTATTAATTTGTTTTTTTTATTAATGGAGTACCTACACTCAACCAAAAAAGAAAGTCCCCCCTAATACTTTTTTTGTCTTACTCAAAAACTACTGAGCACCTCTCGCTCAAATAACGACTAATCAGTGCAAAAAAAATCCTTAGCAATCCAGCCATACTCTTTATTTGGCCCAAAACAGTGATTATGTGTACGAATTTATGCAATTTATGACAAACGATACCGAAAACAGTTGCACTTTTGTATACGTGCAAGTTGTGGGTTTACTCACCTTGCACGTAAACAAAAGTGCAACTTTCTTTTCGGTACCATTTGTCATAAATTGCATAATTTTGTACATAATATCACTGTTTTGGGGCAAAACAAATAGTATGGCTGGATTGCTAAGGCATTTCTGTACTGATCAGTCCTAATTTGAGGAAGATATGCCCAGTAGTTTTTGAGTTAGACAAAAAAAAGTATTAAGGGGGGGACTTTCTTTTTTGGTTGAGTGTATCTTTCTGAATCACCCTATACTTGACTAAGTGAATTCATTTTTTGATGAATAAGCGATAGGTCAATGTGAGGTCTTTTTTGCGTGCAATGGATTCATAGCGAAGAAACAAAGTTCGAGCAAGTGTGCTTGTGACAGGCGGCATAGATGTTTAGATAGGACACCGCATTATGTTTCACTGCTAAATATTACATGACCTCAATCCCGACACAAACATGCATACCATTATGATCAATATTTATTTTAGATCACTGATACTCAGTATGCACACAGAAAAGAAAAGTAAAACAAATAACCAAAACAATGAACAATTGTTTTTATAGTTTAAAGGGAAGATACAACATTTGCAAACATCAAAAAACAAAATGATCCAATTATCACGAAATACCTTACTGGATTGTTAGGGAATGACAGTCTAAAGCATATCCTGTAAAATTGTGGCTCCTGGTGTGCTGACATTTTCAAGAAAAATTCTATTTTTCCAACGCTGGTCGGACGACCAGTGTTGGAGAAAACTGGCTATTTTCAAAAAGTACTCCATATTTCTTATATTTAGTTATTCCACATTTTCTTTGCAAGTGATTACACACCTGTGAACGGGTACAAGCCAAATTGATACTCTGACCGTACAATTCCCCAAAGTCTATAAATTGCTCCATTTCATCTTAAGTGGGGTCAGGGAACCAGACTACAAGAACATAATTGGTTTTCTTGGTTTTTCCAGCATCTACAAGCCCAAAACGTGAAACAAGTCAGTTTAATAATATTTGCTAAAACATACTAATCATCCAAATCATCCATTTAGTTCTGAAAATTGCAGCAATGGCCAATGTTGTACATTCCCTTTAAAGGCACGTATTGGACCAACACATGAATGTTCAATGAAATCTAGCAAATGAATAACTTCTGCTTGTGGATAATCCACAATAAATCATGTAAACCACACACTGTCAATTTAAGTAGATTATTAATTACGGTCAAGAAAGTATCCGATTTTGAAATGAGTTTACCAGAAAAACTGACCTTTCCTGTAAAAAAAAATCACCAAAAATTCATTACATTTCTTAATTAAGTATTAAATATTTCATTCTTAGCATGGACATACAGTATACATCTTTACTGTTAATTATATTTAATAAATGTATCAAATACATTCACACACAGATTTGAGGGGGGGGGAATAGAAATTACTAGAACTTCGTGAATAACAAATAAAATCGGCAAGGCATGCAGGCTGCCTCACATCTCACACATACACTACAATTCAAGCACAAACATTAACAGTGATGTTATACAAATAATGAATGTTTATGAGTGCAATGGTAAGAATAATTTCACGAGGTGACAGATGAAATGTTCCATTCCACGAGATGAAGCCGAGTGGAATGGAACATTTCATCTGTCACCTCATGAAATTATTCTTTCCATTGCACGAATGTGAAACATTCATTATTTGTTTTATATAACACCTGAATAAATCCTCGTCATCTGGTTGGTTAACTTTTAAGAGCCAATTTATTCAGGTTAAAAACTGTAAAAAAAATTTAATTTGACAAGTTCATCATATTTAATCAATGCAAACTGTTAAACTGGTTGAGAGCCATCACATTCAATTTATCTCGATTTAAAACAGCGCCACCACCAGCAGCAGCGACACCATGCAATGGAAGTTCTATTCACAGTGCAATAGAACTTCCATTGCACTGTGCGCTGCGCGCTGCACGCGCGCCGTGCGTTGGGACGATTAATTGAATGACACGTGATCAACGATCCACCAATCAGATGACGGGGATTTATTCCGGTGTTGTATAAACTGTTATATCTTATACGACAGAAAAACACAATATTTTTAGACTGTACTGGCACTGTAACGAAAACCCACTGCAATCTGTTGCTTTCAACATCAGGGATAGTTGTCTCCCAAAATGCATGATTTTCAACATTGACATTAAATGCAAGTATACACACACATCAAGCAAACACACACCCAGGTATGCAAAACTCTACTTTGTCCATTGATAACTGCACACAGACAAAACAATGTAGCCAAAAGAACACATACAATTTAGCCAGTTGTACATGTACAACTGTATATTGGGGCAGAAACTCTATAAAAGTAAAATAATTTGAACACTACTTCATTATGCATGCAGGGTGACACCCCCCCCCCCCCCCAATGCAACCCTGAAACATTTGCCTTTTTTCAAAAACGTGCAGTGAATTTTTGGAGATCAAATATCTGAGAGTTTTTCTTAAATTCTCTCAGAAACTGAGAAAATTATGAAAACGACACATTGGGTTGCTGAGAAAATGCCAATTACGTGAACAAAGTTATTTTTCATCCTTTCCAATTTATGGTGCTTCAAACAGTGAAACATGTTACTGTAAGCCCACTGTGCAATCGATTCCATTTACTTCTGATGAAAAATTACTTGGATATTTTATTGTCTAAAAGTCTTGCTAACTTGAAAGAGTCACAATTCAAAATGCCACTTACATAAGTGTGAAAAGACTTAAAAGGTGTGTATATTGTTGCATAATACTTGACATGATGAAAGCATCTTAGACCGTGACACAGAAACATTTATTTCAATATGTCTTTCATTTGTGCAATTGCTTTCATATTTTGACATATTTATGATGCTGAAAAGGTTATGATCTTGTGAGAGTTTTGTGGGTGGAAATTAAGAAGATTTGAGTTGATTTTTCTTTTCTTTTTGCATGTTCTGAACTGTATTACAACCCTCCTATGGAAACATGCATTGTCAGCCTGCTTATTACTTGGGTCAATATTGGTCAAGACCCCCATTGGTTTGTACACAGTAGGCCAGGAGGTGAGGAAGAAAATTTTGACCATTGGTGACCTCTTAAGCAATTAAGTACCGTATGACTTTGCAAGCTTACATGTGCACGCAACTGGATTGGCTAAGACAATCCAAATTTTTGTGCAAGTCCGAACATCTTAAAATAACAAACTGCAAATTGGTAGGGTTCTAGAAGAATTGTTTTTATAGAAAAATCTTGTAAAGTTTGCTATGTGCTTCAAGTACTAAATAGCTTACTTTATGGTGAAGTACATTGGGGATACCAAGAAAATACCTAGCATAATATGATAAATTGTAAACAATACGAGACGGCATTTGAATGTAGTTTGTGCTGAAAATGTTCAAAATGGCAAGAATGGGCTAAGGGTAAAGGGTAAAGCAGGGCAGGTTAAAGGTGCTTGTTAGTTAGGGGTGTGAATTTACGGGTAGTGCAGGAACCGGGTACCCGATTGAAGACAAAAAAAGGTATCAGGGTATCTTTAAAAAAAAAACAATCCCAAAATTCAAATCTTGGAAGTTGCCGTTGAGATTGTTCATAAAGGTCCACACGATAATGTTACTGCATTGGTGCGTCAGTACAGCAAGATGCAAGTGTGTACAGTGAGCTTGATAGCTCGCATCACAAATGTGAAATACGTTTTGTTTTCCCACGTAGCCTGGTTTTGATTTCGAAAACTCCCCACAAATGACATTCAAACCTTTCTTTTTCATTGTTTGAGAAGTTACTAAGCAATATGAGAAGTTACTAAGTAATATGTAAAGATAGTTACGGGTACCCGATCCCGTAATCTGGAACCGGTTTCTGACATCAACGGTCGGGTACTCGGATATCCGGTTCCGATGCACAACCTTACTGTTAGTCAAGAGATTGCCGAAATCTAGTGTTCTAGATTGTTTACTTGTAAGCACATTACAAAGGTCTAGGTCAAAGGAAATTTCCACATACGTGTCTTTCAAATTTGAAGAAAATATTGAAAACCCTGCTTATTTATATCTGACACACGAGGTTTTTACCTTGCCCAATTTTAAAGCAGAAAATAAATTCATTGAACCATGAGCCGCCTATACTGAGACAAAGGTGCCATCATATGATAGAATGTCCATGAATTTCGAAGGTGAAAACTTTACATCTACCATACAAGAAGAGATCTCAAACAAACTGGAATTATGAGTAGCATTCCGATGACTTGATTTTTTAGGACAAACTTTTGTATCATGAAATTCCTTTGGATGCTGATAACACGAAAACCACAAATTTTCACAGTGTAGTTGTGTGAACCATTATATTCTGCCTTTTCATTATGTAGGCAACATGTTTAAGAGACCCACAGGGTGCATCCCAGATGAGAGGGCTGCTATAAGGGAGAGGACAGGAGAAGTATGCTCTAATGGACTGAAAGCCTACTTCATAATCGGATCAATTCATAATGGCTTGAATGCACTGTATTTCAGGCTAGCTTGCAACTTGCCGATCTCAGCGTCCAGGTCTCTGAGTCCACTCTGGAACTGTGCCTCGTACTCCGTGGTGATGGAAGACACTGTGGAATCTGAGATTACTGACGCTATCGCGGGTTTACTGGCGACATCCCAAGTTGCTCTGTACGAGTTTCCTTCTGTGCGGGGCTCTGGCATGGCTGGGTTAACGTCAATCACTGGTCTGGAGTCTTTTCCAAAAGCTGGCTCGGGGATATCTAGATCCAAATGGTACGGTGACATTCTGTTTTCAAATGTCATTTTGTCTCTGAATCTGTTTTCCCCGGCGTTTGTGGTATCTTGCCGAAGGGTGTCACTGATCAAATTCGGTGTCGTGGATCCTCGTGTTGGGGAAAAACTGGGCCTGTCCGGAGAAACTGAAACGTGAGCCCCGGAGGAATCATGTTTTGGAAAAGGTTTAATCCCCTCCACTTCAAAGCTTATCAAGTCACCGGGCAGTTCCTGCTGGTCTTTCCATAGCGTGTCGGTCCTGGCCCACTCACTGATGTCTTGGCCTCTCTGGTTGTGAGTGTGAGTGTCTAGGAACGTTACTCGCTGCTTGGGGCTCTTCGTGAGTGAGTTCCGAAAGCCCCTGGCGTGATTGTGAGACACGGAATTGGAGACTGACGGGTCATGAGACTTCTTGGCGGACTGGAGATGCTTCCTAGGGGTAGAGCCGGAGTGATACGATGAACTCTGGATATTTTCCTTGTTGGCTTTGTTTGGACTCCTAAAGGAAAAACAAGTCAATAACTACATGTAAATAAAATTTTCAATTTCCATTTGAACACAGAACAATGGGCTTCATGCACAAGTACCCCATCAACGGCCAGAAAAGGAGAGTTGAGGGTGACCTAGACTGGTTCCCGAACCATCCACTGCATATTTGGAATGTATCCAAAGTTATTGGAGGCGGGGATTAGTCTCGGAGACCATCGTAAGTTGAATTCGAACGTATTCGCGCTCCGACGACGACTGAAAGACGCAGTGGCTATAGCTGTTGCACATTCAGGAAGTTGTGCGCACTTCGCGGGCGAACCAGTACAGTACAGTACTCACACCCTGTGTGTCCCATCCACGGAGCTCTCAAAAGAGGTAAAAACATGCCCTCTGTTGTTGTCGCATGGAGCCCATAGATGCCCTTTATTACCATTCATGAGAACTCCAGTAGGAGAGACACAAGGTAGCCTCTCTCTGTTATGCTTGAGTAGACGGTTACCCACCTTTCCATAAGAAGTCGACTCATTCTCTGCAGGCCTATTCCTCCTGAGGTCTTGGGAGACGTGGGATCTTCACCCTGCTGACTCCTCAGCTTGCTGATCTGCTCCTGAAGACTCCTGGAGATTAGAAGAAGATGAAGACAAACGATTACAGTGAGAAGGGAGGTAAGGGACAATAATTTTGAGCAAGGCATTTTGAACTTTGATTTCAGTAATCGGTAGTTGGAAAGATTTACATGTATGAAGATTGTAAGGGCTCCGACAAAAAAGGCGCCCTTTTTCCTAGCAACGTCGTCCCATGGGCGGGACATTTCGCTGGTTGACGTGCACCGTTCCTTGTGTGTGACGCACGTACACTAAGTGATTTGTACTGTACACGCAGTGGCCGCGCTTTGCGCGGCAAATGAATTGCAGTCAGTAATTGCAGGCGGTTTAATGGATCAGTCTATTAACACTCACTGGTTGAAACTCTTCAGTCTTGCAATCTCGTTGTCCCTCTGCTCCAGGCTCAGTTGAAGTATCCGCGTCTCTTTGCTGGCGCCCTCAACCTGCAGTTCCAGATAGTCCACCTTGGACTGGAGCTCGCTGCGTGCCTCGCGCAGGTCCTGCAACTCGGCCAGGGTCTCCTGACGGGTTTTAAGCAAGTTGCTGTCCTGCAAAGAAAAGGGGAAACACAACACATTGACTGGCACATGATAAATTGAAATTCATAAATACCTAAGACAGTTTACCCATTCCTATTGGTCGAGAGCCCGTCACGTAGCCGGATTGAAATGGTTGATAAAGACTGGCTGGCTGGTCTTAAACATTTTTCCAGTGTCACATGAAATTTGGACTCCTATGAAATCCGGTACCAGTACCGTTTTATTGGTTGAACGTTCACAATCCTCACATAGGCATGCGCAATACTACAGATGAGCCAGTATTTCATAGTCCTAAATTCACACTACACTGGCACAGCTGCATTCTGCGCCACATCAATGAGCACCAATCTCCATATAAGGAGTTGTTTACCACTTCTCGAGACAGGGCCATACCATAATATAGCTAGAGGGGTGTTTCGAAAAACAAAATCGTTGGAAATTTATAACTGTTGACTTGTTTTGACTTTTGGACCTTAAAGTGGGAATAAGTATGTGCTTGGCCGGTATTAAACACTATGTTTAAGACCAGTTGGAGTCGGGATGCTGATAATTACCCTCTCCATCAGCATCCAGACTCCCCCCTGTCTTAAACATAGTGTTTACAACCGGCCAAGCACACATTTATTCCCTTATTAAAATTTGGATATCGATAAATCTGGCAACAGTATTAAAATGCTATGAGTGCCTGATTCAGTTCGCTGCAAGGTACCCCACAAATCAAGTGCATAGGCCACAAAATAAGAATTTCAGTCCCAATTTCTTGATCTATCAAAAATTGTGATAGCCATTGAGAAAGGACACTAGGAAGAAGTTGCGCCGTTGACCAGTAAATAAAGGTAAAAAGTTGGAACCCAAGCCTTTATGTCTTTTTTTTTACACTTTATGTATTTCTATCGTGCTTAACTTTGACAGGGGCACAGAATATACAACTTTGACAAGCTTGAATTTGAGTTCAAATCAAAGACTACGCTAAACTCCCCATTTTCTCTGGCCGTCTGTGGTACCTTATCATTCAATATCCTGAGCATGTTCTGATGTTGTTGCTCCTTCTCTTCTAAGCTTTGACTCATCTCCAGGTTGTTCTTCACCATCTGTTCTTTCTCCTGTCTCTCTTGACGAAGCTGCTTCTGAAGGTTGGAATTGAGAGCCTGAAGAGCCATGGCTGGATTTGAAAGGAGAAGACAAGTTGTTTTTATTCGCCTGAAATAGAAGTGATTTACAAATTATAGATGCCTTTTAAAGGTATAGTCCATCATTTGCAGCCATCCGAAAAGTAACTGGCGTAATTATTGTTGAAAAACAAACTTGGTTGAAAGATAGTAAGGGGACTAAACTCCCTGTGAAATTATTCTTTCTGGGAAGCTGTCATTTTGAAGTAATCAACGAAAGAAGGCATTTCCAACGGTGATTCTTAAGAAGCACCGTAGGAAAATTTAAATTAGTAGTTCGTTTTGTTATTCAGCGCAGCGCGCACAAGTATTGGAACGACGCACACGCGCGCGCGGTTGTTATAATTCGTCGGATCAAAATTCAAATTCAAAACATGATTCAGTAACTTTGGATTTGAAATTGAGATCTTAGAATGCTGTTTTTCTTGGAATGTACAGCTGAAGCTTAGCTGAAACTTCATCAGGTAAGTTGCTCAGTATCCTTCATTAGATTTTGAACTCTTTTGTTGCTTCAAACGAACAAAATGCACAAATTACAAATGATGGACTGTAGCTTTAAGGAAGAGATACATGTATAGGGCAATGTTTTTGGATTGCTTGAACGAGGAAAGCGTAAATAATTGTTTCATTGATTATTTCTCTCCCCGTGCTATTTTCAATTACTATGCCTCATACATATTCATGACAGAGAGCTGAATTCTCACTGGTCCATTCACCATCACGTGTCAGCTGCTATTTTTGCTGTTTACCAAGTGCACACAAGCATTCATGCGTAGGAATCGTGCAACTGTTGCACGGGTGTAGTGCGCATGCGCGATCATCGCCCTATCTGCGTGCAGCAGCTACACGAAAAGATGACTGCACATGTAACAATGTCAATCAGCGTTTTCACTATCTCAATGATGCCGAACTGGAGAATATTTTGGACAATAAAGATGCCTCCTATACTAAAAAAAAATTTCCACAATGCGGTAGAAACTGTTAGTGTATTGCAAAAGAATTAACTTAGTGTATTGCAAAAGAATTAACTTCTCTGAGGTGGAGCGATATTCTTCTGGTGAGCTGGACAAGTTTCTCCGAAGATTTTATGCTGAGGTTGCGTACTGCAACAGGAAAATTCGGCAACTGAATATGTAACTTGGTTTATTTCATGTGGATAGCCGATATTATCTCCCCCTTGGAAGTTGACAAACTTCCAATACCTCGAGCCTGTTTACAGGCGTACTATGGCAAGCCTGTTCACAGACGTACTATGGGGCTTAGGCCACGATCTGAAATTAGTTTTAAAGTTGAATTCTGTTAATTCTGGTCCGCAATCCAGGGAAACAGCAAATCGTACATGTACAAAACCTTTGTAGAAGAATAATCAATGGATTGTGCCTGACTTACCCTCTAGGCTCATAGACCCCTCGTCTTTCTTCTCAGCCATCTCTCTGCTCTGGAGCTGATGGTTGGCGATGCGTAGACGTCTGCGCAGCTGGCCGTTCTCTGACTGCAATGGTTGGAGGGCCAGCAGGACCTCGGTGTTCAGGTCCAGGAGCTGCTTCCGAGTGGTGTAAGGCAGCGTGTTGCACACTTCCTCTAGTTCATTCAGGAGCCTGGATACTTCAATGTCCTCTGTGTTTTTAACGGATGACAGCAAGTTCCATAAGGAATGTTACTTAATCCTTTCCTTACCATTGGCGACTTTTGTTGACAAGGAACTACCCCCCCCCCCCCCCCCCCCCCCCCCCCCCCCCCCCCCCCCCCCCCCCCCGCTGCTTTATAGGTGACTTTAGTTGACCAGAAAACCACACACAGAACACCCTCATACAACACAGATTTATACACTGCTTTTCAGCAAGCTGGCATATTGGTGTGTTTGGCCGCCCATACATCAACTACATTTGTATATAACAGCTAAAAGAGTGTTTTAGGATCGTTCCAATGGTGTAGTTTATTCATAGTGTTACCCTACCAAACGTTTAAGAAAAGTGCTTCAGAAGTATCCACGCACAATTTGAGTTATGAACTGTCATTTGGTTGTGTGGTGAAATGGCTTGCAGTTTGATAACTGGGACCAGATCAACAAACAGGCATAACTTTCTTATTTTTACAAATATGGTATTGATTTTTACACATAAAAGAGTAAAGCTCAAGGAACAAACATTACGCAACAATTTTGATTTTAATCACTCCTTGGCAGTAAATATCTGTGTAAAAAACAAAAGGTGAGTTTTCGACTTGTTGTCCATTTTTCATGCTCTAGTCATCTAGTGATTTCCGCATGACTGAGCAAACGATTTGGTTCTGGGAAGAGCCCAAGTCAATAAGCAATGTGGTAAGAAAAAGGTTACAGGAACATAGGATCATTTGCTCATTGTGCATATTTTTGTCATTGAAGCAACAGAATTGCTCAAAATCTTTACTAAGGTGCATACACGTAACTATCCCGTTGAAGTTTTACCTCAGTTGCTACTATATATATTGAGAAAAGCCAGAGAAAACACAGGCACAATTATTTGGATCTTGTAACTGGATTCAGTTGCTAATGCATAATGCAATGCAAAAGTGTGCATGCAGACACACTTTTTGCCACCAGCCTAGTGAGGTCAGTTGCATGGCTGGTTACAAATAGCCACACCCATCACAATGCACAGCGGGCAGTCAGGACCAAGAAGTTGTAAGGTGACATTTTCATCATCATTTGACAATAGACCTATTGCACATTGCTATTATAGTGCGTCCACGCATAAGTCAGTCATGAATCAACCACTGGTCAACCAATGGTCTTTTACTTACAATTTGTAACTTGGTCTTAGTTTTAGAATGAATGTCCCCTTTTTTTAAACAAACGACTATTTATATACTTAATGATAAATGAGATAATTTTTATCGACATGTCAAGGTAACGTACGCTTGATGCTTTCCAAGAATCTGGGAAGGCGTTTGAGCATGGACCTTATTCACAAGTCGGCCATATTGAATTGAGAGGCAAAATCTTCATTTTGAAACTTGCGAATAGAAATGAAAGTAATGAAATAAATTTAATTACACATTAATACCAGTGTGCTCTACTGAATAATTTATAATATGATTGAACATACCCTAATGTTTTAAGCCACATTTACAAAAAAATTAAAAGTGAGGCTTGGAACGCATAAATAGTCTGGCACTATCCCATTCAACAGTTTACAAGGCATATTTACACATATGTGATTCTGTCGCAACGACTTTGTTTCGCACGCGTGTGTGGGAAAAAAAGTTGATTTAAAAAAATCGCACAATAAGTCATGTAAATGTAAAAGCGCTCATTGATTTGTGCATGCGATATTATCACGCGACAAAATTGCGTATACAAATGTGTGTAAATAAAATTCAGGGAACACGATCAAAATGGCTTCCTTGTAATTAGACCCACACAGAGCTTCTTTTTCTTTTCAATTTCACCAAAACACCTGTTACATTTTGTGTGATGTTGTTCCTAAAAGTGGTCAAAACATACATGCATATATTTGAAACCCACCATGATCTGCTAGAACAGCTTGCAGTTCCCCCAGCAGGTACTTCAATGTCCTGATCTGCTGCAAGCAACTCTGCTTGAGGGTCTGGCCTCTGTGATCTACGGTCAACGGCTCAGAGCTCTGCGGTGGACTGGTGGGGACATGAGCGGCTGGCTTACCTAAGAGGCAGGTAGAAAGAGGTACAAGGCTGTGATAACCACAGAATTATGCACTCTTTGCACTAGTAGCAAAACAATTCTGTGCTAACCACGTACATGTACATTGATATAAGTAAAGAATCCTTAGTTACAGGATGTACGCATGTGCATATGGGTAAGCTCATAAATGTAGGGTCCAAAAGTGTGACATTTTTCTGTGTCCCTGTTTCACCTGACCTGCGTAATTTATAATACAAGTACCATTAAAATTGACTTCAATCTACTTGTTTATGAACTTGGCAGGTACTTTGCTTTTCATGTGTCCTGAATTTACAACATCTTATATCAGATGGAACAGGGGCATGAATGAAAACAATTTAATAACTATTTTTCTGGAACCACCAATGATATTTACTTCTGAAAGAGACATAAAAAAGTCGACCCACGATTAGTTATGGAATAACCGCTTTACACACTTCAAATTATTTGAGGCCCAAAATAATTCAGGTGTACCCAATATCTGTTGTGCATTAGAGATGCAAGAACAACCAATAATGACAGTTTTTTTAAGGGTTGCTGATGCCAAAAAGGGAACTTAAATTTCAACAATTTAACTTTTGAAGCACAGTACTTGACAGTGCATCTTTAAATATATGGAGTTCATATGAACTCCCAATATATTTTTCTGAGGGGTTAAGTTAATGCGATTTTGTAGAGTTCCTTCTTTTTTGAAAATTAAAATTACCCAAACTAATCAAACTTGTGGAATTGTATTATTTTACGAAAACATCCATGGGTTGACAACCACCGTTACTAACCGTAACAACAGGACTCAACCCATCAGGATGTAAGGATGGGTACAGTACCCCTAAACTGACAGTCTTTTACATTGGGTTGGCACACCTCCAGAATCAAAGTCAGAAATATGTGCGTGCAGTTTTCATATGGTGTTGGAATTTGCCAGAAGGGATATGGTTCCTAGTCTAGGGAGTTAGGGTTTTAATAAAAACAGAGAAAAAAGAATTGAGATCAACTTACCGACTTGAATGTACTTTTCTTGTTCTGGATCAGGAACGTTATAGCCGCCGTGATGAACAAAAGGTGTTGAAACATAATTTGATGTATCATCCTCAAAATCATTACGAAGAGGAGCTTTCTTAGGTGTAACGAAAGCCTCTTGTGGTGAAGATAAACTGTCAGGCACTTCTGCTTGCGACTTTTGAGTGTCTTTTGTAGGCTGCAAGTCAGTCATCTCTGTTGGATGCCTGTTTTTAAATGTTACACCACCATTAAAGGGTGGAGCAACTGAAGTAAAGGTAGGGGTGTTATCATCTCGCCGCATGCTTCTCGGAGTCTGCCGTGAGGGAGTTTGACGGAAATCAGACAGAAGTTGCCTCAGCGATGGTTGCTCCCTGTCCAATTGGGAACTTTGTTGGTTATGGTAATGCCGACCGGCGTATGGAGGGGGACCAGTGTCCGTGGTCATAGGCTGAATGTTCGCTTCTTTGGCTTCTTCACTGATATCTTTCGACGGAGCGTGCTGCCTGTTTTGGATCAACCCTTGCAGAACCTGTTCGGTTTTGCCAAGCGGGACGGATGACTTGTCGCTCTGGTTGAGGATGGTCAGCTGTTGTACCAAGTCTCTGAGCAAATCTTCACTGTCCGTCAGAGGCTGAGGAAGTGGCTGCCTCATCGGGTGTCGTGCAGGAACTACGCTGCCTGAAATGCCACGATGAGCATCCCTTTCTGGTTTAGTGGGTGCCTCGTCGTGTCCACTTTCACGTTCGTGTGAGGAAGGGCTTTTCGGCGCTCTTGCCAGGCCTTCGTACATAGTCTGTTTAGCGACGGACTCGTCATACCACTGCATCCAATCCTTGCCTGGTTCCGGCTTCTGCATGGACTCTACAGCAATGTCCCCAACGAAGCCTTCTGTTTTGTCAACTGGTGCGTTCCTCTCTCTTGGAGAATATGTCAAGCCTGTTGGCGACTTGTTTCTCAAGTTTGTGTCGTCGTGATCTCTCCTCGAAGTGACTGGGTGATTTCTGGGGCCAGAAAGCGGCTTGGCAAGGGTTGTTGGCTGAATACCCCGACTGGGACTTGGAGGTTTAGGGGTTTGATTCGGTGTGGCTGTGAGTCCTTGAGGCTTCTTGGGTGATTCTCGTTCTGCGGGTGTGGATGACATGAGATGGTCTTGGAATCCTGGAGCTGTTAGATGCTTAATGTTCCTTGTTATGGTTGGGGCTTTGTGAGCAGTGCTTGGTCCAGCAACAGGCTTGTCTTGATTAGAAATAAAAAAACCAAAGCCATTTCATTTTATGACAAGCTGCTTTTAACTGCATTGCATTTGTGCCCACCCAAATAACTGTTCTTATAATTCTACAGAAAAAAAATCCCTCGCATGTCAACTTTTAAAGTGCATCTTAAAAAGGACTTCAACTTTTGAATTTAACAACTCCAAACATTTTTGTCTGATCATGGCACTAGTGTGCATTTACAATATAAGGCAATTTTTCACCTGCGAGAGCCTTCCCCCCCCCCCCACCCAGCACAGCCTCAGCTCCCCCCCCCCCCCCCCCCAGCAGTAACCTCTCTTGATCCGCCCTTGTCACAAGTCGTCACAAGTCCCCAAAAGCCCATCACTAGTCATAACGTGTCAAGATATTCAAATGATCTATGGCAAAGGCATTGCATTGTTGACTGGACTTGTGAATCGACTTACGACTTACATGTGACTGGACTTGTGAATCAACTAATGATTTACTTGTGACTGGACTTGTGATGGACATATTATTTACTTGTGAAAAAAAAAGTTGAGGTGGAGTTGTGATGGACTTGACACCAACACTTATGCGACTCTGAAACTCAAATCTGTACAGCAATGCTTCAAGCATCCCGAGTCCTACATATCTCACACTGTGCTGGCAATGGCACATTCACTGTACTCAAACACAACAGCCAAATGCACAGTAAATTGTGGCTGGGTTCTACAATCCAAAATTCATCAAAAAAGGCACGAAAGTTTGAAGGATTTAGGGTGAGTGGAGACGGTAGTCGAGTCCAATACAAGTCCTCACAACTCCTCACAAGTCCTCACAAGACATCCAGTCCCAAGTCAAGTCAAGAGCCATTCATGTGAAAAACGCACTCCTCTTTTATTGTTCATCCCCTGTTGAATGTGATTAGGCTTGTAAATCTACTTGCGATTTACTTGTGACCACACTTGTGATGGACTTGTGATGGGTTAGGGATAATGATTGCCCTTGGATGACAGCTACCTCCTGAATCATCAGTTCCAGTTGGGATGACGTGAACGGTCGACGACACGGAACGTTTGGACTCCGACGCTTCGCGTCTTCCTTGTTTTGCTTCCGGAAGTACAGACACTGTTGAAGTAACAGCGTCTTTTCTCTTCGAGGTCTTAGAATGATGTTTCTTTGTCTGGGAGGCTCTGGTTGATTTCCGTTCTGGGACCGGATTCTTCTGGCTATTTTTGAGGGGCTTGGGGTCCGGTTTGCTGGGGTGACTTCGGTGAGGTTTGGCGTTGGTCTTGGACTTCTGTCCTTGGTGTCTGTATGTCGCAAGCCCAGCTGTTTGATGAAATAAATATTTGTATATTTATCTTTATTATCCCAACTAAGTGGTCAGAAATACCATTTTCACTCAAATCAGAACATAGTTTGGCATGTTTGCTTGTTTAGGGGTTATTGAATTTCATCAAGATAATTTACAAAGCTGTCAAAAACTTGAATGTAACTGTACGAGTTTCAATTTTATATTGGGTTTTCCACTTCGCCGACGTATTTTTACAAACAATGTATACTCAGTGTTGTCAGCAGGCTTGCGAGAAAAATCCAGTTTGAGTTTCAGTTTAAAAATTGATCCTTCAAATCTTATTTCCTGTTACCTTCAATGAAATATTATTATTGCCTCCTTAAATTGTTGGTAAACAGTGTTGTTTGATCACAAGTTTGTCATTGTGGTCGATATCAGGTTTGCCTATTAAGAATATGTCAAATTGGGACGTGACTGAGTCTAAGAATTTAAAAACTGACCTTCTTTCAGAAAGGCATAGCTCTGTATACCCCCCCCCCCCCCTTACACATGTACAGGATGTATAACTACAAATAAGTTGAAGATCATGTGAAACACCAATGTGTCCTCTTTCCAACGATAGCTTGATTGTGTGTCTGTGGCCACGGATGACTGAGCATTCATTGTTATTCTGTCAATGGTCAAAACCTGTAGTGTACTAAGCCAAGTTTTACCTGGCTAATTAAAGATTGCTGGCTGATTTGTTATGCGGCCTTGATAAGACTGCCGGTCAGCGATATGTACAAAGTCGTGCAGAGCTTTGTGTGGAAAGAGGTGGTGGCCACGTTGAAGGCATTGGGCCATGAGGTGTTAACAACAACAATGAGGGTGTTTAAGTCACTATGTCAAAATTAAATAAATGTTTTAAACAAAAGGATGTCTCCTTTCTTTAAATTAAGCCATTCCACATGTGCAGAATACAGTTACCCTTTTGCACAAACTTGGCCCAGTACTGGTTTTGACCCTCGACAAAATACTAACGAATGCCCAGTCATCCGTGGCAACAGACACACAATTAAGGCATCAAAGGAAAGAGGACACATTGGTGTTTTATATGATCTTTAACTTATTTCAAACTATTCATGAGAGTTTTTATAATTTACATTTACGGGTTTTCCTTTTTTTATACACCCTGTATAACAAGGCCAACCTTATAAGACACTCACTCTTGATGGAATGCCCGTGGTCGTTGGTGTCTAAGATGTTGGCCAGGAGTTTGGCGCACCGATTCAATCCTTGATTGACTTCCCCGGCGGTGCTCTCCGAGTCGGATGAGTACAGGGAGTAGCCTGAGCGGACGGACGGAGGATCGCTAGTTTTACCATCAACATACCTACAACGAAGAATTCTTAAGCTGAATTGTTACTGTTGGCAAAGCATCTTCACAGGCATTGGTGGATCCCAAACCAAATTTTCATGGGACCAAAAAAAATGGAAGGGGGATGACCAAACCATGAACAGAAAAACGGGGGTTGCTGGACCCCATTTGTTCCTGGTGCAAACAAATCTGAGTAGAAGGAGATGAGTAGAGAAGTAGTAGTGTAGAGAAGTAGACTAAAGCAGTGATTTCAAAATAGTCATATTATCCATATTATTTTTAGGCCAGTTAATACAAGTGCCTACAGCAAATTTGACGTCATGATAACTTGCTGTGAAATTGACACAAACTTGCTGGGGTTATGCCACATCACACAGATAATATAGGCCCTCATCCAACTACAGTATGCAGAAGTGTTGGAATCTCAACCTGTGAAGACAATATTAACCCTCCTGCTGTCTGAACAGTCACAGACAGTCAAAAATTCCATGCACTTCCCCTGCCATGCCTTTTAGTAAGGTCATATTTCAAGCAAGCATTCTGACTAGTCAAATTCAGTCTTTAAACATTTTAATAAGTTTCCATGCTGTTCCGGACAACTGAGAGCACTGTTACTGTGATGTCATTTTTAGGAAGACACTGTTCAGTTTGGGGGGTTTCTGTTCAATTTGTTAACCCAAACATTTGTTCATTGTAAACATTTGTGAGAAAGGTTTGCTCACCGGCTCACTGCCACGTACTGACACAACAACGAATCACCAAAGAAAAGAACACTTACAACAGCAAAATATTCAAAATTCTAGTAACTTTTGGTGTTGACATAGCTGTAACATTTGAGGTTTCTGCCTGAAATGACATCACACTTTTACTCATAAATATGGAAATTCGCATTAGCATAAAAAACCCCAAAAAGGCACAAAAATACCCTAGCAAAATGGCAAAACAAAAATTGAAAATCAGGTTACATGGGACACAAAGGTGCATAAATTACATTGCATGAACCCTTCAAAGAAAAAGCCAGGCCTAGGCAAGTGGCGGAACAGGACCTTACCTTTGAATTCTTTGAACAGGACCTTACCTTTGAATTACCTTAAAATTCCATCTTATATAAGGACCTTACCTTGTTAAAGAAGGCTTCACTGCTAATCCTCTTGATACTAATGAGGCCTGACTTGGCTGAAGACAAAAAGTAATCGGGCTCAATAAGCTGTTTATCATAGCACTGGAAGTTGAACAATATCATGGTTTAATTTGTTTGTTTTACCTTTCTAACATTTGTCCAAAAATCGCAAGGAGAAACCTGATTAGACACATATATAACGATTAAGTTAAACAAAGAAATTGATTGGAGTGGGGTTTGAACCTGCAACCTCCGGATTGCCGTTCCGGTGCTCTACCAACTGAGCTATCCAACCCCATGTTGGCCGTACCCCAGTTTGTCGATGTCTTTGGTCAAGGGGTGCTAGCCTGAAACCATAAACCTGTAAATACCATGTAGCCAAGGATCACGCCCAAAGTCAAGATGCTAGCCAAAACAAGTCTTTCTAAATTTCAACCAATTGCAGAAATTGTTTGGGTGGAAAAGGGTGTTTTTTTTCTGTTGACTGGTTGTTGAAGTTCATTTCTGAACCCCAACTCCCTAGGCATTTTTGCTAGGATGCAACCTCAATCCTGCAAATTCTCCAACTGCCTCCATGTAAAAATTGCATACAGCCTCAATCCTGCAAGATCCTCCGTTATTTCTTGAATGTGGTCCTTGGAGGAGTGACCACTGCCTCAATCCTGCAAAATCCTCCAGCAATCACTGTCAATATGTTGAGGCAGAGCCAGTGACATCCTGGAGCAGTGCGGAGGATTTTAAGTATGATCTAGGCCTAAATTTATGAACGGTTGAGCATAAACACAAGGTCCGGCCCAAGATCTCGACACAGTGCATCCTCCGAAATCAGCAACACATTTTTGCCATATAGCCTTAATCCTGCAAAATCCTCCATTTTGCAAAGAGGATTTGGGAGGATTTGGGAAGGCAAGGGTTTTATAATCGAGTTCATGCCTAATGTGCTTAAATTCAGAAAAACGAATGACGACATTTTACCTTGTTTTGGCCAACGGTCTTTTGTTTCTTAGAGCCCTTCATCATGACTTCATTCCTGTATCTGAGTAAGAATGAGAAAACTTAAGATTTATAAAAGCTTTTTGACATTTGCATTGCATTCCAGGTACCCACGACGACCAAACTATGCAATTTCCTTATAAACCTACAGAGCAGTCAACCTGACTAATTAATCATTTCACAACCTTTTATATAGAAACGACTAATTATCAGGAGATATCCGGGTACCACTCACAGAGTGACCTGTTGAGAATTTGGTAGCCTTCTTACGCCCCAAATTATGGCAGTCGTCCCAACTATTGTTGGGATAGTCCAAACAATAGTTGGTTTAAGCTCCATGGTTTAAATGTACAAAATGAAAGTGGAAAATGTACAAAAACATGTCAAATTTAGATTTTCACATTTAGGCTTAGTTTGTAGTTTATTTTTGCTTTAGAAGCATGACTCACCCTCTTTATAGGTTAATTAGAAAGTGCTGCTTTTTTCAGATGTTTTTCGTGAAATTTCCAGATTCGTTTGCACACGTTTGCGTATCAAAATTTCAACATGAAATTTCACGAAAAATAGACATGTATCTGAACAAGGCAGCACTAGCACTTTCTGATTAGCCTATAAAGAGGGCAAGTATGCGTCTATTTCTAAAGCAAAAATAAACTACAAACTATTAAAGCCTAAATTAAATGTCAAAATCAAAATTTGACAAAGTTCTACATGCTTTTGTACATAATTATGTTCATTGCTCTCTGTTCCAAGTGTGGCCTTTATTTACCACTGTTTACTCCACGGTACGGATGGAGGAGCAGAGGTAGGCCTAGTCCAGTAAATTGGCCACATTTATTGAGTGGTCGGGCACAACCCGACCACTCTTTGGATTTGTTGCGATTAATCTTTCTTTCTTTCTTTCTTTTTTTTCTGCACAGCACGTTTCCGCGGGTTTTCTCCTAAACGGTTTATGATATGAACTTGTAACTTTCAATATATATTGACCCTCGTCTCAAGTGGTGCATATTACTCTGATGTCATTATTACGTCATCGGGTGTCAAATTACAAGCGATTTTAGCTGAAAAAGTGACCAATTACGTTCATCTATAACTCTTGAACAAACTAATCAATGATGTTTGTATTCTGTAATCAGATAGACCATTAATTGATTAACATTTTTTGTTGTGTACGTGAACTCGCTTGACCTTTACTTCCGGGTCTACCGGAAGGTCAAAGTTAAGTGAATTCAAAATGGAGATGTTAGCCTGAAATCAAAACAAAGTAAAATTTCTTCCGAACGGTTAACGGTATGATCTCAAAACCTTGTGTAAACTTGTACCATGTTACGAAGATGTTATAAATTAAATTTTGTTACGGCATCATGACGTCATCAGGTATCAAATTACTAGCGATTTAAGGGCAAAATACTTTGCGTTATATCTTTTGAACTAAATAGAGTATCGTGTTCGTTTTTTTCGTGAGGTTGTAGACTACGCCATGAGAAACATTTTGTGTTCCCGGACACAAAACCGCTTGACCTCTACTTCCTTTGTTACCGGAAGTGCAATAAAAACCAAAAATAACTAGAAAATGGAAGCATTTTACTACAAACATATATATTATGAAAATGCCAGACACAAAAAAAAACACTGTGATGACGTCGTCATCCAAAAGGGCGCCCCTATAGCTGCACATAAAATAGTGTTTCTTAATTCCATCATTTGATCCATGTCATATATCTTAGCCCAAATAACGATACCATTACAATGTTCACCTTTGCTTCCAAATACTGTGACGTCATCAAACTGGAAGTTCGGTGTGATGAATACATACACTTATATTTTCCATATTTTCATACGTTATTTAACTTCACAATGAACATCTACTCCGAAATAAATAAGTATTCACTTCCTGTTATGACTAAGCCAGAAATAACTTGTATGTGTATGTAGAATGTTTACTGAAATTTATCACACCGTTAAAGATGTATTTTTAAACAAAATAATTGACTGTCCTGGAAAGGATTTAATTTCGTGATTCTTTGTTCTTACATGTACATACTAATATTTATAACTTAACTGGACAGTGTTTTATAAAGTAGTTGTCTACCCGACCACTCTGCGTTTGTAACAACAAACGCGAATCTCTAGTTTAGATTTATCATGTTTATGGGGCTAGTCTAGAATAGGCCTACTTGGAAATTTTCTTGGGAAAGAATTCCATACATGGGCATCACTAAGCCAAATTTAGCAGGGAAAATATTGAAGCATTTACTGAGACGAAGTGGCTATCGTTACGGCAGCCATTGTTTAGCGCCCTCTACGATACTTTTTTGATACGCACGCAGGTATAATTTATTTGTTTCCCCACGTTTTAGCGAGCAGTGCTACAGCTCAGTCGATAGTGGGTAGGATTTTGCACCCCGAGGTTGCGGGTTCGCATCTCAGTTTTGCCCTCGAATTTTTTTCCTTTTCTAACCTGAGAGGCTTTGGAGGATTTTTTTTTAAAAGGGAAATAAAGTCCGAATTTCATAACGTTCAAATTCACTTTTTTTCCTTCTAATTTTATATTTTCTTCTCATGTTTTTATAAAAGTTGCACTACCGTAACGATAGAAAATGGGAAATGCGTTACGGCTGCCGTAACGATAGCCACTGCGTTACTGAGAAGACACTGAATTTTTCAGACCAGTCTCATCAGTTAGTGCACAGGCTTACCCCACTAGTGTGGCCGTCGGTATGCTGCGCTGAACCAGCGCAGCATACCGACGGCCACACTAGTGGGGCTATGTTGTTGATGTACCCTAACGTGGCGCGGCCCCTAACGTGGCGCACTTTTATTTTTCGCCTGTAGCGCCTAGCTAGAGCAAAAGTTTTAACTGAAATTTCACAGAAAGTGAAATTTCATCAAGTTCTAAACACTCCCGTTCATAAATCGCGAGTTTATTTACCCGCTACAAAGTTAAAAGAAAAAAATATTTTGGCGTGATTTTCCGATTTTATTTTCAAGTGCAAAGTGAACCCTTTGAAAATGCCCCGAAAAATAAGAAAATAATTTTCTGACAAACATCTGGCTGGGTTTGTAAGTAAAGATAATAATGATTTATCAGAATTTATCAAGTTTACAGAAATTCTTAAATGTTAATTTGGAATTTTCTGAGATTTATTCAAGTGCGCCACGTTAGGGAACACTCCGCCAATTTGTGCCCAATTTCCGGACGCGACCGTTTTTGCATTTCGGATTAAATTTTATGAAACCGAAATTGTTCACAGAGGTTAAATAACAAGCGTTAATAAGGTAAAAGTACCAGTATTTCACTGCATGAATTTGAAGTTTATCAACAAAGAGGTTTGGCAACACTACACGAGGAAAGTTGGGTAAGCTTCGAAGTGCGCCACGTTAGAGTACACCACCATGCACAGGCATGACAGGACGTCACTTTTAAAGTTTTACAGAATTGTCACAATTGTACAGAACCTCTGAAGTGGCGTCTGAATACTACTTTCTTGAGCTTTGTCTAAACCTTGTATTTCGGTTTTTCGTGCAACCCACCGTAATCCATGTAAAAATCGTGAAGTTTTTATTTCGAGCAACCCGCCGTCAAGTCGACCGTTATTTTGGCAGTGTGTTTTTGGCATACTGCCCTCTACCGCCCATGTGTTTATTTATTGAAGTAGAGGGCGCTATCTTAACATTTTGAAACGACCGACGGCTGTTCACAGTGTATTAACGTTGCAGCGTGCGTGTTGAGATAAAAAGAGGGATGGCAGACGACGAAGTTCAGGCGCTGCAAGGAATCTTCTGTGGAGATGGGGAGTTTGAAATGTTACCACATTCAGGTAAATGCATGCACTTTTGTACTTCTTTACACGTTTATCATGTTTATGGTTATTGGTTCACTAAACAATATTCAATAAGTGGATAAATTAATTATACTCGATGTGCAGGACTCACTCATCAGTCACTGACACTTCTTCAGTGACGTGACACTGACAGTGAAAGTGACACTGGGGGGAGGGGGGGGGGTTGTCGGGGGGGGGGGGGTAGATTCCCATATTTTGCCGTCACTTGCACCTTGTGCACAAACAGTAATAAGTCCCCAGTGGGCACATGACGTTGTTTCAACGTTGAATGTTGGTTGAAATGACGTCACGACGTCGAAATACCGTAAAACAACGTTATTTCAACGTCACTTTTGCGACGTTGATTTTATGTTACAGTTTGACGTTGTTTCAACGTCGAATAAGTGTTGAAATTGCGTCGCGATATTATCAACCTAAATTCAATGTCTATCCAACGTCGGTTTTGTAACGTTGTTCCAAAGTCCATATTTCGACATTAATCCAACATTGAATGTTGGTTGAAATTGCGTCGCGATATTATCAACCTAAATTCAATGTCTAGCCAACGTCGGTTTTGTAACGTTGTTTCAACGTCCATATTTCGACCTTAATCCAACGTTAAATGTTGGTTGAAATTGCGTCGCGATATTATTAACCAAAACTCAATGTCTATTCAACGTCGGTTTGGTAACGTTGTTCCAACGTACATATTTCGACATTAATCTAACGTTGGATAAATGTTAAAATTGCGTCGCGATATTAACAACCTAAAATTAACGTCTCTCTGACGTCGGTTTGGTAACGTTGTTCCAACGTACAGATTTCGACATTAATCTGACGTCGAATAAAAGTTTAAATTGCGTCACGATATTGACAACCGAAATTCCATGTCTATTCAACGTCAGTTTGGTAACGTTGTTCCAACGTACAGATTTCAACATTAATCTGACGTTGAATATGCGTTTAAATTGCGTCACGATATTAACAATGTTAAATTCAATGTCTATCAATCGTCAGTTTTGTAATTGTTCCAACGTATTTTGACATTATTCTGATGTTGGATAAATGCTTAAAATTGCGTCGTGATAACGACCTAAATGTACCAACGTCGGTTTGGTAAACTTTGTTTAACATACGGATTTTAATTAGTCCAAAGTTGAAAAAATGTCGAAATTAAGTGCGTCGCAATCAAACATATTGCATTGCTTTGAAATTGAGTATCCTCGCGGTTACTTCAACGTCAGTCCTGCTGTATCAATTAACGTATAATTTTAACTATCAAAGTGCAAAATATTATGTCAAGAAATATAAACAAAATAGCCAACTTAATTGAACTTTGTGGCCTTTTTTATGAAAACATATTATTTGTCAGCACGCCAAAGCTGTGACGCTAGCCAATCACACGGCGCGTAATTTGTTCTACATTCCAAGGTTGTGACGCTGGCCAATCAGTTTTCATGTACTCTCTTTGAATCACGATATGGCGCGCAAGCATATGACCGTTACATATTTCGACATCATACTGCAGTTGTGTGGACGTGTAGCGTGCAGCCGACATCATTTTACTCAAATAACAGGTAAGAATTTTGCCATCAAAATTCGTAGTTATTGTTATGATGTTGCTTAGACATACCTGACGTTTATTCGAAGCACTTACTTATTAATTGCAACCAATTTCTCCCCAAAACGATAAACAAATATTGACACATCACTGGGGTCGGGGACACTGGCATGCATGGTCAGTGATGATACCGGCGTCCGGTGTCGTGCCAAAAACCGTCCGGTGCCAAATAGTGTCCGCTGAGCATGCGCAGTAGGCGCCAGACGCTATTTGGCATGTAATACATGCCAAATAGTGTCCGGTGCCAAATAGTGTCCGGGCGCCGTCGATCGAGCGAGAACAAGGGCGTGCGGTACGTCCTGCCGGACAGTATTAAGCTGGAAAAATCGGACAGTATTTTGCAAGGGGGAATCGGACAATATTTGGCAGGGCGGGGAATCGGACAGTATTTGTTGGCAGGAAAAATCGGACAATATTCAGTGGCGGGGGAATCAGACAATATTTGGCAGGGGGAATCGGACAGTATTTAGCAGGAGAAATCGGACATTTTTTTCGCAGGGAAATCGGACACTATTTGGCAGGGGGAATCGGACACTGTTTTAACAGGACAAATCGGACAGTATTTGGCAGGAAAAATTGGACAGTATTTGGCAGGGGGGAATCGGACAATATTTGGCAGGGGGAATCGGATAGTTTGGCAGGAAAAATCGGACAATATTTGGCAGGAAAAATCGGACAGTATTTGGTGGGAGAAACCGTAAAATATAACGTTGGTTATAATGCTACACACAGCACAGTACGTACTACACACACTTCACACGGCGTTAGGCCTACGTACGTACTGCATGCCAAACAGGTGAACTGACGCGAAAAAACACACAAACATTTTGCACAAATATAATGTTTAAACTATTAGGGAAACCAAGTCAAATAGTTAACAAGGAAAACGTTAAAACAGATTGTAAAAAGCAAATTCAGGTGAAAAGAGATATTTTCTATACGATGTATTGACAGCTCGACAAGGCAGGCAATAGGATGCACGCTAAGCGCGGACACTATTTGGCAAGCGTCCGTAAACAATGTGACATCATAGACGCATGACCAATCAGATCGCATTATGCTAATTAGCGGACACTATTTGGCACCGGACGGTTTTTGGCACGACACCGGTACGTATGGGAACCAGGTCGACCGCATGCATCCCGGCACTCGGAACAGTGTATTGCTGAGCTGTACTAAAACGGGTTCAATGGGAAAGTAGTGAGAGAAATCCTGAGAAATAATCCTCCATTGGCGTTTTGAACTGTACAGTATAATGGACGTGTGACTTAAACTTTCCGAGACGATATTGTTACCATGAATAAATGTGGCTCAATTACTGGATTTCCTTTGTATTGAAAAGTTGTTTCTGAGGAAATAGAAATTGCATTTTTTTTCACTTGGTAGACCTTATGGACATGAAATGCATGATGATGAAATGTACTTAAGCCTACCTGGTTAAAAAAAATAATAACCAGGAAAAATATAATTCGATTTTCTGCACTGTAGAGTTTCAGTTTTCATGTAATTTTCAGGCTAAAAAGTAAAAATGGATCGTCCAAAAGTGATTGTAGAATGGAATGCAGTATATTTTCTCGAGGTCAATTACTGCCATACTGGATTTCTTCGTACAGCTACACAGCGGTGATAGGTCGTGGGTCATGTACATTATACCGTTTTACTTCCCCTGATTATTAAACCAGGTGGGTTATCTTCCATAGGGAATAGGCCTATCAAGTAGGGGATAAACACTCCCGATTTCGATTTCACATGTTGCTATCACCACCCCGGTGCTCTTGTACATGTACAAGTCACAAAACGGAGGAAGTTGCTGGGTAGTTCCTTGATCCTTTGTGTAAAACTAAAAGTTGCTGTGACAATAGTGAGAATGCATAACACAAATTTCTGTATCAAAACTTTAGGTAAATGCAAGCATGGATAATTATACCGCTGTTTGTAGCCTGTGCTGTGAATGGTGCAATAACAAAATGGACTCACGGTGCAGGGAGTGAGTAATTACGTAAATGTATTGGCCTAAGTAATCAATCATTGCATAGGCAGGTGGTATTTCTACATAAACTTGTTTTTGTTTTGTGTAGATACTAGACATGGTTTGCATATTTTTGGGGGAGTATGCAGAGTCTAAGTTTGGCAGGTAGGACAGGTAGGGTAGTTAATCTCACTTTTTCAGCTTCTGAAGAAAAAAATCCTTTTCAAAATTCCAGAAGAGTTTACAAGACCTCACAGATGACGAAACCCCACTCAGCAATGATTCATACAGGAATTGAGGAGGAGCCAAAGTCAGCATGGATTGTCGAACCAGTATGGAGGAGTTATGTATGACTTTCGAAGATGCTTCAGTTTGAAATCTTTCGGACAGTACTCGCAGTGCCGTAGCTGGTATGTATATGCCGACAAAAAAAAATTCAGGGCTAAGTTTTATGGCAAAAACCGATTATTTTATTCTTAAGTCAATAACACTTGCAGAGATGTAGCTCTGATTGCAGTCATCGCACATAAAAAAAGTGGTATTCAAATCCATTTCTACTTGTGCGAACAACAGACACAATGGCCAGTTCATTCAAAACGTTAACAAAACGCAAAAATGAAAACAGATTTGTGGCTATATCTTAATTGAGTGTTGGCAGAAGTTTCGTCACAGTGCATTGTATAATAACTTGTGTTTGTTTACACTCTTCCGTTATCTTTTTTCCTGATGGGTCTTTGCTTTTGTCTCTGAGCGTTGTTTTTTTTCTCATCCAACAGGTGCATGACCAAGTGATTGAAGACAGTTCAACAATGATGGGCAGAGTGGAACTGAAAAAAAGCAGATGAGGAGACGGACCTTTTCAGTTTCGCAGGTAATTTAATTTTCTTCGCCAGATTTAATTTATTTTGACCAATTATTGATCTTGGTTAAAATCTCATTGTGTGGTACTTGGTTGTATGGTTGATAATTGCTGAAATGTCAGGAAATACAAGTGGTAGTTTTTATAAGTGCAAGTTTAATAAAAGGAATCATTCTGTTGATTTTTTGTACACAATGTCAGCACATAAAATGATGACCAAACGTGTTGTCGCTTTGTTGAAACTAATATGGTTTATGTATGTATTTCTCTTTGTTTGTGTTTGTAACATTTTCGTTTTTGAGGGTGATTTGGTTGTGTCAATGAATAAAGAGATGGTTGGGGAGGAAGCTTGCAATTCTAAAATATTACACTATCTTTTATTTGTCTTTTCTAGCGAGGTCTAGTAACTTCGTAATCGGGCAAGGTGATGGATGTTGCTGCTTGTTGAGTTTTTCATCTCCTGTCAAGTTTGCGCCTGAAAGAAGAGGTGATGGAGGGACACACTGAGGGCCCATGCACCTTCACATTCAGTCGTACCTTTGGACTGTGTTAAATATTTCAATATTGGAACAGTTGATTAATAGTAATTGTTCAAATACAGTAAGTTGCTCTGGAGTGGCTGGTATCTTTCCGTAAGTGTAACAGGTAAAGGCTCTTTAAGTGATGGAAATTCAACCTCTGCCGCATCTTGTACTTTTCATCTTGAAACTTCCACGTTCGAGAAGTGGGGGACTGTTATAATAATTATATACAGTACATGTATTGTGCATTATTTAGTTATTACTGTTGATTCTTGGTTGACCTGTTCAAATGTTCAATTGAATCATTTAGATTAATTTTGTATGAATGATGCTGTTTGTTTTATTATTTTCTATTTGATAGTTTCTAATGCTCTTGCCCAAGTCTGCCGCATAACCTCTTGCAATATTTCACAAGAAAATTCATAGATATGATAGAATAGTGCTGCAGGTAAATTTGGAAAACTAATATGAATTGTATGCAAATGAAAAAAAAAAGTGAATTTAGACGTTTAAAAATTGTACCTGTATGCTTGTTAATTCGTGTTATATTTCCGATGTAAATGCACTGGGCAGTGCTGCATTTCTTTGAAAAAAGAATCAAATTCATTATCATGTATCTTTTTAGAGACTAGTACCCTCGTTTAGGCTATAATGCTGTTGGAACAAGTCAATCTAATTCTGAATTTTACTATGTATGGATTAATTACTACTTTGTTGAAACCTAAAAGGTGTTGTATAAGCTGATAAGGTTGGAAGTTAATTAATAAATACACACATTTTTTTATGGAAAAAATTAAAGTGATTGATAAAGAATTTCATTTAAATTTAAAGTTATTCAATTTCGACATGGATTTAACAACACTCCTCAGCTTGCAAATTTATTTAACATAGAACGATTGGAAAAATGCCAACATCCACCATTATCAGTACATTCTGGCTTTAAATCTTAACACAAACCTTAAAATATTTTGATTCAAGAATTGCATTTATTTAACTGTGATATTTCTAAGAATAGGATGTCATTTAATGTTGATTATTTATACGTTGATTGAACATCATGTCAGTGCTATTTTAATGTAGAGATGTCGACGTTAAATCAATGTTGAAATGTCTACGTTAACTCAACGTTGTGATCTTAACGTTGTTTCAATGTCGACATTTCCACGTCGCTTCAATTTGCAAATTCAATCATTAATCAACGCTGAATCAACGTAGAATCTCCGACATTAAATCAACGTTGACATATCTACGTTGATTCAACGTCATGCTTTCCACGTTGGTTTAACGTCAGCATAATAACGTCAGATCAACTTGCAAATTCAATCATTAATCAACGTTGAATCAACGTAGAATGTCCGACATTAAATCAACGTTGAAATATTTACGTTGATTCAACGTTGTGCTTTCCACGTTGGTTTAACGTCAGCAAAACAACGTCAGATCAACTTGCAAATTCAATCATTAATCAACGTTGAATCAACGTAGAATTTTCAACATAAAATCAACGTTGAAATGTTGACGTTGATTCAACGTCGGCATTTCAACGTCAGAAAAACTTTCAAATTCAATCATTATTCAACGTTAGTTCAACGTCGGAAACTGACGTTGTTTCAACGTTATTTCAACGTATTTTGCCCACTGGGTCTGGTCTGAACATTTCCAAGTGTTTTCTTACTCTTAGTAAATACTTCAATATTTTCCCTGCTAAATTTAAATTTGACTTTTAATTTTATTTAGGACACATTATCACTTTGTGATGGCTGAGACCATGGAGCTATAGCTCCATGCTGAGACTGAGATTGGTCACTGAAGGGAAAAATATAGTGATGGCCAGATATATGGGAATCTTTCCGTCGGGGTTTTTTCTTTAAGTTTCTAAAAGTAATAATGTCATAAAACTCGTATTTTATTTCTTGATGATAAATGTAAATAAGTAGTAGAAGTAAGCTTGAATGCAGCATCTATTTTTTAGTCTAATTCTACTCTTTTTTCACTGTCATTTAATAATATTAAAAGTAGCCTTGGTTGGCACGGACATGTGGGAATTTGTGAAATCATCATGTAGCCTCACAAGCGCGGCATGGGTTTCGAACCTGGATCCCCGCTCATTTCTGATAGACATTGTGTTTTTACAATGCCGTAACGATAGTATTTGAAAATCGTGTTACAGCTGTTGTTACGATAGCCACTACGAAATGTTTTTGTTTGTTTTTACGTTTTTTAACAGATTTTTCTGAAATGGCATATTAAACCTTTTTTCTTTTTTACAGATGGTGAATGCCGTTTTTCCATTTGTGTAACATGTCAGCCACAGGGAAACACAGCAATGGACCAATCAGCAGACTCCTTGAAGATTTCTTTGCAGTGCTACCTTCCAATTGGCTACCCACATGAACCTCCAGCCATCTCATTAGCATGTGACAGCCTGACAAAACATTCAGCCAATCAGCTGCAAGAGGAACTTCATGCATATGCAAATTCCCTGGTCGGTCAGCCAATGATCATGGAGCTTATATACTGGCTGCAAGAACATGAAATCAAGTCCACAACTAAAACTGCATTGGCTAAACATCAGGAAACAATTTCAGGAAAAGGTAGTACCAGGGTGACCGTTTTAGCCAAATTTCGGCTACATTTGACAATTTTTTGGAAAAAAAAAAACAAGTTTGACAGAAAATTTAGCAGAACAATTTTTTTTAGCAGATTTCTAGCAGAATTCTGTACAATTGTTGATCTGACAGAAAAATATAGCACATTGAGAAAAATATAGCTGATTAGTTTTAAAAAGCTTCAATTTGAGGTTCCCTGATGTGTATTTGGACACAGTAAAGAACTTTAGACCATTGCAAGCCAGGTTACAAACTTGCAAAAAAAGAATACATTTTTTTTTTTTTTTTTTTTTTTTTAAGGAAATTTTATGTTTTTTGTTTTTGTTTAAGGAAATTTTATAACAGCTGCAATGCCATGTAATAATAAGTGATTTAGCAGATCTTTGTTAAATCTTTTTGAAGTGCATCTAGCAGAATTTTGCCATTACCTTACGGTCACCCTGGGCAGTACATACAACTTGTGCATAGCTGTGTTGGGAAAAGTTGAGTGGATGTTTAGTGTATTCATTGTTATTGAATTAACATAACAAAGAACACTGTCCTTGCAAGATGGCCGCTATCAAAAGGTCTTAGAAACACAAACCCAATCTGAGTCCGATTTTGGTTTTGTTGCAAAAACAAAAGAAAGCAAAATTTAATCAGAAACTATAGATATTTGACAAGAGTTTAGTTAATTTAAATTGAATAACCAATATGAATGAAGACCCCTGTTTTCAAACATTTGGTTGGTGATACCACAAACTGAAATTGTTACAATTTTTCTTTGGTAAACATTTTGTGCAACTTTCCACTCCACTTAAAGGGAAAATACAACATTTGCAAACATCAAAAAATAAAACTACCAAATCATTTGGAAATACCTTGCTGGACTGTTAGTGAATGACAGTGTAAAGCATCCTGTAAAATCATGGCACCTGGTATACTGTCATTTTCAAGAAAAGTGGTATTTTTGTATCAATTTCCAACGCTGATCGGCCGATCAGCGTTGGAAACAACTGGCTTTTTTTTCAAATACTGGCCCCAATTGACCATCGCACTTGTTTGCAATCGATTACAAACCTATGAACGGGTACGAGCCAGCTAGACTGGTTCCCTGACCTTACAATTCCCCAATGTAAACTGCTCTGTTTCTTCTTATATGGAGTCAGGGAACCAGACTACAGGAAAATGATCGTTTTTCTTAGTTTTTATAGCATTTTCGAACCCAAAACCTCAAAAAAGTCAGTGTAACTATATTTGCTATATATTTCCAACCCCCCAATTCCATCCATTTCTGAAAATTACAGCAAAAGCAAATGATGTATATTCCCTTTAAATGTGTGAAAACAATTTGACATCCCTTTTTTGGTTAATTTGATTGAAAAGTGCACTTCTTTAAAAATTTGAAATTGTCCATGCCTTTCCGGACAACTGAGGGCCCTGTTGCTGTGATGTCATCCCTTCCCCTTTTGGGTTTTTTGGGGGCAGCGTGACTGGAGACAAAACCTTCTTACTCATTTTTCCTTTTTGTCATTTTATCTTCATTACAGACAGCAGCACACCGCATGTTGCCATCCTTCACATTGATCACATGCGATCTCGAGTCCGTTACATCAAAACCCTGGTCAGCTGGGCATCAGAGCTCTCTCTGATTGGTCGACTCCTGTTTCTGCATCAACTCATCCTGGTCATGCTCATAGGCAGTGAGGACTGTGTCAAGGTAAAGTTGGAATTTCAAATTAAATCGCGTCGGTGCAGCAAGGTCATAACTAGAATACCTCTCATCTGGAATAACTCCAATTTTAAACTTTGGCGGCACCATGTGGAGGTTTTATTGATGTGAAACATGCAGAATATATTATATCCTGCATTTTTGATATCAATTAAACATTTACATAGTGCCACAAGAGTTAAAAATTGAAATTTAGCCACCCACCATGCTTCAAAAGTTGCCGCCATGCTTCAAGAGTTGCCGCAATGCTTTAAAACAAAATTTAATCTTTAAAAAGACAAATACATATAAGTGGGACTACCCTTACCCTCCAGGGTATATTTTGGCCAGAAACTCTGCCAAAAGCAGTAACATACAACACTTCTCAAAATGAAAAGCCTACCCGTTGAAGCAATCCATCAGGTCAAAAGTCTCAAGGCCAAACTATCTCAGAGTCCCTGGTCACTGATGGTAAAAAGGCAAAAAAAATGATGCTGAGCCAGTATTGTACTTAACTGTAAGAAATGGCGTAAAGCTGTTATCTGTACATAAATTACATGTTCATCTGCAAAGAGCGCCCCCTAGCATAAAGAAATGTATGTCTGCAAATAGCGCCCCTAGCATATATCGCCCCCCCACCCTCCACTTTTTGATGGACTGAGCACCAACCTTTAATTTTGGAGAACACTGTTCCATGTCCCTGAACCTGTCCTGACAAGATCATGCATAATTGATTGACATGGCTTTGACTCTGAAAAAGGCCTGCTTTCACATTCAAACATTTTGTTGTAACTGGAAAAAGTTTGACCAGTCATGATAATAGGCTTCTTAGTTTTAGCATCTTGAATTATTTACAACGACACCTCTAGCTACATGTATGGTTATTCAGACATTGCAGTACTGTTTTTTTTCCAAGTAGTGATACAATATTGATGTTTAATTCCTTTCAGGATTTTCTGGTAAGACTGCGGACACAAAAGGTTGACATTGATTCCAATGGAAGAAGCTGCAAAGAACGGATGATGACAGTGCTGATGCAGGGATCGCATCCTAGACCCTCAGATATAACAAGGTTTGGCCCCTCCTCTTTATTCAGCCCCCCCCCCCTTTATTATTGACAAAAGGTCTGGCCCCTCCCCCTTATTCAGATCCTGATATGTCCAGCTCCTCTATATTCAGGCCCCTCCCCCTCTGTATATCTAACAAAAGGTCTGGCCCCTCCCCAATATTGAGACGCTGATTTGTCTAGCCCTCTATATTCAGGCACCTCCCCCTCTGTAAATATGATAAGAGTTCTGGCCCCTCCCCCATATTCAGATGCTGATTGGTCTAGCCCCTCCTTTATATTTAGGCCCCTCCCCCCTCTGTATGTATGGCAAAATGTCTTGCCCCTCCCTTATATTCAGATACTCGTTAAACAACAGGTCTTGCCCCACTGTATTCAGATGCTCATTTAAAATAGGTCTGGTCCTTCTATATTCGAACACGCATTAAGCAAAAGGTCTGGCCCCTCCTCTCTATATTCAGACACTCCTTTGACATAGGTCTGGCACCTCCCACACCTTGTAATTCATGCTGAATTTAAGAACTTCTATGGTTTATATTTCCAGCAGGTTGGGTGATTTCCAAGTCCACGAGTGTTCAACCTCAACAGAGCTGGAAGAAGTCTTTATAGGAGCGGGTTTACTAGATGTCTACAAGAATGCAGTCTTGCCGAAGTTTCCTCATCTTCACAGATCATCTGGAAAAAGCGTCAGCAACAGATGATAAAGAATAATTTACACATTTAATTTATTTGTAAATAAAACTGGATTTGAATATTTATGCGTAAAATAATGATGTGCCTGCAATTGTATCTATACCTTTATTTTCTTTGTGCCCCAAAAGTATATCAACGAACATGAAATAAAAGTTCTCCTGAGATTTGAATTTCACTTGTTTGTATGTTTATCCTTCCATGGAGTTATTTGCAAGGGTGGAGTTACATTGGGAGACAAATGAAAGCTTTGAATAATTTTTCCAAGAGATTCCAAATATGAGGAGTTTTTCTGGTAGGGAAGTGGGGGACATCCATTATTGAACTGGCTATAGGACCTGCCAGCACTTGTGTTAATTGTACTTTTCAGAACAAAATATTTGATTGGCTATACAAGGTCTGGTTTCCTGTCCTTTTTGCATCTGATCACATAGAGTTTTGCTGGTCTTAAAGGGATGCTGCTAGCCTATAGTTATCTTTGTACCATACTGTGTCTTCTGACTGACTCACTGTCGGTTAAGTCTCGCCTTGGCCCAGAATTGTGAAAATTAAGGAATACCCCGTTATTGTGTAGGCCGTATATGCTGCCCCCCCCCCCCCCCATCCCCAGCATACCGGTGGATAGAAAATGGGATTGTGGTAATAAAGCTTCTATTTAAATGAACTTTATTTATGTGTTGCTGTGCCAATTTAAATTGATCCCTACACCAACCCGGTGGACTCCATAAAGAATTTTGGATCAATTGGATCCATAAGTTACGCAGGAAACAGCCGTTCGGCATTTTGCACCGTCCGCTTGAACTAGCGCCCTCAACGTGCGTTTGTTATCAATTTGGTAGTGGAGGAGTAGCAAAAAGTTGACGACACGATTGCCGTTAGTGTTGCAGGGATTTCTCCAGGTAAATTCCTTTTTTCGTCCTTTCATTTCCTTGCCATGTACACTGTAATATTTGACGTTATACTATGTTAAATTTTATATTGCTCATACTGGCGTAATGTGATTTTTTTTATTGCAAAAATGGAAGGAAAGCCCTCTGTAGTCTGTGATGCTGAAGTAATGAGTCAACTGAATGGAAAATTCCTCCATGGACCATGACCACGAGTCCATGGTCTACTCCTAGAACTATGAGGCTCCACGTAGTGGAGCCTCATAGGTTCAGAAGCCCGCAAAATTGTTGTCAGCACAAAACACTAATTAAGTACAAAAACGTCCATCCCAAGCAGGCCGTTTTCCACAGAACCGCTGCACAGTTTGCCCCTAAACTCCATACAATACCTCATGACATACTCACGTTATGTGCACCCAACAAACATCGGTGGATTCTGTCTGTTTTTCGGCAAAAATGATGAAAAATATGCCCTTTCTGCACTGAGCCAACCTAACACTTGAAACGAGCACGCGTGCAGAATGATCGCAGTTATTTTCGGTTCGATCGCTCGGAGCGCGCCGCGGGGGGTATGGTGTAGGAGCGGAACGATAGTATGCACATGCGTACAAGTGCAAGTACGTACCCCCCGCGGCGCGCTCCGAGCGATCGAACCGAAAATAACTGCGATCATTCTGCACGCGTGCTCGTTTCAAGTGTTAGGTTGGCTCAGTGCGGAAAGGGCATATTTTTCATCATTTTTGCCGAAAAACAGACAGAATCCACCGATGTTTGTTGGGTGCACATAACGTGAGTATGTCATGAGGTATTGTATGGAGTTTAGGGGCAAACTGTGCAGCGGTTCTGTGGAAAACGGCCTGCTTGGGATGGACGTTTTTGTACTTAATTAGTGTTTTGTGCTGACAACAATTTTGCGGGCTTCTGAACCTATGAGGCTCCACTACGTGGAGCCTCATAGTTCTAGGAGTATCCATGGTCAACTCAAACTGAAAGTTGCAACGGAACACGATATACTCACGTACAAACTATTGTAAAGGCGTGGCACTTACCCAGTATTTCTAATGTTCCCTAACGTGGTGCGTTGTGTGGGAGGGTCTCTAGCACATTTAAAAACAAAAGCTTGGACGTCAAAAAAAATGCACATAAATTATAAAATGTAAAAAAAATCGAAGTGGCTATCGTTACGGCAGCCGTTGTTTAGCGCCCTCTACGATACTTTTTTGATAGGCACGCAGGGATATAATTATTCGTTTCCCCACGTTTTAGTGAGCAGTGTGACAGCTCAGTCGATAAAGGGTAGGATTTTGCACCGCGAGGTTGCGGGTTCGCATCTCAGTTACGAAGCCTAATGATCGACTTGAAACAGACCACACGCAAAAAAATGTGAAAGATCTTGACGATTTCGGTGGCTTGTCCGTAAAAAAACGCCAGTTCCAACGGCTGTCGTCCATTTTATTTTGCTAATTATGTAAATGTATGCATCACGTGATGACATCGAAATAATCTGCGCGCGCGATGTATGTGGGTACCACACCGCTTTCAGGCGCCACAAGTGAGTTCAATTTTCGTCTGGTGCGTTGTCGCGGAAAGCAAGACAACGAGAATGCTCTCCACGACAATGCACCAGACGAAAATTGAACTCACTAGCAGCGCCTGAAAGCGGTGTGGTACCCACATACATCGCGCGCGCAGATTTTTTTCGATGTCATCACGTGATGCATACATTTACATAATTAGCAAAATAAAATGGACGACAGCCGTTGGAACTGGCGTTTTTTTTTACGGACAAGCCACCGAAATCGTCAAGATTTTTCACATTTTTTGTTTGTGTGGTCTGTTTCAAGTCGATCATTAGGCTTCGTAAATGACTACTGAATGTATGAGGTATGTAAATGAACTCTGGGGTGGGATATTAGAGGTGAAAATGAACAATTTTTGAGAGGCCATTTTTTTAGGGTCTCTTGCTACCACATTCTAACGAACAGGTTATGCCTCCAGCGTTACATGTGAATGAATATGGAGCATGTCAGCTGGAGTTACTCAAGCTAGTTTTGCACTCGAATTTTTTTCCTTTTCTAACCTGAGGCTTTGGAGGATTTTTTTTAAAAGGGAAATAAAGTCCGAATTTCATAACGTTCAAATTCACTTTTTTATGCCCCGCGGCGAAGCCGAAGGGGCATACTGTTTCCGCCTTGTCCTTCCGTGGGTGGGTGGGTGGGTGGGTGGGTGTGTGGGTGGGTGTGTGGGTGGGTGTGTGGGTGTGTGTGTCCGGACAAATCTTGTCAGCGCGATAACTTGAGAAATACTTTACATATGAACTTCAAATTTGGTTTGTGGATTGTCCTTGGTAATCCTAAGAAGCCTTTTGCATTTGGGGCCGAAAGGTCAAGGGTCAAGGTCACAGTGGCTGAAACAATAGAAATTTTGTCAGCGCGATAACTTGAGAAATACTTTACATATGAACTTCAAATTTGGTTTGTGGATTGTCCTTGGCAATTCTAAGAAGCCTTTTGCATTTGGGGCCAAAAGGTCAAGGGTCAAGGTCACAGTGGCTGAAACAATAGAAATTTTGTCAGCGCGATAACTTGAGAAATACTTTACATATGAACTTCAAATTTGGTTTGTGGATTGTCCTTGGTAATCCTAAGAAACCTTTTGCATTTGGGGCCGAAAGGTCAAGGGTCAAGGTCACAGTGGCTGAAACAATAGAAATTTTGTCAGCGCGATAACTTGAGAAATACTTTACATATGAACTTCAAATTTGGTTTGTGGATTGTCCTTGGCAATTCTTAGAAGCCTTTTGCATTTGGGGCCAAAAGGTCAAGGGTCAAGGTCACAGTGGCTGAAACAATAGAAATTTTGTCAGCGCGATAACTTGAGAAATACTTTACATATGAATTTCAAATTTGGTTTGTGGATTGTCCTTGGCAATCCTAAGAAGCCTATCGCATTGGGGGTCAAAAGGTCAAGGGTCAAGGTCACAGTGGCTAAAACAATAGAAATCTTTTATTTATTCTGAGATCATAGGGATTAGGGATTAATTCATATAAAACCTACAGAAGACACTAATGCTGTCAATGAACGTTCCATTTGACCAAGGTACATGTAAGTTGATGTTAGAGTGGTGTTATGTCATGGAAACAGTCACGGTTGCGGGGCATTTGTGTTTGTAAACACACCTGACTTGTTTCCTTCTAATTTTATATTTTCTTCTCATGTTTTTATGAGTTGCAGTACTACCATAACGATAGAAAATGGGAAATGCGTTACGTCTGCCGTAACGATAGCCACTGCGAAAAAAAATATTAAGAAAAATGTGTATGAAATTATATTTCAGCTGTTTGCATATTTACTCCATTAAATACAGTTTTATGTTTTACAGGCTAGGTTTTTGAATGAGTTTGTTGAATTTTTGCATTTTTGATTGATTTATTTTGATTTCATTTATTGTAAAACGACTTTTTTAATTGGTAGCCCGAGCTTGAGTAAGTCCAGCTGACATGCTCATGCATGTCAGCTGGAGTACATGTGAATGCTATTCATGAGCATGTCAGCTGGAGTACATGTGAACGAATATGAGCATGTCAGCTGGAGTTAATCAAGCTATGGTAGCCTGAAGTTTGTCGATAATCATGCACGATTTTTCTGTTTAGGTATAGTTTTTATCTTATCTATTTAGTATGTGCATACTTTAGAAAATTGTTAATTGATTCTTGTAGAAGACAATACAGAAATGTGGAAAGTATGTCCCAAAGTCCAAATCATTATGTAGAATTGTTGGGCATTCTGGCAAAATGAGACAGAACGGGGCAGAGGGTTTGTGGGTATTACTATTAGGAAAGAGAATAAAATTCAGAAAGATTCCCATATCTGGTCATCAATAATTTTCCCTTCAGTGATCTGGCAGCCATCAGAAAGTGATAATATGTCCTAAAAAGTCAAACTTAGCAGCGAAAATATTGAAGTATTTACTGAGAAAACACTTAAAGGGACACTGGGTCCTGGAACAGCCCAATTGGGCTACAAAACTCGCTTTGAACGAGATGATGCTAATCGGAAATAACTTTTAAAGTAGGATAGAAACATCCACACAACTATCCTTTCAAAACTGGGCGTTTTTGTGTTATTCCTGTATTATGCGTGTGAGAATGAATTTCGGGGTCCACTTTTGCGACCCCATAGACTCGAGCTGTTTGCATGCTAGTTGTGGTTTCATTCGTAAAGTGTTCGCCTTTTGCGGACATTGAAGAAACCACTTTTTTTGCATTGGTGATTGGTCACTGCTGTTCCGGAGACGCACAACGTGTATATGGTACACTGAAAACGACACGAAAAACGTATTAGTACTCCGTCGTGTCCGATGTAAACAAGCGGGGTTTTTCGTCTTTTCTCAGGAACGGTAAGACATTAGGTTGGTTTCCTTTCAACCAGATGTTTGAAATAGGATAAGTAAACAATCCAAAACATGAAATTTTCGGGGATTTCAGGACCTAGTGCCCCTTTACAAATGTTAAGACCAGTCTCATAGGATTTGTGCACAGGCCAACAAGTGATGGCCAGATATGGGAATCTTTCCCAAAATTCTCCTTACATTAATTACAATTTACTGTTTGTTGTACTTGTTGTAATCTGACATTCTGTTGACAAGTTGTGGCTGTTTAAAATTCATACTATTCAAGCAAAATCAACCTGTCAAAACAGTGAAATGTTTAGAAAAAGGCCTTTAAATTTTTGAGATGTGCATTTGTGAAAATTAAAGATGCCAATTGTTTTTCTTTCAAATATGTGTAGCAGACATACAAAGTATACAAATATTATTAAGTCTTAAAAAAATCGAAGAAAAAATTACCCCATTTGTTTTTTTTTCATTTTTCTCCACAACGACGTGTGCCTAGTTCTGTCTCATTTTGCAAAAAAACTCTCACATATTTCTGTATTAAAACCAGTCCAGACTTTAAACAATAATTGCCCAAAGCAACCTCCCAGTAAATCAGCTGATTTACAGAATGCAGTGCAGTTGCAAATTTGACGGAAGTAGGCCTATAACCTCGTCCTAGGGATGGCCAATATTTTCCCGAGTGCACATGTCACACGGCACGTCAACCTTGTACTTCCGTCTACACCCAGGCAATCAAGTTTACCTCGTCCTAGGAATGGCCATTTATTTATCGAGTGCACGTGTTCCACGACACATCTACCTTGCACTTCCGTGTACACCCAGGCAATCAAGTTTACCTCGTCCTAGAAATGGCCATTTATTTATCGAGTGCACGTGTCCCACGGCACGTCTACGTTGCACTTCTACACCCAGGCAATCAAGTTTCAACTGCTTCCTGTGCTGTGAATCCTTCCGTAGTATAGGAACAGGAACCATGAGCAGGATTCCGAAAAATTGACACTTGCTTCCTTGTTCACTTCCAAGGACAAGGATGACCTTACCCTGTTGATTTACTTGTAGAATTGAGATCATACCAAGTCCGTGGTGCAGGACTAATGCCTCTTTGCTCACCCTTTTAGCTAGCCCGGGTCGGACGCCCTCTTCATTGTATTCGACTGACGTAGTGCGGTAAGGGAGTCCACCTGGGCTAGTCATTTAGCCAACAATGTGTTTTATTTAAATTATCCCCATCAAAGTGTGTCTCAAATACTGGACTTCCTCCGTATTATGAGCTCAGCCACACAACAATGCTTACTAAATTTCCTGAAAAGTTGTGTTTGCTGAATTTGAAATCTATCCTGGTTTTTTTTTTTCATTTATGGATGCTGCTTAATACATGTTTAATAATCAGGGATTATTTTTTTTTGTTAAATATTTATGGATGCTACTTAATACGTGATTAATAGTCAGGGAATATTGAATGTCATACCTCTAGATATCTAGTCCTGAAATTTTCAGGGGAAAATTTGAGTTAGGTTAATTGCAGTCATTCTCCTACTAAATAGATGTGTGTTCAAATTTGTTAGAAAAAAAACATAAGTATCTAGAGTTTTTGTTTGATTCAGTCTTTTGGTTTGTTTTTTTTCCAGTTGGACAAAATTCCACCGAATTATAATTTATACCTCAATGATTAATTAAATAATGAAAGGTTTGCGGCAACACCATGTGCGAATAATCTCGCAACTAAGAGAATGGTTCTGAAAAGAACCAGAGTTTATACCTCTGGTTCTTTTCAGAACCATTCTCTTAGTTGAGAAATTATTCGCACATGGTGTTTCCGCAAACCTTTCATTATTCAGTATCTCCACCATGCAAAGCCTCAAATCTTACAAACCTCAGTGAAAAAACTTCAAAAAGTTCAAATACCACAAATGAAACATGTTTATCATTTTGAAGCTTACTACACTGTATCTGTATTTTTCATTGAAAGATGTTTATTTCTAGCAATATTCTACAGTTCAGCTGTTAGTTTTATCTGAAAGATTAATTAATAATTACAAAAAAAAAATCATTTGTCTGAGTATGTCAAACGTCTGGGGGGTTTTCTGAGCCGATTTGTACTACACCAAAAATGTTGGATTAATAATTTTTTTTTTTTAGTTATTGTAGAAACTAAACAACACGCTTTATCAGAATTAAAATCCACTTTGTGATTATATATTTTATTATGTACATTGTTGAATTGTCGAAAATGTACGTCTGACACCATTGAACTTCCCAGTTAATACATTCAAGAGGTTTGAACTTAAAGGGAATATACAACATTTGCAAACATCGAAAAACAAAACTACCAAGTTTTTACGAAATACCTTACTAGGATGTTGGTAAATGACAGTCTTAAGCATCCTGTAAAATTATGGCACCTGGTGTGAAGTCATTTTCAAGAAAATGGTATTTTTGTGTACATTTCCAACGGTGGTCGGCCGACCACCGTTGAAAAAACCTAACTATTTTTCAACTACTGCTCCAAATTTACCAATTTTTTTGTCCAAATTTTGTTTGCTATTGGTTACATGTTCATGAACGGGTGCAGGCCAGCTAAACTGTTTCCCTTATCTTAAAAATTTCCGGCATCTATAAATTGATCCATTTTATCTTTAGTGGAGTCAGGGAACCAGACTACTTGAACATTTTTGTTTTTCTTGGTTTTTCCAGCATTTTTGAACACAAAACTTCAAACATGTCAGTGTAACAATATTCGATCTATTATACCAACCCCTCAAATACTTCATTTCTGAAAATTACAGCAAAAGCCAATGATGTACATTCCCTTTTAAACACAGAGTTGAATGTTGGTGCATGTGTGGTAAATTTCAGCTGGTTCATTTTACTTTCTTTGCAGTAAAAGGCAGATAAGAAACCGTCTTTCAACTTAAGAGGTTTGTTTTAAGAAAGTGAGAGGAGAGGATTTCTAGGATCCAAGATGAAGGCGGGCGTGGCCATCTGTCTGGGCATTGCAGCTTTCTTATTGATTGGAGTCATCGTCCTGATTGTGGTCTCACTCAAGACGCTACAATCAGATGAGAGTAAGTTGTCCAGTTTCACCTCTTACATACCTGAATCCATCAAAATCCACACCCATGTTTCGGTGGATTTCGGCGGATTCAGGATACCTCCATATTGAACAAACGGGGGGGATTTTGATGGATTCAGGATACCTTCATACTGAGCAGTTGGGGGACTTTGATGGATTCAGGATTTCAACAGATTTACTCCTGCCTCACTGGTGGATTCTGATGGACTCACTGGCCACCGAAATTTTTTTGCACGGCAAAATTGACTGATTTTGGTGGATTCAGGATACTTTCTAGTAGATATACCCAAGTGGTTAGGTTTGAAGGGTTCATGACATGAATTTTACTTGGAGCATATTTGTTGCAAATATCCATTCCCCTGAAATATATAAAAAAAACTATGAGACATCCCTTTTAGTAAAAAATGTTTTTGCAAAGTTCACTTTTTAAACATTTGAAATGTTTTCATGCTTTTCCCGACAACTGAGAGTGCTGTTGCTGTGATGTCACTGTAGAAACACACTCATCAGAGACGGCCCCCCAAAAAAGTCTCCGGTTTCTGGTATGCGCGCGCGTCACCGTAGCCATGCGCGTCGGCAAAATGAAAAAGGTTTTTTTTCAATGAAAGATGATGTCTCAAAACCGCCAAACTCACTAGTTTGACTGGAATCCTGCTGCTGCACAATTTTAACGTGTTTTTAGATTGGGTTATGGTCGAGAATAAGCTTTATGTGGCCTCTCTGGACTCCCATATATTTGCACTAAGTTTAGTCGGGCACCATTTGCAGTCATCAGCCATTGTCAGCCGACATTTGAAGCAAAAAAATCAGGTAAAAAAAAAAAAAAAAAGCCGCGTCGCCGCACCACTTTTTGGGCAAGCTCCATGCCAGAAACCGGAGACTTTTTTGGGGGGGCCTAAGGTTATTCTCTTCAAATTGTAAAATCAAAATTATTCTTATAAATTGAAAACATTAGTGCTTAAAATGTTCACATTGTTTTACTGACATATACATGTACTGAAACAGCTGAAAGCAGAAAAATAACCACAGCAAACCCCTAAAATTCTAGTAACTTTTTTATGCTGAGGCAGATGTGACACTTAAGTTGTTGCCTTGATTGACGTCACAGTTTTGCTCATGAATATGGAAATTTTAATTTGCATAAAAACAAAAAAAAACAGTATGAAGATTATATGTAAAGTATAATGGAACACAAAGGTACATTTCAAGGATTACATGTAACAAAAAAATCCATTACATAGGCCCTTTAAGTTGGGATTAAAACTTATAGTTGTTTAACCACAGGTTCTAGCAAAAAGCACCATTTCACTGTTCAAAAATACTTGGCCTTGCCCATTCACCGGACCTAAAAGTCTCAGTTTAGGACATGATTTACACTAAGCAATATCGATATTACTTGATTATTGCGATACTATTTTGATATCAATATCGCCAATAGCAATTTTTTTAATCATATCGAAATATCGAGAATAAAATTGAAATTGAGGAATGATATCGAAAATATCGAAAAATGCGTAAGAATAATCATCAAAATAAATCTCCTGTTTGTGCTTTTACTTTGTGTTTAACGTTTGCTCTATAATGACATAAAACTCGGTGGCAACTTGTGCTTGTGACTCCACATAAAAGCATCGCGGATGCCAAGCTCTTTGCGCTCTGCGTTCGCTGGAATTCACGGTCTCCCCAATGTAAAACCTCAAAAGAAACCGCCCGTTCTGGACAAACTCTCAGTGTTGAGATTTGTGTGTGTTTATCTGTAAACGATCTTACATGTAGTGAGAACACCAAATAATGCTTGGAAGGGACCTTTAGTAATCCCTATATTATATGCTACAATTGGCCAGATTTTACTTTTAACAAATGAGGCCCCATAGCATGCTAAATTTCTTTCTTTGGTACAAACAATAGAAATATCACTTTGAAGCAAGCTATTAATTCCATGTACCACTTGCGCGCGTGGGATAACTAATAATGGTTTAATCAGTGAATATAAACAATGAACCATAACACAATGTACAGTTGTTAGTACAGTTAAAATGGTTCAAATAAAAAGTTGAAACCAATTGTCTTGACCCAATTCATCTTCCCCCACAGTGGCTGTCATGTACAACACGATCTCGCGAGAGCTGTATCAAGACGTCAAGCAAGAAGGCCTACACAACGGTCCTCCAGGATTCGAATTCATCACCTTCCCCTCAGTCTACCGCACCATCCAGTATCCATACTTAAGCTGTCTGAACAAAGACGGTGTGATCATCACACTGGACATTGCCTTCCAGTATCAGATCCAGGCCAGGGATCTGCGCAATATTGTGCTGCAGTTCCGAGACCATGACAACTTTGAGAAAGTCCTCACAAGCACAGGTATGTCCCATAATTGTGCAGACCACATGTGCCAGTCTTACAATAGGTTCTGCGGGGACAAACAACCTCGGGATATTTCATGTCCCCACAACTCACTACAAATTTTCCTAAATGGAATAGAAGTGAACAGAAAGCTTCCCTATGACACTGTTTTTGTCAGTGCCATATTGGCAATTCCAGTTTTAGGTCAAAAAAAATAATATTTCTGTTTCCGGTTTCCCTACCTACCCTATTCAGAGAGCCCCTACCCTAATTTTTTTATGGGAAAAATGAGAAAAAAACACCCCAAACCATTAATTTCTACCTTTTACCCTTGACTACACGCAGACGCCTCCATATGATCGTACACAAAAAAAGTTGGCCCCCCCAAAAAAAAATTCCCTACCTACCTACCCTATTTTCAAATGACATGTAATCGGAAGCAGAACTATTTTTTTTCTTGGCCTTATGTAGTGTCCTTGACAGAGCGCAGTGAATAAACCTGAAATGTATTTTTCGAATGGTCAATGACATTACATACTAAGAGTTTTGGATCATTTCTCTGAATCAGTAATTAGATATGATTAATTGGCTCCGTCACGGACATTACACTTCCTTTCATAAAGCTGGAATTGCTCATATGGCTTTTTCGTACATTCGACAACAAAACGAGAAAACAGGTTTTTTGGACACAAGTGTTGTCAGCTTTCCACTTTTCTGTGTGGATATTTTCTATCAGACTAAGCGTTCCTTCAGCCCCCAAAATTCTGCTTCCGATTACATGGCATTTGAAAATAGGGAAGGAAGGGAGGACTTTTGGGGGGGGGAGCACATTTTTTTTTTTTTTGATCACATGTAGGTCTGCGTGTAGTCAAGGGTAAAGGTAGTAATTGATGGTTTGGGGTTTTTCCCCCTTTTTTTTTACAATTAGGGTAGGGTCTGTCAAAACAGGGTAGGTAGGGTTACTGGAAGCAGAACGGCCTTATTCATGCTTTACACAGTTCTTTGCAGTTTTCTGAATCAATGATTGAAAACCAGTTGTGAGGACGGGCTTGTCTGGAGTCCGCATAACAATTTTTTGATGTTTTGTTTTTTAAACAAGGTCCGAACTGGACAGGGGCAATATAAGCTATAGATTTTAAAGATGTACAAGTGTCTTTTTTATTGTAGAACATTCCCCTGTACTGCTATAAATTTAATAAGTACTGGGCCAAAACTAAAAGCCTCAAAAGTTTAGCCCTTTCTTGTCGTGGAATATGAAGTCCTTTCTTCTGTAGTCAAATACTGTACAAGACTGCTGTATAAAATACAAAACAGACAAAAAAACCCGTCTCCAATGGATTTTTGTTCCATTCCATTTTTCTTGTTTGGCTTTTGCCCAGTGCCTTCCAGTCTGCCTGGAACACGTCAGATTTGGGAGTGCACGTGTACATGTTGTGTTAATTTTAGTCCCATTCCGGTATTGCACCAGAAAGGCAATCCGGAGGTCTCAGACTCAAACCCTGCTCCATTCAATTTCTTCGTTTAACTTCTAAAAATTGTGAAGTTAAGTCATTTAACCAGTTTGCGCCAGATGACGTGTATACGCGCAAAGGTTTTGCGGCATTCGGAACGGATGATAAACACGCAGGGAGCGAGGCCGGAAATATCTATCAGTGACCCGCTCGCAGCGAGCGAGGCCAGAAATATGAGTGTGCTGCCCGAGGGTGATGGCTTCAACCCGCCTGGCATGAGGTCGAGTGAAAAGTAATCCCGCGCCTCGTTCCGTTCTTGTCCAAAAAAAACCCGGCGTGAACTGGTTAAACTATCTGTAGAAATTGGTACCTCATCACAAAGTTCTGTAGCCTGTGGAAATAAAATCAAGTAAAACAGACATCAATCCATCTTGAGAATTTTGGATTGAGGGTTAAAGGGAAAATACAACATTTGCAAACATCAAAAAATAAAACTACCAAATCATTTTGAAATACCTTGCTGGACTGTTAGTGAATGACATTGTAAAGCATCCTGTAAAATCATGGCACCTGGTATACTGTCATTTTCAAGAAATGTGGTATTTTTGTATCAATTTCCAACGCTGATCGGCCGATCAGCGTTGGAAAAAACTGGTTTTTTTTTCAAATACTGGCCCCAATTGACCATCGCACTTGTTTGCTATCGATTACAAACCTATGAACGGGTACAAGCCAGCTAGACTGGTTGCCTGACCTTACAATTCCCCAATGTATGTAAACTGCTCTGTTTCTTCTTATATGGAGTCAGGGAACCAGACTACAGGAAAATGATTGTTTTTCTTGGTTTTTATAGCATTTTCGAACCCAAAACCTCAAAAAAGTCAGTGTAACTATATTTGCTATATACCCCCCAATTCCATCCATTTCTGAAAATTACAGCAAAAGCAAATGATGTATATTCCCTTTAATTTCTGTTATGTCTGCTTTCTACTCAAGGTGAATCGGCCATCCATGAAGCGTGCAGTAAGTACAACACTACTGAGTTCCAGGCAGCACGGCAGGATTTCCAAGCCTCGGTCCGAGAGGCTCTGAGTGCGCGCTATCAGTACCTGAGCACCAACATAGACGATTTACAGGTTTGGAAAAAATTGATGGCTCAGTTTTCTTAAAGACAAACTCTAAAAATGAGGGGGGATTGTAGATGAATAATTCATTGATGAGCATCTTGACACCTTTGAGTTGTATTTTTTGGTTCTAAGCAGTTGTCACTATATTATTATTTTTTTTACACTAGGTGAATAACATTGCCCGTCCAGCAGCTTATGAGCAGGCTGTAAGAAGCAAGGAAGCTGCACGAGAAAACATACAGGTATTCAAAATGTCTTCCTAGATGGGGAGATGTAAGAACAATTGTGACCCGCTCCAGGAAACGGTGATATAAGTTGTAAAAAATAAAATTCAAGTTATTTGCACGACTGGAAAGCCCACAATGTAAGCTTTCATTTGGTATATGACACAGCTGTATAGCCCTTCTCGATGTGGAGATATAACGAATTTGCATATTAATTAGTTCCATGGAGTTCAAATTACACAACTGAGAAAACAGGCTTTGAAATAGCTGGCTCTGTTGTAGATTTGGGCATGAAAAGCTCACTTTTAATCTCTTAGCAACCAACATGTTCCTGCTTTACTATCACTTTTAAACTGTGGATATTGATTCTACAATGATGATTTTGAATGATTTTTGGGAAAAAGAGACGTTTTGAAACCAGATTACTATATTTTGGCTTATTTGCATATTGATTAAAATCATAGTTTTTGGATGTAAAATAAAGAGAACAATGCACACAAAATAAGGTTATTTTTTCCCCTTTTTTCATCGAAATCAACTTTTCTGTGAATGAATCCTAAACTTTAGGTATCAAAGATGTCATTTAAGACATCAAATTTTGATGAAAAATGTCACCCCCTTAACGTTCAGCAGGCCATTACACGTAAAGGCATAGCGCGACTTATATCACCTTTTCCTGGAGCGGGGCACAATACTGTGAGCTCGCACATATTAGCTGACTATTGGTTCATGCCGTACACCAGTAGTTTCATGTGTTTGTGCCATTTCACCCTCGACCCATGCATAAATAGAAAATGGCAACTTGTTAGCTTGGAATACCCAGCTCTAAGGCTCAAGACATCATAAGTTAGGCCAAAAAAAAAAAGTGTCCGGTTTCTGGTATGGAGCTTGTCCAAAAAGTGGTGCGGCGACGCGGCTTTTTTTTTTTTTACCTGACTTTTTTGCTTCAAATTTGCTTCAAATGTCGGCTGATGACTGCAAATGGTGCCCGACTAAACTTAGTGCAAATATATGGGAGTCCAGAGAGGCCACATAAAGCTTATTCTCGATCATAACCCCATCTAAAAACACGTTGAAATTGCGCAGCAGCAGAATTCCAGTCAAACCAGTGAGTTTGGCGGTTTTGAGACATCATCTTTCATTGAAAAAAAACCTTTTTCATTTTGCCGACGCGCATGGCTACGGCGACATGCGCGCATACCAGAAACCGGAGACTTTTTTTTTTTGGCCTTAACTTTAATACCTACATCTTAATTCTCTATCTGTACTGAATCTGCAAAGTGGTATATCTGGTAGTTTGGGGTATGTTTTGGAGCAAAATCTTTTGGAAAATGTGAAAACCTAGCACCTAAGTCATTCAAGTCGTACCAGCTCTAATGGCAAATCTTCCATGTCATGAGCCTAGAGCTGGGTATTCCAAGCTAGTAGTTGGTGGAGTTGTGTTGTTGAATGATGGACATGATTGAAGGGTCTCATGAAGGGTGCCCTTGTCTCTTGGACTTTTTCCTCGACTTCCTCTGGTAAACAGTGAACTTCTTTGTTGACGAGTCTGTTACTCTAACTCAGCGTAGAGTTTTGTTTGGATCTAAAATAAAACAGGAGGTGGTGTCTGAAAATTTGGCATGATGTGTATTGTACATACATGTACAATGTATGTACATGTGTAACAGCAGCGCAGCCCAAATTTTGGACAAACATTTTTGTTTAGCCTAATTTCTGACTTTTTCCTCCCCAAAGGCAAGTTTCATCCTTGATATTATTTAAATCGTACTATAAAAAACAGGAATTTGTCATTTGGACAGTTAATTTAGACATTTTTTTTTTTTTTTTACAGGTTGCAGAGAGTGAACGTCCTCGACTGGTGACCCAGGCTGAGACGGTTCTGAAAGAGGCTGAGACATCGGCTATCATCACCACCAATAGGGCCGAGTCTGATGCAAGGATCGCTCTCAATAGGTAGGTCCTATCAAGCCCACCAATAGGGCCGAGTCTGATGCAAGGATCGCTCTCAATAGGTAGGTCCTATCAAGCCCACCAATAGGGCCAAGTCTGATGCAAGGATCGCTCTCAATAGGTAGGTCCTATCAAGCCCACCAATAGGGCCAAGTCTGATGCAAGGATCGCTCTCAATAGGTAGGTCCTATCAAGCCCACCAATAGGGCCGAGTCTGATGCAAGGATCGCTCTCAATAGGTAGGTCCTATCAAGCCCACCAATAGGGCCGAGTCTGATGCAAGGATCGCTCTCAATAGGTAGGTCCTATCAAGCCCACCAATAGGGCCAAGTCTGATGCAAGGATCGCTCTCAATAGGTAGGTCCTATCAAGCCCACCAATAGGGCAGAGTCTGATGCAAGGATCGCTCTCAATAGGTAGGTCCTATCAAGCCCACCAATAGGGCCAAGTCTGATGCAAGGATCGCTCTCAATATGTAGGTCCTATCAAGCCCACCAATAGGGTCGAGTCTGATGCAAGGATCGTGTGGTCCAATTTTTATGTTTTTGGTATCAAAAGATGGGCAAGGCTCGAGGCTAAAAAGTCATAACAGCTCGGGTTGCAAGATTCCGCCCCCCCCCCCCCCCCCCGGCCCTTTTAGGGTTAACAGCCAAGCACTTTATAGGTTGCCATGGAAAGTTGGTATTGAAGTCGCTGTTTGATGGGGAGCCAGTGTAGTTGCTTCAGAATGGGTGTAATATGGGATGAAGACTGTGAATGGGAGATGAGACGTGCAGCTGTATTCTGCACCTTTTGCAAAAATTCTTTGCTCAAAGCTATAGTTATTGTGTGACTTTATTCCACAGAGCCGAGGCGGAAGCTAAAGCCATCTACAATCAGTACGAGACGGAGGCCCAGACCTATCTACAGATCATGCAGGAACAGAATCTCAGCACTGCTGGCTTCCTGGCCTACATGGGCGTACGGACCATCGGGCTAGCCAAGAACCCTGTGTACGCTGGGGTGGACGCACCGGCGAAGACGTCATACATCGCAAATCCGTAGATTTGACAGTTTTCACGCGTGGGATGTGTTACACGTCGTTATGCGAGGCGCTCTGGCAAAATGAGATGGAATTAGCCAGTTGTGAGTTAAATTTGAGTAACATCTGGTACCCTTACTTGCTTGAATGCTTGGCACATTTAAATTTCCAATTCCCCAGACCAAAGAGACTGTTGCCGTATCACGTGATTCGGGGCAAGTCTTGTGCTAGCAACCCCTAGCTCCGGAATGGTCTGGTGTCTTTGTGCCATTCTCACCCATTGTGAACACTGTATTGATGCTATTGATATCATGTGATTGGCAACAGTGTCTTTGGTCCGGAGAATTCAAATTTAAAATGTGCCAAGCATTATGAGCAAGTCAGTGTACCAGACGCTATTCAGATTCAACTCGCAAAGGGTCTAGGTTATTCGCAAATCGCTTATTGGGCACAGGCTGTAGTGGAGGAAAAAAAGTCTAAAAATAAAACAAATCAATGGGGGTGATATTTTTCATTTTCAGATTTATTGATTTTTGTAATCTTTGATATGTATACTATGCACAGTTTCAAGAAATAGTTTTAAAAAATGTGGAAATAAAAATGTTTTTAAGGATTGGCATTTTTCATTTTCATGACTAAAAAACGTGAATCTTAATGAATGGCCTTACCTTGGTATTTTACTCTTTTAACTTTTCGATAAATGCGAACTTTAAACAGCCATAACTTGTTAACAGAATCTCGGATTGAAGTGCAGCATACAGTATGGTAAGGAGAATTTTATTCTCTTCCCTGATTATTAGGTTATACCCACAAACCCTCATTTTGACCTCGGCCCACTTCTGTCTCATTTTGCCAGAACTTGTCTCATTTTGCGTAGCACTCCATAAAATTGGCCCCACGTAATTTTGTGTTAAGTTGATGGTACTAAAACAAGTTGCAAAAGTCTCACAAGTTGAAGATTTGTTGGTTTAGTCCCATGAAATCCTGATACATGTGCAACACTCTCAGCAAATATTCAAGGGCCAAATTTGTTAAAAGTCTTATTGGGAACTTTTGCATTATATGTTTTTTTTTGTGCTGACGAATTTCATACAAATGAAAAACCTCATAATGCTGAGGGATCCTGAACTCTTTTTTAACTTGACCACAGCAAGTTGTTTGTACTTCTGAACTAAACAAAGGCAATAGTGAACAACCGTTTTCACACTACAGCCTCTCAACCCGGGTTGAACTCAACCCTGGGTGAACCCAATGTCACCCTGGGTTGAGTTTTATTTTTCAATAAAATTTATTTCACACTTGCAAATCAAGCTTATTTCACTCGGTTACTTCTGTTTTGAAACCTGGCGAGAGTTTCAACCTGGATTGAAAATCTCAACCCTGGTCTGGAGCAGGGTTGAGTTCAACCCGGGGTGAAATCAATCTTTGGGTTGACGCAGGGTTGGTGCAGGGTTGAAAATTTTCAAGTGTGAAACGCAGCATGTTGTCAACCCCGCGTCAACCCCGAGATTTTCTAGTGTGAAGAGGTCTATTATTATGAAGTCTGTGGCCTTAGAATGAAATGTTCGAAATGTGTATATATACATGTAACCGTTTCTTTTTATATATATATTTGTACTGATATTTTGATAGAAGTATTTAGATTATTTGTATTAATGATGTGCTCTTCACTAATTTTGTGTAATTTCTAAGAACTGTTAAGAATGACACCCACAGCATTATGTCATACATATTGAGCTTTCTGTGAGTACTAAACGATTATTTTACATATGAATCACTGCATTGTAAAAATTCCATAAATTTCATGACTTAGATCTTCTGCATATTATGTATTGATTGTTTGAAATTCACTCCCTCCCACAGAAGAAAAGGAAATGAGTTGCAATATATCTTTTCCTTTCGCAACTTTGGGTCTTACATTTGCAAGTTGTTTTGTTTTTTGCACTGATTTGCAGAATGTCTGGGCATAGCATGTCATCAAAAGGGATGTAGTAGATATACCCATCTCACCCAGATCATATTTTCTTGCTTTTTTTCCTTTTTTTTTCAAGCTCTGGCAGGGGCTTCTATGTGTCACTTCGTGGTCTGTCTGTCTGGCTGTCTGTCCCCCGGAAATTGACCAAAATAAGGCCCCTACGTTTCCCATAAAATATAACTACCAAATTTCAATTTTCAAAAAAAGCAAACCAAATCAATGAAATAGTTAACAAAAATTGTTTGTAACAATTCAGAAAGATGTTTATGAAAAGTGTGTAAATGGAGGCAAAATAATGTGCAGTTATGTTAAAGTCACGTGGTATATAATATGGGAAACTTAAGGGGCTTGGGACAAGCTAGCGCAGCGTGAGTTTTGCATGGGACGGCGGCCCAAGCTTGTACATACAATCTCTGGTTAATGTTACCGTCCATTGCAAGGGGAAATCATTCATGCCGACGTGGATGGAAGGAGCCCGGCGTCGTATCTTTAAGCTCTGGCAGGGATCGTTTTGATAGATTTCATGCAAGACTTTCATGCAAGACTTTCATGCCAGATGGCCAGAGTTTATTGTGCAATCGCACTTGTGTTAGTTAAGCTCCATCCGATCATGGGCCACATTAGGTGACAGATGCAGATTTGTTGGAATACTCCATTCAGTGAAGTTCAGTGGGCGATAACAGTTTTTGATGTACATATCAATATTTAGAGTGAAATATGTTTGTCCAATTTTGTGCAGTCATTTAACATAAGGATACTATCATGATCAAGTAATTTTAGATTAACACGACTTTTTGTATAATTTATAATCAAACAGATACGTGTACAATTTTGAGGAACAATGCACATTAATTTGAAGTAAAAAAGTTATTTTTTTTTATTAATGGAATGTAACGTTTCAAAGCCAGTTGGCTTTTAAGCACATTTTTTTCTTGAACGTTTATGTGCTAAATTTACAATTGTTAACACACTTGTAGATTATTGATGTATTTTTTTAGAATATCAAACTTCAGGTACTGATATTTCTATTCAAGTCAAGAAAGACACGAATAAATGTTCTTATACCCTCATTTCTGTTAAAAAAAAAAAAAAATTGACGAGCCGTTTATCTATCCATCGCAGGTTACTCCCAGCTAATGCTGATATTCATTAAAATACTCGTGGGTGGAGAGAGGCAAGTGGGGTGAAGTGGCTTGCCAAAGGACACAACACATGGCCACTTATCTCTATTATACTGACTTGATAGCGCTTCGACCATTATGCGTGTGCACAAGACCGTAACGCCCTCACACATACGTAGCGGCCATTTTGAAGCTCCCTCAAAAGCCCCACACTGCACGGATCGTATATAAAAAGCGCAGAATTATAACAGTTTACGAAGCAATTTTGGATCATCAAACACATTTCTATTTATTCATTTTGCCCAAAGTGTTATTTTACTCATGTTAATGTGTTGAAATATATAAATTTATTTTATAATTTTGCATATACTTTTAGGTGGCCAAAGGGAGTGTCAAAATGGTGTCCAGTGACTTCACCCCCACGGCCCGAAGCGCTATCCAGTCAGTATAATAGAGATCAGTGCATATGAGCAGCAGCTGGATTCGAGCCCCTGACCCTCTGATCATGAGTCACGAACCCTAACCACCTGGCCACACTGCCCCCAAATATTATTTGCCCAAATATCGGTTGACGTACCCCCGTATGAGAAGAAAAACATATAAATAAGCCATTATTATTTTACAAACTGTATATCAGTTTGTAAAATAATAATGGCTTATTTATATGTTCAAAAGCACCACATATTGACCGACTGTCAAATATTGTCTACTTTAAACAGCGCCCCCATTAGTCAGGCAGTGTCCATTGTGATGAGGGGTGAGCAATTTGACACATTTAACAAAAATGTTTACTTAAATACTGTTTCATTTTTAAAAGTTTTTTTTATTTAAAATAGCAAATGCAAAGTTTATATAAACATTAACGATATTTACACATATCTTCAATCACATAATCTGCAATTATTCAAGCAGATGTAAAATATATAGTTTTTGCAAACAAAAACTTGACAAAGAAATCCATGTGTACTTGGTCAACACTAATTTACAGAAATGACTTATTTCAATTCATTTTTAAACTTGCCATAATTCTCGACTGGCCTGGCAGCACAAGTCAAACAGGGTTTTAGGTTTGGCCTTCAGTTGAAGGAGAACAGCCAAAGAGCTAAGAAGGTATTGTTCTGTATAACTGACATACAGAACCTTATCGTTTGATTGGTGGAACTCACATCACGTGATATTCGTCATTTGCTCCCATTCACGCCGGGGATCAAAAAGACCCATTCGCTTATGGGGAATAGGAAATACTATTCAACAGTTGGGATCATTCTTGTTCCATGACGCGGTATTTGTGTGCAAATGCATGCTGGTGTGCGCATTCAGCGTTGCGCGTAGTGCATATTGTTCCAAAGAGCCAGCGCTACAGAGTTGAGTTCAAACATTTTCGTGAAGGGGTGGTTTGAAGACAGAAATACATTTTTCACCAATTTTGTATTGAAATAAAAGTTCAAATTTATCAAATGACAAGGATCTATATGTCAGTTATATAAAACAAATATTGAGTGGCTTTAAATTGTGAAATGGGAGGAATATTATCGTTCGGTAAAATCTGGACTTTTCCAGTTCACTCGGCTTCGCCTCATGAAATGGAACAGTCCAGATTTAACCTTGCGATAATATTCCTCCCATTTCACTCCGAGCCACTCTACATTTGTATACTAGTACATGAACCAAATATGGCCATACAGTGGAATGATAATACAAAGAACATGCCACTCTATTTAAATTTGACTTCCAAATGTCATGTTCAGTTATACAGTGCTCCTAAATCTCATACACAATTTTACGGAGCTTTGGAAGCTGAAAATTGTCACCACGAAAGACGTTAATACTGAAGATTTTTTTTGTGGACTGTATGTATTCATAATAGTGAAGTTTTACTGTATACATTTATATACATAAAAACACAAATACTCGGCTAAAGTTGTCTGCAATTTATCCCGGATATTGAGATGACTGCCTATGGGATGCAGGCATGTGACCTTGTTCTGTCAAAACAAAACTGAACCGGGCAGACCCTGAAATTGAGAAACAGCCAAAATTGGCCTCAGGGTGTATTTCGACCACTTTGACATTTGGCTTATTTCTTATTCCTCTAAAAACCTCATGAACATCCTGCTGAAGTTTTAGATCAAAATTCCATCCATGAAATATATTTTTGGTGATTTTTTTTTTAGGCTTATCAGTTCAAAGTTTTCACTATTTTTTTTATTTTGTTGCATAACGAAGCCACAAAATACTTACTTTGCAACTCCTCAAAAGACAGCAAAGTATCATTAGAAAGCTTTTAAGATAAGATTTTAGATAAAAAAAATGCTCAAAATGGATTTCCCGCCCAGTTCTGACAGAACACGTCACACATGTACACAGGCCAGGACTCCTTGCCATCCCATGATTTAGCCGATAAGTTAGTATACAAATAACGAATGTTTGTGAGTGCGATGGTAAGAATAATTTCATGAGGTGACAGATTGAATGTTCTATTCCACGAGGCGAAGCCGAGTGGAATAGAACATTCAATCTGTCACCGAATGAAATTATTCTTTCCATCGCACGAACGTAAAACATTCGTTATTTGTTTTATACAACACCTGAATAAATTCTCGTCATTTGATTGGTAAATTATAAACTACAATTTATTTTGATTTTAAAGATGTTAAACTACCCCTTCACGAAAATGTTTGAACCCAACGCTGTAGCGCTGGCTCTTTGGAACAATACACGCTACGCTGAACGTGCACACCAGCATGCATTTTGCACGCAAATACCGCGTCATGGAACAAGCGCAAAGTTAAACGGTATAACGCATGGGTATAACGCATGGTCGCACTGTGCATTATACTGAATAATAATATGTCACGTGATCTACAATTCACCAATCAGATGACGGGGATTTATTCAGGTGTTGTATAATGCAGAATTAACTACAGTTAGGAGGGATTCTTCATAAAATGCACTCTCTGGACTAATAGAGACAGTAAAATGGAAGGAGTTTATAAAACTTGGACACATCAAAGCACTAAGGGACCATCATTGCTGTCAATAAACACACAAGGAAATGGTGAATGAAATAGCAGCTACCAAGATTCAATTCCCATATGCTTCAGCACACAAAGCTTTAAAATAGTGACAATGAATGTCAGGCACAAAAGGTCTTTGCGGTCATACTTGGGAGTGTTATCACTCCCAACCTGCGGTCGTCGCACTTTGGCTACAGACAGCGCACAGAAGTACCCCCTCAATACAAAGAGAGAGTTGGGGGAAACAACTGGAATGGGCATTCGAACGCATTTCCTTCCAGGTCTGACGAACTACTAACGGAAATTGCCACAGATACGTCTCTAGACGCATCTTTGGAAATGACCGACCTTTTATTGTGTCCTTCAAAATGACAGCATGCCAGAAAGTATCATTTCACAGGGAGTTTAGTGCCATTACTATATGCTTTTTAAAAATAATGTACTTGTTGGATAGCTGCCATGATATACTCACTCTACCTTTAAATAAGGTAATTGGCTAGCTTATTTTCTTTTTTTTATGGGCAAACTATGCCCACCTTCCCCCTCCTCTACGTAACAATGGAGTCTCTGACCAAGCTTAAGTATTCCTGAAAGCTGACGCCCATGACCAGCATTTCTTGTTGCTCTAGAGTCCTGAGCCAGTGTAACGAGGCCTTGTGTTCGTCCGTTGTCACGCCCATTCTGTCGTACATCAAGGCCAACCCTTGGCTGTTAGCGGCTTCAACTATCGCCCTTGCCTCGGCCTCGCCCAAGGATCGGATCAAGCTGGCCGTTGCGGTTCCGTTGTTGGTTACTTCAGAAGCTGCGGATGAGGATTATTCAAGAGTGAGCTCATAAATTGATGGTTGTTAACTCTTTCGCTACGGCGAGCCGCTGACAGCGGCATACAAAAATTGTACATGTCGTACGGCAAGCCGCTGGCAGCGGCTCGTTGACGTCGCTGTGAATAAACGGGGTATCCGCATGACGTGTGCCTTATCTACATAATTTATATCGCATAACCTCTGACCCTAGTTTGAGCCGCTGCCAGCGGCTCTCCGTCTCGCCGGGGTCTGCTGCAGATTATTGTGAGCAGATTGTTTACAGAGAGACATTTCAAGATGGCGGCGTCCACATCGACACACGGTGGAATTTCCAGCGGTTTATTACGTCCAAACGTGGAAAAATCGGTAAATTAAATTCTGTAGCAAAAGAGTTAAACATCCATTTCGATAAACCATTTCAATTTGTTCAGTCCATGACACCAATAGTTGAGTTACAAAGGATTAAAGAGTTTCTGTCTGATTTTTAATTGGTGCGTTCAATTAGCTCATCTGGATCGACTCGGGTTAGCCCCGTGCCGTTCGATTAGCTCTGACGTCATACTCGGGGCTCACATGGATCAGCCACCACAGACCCTGCTCATGGAGTGGAGTCAGTGATTGAATACGTCACACACATGCATTGTTCATTCCATGAAATGGACAATGGAAAAGATCGAATGGACCCACAAATCAACTTTATTTGAAATCTAAACATAATTATATATTAATCTCATCGCAATTTAGGCCGCTAATTTCAGCCCGACTTTGTTATTTTTTTGCGATTGACGGAAAAGCAGTTAATCTTAAAGGCTGTGGAGGAAGGAATGGTAAGACTCAGTTAAAAAAAGGGTGTTCTGTCAATGGCTACTGTCACAGCTACTGTTCTACAGACATCACGGGAGGATCATGAAGGCCAGCGTTTGAACGTTTGATTAGCCTCGTGGCTAACCCGTCTGCCTTCACCCAAGTCGATCCAGTTGAGCTACTCGAACGACGAATGCACCCAAAGGGACTTTGGTAACTTTCATATTTGTGGAAATGTACTCACACTCGTATTCAGACTCATTGGAACTAATTGCTCTGTACGCATTCTCTATGAGTACTTTGGCTAAATCGACAGTAAACTCCGGCTAAGTTGGCGACTTACGCGAATGCCAACATCTGCTGTAAGTCGTCATTGTGCTGCCTTACATGAATGGCCTTTTTGCACACATGATTCATTGTACTAATTGGCTTTGATTTATCCTGGTTTATCTCCTTAATACTTGAGCTGAATCCAGCAAAATAATACTCAAATTTTTCATCATGTTTGGGGTATTGATAGTGGAGACCACGTGTACAAAATAGTGATACATTGTAGGTACGTGCACAGTAACGAATTAAATGCGTGCATGGTCCGGTATACCATGCATGCATTGACTGTAGCACTAGTCATTCAATAAGACAACCCCCACAATAGACAGAGCGCATGCGTACAGCCTAGAGGGGGTACTGGTATTGATATGCTCACGATGCATATGTGATGTATGCAGTAGGACACCTTTTTTCGACACCAATGCATGCAGCGATCACGGGCCGTGCCAAACCACTTTTCACTCGACACTTCTTGCCAACCGCAGAACAGGAAGTCGATGCCAATGCGTGATTTTTTGAATGCCGACTTACACAAAGGATTTTGTAATGCTTTTTATGGAAGGGGACCGAGAGTAACACAACGACTTGAGCGAAATGGCGACTTATAAAAGCCGACTTAGAGAAATAAAAATTCAATGGAAATGCATTACAGACAATCGGGACTTTAGTTAGACGGCCGACTTGAGCGATTTGACGAGTTGTACGATGTTGATTTAGCCGAAGTTTACTGTACTCATGACTAATTACCCATGCTCATTGCAAAGTGTTTGTACTTGTACACATGGAAATGCACCCAACCACAGAACTGCTCCCCCACCTGAATTGAGAATTTCCTGGGTTTCTTTCTCCGTCTTCTTCCTAGCCAGCAACTCTAGCTGCAGGAAGGTCTCCTCCTCAGCCTGTTCGTTCAGCAACTGCACCTGTAGGTTCCTATCCAGGATGACGTCGGGCAGGTCGATCTCTAGGAGCTGGAAGTAAGGCACGTCCACGTGGTAGCCCTGGGTACAGTTGGTGGTGGAGTTACTGCACAGATGGCAGGTGTCGTAGCGTAGGCAAAGCTCTTGATCAGGACAACAGTCGCCTGTCAATTCAAAAGCAAAAAAAACACCTCTACAAATATCTTTTATTAATATTTTATTCCTGGTCATGTAGTTGGTAAAGTGGAGTGCTGGAGTACCGAATTCTAGATCTGAAGGTAATTGACCTATCGCGTTAGAATCGCGTCCACGCAGCATGTGAAATATTGTCCAATTACATGATATACAAATGGACGCGGAACGCGCAAAATCTGAGACAAACAAAACTTTATTATTACAAAAATTCCATTTGGTTGTCTAAGGGGCGCGGCTAACTCGCAAACGGCGATAGGTCAATTCCTAAGTAGGGTGCATATTTAACAACTAACCCGTTGAAGTTTCAGCGTATACAAAATGTTTTGGGTCTTACAACTGGATTTCGTTACTAATGCACGTAAAAGCATGTGCCCGTGGGCAACCTATTGTTTTGAGACCACGTTCAACATTAGTTATCCAACAAACAATACCATTTCAACCAAAAGTAATTTCACAGGATATTAATTTCTGGAGCGCTGTGGTCCAATGGTTACGGTGTTCGACTCACGTGCCTTGGTACGTGGGTTCGAACCCTGACGGGGAACAGGGTGCTTGTGTTCTTGGGCAAGGTACTTTACTACAATTGCCTCTCCCCACCCAGGAGTATAAATGAGTACCTGTGAAGGTAGAGACCAGAATGCGCTGATCTCGAGCTGCTGCAAAAACTGGTCTCATGACCTTATGAACAGGGGTAATAATTGTAAAGTGCTTTGAGACCGTTGGTATAAAGCGCTATATAAGAACATTATTATTATTATTACTTCATACTAGTTTTATCTTCACGTTGAGCAAAATTTCTGTCATTACAGAAATCTCACGGTACATGTAGATACTTTTCTGGGTAATGGGAGACTTTTAAGACAGTGGTGGCAGCAAACACACCAGTCCTTTTCCATTGAAGGCGTAACTGTGAGCGTGCGCACATTAGGGCAAGTTTGAGCAAGGACCAGTGGTTAACTAGTGGTTGGTTCGTGACGTAACAAGCACATGCACACTGACGTTGAAGTGCAAACGACTCTAGTCAAACTATTGTCATGTCAACAACCATCAAGAAATGGCGGTTGCACAATTATTCAACACTTGTTGCTTCTCTTTATTTACACAATAATAGTGATTGTGTATAGTTAAGGACATCGTACATAATCGCCAATATTATTGTACAATGGTGACAAAAGTGACATAATCGTAAACTAACTTGGAAAAACTGTGCAATGAAAATGAAAGGTTCGTTTCAATAGTTGGTCCCTTCTGCACTATGCTGTGGAAATTGCTATTGACAACCAGCTATAAATCGTTGCGCGACCAGCCGCGGTAGGCTGGTTCCAAATAGTCGACTAGCGTAGTCAACTATCGACAACTAGACAGAGTTTGGGCAGACTATGGTTAACCATTGGTCAACAATAGTTCTTGCGCGAACTTGCCCTTAGCTTAATCATGATGTAAACAATTGAAAAGGACCGGTCTGTTTGCTGCCACCGACGTCTCAAAAGTCTTTCATTGCCAATAATTACAACTACGTGATTTTAATTTCTTCTATTCTTACCACCCAGTTTGGCCCGGAGCGCATCGTGAAACATGATCTCCACTCGTCTCCTCTGCTCTAGATACATTGATAAGGAGATGGTGGCCGCGACGTTCTTGAGAGCTGCCTGGGCCACAAACTCAATCACATCAGGGTACGACTTGTCAAATCTCTGCTCTAGAAGGCCTAGTTCCCCTTCTCTGTGGTTCAAACAGAAAGCACAGGGGCATTAAGAGGGCTGTAGTATACAGGTCCAACAGTGTTTAACCCTAAACTTCCTCAATCCTCCAAAATCCTCCAGGTGGTTTTTGGAGGATTGAGGCTGAATAGCAAAAAAAATATTGTTTAAAGGATGCATTGGGTCGAGTTTGTAGGCTGTACCGAGCCTTGCTTATGTACAGTCATGCATCAGTGAGCAATGCATTATGCTCGATATCATCTGCACTGCTTCTGAATGTCAGCGGCATTGCCTCAAGAGTTGTAATGAGTTGTAATGACTCGAGTCCATGACTCGACTCGAGTCCGATTCGAGTCACAATTTTTGGTGACTCGACTCGACTCGAGTCCCTAAAGGCAAATGACTCCACTCGACTCGAGTCACTGCGAGCAAATGACTCGACTCGACTCGAGTCCCTTATCAGAATGACTCGACTCGACTCGATGAAGGCTAATGAGACTCGAGTCCCAAAAATAAAAGCAAAACTTTGCGAAAAATATTTGCAATGACTTACGCGGGTGCCGGTTTTTGTTCACGTCACGTTAGAATGTTCGCGAATAGTGTATACATATACATACATAGTTTGTTCAGTGTCCCCATTAGTTGAATGACGATCAGCTGGCACCCCCTTTTTATTTTCATTAAGAGGCAAATGTGGTGTCGCCACATGTAGTAGCCCGAATGTAAAATTTAAAAAGCCAAAAAATGAATTTCTCTCTTGTGTTTATTTATTGTATAGTGCTCAAATATTTGTGACTCGAATTGACTCGAGCTAAATACTTGACTCGAGTCGACTCGACTACTCACTGTGACTCGACTCGACCATCTTGACCTAATGACTTGACTCGACTCGAGTCACTTCTTTAAAATGACTCGACTCGACTCAAGTCACAAAAATCAGTGACGCGTTACAACTCTGAGGATTGAGGCAATGGTCACTCCACCACTGAAGAAAGTCAAGAAATAACGGATGACTTCGGAGGACTGAGGCTGAATTAGGGTCAACTAAGGGGCAATAAGTGCAAATTCACTACTTTCCGACACAAAGCGGAGGGAGGTGGTCCAAATCAGCCAACACAAAAGGACCAGTGCTTCTTGATCACAATAAATCACAATAACATGATTACACCTCGTACATAATAAGTTCCAGTATCAACCTTTGACAAAAATGGTGGAGACGGTAATTTATAGCTTCCCCAACCCACGAGAGACAAGATTCCCTTTACTTTGTCAAAAGTTACCATTTTTAAGTCCCAAAACCTCCATGACAGGGTTCCCACAGAAATCTGAAAACCACATTCCATGACTTTTGCAGGACTTTCCAGGACTAAAATATGACAATTTCCTGGAAATTTCCATGACATTTAATGCCATTTTGCCATTTAAAATGTTTAACGCCAGAAAAGTTGTTTGGTATTATGGTACTGATGAACTGCTGATACCATTTGTGAGCTTTTGAAAATGACTTTGAATTAATAATGGCCTCCTCTTCCCCTTACAGCAATCCTTAAAGCGGCCCATCAAAAATAACCCTTAGGCCAAAAAAAAAGTCTCCGGTATCTGGTATGCGCGCGCGTCGCCGTAGCCATGCGCGTCAGCAAAATGAAAAAGTTTTTTTTTCAATGAAAGATGATGTCTCAAAACTGCCAAACCCACTGGTTTGACTGGAATCCTGCTGCTGCACAATTTTAACGTGTTTTTAGATGGGGTTATGATCGAGAATATGCTTTATGTGGCCTCTCTGGTCTCCCATAATATTTGCACTAAGTTTAGTCGGGCACCGTTTGCAGTCATCAGCCGACATTTGAAGCAAAAAAAAACAGGTAAAAAAAAAAAAAAGCTGCGTCGCCGCACCACTTTTTGGGCAAGCTCCATGCCAGAAACCGGAGACTTTTTTTTTTGGCCTTACATGATCTAGATTTCCATGACTTTTCCATGACGTTTGTAATTTTTTTCCAATTTTCCATGACTTTTCCAATTCCTTTTCCTGGACAACTTTTTTTCCAGCACTTTCCATGATATCTCCATGACCATGGGAACCTTGAATGAAAGTCCTGGAGAGACTGCTGTCAACAGACATCTCGATTCTCAGTACAAGAAACTGTTGTGTTGCACTCGCATGAAAAATATCAGGAGGGTCGGTCCAGTGGCGCACCCAGGATTTGGCTTGGGGGGCTCACAATTTTTTTACTTCAAATTTTTATAATGCCCAAAATTTTTGGCCACAGAAAAAAATGGGGGGGGGGGGGGCTGAGGGCCGGGTGCACCACTTGGTCGGTCGGGATTTTATTGGGGCTTTAATGAGAGCACCAGTGAGAGCTCCTTGGCAGGGACACATCGCTGAATGTGCACAAATTGGCATTCCAAATGTAAACGAACTTGTGATGTCTTTGCGTGAGTTTCAGGCACTTAGGGCGGCAATGCGTTTTGCATCCTTTCAAACTCTCTCTTTGTAACCGGGAGATGACGGGGTACTTGGGCCACACTAGTTTTATTTGATGCCATACAAACCTGATGAAATACTGAAAGCTACAGGAGAAGCTGTGAGACAGTCCAGACGTCGTGGTCACCGAGATGTCATCCAGCTGAATGTTGGTGGCCCAGGAAGGGTAGATCTTGAAGGTGTAGTCCGGCCCGATGGCGTGCCGGCCTGACTCGTACGCCCCATCACTGGCTAAGACCCGTCCGGTGGAGCGCTGTCTCTTCAGGCCAAGCTGGAGAGGGTTAAAAAAAAAACCCATATATTTGAGGTTTCTGTCAAAAACGGACTTTTCTGGCCAAAAATAAGGTCTTTCCCCACTTCAGTCACAGCTTGATTTTTAAAAATGGACGTCCTTGGTAAATTTTTGCATTTGGAGTTCATGATGTCACAAAGAAAAAATAAAACCGAGAAACTGCCTGTTAAGTTTTTTGGTTTTACATTTCTTGAACTGATACACCTCTAAAAATGATTAAAAAACATCCCTTTTGAGGTACGACCATGATCTTAAACTTTTACAGTACATTTGTATATATTTAGGATCACATATTTGCCAAAATAAAAACCTGAAAACTCAACAACAAAACAAGCATCCCCATATCAGTTATCAGTTTTTGGGGTCATATTTCCATTTCAAGCTTTGCCCAGATGTATCTGGTTTTCACAGAACATCTCACACATGACAAAGGTATTACAAAACCTGACATTTACCGTTTGAGTGGAAGAGGTACAAAATTAGGGAAGAATGCAAAGATAAACCTTGTAAACCTCGAGGTAAACCTAAACCTTGAGGTTTTACCATGAGGCACCCCACATAACCCTGTTAAACCTTGGAAACCTTGAGGTAAACCTAAACCTTAAGGTAAACCTAAACCTTGAAGTTTTACCCTGAGGTACCCCACATAACCCTGTTAAACCTTGGAAACTTTGAGGTAAACCTAAACCTTGAGGTTTTACCCTGAGGTACCCCACATAACCCTGTTAAACCTTGGAAACCTTAAGGTAAACCTAAACCTTGCAGTTTTACCCTGAGGTACCCCACATAACCCTGTTAAAACTTGGAAACTTTGAGGTAAACCTAAACCTTGAGGTTTTACCCTGAGGTACCCCACATAACCCTGTTAAACCTTGAAAACCTCGAGGTAAACCTAAACCTTGAGGTTTTACCCTGAGGTACCCCACATAACCCTGTTAAACCTTGGAAACCTTGAGGTAAACCTAAACCTTAAGGTTTTACCCTGAGGTACCCCACATAACCCTGTTAAACCTTGGAAACCTTGAGGTAAACCTAACCCTGTTAAACCTTGGAAACCTTGAGGTAAACCTAAACCTTGAGGTTTTACCCTGAGGTACCCCACATAACCCTGTTAAACCTTGGAAACCTTGAGGTAAACCTAAACCTTGAGGTTTTACCCTGAGGTACCCCACATAACCCTGCTAAACCTTGGAAACCTTGAGGTAAACCTAACCCTGTTAAACCTTGGAAACCTTGAGGTAAACCTAAACCTCAAGGTTTGACCCTGAGGTACCCCACATAACCCTGTTAAACCTTGTAAAACCTCGAGGTAAACCCAAACCTTGAGGTTTTACCCTGACTCTCTGAGGTAACCCATACAACCCTATTAAACCTCATAAAACCTCGAGGTAAACACGGCTATGTACCGGTACCTCCAGTCTCAGAATTCCCAAAACTGCAGTTTGACGTATATCACTGCACTCAGTCATAAAGTTTAATCTAACCAACTGGATTTTCACCGTTCATTTTTAAGTCAATGCAAATTTTAAGTTAGTATTTTGAGCATGAGATTGTAACCTCAGACCAGCGTTGAGTTTTGTACCTCAAAGTACTCCACGTACGAGAAGGTCAGAGGGAGAAGAACGACGATCAACACTGCGAAGACAACGACGAGAACGCTGAAGACCATGATCAGCAGACTCCGCGAGTTGGTGTCCTTGAAACCCACGTGGAATCTGTCCGACCAAAACGACTTCTCCAGCGTCTGGCTTTCAATCTCCATTGGCTGTACGTAACGCTTGATGGAATCTGCGAACATGGGAAAAGAGATACAGAGCTATGGGAGGGACGCACCGCATGGAAAATGACTGTCGACCAAAATGTAGCATTTGACAAACAATAAATCCATGCAACTTATATAAGACCTGTCTACCGCTTGGCGAGTAACCTGATTACTCGAGTACTCATGAGTAGTTTATGCTACTCTTTCTACTTGTGGTTTTTCATCTACTTGAGAAGTTTTCCTGGCGCGAGTACAAGCAGGTAATCGCGAGTAGCAATTTAGGGTTTAGGGTTCTTGGCTTAATACGTCCCCTGCAAACAGGGAATCACTCCCTCCACCTCTCTCTCCCTAGGATTCCATTCATCAAGAAAACAAATTTAAGCAAATGACTCAAACGTCGCACAGTAAGGATATCTCATTGCTGAAGAATGAGGTGTGACTTGCACGCTATTTGCTTGCAGCTACTTTCCATCTAACTAACCTATGTGTCATTTTTCTGCTTTTATGGGAATTCGGTTAACAATTCTTGAGTACTTGACTACTCGCAAGTAATTTCTTTGCAAGTACTCGAGTAGAAAAATCGACTACTCGCCCAGGACTAGAGACCTGTCACCATGAAATGAGCTTAAAGTTGGAAATTGGGATTTTGCAATACAGTGGGGCAAAGCCAAAATTTGAAAGGGTGGTAAATTTTTTGCTTCCAGGCAAAGCTTGATCTGTAAGTCCTCTTTTACATTTCTCCAATGTTTTTGTTCTGTCAAACATCTTTAAACCCATTTCATCCCGTCTATTTCAAGTTGACTGTTCATCCACAACTGTAACACAACTGCAGGATTGCCATTTTCTTGAGAATCAGTTCAACAACTTCAAGTAAGTTGGTGGTCAATGGGCCATATGCACGAGTCGGCCACATTGAAGTTAAAGTGTGGTAAAATCTTCATTTGTGGAACTTGCGTACAGAAGTGAAACCAAGTAATTACAATTTAGTTCAAGTCTGCTTCAGTGAATAATCTACAATTTGTAATTAAACATTCCCTAATGTTTTACGTCAGATTAAAAAAAACCCAGTAAAATAAGGCTGCATAAATAGTCTGGCGCCATCCCATTGAACAGTTTACAATTTATGAAGGACATTCAGGGAACTAAAAAAAGCCCACATTTCTGTTACTGAACTCAATAACCCTAAAGGTATACATGTGTATACCATTGGAAAGCTCTTGTTCTGCAGAATCCAGATATGTAAATATCCCAATTCTGAAAAAAATTGACTTTAAGCTCATTTTGTGATGACAGGTCACATATGATTAAACTAACAACATTGATATTTTCCTTCCTTGTTTGAGAGACTCCTTCAATTTTCAAATCAGAAGAATGCTTTTGGGGTATTCAGTGATGATCAAGTATTCAAATATTGGGTATACTCGGAACAGCCATAAAAATTGTACATATTTTTTTTTCTTTTCTTTTCTTTTCTTACCACTGCTAGAGGTTATTTCAGCTGCTGCTTCGGCTGATTGTGGTGAGTCATCTTTAGAACCTGCAAAAAATGATCAATCTTTTCTTCAGTGGAAAAAAAAAGGAATTGTCACCGACTCATTCAATACTGACTCAAACAACCTGCGACTGCATCAGGGACACCTTTTTTTTCTTCTTCTTGGTTTTATTTTTTTTATTTTTACTAAGTGTCACCATCAGATTTTAAAAACTAAAGGGAAATCAGAAAGAAAGGAAAGAAAATGGGGAGGTGGACTATAGAGTCCAGCACCGTTCCAAAGCATAATGTAGCGCCCAATGGTAGTGCCCGTTATAAAACACTTGTGTGATATTGGTAACCTAGGCATAAGCAATAACGGCCAAAATGGAAGAGTGGTCAATCTATCCACTCCACTCACAAGTACCCCCTCACCGGCAAAGAAAGTACAGTTGGGGGTGACCGAACGACGCCATCTTGCCTGACTGCAATATTTTGCCGCGGAGCGTGGCCACTACGTGTACATAGTACAAATCCCCTGGTGTACGTGCGTCACACACAAGGAACGGTGCAGGCGCGTCAACCAGCGAAATGTATTATGTGTCCCGCCCATGGGACGTCGTTGCTAGGTAAAAGGGCGCCCTCTTTTGTTGGCGCACGGAGCCCATACGTACTTGTAGGCAATCCTGCGTGTACAGGTATGTCCGTTTCCTGGATCTGACCGGACCGCTGTACACCGGTGCGGCACAGAGCGGTGTGACCATACACACGCTTGCTAAATTGCAATAACGCAGCAGCTTAGTACAAAATGTCAATATTATTGTTCGACGCTAGGCTGTGCACAAGTACAGGATTCTGGAACTTTTGAAAATCTCATGAACTAAAATGAAGTGTAAAAATGTGTGAGTATTGGTGAAAAAAAGTTGTTTCTCGTCGGGCTGGCAACCTGGAACTTTTGATTGTCCGACAAAATATTTTGCTTGTCCCAAGACGTCAGATTTTGTGAGCCCTGCATCACCCCGACGCAAATTCTATCTGATAAATAATTCCATTTATATGTAAGTGGTAATCCGACTTACCAGTCATTTCTCCCATCTCAATATCCTCCCATTGTGCTCCGTCCCTCGGCTCATCAAAGGGATTAACCACTACATGAGGCTCAACGGAATCTTCCTGATCCCTTACTATATCCTCGTCCTGATCCCTTACTATATCCTCATCCTGATCCCTGACTTTATCCTCATCTGGATCCCTGACTACATCCTCATCCTATACAAAGAAAAAAGAACCACAGGAAGGCCATTAGCACCTAATTTACATTGTAATACATTGTATATATTTGTAATACATTGTAATACATTGTATATATTCTCAATTAAAACCCCAGAAATCCACTTCAGCACTGGCAGCTGATTTCAAGAAAAAGTGCGTAGCTTGCGCCATGCGCAAGACTTACGCAACAAATTTTGTGCGCAGCTGCGCAATAAACTTACGATTGATTTCACGCACTTGACATAGCTGGGCAACATTTTAAATAACTTAAAACATCTTGGGCGCGGATAATAAAAGCATTTACGGCGGCTGTTTGTGTATGAATTTGTTTGTTTATGAAATAGTTGTTGAACTACCTCAGCCCGCCATGATTTTGAAACTTATTTTGTTTGACTTTCTTTGGAATCATGGGGTAGCTCTACACATTCTGTCGCCAGTAAAATAGAAATTCAATTACTTCAAACAAGAAAGCTGTGAGTGTCTTGTATCAACCTTGATAAGTTGTGCAAAAATTACGCCACCTAAAATGAGACTTTCGTGAAATGTGTCGTGAGTGAAATGTTGCCCAGCATGAAATGTTGCGCAGCTTACGCAATAAATTGTGGCGCAAGCGGAGTTGCGCCATTGCGTGAAGTTTCGTGAAAGCAGTTGCAGGGCCGTTTGGGACTTTACAGAGGATAGCGGGCAGGGAAGTTTCATCAGTGTAGAGCAAAGAAACATTAACCAAAACCTTCCCAAATCCTCCAAAATCGTCTTGGAATAAGTGGGAGATTTCGAAGGGGAGTCAGGTTGGCGTAGCGGTACTGGAAGTTAGGGTTAAATATTTTAAAGTGCTTCTACATTTTCCGTACTACTTCCTGATATATGAGGGCGCTGTTGCCTTGATGTCCTTGAGCAGTGGACTTTACCTATATAGGGACTATGAACCTAAACTGTGGCACACTCATACAGTTTGTGCGTCAAGTTTGTCCAATGACTGGCAGTTAAGAATGGTGTAAATAAAAATCAACACAGCAACACAGAAACAAGAGATTTGACCACGATATAAAACAAAACAGAAACTTGTTGTATGCAAGTAGCTGCAGGGCTGAATCCTCTACCTCTCATGACATCACTGATATGCTCATGAATATGGAAATTCACATTTGCATAAGTAAAAACACGTACCTCAACACAACAAAAAGGGCAATGCAGGACTGAAAATAACTTGATAATGAAACTAGCAAGAGGTATCTTGTGAGTTACATTTATCTTTATGCAACGGTAAAGAAAGCCAAATAAAAACAATACACAGCACACAATAAGCACAAGGTCAAAAGAGAAAAGATATGTTTCCAGTAACCCGATTGACCAATTTTCAGCGTAAATGGGATCGGTAAGTAGGTTTTTTTGTGTTATCAAAATATATTTTTGGAAGTTAAAAAAGTAATGTCCTTATAAATAGTAATGTTGTTACAACTGATAATGTAGTAACCAACGGATAATATATCACCATTCACCAAACGATAATGTCACACAAATTGACCGATATTGTATCACTAACCGACAATGGACTGATATTGTATCACCAACCAATAATGTAACAAAAATTGACTGATAGTGTAGTAAATGTTACTATACATGTACTATCAGTCATTTTTTTTTACATTATCAGTAAGGACCGATAATGTAACAATTGACTGATAGTGTAGTACATTTTACATTATTGGTCAATTTTTGTGACATCATCGGTTGGTGATACGTTATCCGTTGGTTACTACATTATCAGTTGTAACAAATGTCCTCCTTAAATGTTTGATTTCTTTTCTCCAAGTAAACACTGACTTTAGAGTTTTTGAACTGAAAAGTTGTATTTCTTTTGCTATTTTCGGGTGTCTGCAACCCCTTCAAAAAAATCTTATTTCTTTTTTTGGTTGTTTTGCACAAAACAGAATTTCCCTGCAAATAGACTGGTTCCGGGTCCCCACAATATGGATTCTAAAAGTGGGTGGGAAACAGTCTATCATACGAGAGCTCCATTGTTTTCAGACTGATTCATTCAAAATTGTATACCTTTTGCAATTTAAAAACAAAATCTATTTTTGAGGTGGAATAATAGCTTGGACAGAACATCTTTGAAAAATGACAAAAAATAGAAAGATGTCTATATATGTACACAGTGGCGTTACTACGGGGGGGGGGGGGGGGGGGGGGGCAAAGCTTAACTTGCACCAAAGCACTATATCAGTTGCCTTCTTTACTTTTTGGCAATGTTACTGGAACGTTTGTTTGCTTTTTTGACCCAATGAAAGAGCACTTTGGCACAGGCTAGAGCTACTACACATTACACATGTACATGTAGTTGCCTACCGGTACCTGGCTCCGCGTTTGATAGTTCACCTCAATTCCTGACAGCCGCAGTGTCTCCCTGTACGATGGGGGATCCTGGTATTCTGGAGGGAGGGACACCGCAACTCCCTTGTCTACTTTATCTTCATTATCACCTCCATCTGCTTGCGTGTTGTCGTCGCCTCTGCCATCAGTTGCGGCATCAGGTCCAGTCTGGGGGGGGGGGGGAATTACACAAGGGTGAAAAGTTAATTTAATTTGTAAAATGATTCCGAATGAGCTGAGATTAGTCTTTTTCCCAGACTGAATTTTACTTTTTGTAACAACAGGTCCCTGTAAGCAGTGATAGAGGGCCCTGCCAACAAGATATTTTTGGGCAACGGAACCAAGAAATTCCAAGTAAACCTAATGCACACTACCGGTATATTACAGCTAAATGTGTGCACAAGAGATACAGGCTCCGTGTACAAGTACCCCCTCAACGGTAAGAAAGGGAGAGTTGGGGGAGACCACTGGGAGAGACATTTGAAAGCATTGCCGACGACGCCCGACTCTCACGCGAAGATGCTATGGCTTTGTGTACATTCAAAATAAAATAAGTCGTGCGTACTCCACGCTATACGCATGCGAACCAGTAACATGGAAACTGGTGTAAACAGATGATTAAAGGTTCTGTGCGCCAACGAAAGAGGGCGTGTTTTTACCACAATTGAGAGTCCCATGGACGGGACACACAGCGTGTGCGTACTGTACTGGTTCGTGCACGAAGTACGCACGACTTCCTGAATGTGCCAAAGCTATTAGCTACGCGTCTTCGCGTGAGCGTCAGGCTCTTGATAAGCCAGCTTTGCCTACAACTTGCCTGGTTTTTTTTTGTCTGTTGACTGAATTTGACAAGTCAGAGTGCTTGCCTGAAATATGATCTGACTGTTGGTGACTAGCCTGTGTAAAACACATGGCAGGGGAAGAGGATTGATTTTGACTGTCTTTGACTGTTCAGATAGCAGGAGGGTTAAGAAAGCGACAACATCCCCTTACTAATTAATGAGACAAGTGAAACAGGATGACAAAACTGTGAATATTCAACACAGTATCGTACATGTAATTCACACAGAAACTGACTAGGGAATTAAAATAATTTGTAAAGTTGGCGTTTGTAAATTGACAAGATGGGGACTTAAAACTGTGACCCCAAAACAAGAACTACCATACATAAAGATAAAGATTTCCCATGCCCGGGCACAGACATTAGACACACTCAAGTTCTAAATAAATTTTAATTATCAATTCAAACCAACTTTCCTAGGTTTTCCTACAAAGCTATGAAAACAACTTACTTCGGGCTCATCCACAGGGCCTCCCTCAGGCTCTGTCTCACTGTCACTGTGCGGGGGTGTGGGGGTGTCATCTGCTGTCCCGTTTGTCACGGGGTCCGACTGTGTCTGTGACATGTTTTCACCAGAACCTAGAGACACATGCACATGGACACACACATTTGTTTATGGTGTAAATCAAGGATTTTCATTTGTTCCTCTTCCCTTTTCCTTTGTTTATACTCTAACTTTTTTTGCAACAGCTCTCATTGGTTTTGTACACGTTTTCTAATCGAGGTCATCCTCGATTTGCTTATCCTCAATTCATCGATGATGTTGCATGCGTGTGTCCTCGATTTACACCATATACCTATTCACGCACACAAAACCTACTGCATCGTCCTGAATTTGCAAGTATCACATGTACTTCCTCAAAGTTTCAAATGTCATATAGGAAATGCAAGTCCACAGCATCCTTTTGATTTGTAAGTTCAAAGACTGTGATTGTAAAATGGTGTCACCAGGAAATAGATGTGTTCACGTACATGTACTTCCTCATGCACCTGGAGACTGCACGAACCACACGGTAGGCCATGCCAGGTTTAAAGGTGACAGTCCAGTGAAGCAAATAAAACATGACATTGAAACACATGAGATTGTGTGACGGGTGCCAGTGATGTAGTGCCTTGATGCTGGGCCTTGGCCTTAAGGCTGCCTTAAGGCTGGATTTTAGGGCCTTGGCCTTGAGGGTCAAAGCCTTGGCCTTGGCCTTGGCCTTGAGGGTCAAAGCCTTTGATCCAACACTGACGGGTGCATTATGTGAACTTCCACTAATGAACCATTCAGAATAGTCAATATTTCAAATGTCGATTTATTTTATTTGAAATGGTTTTGATCCACCATCCACCCACCCCAAATTGAAATTTGGATTGTTCAATTAACCTATAAACTCCCTAGGCCTTTTTGCTAGGATGCAGCCTCAATCCTGCAAAATCCTCCAATTGGCCTCATGGAAGGATAGCATATAGCCTCAATCCTGAAAATTCCTCCATTATTTCTTGAATATGGTCCGTGGAGGAGTGACCACTGCCTGAATCCTGCAAAATCCTGTCAACAATCTCAAAGCACTTTACAATTATTCCCCCGTTTATCAGGCCATGGGACCATGCGGCAGCCGATATCAGCGCTCATTCGGTCCTCGACGCTCACAGCTACCCATTTGTACTCCTGGGTGGAGAGAGGCAATTGTCTTGCCCGAGGGCCCGAGGGGGAGGGGGCCAATGGGGGCCTCCCCCCCCCCCCCAAAAAAACGAACCCAATTGTTGTTTTTTTATTGACCTCGAAATAAAGGCAGGCACTGTGCACACCACCATCTTTTCCTCAAAAAAGATTTGGTTAAAGGGAAGATACAACATTTGCAAACATCAAAAAACGAAATGATCAAATTATCACAAAATATCTTACTGGATTGTCTGGGAATGACAGTCTAAAGCATCCTGTAAAGTTGTGGCTCCTGGTGTGCTGACATTTTCAAGAAAAACTGTGTTTTTCCAACGCTGGTCGGCCAGCGTTGGAGAAAACTGGCTTTTTTTTCAAAAAGTGCTCCTAATTTTTCATATTTAGTTCGTCTGTATTTTCTTTGCAATTGATTACACACCTGTGGAGACTACAAGCCTGCTCCAGATTGAATCTCTGATCTTACAATTCCCCAAAGTCTATAAATTGCTCAATTTCATCTTAAGTGGGGCCAGGGAGCCAGCCTACAAGAATATGATTGGTTTTCTTGGTTTTTCCAGCATCTACGAACCCAAAACTTGAAACAAGTCAGTGTAACAATATTTGCTATAACATACTAATCCTCCAAATCCATTTATTTCTGAAAATTGCAGCAAAAGCAAATGTTGTACATTCCCTTTAAAGTGGTTAGAAATTGCCTCAGATCGCACCAGAGCTTCTAGAATCCAAAACAAATTCGAAATTTTTAAACAATGACTATTCTGAATGGCCCCTAAAACAAACAATGTATTGACTATTGTGCAAACGAGTTAAAAATATATTAAAATCCCAAATCCAATCTTGGATCAAGACTGGTACCTTGAGCATCTTCCTCCTGGAAGGCATCACCGTCCTGCTCATCCATCAATGCAGTTTCTTCATTTACTTCTTCTTCCTCTTCGTCCTCTTCACTGATTCTAGATAACTGGTACTTGACTCCGCGTCGTCTGAAATCCATGGTAAGCGATTTTACGAGGTGGAATCAGTGGAAAATCATGTTTAAGTCGATTGGCGGTGCTGGCTTGCCGGCATGCAGTTTTTGGAGGGGGACAGACAGGTTTTTAGGGTGAAGAACGGAACCCACCCAACATACAGGGATTAGCAGCAAAAGATACAGGCTGGACGGAAAAGAAACTCAAATTAAAAACAAAAAGACAAGAAATCAAAATGACAGAAAATTTAAGTAACTAAAAAAAATTAATGACAAGAAATTAAATCAACAAAAATTGACACCAATTATCGCAAAGAAGTCTACAGGTAGTACAGGCAAGGTTAGTGATGGGGGAAGGCATTAAGGAGGTCCACGTGATCAAGAAAATAAACAAAATAAAACAGAAAAGATTATAATTTACAGACTTTGTTAAAAGAAGGAACAACCAAAGAAAGAACATTTAACCCTAACAGAACTCAGCCCGTCAAACCCCAACAGCATATTTTGTTGGAATCTGTCACGATGGGTACAGTACCCCTAAACTGACAGTCTTTAACATTGGGTTGGCACACCTCCAGAATCAAAGTCAGAAATATGTGTGTGCAGTTTCCCATATGGTATTGGCATTTGCCAGGATGGGTATTCCTAGTAAATCATGCTAGGGAGTTAGGGTTAATGCATACGTAGGAAAAGCATCCTGTCGCCCCTTTTTTCATCAATGAACGTCAGTTGAAAAAATGTTGAAAAGATGTGAATCTGGGACTGAGAAACATTTCCAATTTTGTTAGAAAATACTGCACTTGACTCTCCCTAGACTTTGTACACAACCAAAGAAGTGACGTCTGGATACTACATTCTTTCCAGCATGTATTTCAATATAATTATGTTAACATCACAGGGTGCCTTGATTATTCATGCCGAGTAGAACATGTAACAGCCGTCGGGTCAGTAGTAGTACTAGTACATTCTGCATACACAGTACAGTCCATTGACCTGCAACTGTTTGATGTCCTTCTCAGCATAAATAAACGAGGTGCCCTGTGCTGCGATTGGCTGTTCTGATCCTCGGATGCGATTTTGGCCCCGCATATGATACGGCCAGATCTGGCCATCACTTATCAGTTGTCACCCTGTGCACAAACCCTATGAGACTGGTCTGAAAATTTCGAAGTATTTTCTCAGTAAAATACTTAAATACTTTCCCTGCTAATTTTGACTTTTTTTGGACATATTATCACTTTCTGATGGTTGATAGGTCGCTGGAGGGAAAAATTAGTGATAGCCAGATATGGGAATCTTTCCCAACTCTCCGTAGACTTTGTACACAACCGAAGAGGTGGTGTCTGCATATTACTGTTATTGTTACTACATTCTGCGCAAGTCTACTTGAGTGGATATTTTGCCCGTAAGGCCAAATAAAAAAAAAACATGTTTAGCGTCCCCACTCACTTCCTTTTTGGAGGCCGCCTCCTTTTTTTTTCTTTTTTTTTTTTTTTTTTTTTTAAACTGAAAAAATGAAAAATTTTAAACTGTGACATCATTTTGCCCTCTTTGTCTGTTGCATCTAGCCCATATAAAGCTTGTATACCTAATGTCATTTCCTGAGTCCAAGTGGTGGCCATTTAAAAAAAAAGCTGGCAGCCATCTTTAAAGCCTGGTGGGGCGGCCATTTTGGAGGGGAAAAAAAAATTTCAAAAAGGCAGGACGCTAGATATGTTTTTTTTTAAACTTGGCATAACTACAAGATCGCTAGTCTACTGAATATGAACAGAATCGCTGATTAATTAGGCAAGACAACTGCATCTTGACCTCTAGATTTTGACCAATCAGCGGGCGCTTTCTATGTCGGGTCTTCGGTCATTCACCCGTTGCGCGTCATAGACAAGGTTAAAAAAAAAACTGTGTCACACACTCTGTATCATGTTACGCGATATGCGCCGGGCTGTTGTTGTATTACAAAACACTGCATTCGAATTGACCAATCAAACCATTAGTCCTGATTCGGGAATGAAATGACGTCACGACTTGCATGTTTAGACATATCAGACGTTTATACAGGAGACTTAGCTCCGTGGATAACGGGTGATACTCAGACTACACGATCGCCTACATTAAAGGGCTTATGAAAATAATTATGATTAACGATGTTTAGCCTAGTCCAAGTAACTAGGACTCTACGAATCGCCTTTTTTTATCATTTGGACATGGTCGGGCGACCATGTTAAAAATGTTTAAATGGTGATTCGTAGAGTCCTAGTTACTCAGGCGATTGTGTAGTGTAGGGCCCCTGTTTTCTTTCGATCAAATTAGAAATGGAATCAACATTTTTTTTATTACTAAAATATGACACTTTAAACCTAAAACAGACTTCTCTCAATGTAATGACACCTTTTTCGTTATTTTTAACAGTTTCTTGGGATAGAAATTACGATTGCAGCGTGACTTGCGCGCTCACGGTACATCGTGCGATGAAAGCAATCTTTATTTTCGTGTTGCGTTGTCGTTTTGCGTTAAGTCATTTTACCCCCAAATTTCCCTCAAAAAATCAAAACCCTGCCCTTTATCTACAGTCCTTTTCCTAGCTCCAGATAGCAAACATCATTCAGGCTGCTTTCGGCTCAACTACTCCACAAATTCAAGTGGCATTGGTTAAAAAGTCCACAAAATAATTTTCAAATTTAAGCTCTTTATATTTTGACTTTACGATGTCAAAAGTACCGATGTCGCTTTTCCTAGCTCCGGATTGGTTCAATCAGTTCCGAAACGATCAAAAATTGTTTCGCGCAAATAAAAAAATCACACGAAAAAGTCAATTTTTTCCGCCAGAACCAACCAAATCAAGCATATTTTCTGATAAAGTATTATTTGGGCAATTCCACGGTTTGATGTGTTTGATGATCTAGCCAACAAAAGTCGGAATGACATGAAAGCTATACTTCTTTTTTAGAAGCCGACGCTAAGGGGGGATCCAGACAACAATTTTTGGGGGGGGGGCCAAAGACAAAATTTGGTCCCCCAAAAAGTGAGTCCCAAAAAAATAGGGCGTGGGATTCGGGGCCGTAAGGCCAAATAAAAAAAAACATGTTTAGCGTCCTGCCTTTTTGAAATAAGGAAGGAGGATGCCCTTTCCTTTTCCATCCAAAATGGCCGCCCTCGATTTTCTACTGGTACACAAAAAAATTAAATTTGGTTTTATGGTATCAAATGTTCATTTTTCTGCCGGTGGAAATTCGGAAATTTGGTTTGGTCATAAACGCAATTTCTGATTTTCTGCTAGTAAAGAAATTCGGAAATTTGGTTCGATCGTAAACGCAATTTTCAATTTTCTGCTAGCAGAAATTCAGAAATTTGGTGTGGACGTGAACGCAATTTCCAATTTTCTGCTAGCAGAAATTCGGAAATTTGGTTTGTCCACTTTTGCCGCCTGTGTACAAGAAAATCAAAAATTCAAATTTTTGATTAGTTCTACTGAGTGGAGCGTTGAACTCCGGTACCCACCGTACTATACGCTCCACCAATTTGCCATACTTTGGTGACGGATACACTGTAGCAAATTGTACATACCCACGCGAGGACAAAAGACCACCCAAGACAATGGTAAAGAGAATACAAAAGAGAGAGACAGCTACCCTGGATAGATCTACACATTTCATGACATTCCATAAGACCCGTTATATCGTTCCCAAACAGCGACAATTTAAAAAAAAGGAAAGATTCCATATAAGAAGTTCACTCAACACTCTGTGTACAAACCCTATGAGAGTGGACTGAAAAATTCTAAGTGTTTTCTAAGAAAATGCTTGTATTTTCTCACTGCTCAAATTGACTTTGATGACATGAAATTGCTATCTGGGGGCTTGTTAGTCAATACAGAGGAAAATTAGTGAACTTCGCATATGGTAATCTTGCCCAACGACTGTTTTGTATAATGATACATGCTCCGATCTGCGCCATATTCAAAGCCCATACCGTAGTACAGCGCAGATCGGAGCCACCTATTACTACACAAAACAGTCGATGATAAAGCGCAACTTGTTTTTCTTCGATTGAGCGACGACGGTCACGTCACGTCAAGCGCCCTCATCGGTAGAACGCTAGTGCGGAGGGTACCGGAGTTCAACGCTCCATTTAGCCCCATAAATGTGGCCAATTTACTGGACTACCTCCGTAAATAAAGGCCACACTTCCACCATGTACAAAAACATGTCGAACTTTGTCAAATTTGATTTTCACATTTAGGCTTAGTTTGTAGAACTTTTATTTTTGCTTTAAAAGTATACTCAAACTCTTTATAGGCTTATCAGAAAGTGCTGCCTTTTCAGATGTCTAATTTTCGTGAAATTTCATGTTGAAATTTTGATACGCAAACCGTCATGACCGTCACGTCAGACCGTCAGCCCCACTAGTGTGGCCGTCGGTATGCTGCGCTGGGTTCAGCGCAGCATACCGACGGCCACACTAGTGGGGCTAGTCAGACCGTGTGCAAACGAATCTGGAAATTTCACAAAAAATAGACATCTGAAAAAAGCAGCGCTTTCTGATTAGTGTGTAACGGGGACAAAATTGAACATTTTCCAAATTTTTTTGCAAATACTACAAGTTTTGAGAAAAATGCGCTCCAGCCCTAGATGACAACCCAATGATAAAACTCAGGGCTGGGTAACTCCAGCTAACCTATAAAGAGGGTGAGTATGCTTCTAAAGCAAAAATACACTACAAACAAAGCCTAAATGTGAAAATCAAAATTTGACAAAGTTCGACATGTTTTTGTACATGGTGGAAGTGTGGCCTTTATACGGACATGACGGAGGTAGTCCAGTAAATTGACCATTATTTATGGGGCTACTTAGACCCGTGAACGTGGCGTTGGGTCTAGGGCTACTGTCATACTGAACCTTAAGGCTTAAGTCAAACTTGACAGACGCTTCAAAATCACCTCTAAATAATATTAGATGACAACTTGCTTTTAACAGATGTCGACAGCTACATGAATTTACGAAATCACTAAGAGAAACTAGCCAGAATACTTGGATTTATATGACCAGCACAGCAGTACATGTACTTCGATATGTACGTGTACTGTACTTGCGCATATTGCAATGCATAGGTGAAAATAAAATATATGGCGCCCTCTAGCACCAGTTCTTGAAGGCAATGCATCGTGAACTGAGGTACAAGTACACTCGGTGAAAAAAAACCATAATCACAGCATTTTTATAAAGGTGCTCTCCCCATGTTTTTGTCGAATTTCATTGTCGAAAAATAGATCATGTATGATATTTGCTTGTTTTCTATAACAATACAAAGTTATTTCGGAATGAGACATATCGACATCGAACGAAAACAGTCCGCTCACTCTTCAGGCAATGATTTTGTTTTGTATTT